CCAAGATCACATTTTTGTCGGTTAGAGTATATTGCTACGGATTTGTTCAATATTAACGGCCGTCATCTTCTCTACCAACGTTGGTCATCTCTCGTACATAGTCTTGTAGCCTACTTCACTCGGGCTGAACTCCAGACCTTTGCTTTCATATAGGCTAAAACCCTTATATTTCCCGACGGTGTCCGCTGAAGCAATCACTCATATAGTAGGATTATATGGGCAGCAGGTTTTATAGATTTCCCCTGTTCTCCCCGTGCTGAACATATTCCCAATATGCCTGATGCCTTATGTCGTACATCTGACAGCGGGGGAGTGGGGGAGGTCCACTAAACCTCCATGAATGTCAGATTCGAACTTCAAACAAAAGTCCCAACCTTGGAATTCTTCTTATTGTTGTGCACTCGGCATGTCAAAGTCTGGGGAACCGAGTTCTCTTCCCGAGGACAATTCCCCAACTTCAAAACACCCGACTACATGCGTTCTTCTCTTAATGTTCTCAGAGGTTTCATCCTATCTATGTTGCATTTATTTCCTCAAATAATCTAATTCCGGAATTTTCAAGCTACTCCTATAACCTCATTTCTGGCTAATTTCTCATCGATTTGATTTGGCACGATTAGGCACGGTTGACACGATAACCTCCAATTGCCGAAGAAAAACACTACAGACGAACACCAAAAGTACTTCGTGATCTTATCATGTTGATCTGGTCTGGCGAGTTAAACCGCAGTTCCCGACCGCAGTCCCCGCAAAACTCCACCAAGAGATGATCGCGACTCTGCGGCTCTCACTCGGTTCTCACAATGCCTAACCCCCCTCGCCGCTATCACCAGTCTCTTCAGGCAAGAAGAGACCACATCCCTCCAACACTCCCCCATCACAAACCGACCCCGCGACCAATCCCGCTCCCAACCCCTCCGCCCCGACGGCTGTGTCTTCCACCCCACCCGCCCATTCCACTGTTACCGTCTCGTCCGCTTCCTCCTCATTCCGCAATGTCTCCGCCTGTAACCGCTGTCGACTGCGCAAGAACCGCTGCGACCAGCGTCTCCCGCGCTGCCAGTCATGTGAGAAGGCGAGCGTGCGCTGCGTCGGATACGACCCTATCACAAAGCGGGAGATTCCCCGCAGTTATGTTTATTTCCTAGAGTCGCGTGTAGCACATCTCGAAAAACAATTGGCGGATAACAACATTGAATTTAAAAAGGTCGTCGCTTTTGACGAGGAGGAGGCTATCAAGGTCGAGGCTGATGGCGACAGCACACAAACTCGTCCCGGTTCTGACGTTCAGGCCGGGGAGGGGGCTGCGGCAGATAAGGCACGGTGGAAGAATATACCCAAAGAAGATGCCGAGCGGAAAGGAGAAGGGGATAATCGCGATACGGACAATGACCCCAATAACGAGGATAGTTGGCGCCTGCATAATTTGGTCTCGAATATCGGCATGGTCTCTGTACAGGGTACTTCTGACCCACGATATCTGGGGTCAACATCGGGCATTTCCTTTGCCCGTGTGGTCTTCGCTGCGGTGAGGAGCTCACTCCCCGGTAATATGCCGGACCGTGTACCGATTCGAACGAGTGATCGATTACCTCAGAGTGCTACTGGCACTGCCGGGGGAGGGGGTAGTATGCGTGATTCCTTCTTCGGGCTGCAGACAAGGCCGATGATGAAATGCGCGACTTTCCCTGACCGGGAGCTGGCTGAACGGCTGGTCGATCTTTACTTTGAACATGCGAATCCTCAGATGCCGATTCTCCACCGGGGAGATTTCATGGAGCTGTTGGATAAAACGTATTTGTTAGAAGAGAAGAAGCGTTCTCCGCGCGCGCTTTATATCCTTAATATCGTGTTTGCTATTGGTGCTGGAATCATCTTTGAAGATAAGCCTCAAAGCTCGGATGATGAGAATCGCAGTAGTCGTGACCAGTCCTCGTCTGGGACGAAGAGAGTGAGACTCTCGAGCCATCAGTACCAGCCAGAAGAATATCATGCCTCGGCAATCATTCATTTGGAATCATTCCTTGGTTCGTCCTCCAGCGAGGGCTTTGGTGGATTGGAAGAGCTGCAGGCAGTGCTTCTTCTAGCCAGCTTTGCCCTATTACGACCCGTGGCACCGGGTCTCTGGTATATCGTCGGTGTGGCCATGCGCTTAGCCGTCGACCTTGGGCTCCATTACGAGGATGGAGCGGGTATTGACTCTGCAACGAAAGACGGCAACCAAGCGCAGTCACGGATCGATGCTCGCGAACGCGGACGACGCGAATGGGTGCGCGATATCCGCCGCCGGTTGTGGTGGTGCGTCTATAGCTTTGACCGTCTGGTAGCCACGTGTGTTGGACGGCCATTCGGCATCAGCGATCAGGCTATCAGCACAGAATTCCCGTCCCTAACGGACGACAAATATATCACCAAGTCCGGTCTTCTAACCCCACCAGATGGCGCCCCAACATATAAGCATGTCGCATTCCACTATTTCAAATTGCGACTTCTTCAATCCGAGATCCATGATGTCCTCCAATACCAACAGACGCGCGCTGTGCGGAGGAAAGGCCCTGGTGCAGTCATTCTACCACATGCTGAGCTTTCCTCGCCTTTCCTTCAGGGCTTTGACTCGTTCCGCTCGTGGCGCCATGATGTGCATCGCCGATTGGTTGAGTGGCAAGATACTGCACCGACACGGCTGGAAACAGGCGTGAGATTCTCTATTGAGCTGCTTGAGCTGAATTACTGGCAAGCTATCATTTTGCTGTACCAGCAGAGCTTGACGGTTCCTGCTGAGTTGGCCGGAGAGCTCACTCCCGCAGATGACGTCTCCAGTCCGTCCTTTTCCAATCCTGATGAGGGTGATGAGGAGGATCATGTTTATCTTAATGTTGCTGAAGCTGGTCAGAAGGTCATTCGTATCTATCGCCAATTGCATAGAGTACGCTTGGTGAATTATACCTATCTTGCTACGCATCACATTTTCATGGCTGGTATGTAGTTGTTTGTGTTCTCCTCGTCGCTTCATTATTGACATTCTATTAGGAATCTCCTTCTTATATGCCATTTGGCATTCGCCTTTGGTTCGAAGCCACCTAGTAGGCACTCCCAGTCCTGGAATTTAGGTTTGCGCTTATTCTAACCTTCTCTTTTCTTAGACCCTCGACGAAGTCGACTTTACTGTTCTCGCCGCAACTTCTGTTCTAGGCGACCTGATGCACAAATGCCCACCGGCCGAAGCATGCCGGGACGCGTTCGAGCGCATGAGCAAAGCAACCGTCCAAATGTGTCTATCGACAACCGGATTCGGATCACAAGTAGACATCGGCCGTGTCCAAACCTCATCAAATACCGGCAACTCACTCTACACCGGCCGACCGCGACAGCCTGTGGACCAACGACCCCGCCCAGGCCAAGGGCACGCCCGGCGACCGACGCAGGCACGCCCGTCCCGACCCGTCCCCAAGTTCGACATGAACTTGGCTGATCTCTTCACCGATAATGTCCCCTTAGCCGAACGACCTCGACCCGAAAGCAGACCCGGAGGGCCGTCCTACCCTCAACCAGAATCAATGGCTGCCAGCTTCGCAGCAGACCAGTCGTCCAGGTCTTATGGACAGCCCAATTCGTCGATGGATTACTATCTCAAGTACGAGAATCCAAACTCCCCGCAACCGAACCCGCAGTTTTATTACGCGAACTCGCCGCAGCACAGTGGCTCTCCCGGTAGCAACACTCAAATTCATGGTCTGCCGCCTGCCGACACGGACGCTCCGCAGGGGATGAGTCTTGATTTCTTGGATTTTGCATCTGGCGATGCTGAAGGCCAGGGTAATATGGAAAGTGAAGCCAATCCTGATTACAATGCGGCGGCTGCGCCACCTTTAGGTCACAACCTAGGGCAGAATGTTGGAATCGACCTTGGCTTTGGTATGGCCATGGACTTCCAGCATGACTGGAGTGAGGTCCCCAATTACGATCTTTTGGAAGGCTATTTCTTTGGTGGTTCTGGGGCTGGCGCACCTGGAGGGGATATCTAGCGTTGTTTCTCTCAGTGGTTTATTTCTTTTTGTTTGGTGTCTTCTTTTACATTCCTTTCATCCCCCCTACCCTGTGTCTTTCTTGCCTCTTTCTAAAAGCCAGGGCTTAACAAGGGTGTATAATTTGGCTTGTGATTATTCTGCCTGCCTTTGGATACCATCTATACACATATATACCAATATACAATGATCTGTAAGGAAAGAAATAAATTAATTCTAGGGTTATCAAGAGCATCAACGATTGTATAGCATGTCGTAGTCGCCTTGCGTTGATATGTTGATTGCCTCGGGCAGCAACGGCGTCAAAAACAAACACTCCCGCCTTTGGTTTTCCCAACCCAACACACCCAATTCTAGCGTGCTGGCACTTCCGCACAAACGAACGGTGTAGTCCTGTTGGCTGCTTCACTTCGATCTGCGCTTGGACCCAACTGCCTAATCTCGACATCAGGTGCCCACACCGATCTCTAATTTTTTGTTGTCATTTCTGCCTGTCCTCCCCCGCTTCACTTCCCTGGTCTTACTGAAAAAGACCATTTCCACTCGCCGCAAACCCGAAGACCAAACTCAGAACTCCGTTTCTCCCAAGCCGAGCTTTGGCTAGTGCTTTCGGGGTGGACCCTGCGGCCAACCGAGACCGCGGAGCATACAAGGAAGGAGGCTCTGCCCTTCGTTTTTTTTTCTTCTTCCACCTTTCACTTCACCCAGTCTTTCAACATTCTGCAACATTCTGCAGTGTTTGGCGAGCTAGGCTTCAAGCTTGCTGGGATTGCAGGACATATTATTTGTTTTTGTCCTGCTTGTCTAGTCCTGTTCCAAAGGCCCTGCCTACGTGCAACGTGCTTTTTACCCTTACTCTTAGACCGACTTTCTACGACTTGACATGCGTGGGACCCCCGATAGTTTAATTGAATATCGATTATGCAATTCGAGCTTATCACACCTGCATAGTTTCACCCGAAACCCACGAGCAACATGGTGAAATCAGACGTGCGCAAAGATTACTATGCGGACCTTGGGCTCCAGCCCAGCGCGGAGCCTGAAGAGATCAAGAAACAATTCAGGAAATTAGGTGAGCTTCATACAAACCCATGCCATAGAGTGATAGTCGAGACCATTGCTAATTTAGAGGGAAAGCACTCAAATACCACCCAGACAGGAATCCAGGACGAGAAGTCGAGTTCAACGCTAAATTCCAGGCCATCCAGGCTGCCAATGAGATCCTCAGTGACCCCTCCCAACGACTGAAATACGACACCGATCGTCTCCGTGCAGGCTACGGCAAGTTCTACGGACCGCCCAAGGCAAATACCCAGCGCAAAACACAAAACCCCACCTACCCTCCTCGAGCTGCGCCAACTGCCTCGACGTCTGCAAGTCCACAGTATGCAAAGGCAGCCCCGAGTACCCCGTCAGCTGGCGCTCGACGATACGCATCCCATGCGCGTGCCGGTCCGCAACAATTCAAACAACAAGACAGTGCGCAAACAAGGGCCGATGCATTCCGTGGCTTTAACAATATGAGAGGAAATCAGGCTGGATGGCAGGACTTCGATCCTGCAACTGGTCGTGCCACCGGTGGTGTCCCAGGCCCTGGGGCACAGCGTCATCCTTTTGGAACTTCTGCGCAATCGACCCGGCCCAAGTCTGCCTTTGAAACTCACAACTCCCATTCGAACGCACAATCTTTCAAGAAGAAGCAAGGCTTTGCGCCAGGGGTAGCTGGAGGAGACGAACCGATGGCCCGGAACACCTCTGCTTATACGAATAACAGTAGGGCTGAACGAACGAGCAGCCAATACTTCAAGTCTGCGCCGACACCAACTGCGAAGAAACCAGCATCACCTGAGCCGTCTCGGCCTAGTTCTCGCAATTCATACACTCCGGAGTTCGAACGGCCCAGTCGAAGCTACGCCCAGGCAGGCAAGGGTGAGAAGACTTTCTTTTCAAGCACTGGACTAGGACGTTCTGCGACCATGCGTACCCCATCAGGTTCTTCTCATCAAAAAATGCATACAGGTAAAACCAGCCCTTCCTCCGGCCGATCTGGGAGATACCGTAGCGCCAGCCCCTCGCCCAGGCGGAACCACAACAACTATGACTCTACCAGCTCGAGTGAAGGGGAAGAGACTATGCCCAAGCCGAAGGCTGTACCAAAGAGTCGACTCGGACCGCATCAAACGTTTGCCGACTTCTACAACAGAGGAAAAGCAAGCCCTGGAAATGGTATGGACTTCACCTCCTTCCTCCGCACGAATGGTCTTGAGGCCGTCAAACTACCAGATGGTGGCTACAAACTCCGTCCGATTGCTCGAAATTGGCTCCCTAATCAACGTAATCCTGCTGACACGGATCGCCCTGAAGGACACACCTCAGATAGTGCAGCTTTCCCAAAAAGCTCATATAGATCGGACCAACAGCCCAACCCGTCGGGTTCTTCCTCTTCGGTCAAGTATGTTCGGTGCACCTATTCTCAAGTTTCGCCTTATCTGACTGACACTGGTATTAGCACCGATCCGGCAAACAATGCGCAAAGGCCTCAGTCTGCCGCATATGCACGCAGCAGCACAAGTGACTTGCACAAGAAGTTTTCTGCGGATGATTGGCGGGCTCATTTGGGTCAGTTCGATTTCATGGGCTCTGCGTCGCAAAACAAGGAGGCACTCCCGAGATCGCCCGCCTCGCAGAATCGGGGGCGCACAAGCAATCGAAGCGGCCAGAGACAAACCTCCTCGACTAGATCACCGCTTCCGAATCCTTTCGGTCCTACTCCTCTCTATCAAGCTTCACAGTCAACACAGCAACCACCAACACCCTTTGCACAAGCAAAGTTCTCCGCAGATTCGTGGTCTGAGCAGCTTCGAAATATGTCATGGACTGTATCAGAAGCCGAGAAAGCCAAACAAAAGGCAAACGCTGCACCACCTAGGAGTCCAAAGAAACAGCCTAGAGCAGGCACCAAATTGCGGAGTGTTCCACAGCCGGCGAGCGTTGGTACTGAAGCAGACGAAGCTAAAGAAACTGTCAATGGCCAGGCTCCTCCAGGGCCAGCCTGGACAGCAACGCCGGAAGTTGAGGAGATGGACCTGGATGATGACCTTCCTACTCCTCCGAACATACCGCCCAAGGTCCCAGCTGGAAGACCAAGCAATGGCAGCCATCCCGATTTGGCATCTCAGGCTGCGCCAGATGCACCTCCAGTCAAGAAGTCTAAGCCTCAAAACACAGACCCCCGCACTCCTCTATTCAACCTCGAGAATCTCCGCAATACCGCACCGTTCACCAATACGACAAGCGGAGGTATCGAAAATCTTGAAGACTTCCACACAACTCTCCCCTTCGAATCCCAAGCCAAGCAGCAACGGACCACAAGAAACGACATCCGCCCTCGTGTACTTCAACTTCCAAACCCTCCCAAGCGACCTACAGCCCCGAAACCAGTCTTCCAAACGCTGACCTCTAAGCATCCTGTCCTCCCCCGGGATAAATGGAACTGGTACGTATCGGCAATGGGAACGTACATGCACGAATGGAATGCGTTCAACAGCCGCATGCTCACCCACTTCAATGCGCGCCAAGAAGCGAATGAAACCGGTCTCGCGCCAGGCTGGATCAGCGCCGTTGGAGACTCTACTCGTCTCAAACTCAACGGTACGGATGATGATAGCAACGAGGGCACACCCAAGGCCCGTAAGGAGCCTGATGATCATCACGGTGATGAATTCCTCGTCCCTGGCAGTAGCAAGGGCGGCTTCAGTGCTTATCTCCGTGGTGTCGAGGAGGACATCCAGGTGCGCAAGCATTGGGACGTTGCATGTGAGCTGCACCGTGAATGTATCATTGAGCTTGGACGGCTGAGAGAGTGGATTCGGGATGGTGGGAAGGTGGTTTGAGCTTTCGTCGTCGGGCCTTTCCGTAATGGAAAGCCACTGCTGAAGCTGTATTTCCAGCTTTAGCAGAGGCGAGGCTCTGAATTGATCTGATGTGATATGTTTTCTTCGCGGGTTTCCTGGTGTCTCGGTTGTTTTTTTTTTCACTTCTAATGATGTCTACTTGATGACTTTTTTTTCTCTTTTGCGATGCATAATGACTTGGTGTTATGTGAATACCCGGGATTTTTATCACATCTGCATAGATAAACCTGATTCTTTCCATCGGGTTTCTCTTGGTGTTTTCATGGCTTTGTACTTATTAGCGAGAGGGCTGTTTGTAGTTCAAGCTTAACTGCAATCCATACATCATGTGGATGTAACTACATGTTCAAATTTTTGCTCTCACTTTCTAATTTGAGGCCTTCCTCAGGCCGATAGGACCTTGTCTCCTCGTCATTGATCTTGCTTCCCCTCTCTTCTCAATTGCCACCTCACTTCATTCTATGGCTTTCTCTTTCATTTACCTATCTATATGCTAATGCTTAGTGATAGAGCTCAGCTAAGTATACATTACCGCTTACGGAGTGCATATCCCTCATTTCTTTCTCAAATCTTAGATCCCAGTGAGAACCAATCTCTCAGAAATGAATCTTCTTCTCTGCCCTCATAATCCTAATAGGGGCGTGATCCTAAGACACATTTCGGACATCGGCTAGGTCACTTCTGCGATTGTGGATTGACTTTCTATCAGCTCCATCAGCTGTGCACTATCCAATCCTTCCAAGGGTCGCTCGTTCATTCTTCCAGGATCGTTTCTTCCGGATTGCAGAAGGCAGTTCGGGTTGTTGAGATAACTGATGTCCCGGTTACGATTTCCCAAGAGCGATATCGGCTACGGGCGACTAAGTACGCCATCTGAACCTAACTCTCTCATTGGATAATATTACCAGGAAGTATTTTGGTCATAGGTCAAATACCTCAGGCAAAATTAGGCCTAGGGTAGGAGTACACACCGCGAGATCGCTGTATACCGATTGCATGATTAGCAAGTGTATCAGGTCTCCAATCCCAATAAACCTAGAAAACGCGGTCTCTGATAGAGAGATAAATTAATTAATTAGTAACGATCGTATATAAAATAAACTTTTATAAAATTGTGATAGAAAGTGAAATTTAGATATGTATACTATCTCACTACTACTAAAAAAAACTACTACAAAAACCACCCTATTTCCTACTTTTTTTTATGGGATTTATATATTAAATAGTATAAATAAGAAAAGCACATCATAAAATATCAATAGATTACCAGTAAAAGGTGAGAAATTTAAGTAATACATTTCATTCTGACTATGCTCCGTACAGTGACTGGACATAAGTTTTTAACACATAGTTAGCCCCATCCCTAGGTGTAACTAAGAGCTGGAGAATTTCCATATGACCTACGAATTAGCTATAAAAGACTAATCGGAAAAATCTTAGTTATCCAGACCAAGCGATCAAACAACTTCAATGACAAGACCGACTCGAACTTCGCTACTCCTATGGTGGGAATTCACAACCGTTAAGTAGAGTTTAACGATGTCTTGAAGTATCTAGCCGGCACTACACTTGGATGTTACGCTTTACATTCGTGATAGCAAGGAGAACTACGATGAATAAGGGCTAGAGAGGTAGAGCGGAGAGGAGCTCTTTAACTATATGCAACCTAAGTTCCAAGGTTGGTACTGATGATACATAGTATGAGTAGACATAGACCATCCTCCGAAAGCCATTGTTACCAGAAGATAAAAAGCTCGTTACAAACTTCTGGCACATAAAATCAAATGGATATTCATGCATTTACTACGTACTACATATGTATGTATACAAAAGCTTGAGCTATATTGGAGCCCTTGCCCTAACCCTGTCTGCCTGAGGTGTCAAGGCAAGTTAAGGCATACAGGTATCCAGGCACCAAGGCACCAAGGCTGCAACCAAGCCCCGCCACCCCGCCGGATCTGTGATGGCGGGAATTCGCGGAAAATTGGTCTGACTCACGAGAAAGGAGATCAAATTTGTAAAAAAATAGCTCAAACTAGTCTAGTTAGCATACGAATTTCCAACATCGAATTGTTCCTGGTCAAATTTGCCCAGAAAACTCACACCGGCAAACCTGATCTTGGCCCCGCTATCGGCTCCAGGCATATTCTCTTTCGCCTTCAAACCTACCCCACCATCCAAAGCAATTGATCGTGGATAAGTCTGAATTAGTGACTTTTTCGAGTGTGCAATCATGGTTTCAATCGTTCTAGGAAGTCAATGGGGAGATGAAGGTAGGAACGAGACCTTGAGAGAGACATTAGACAATGCTAATGAACGAATAGGAAAGGGGAAGATCACAGACATGCTGTCGCAGGATGCGACACTTTGCTGCCGTGCAGCTGGTGGACACAGTAGGTTCAAGTCGCCTTGGAATTTCTCTACTCCCACGTGTTGAAGTTCTCAAACGGACCGTCCCCAAAGCTAGACAGTGACTGACCAAACCGTCTTTTTCAATTGGTTACAGATGCCGGCCACACTATTGTGCACGAGAACGTCACCTACGACTTCCACATCCTTCCCTCCGGTCTCGTCTCGCCCAAATGTATCAACCTGATCGGCGCCGGCACGGTCTTCCACGTCCCCAGTTTCTTCAAGGAACTGGCTGCTATCGAGGCCAAGGGCCTGAAGGGCGCCGCCCAGCGCATCTTCGTCTCTGACCGCGCACACGTCTGCTTCGACCTGCACTCTGTCGTCGACGGTCTCGAGGAGAAGGGTCTCGGTGGCCGCAAGGTCGGCACTACCGGCAAGGGTATCGGTCCCTGCTACAGCGACAAGGCCGCACGCCGCGGTGTCCGCGTCGGCGAGATCCTGGACGAGGCTACTTTCGAGCGCAAGCTGCGCACTCTGGATACTTCATACCGCACACGGTTCGGAGATCTGGCATACGATGTCGAGGAGGAGATTGCGCGGTTCAAGGTATGCATTAAATCCCGCTATTTTCTTCATTCCGTCAACAAATGGCAAGAACAGACATATGGCGCGAAGGAATAGACAAAAAGCCTTGTTTTTTTTTCATCGCAACAACATCGCTAACAATTTCTAGGAATACCGCAACCTCCTGAAGCCCCACATCGTCGACCAGCTCGAGTTCCTGCAGGAGCACAAGGACTCTCCCAACACACTGGTCGAAGGCGCCAACGCCCTCATGCTCGACCTCGACCACGGCACATACCCGTACGTGACCTCGTCATCAACCGGTCTGGGCGGAGCCGTGCAAGCGCTTGCCCTGAACCCTGCCAGCATCAAGTCCGTGATCGGCGTGGTGAAGGCTTACACGACGCGTGTTGGCTCTGGACCTTTCCCCAGCGAGCAGCTCAACGAAGTCGGCGAAAAGCTGCAGCAGGTCGGACGTGAGTTCGGTGTGACTACTGGCCGCCGTCGCCGCTGTGGTTGGTTGGATCTTGTTCTGTGCCGCTACTCTCACGCTATTAACCACTACACCGCGCTGAACTTGACTAAGCTTGATATCCTTGACGACTTCGATGAGATCAAGGTTGGTGTTGCTTATATCTTGCCTTGTGGAAAGCGCACTACGGGTACTTTCCCTGCGGATCCTAATGTCGTCGAGAAGATCCAAGTGGAGTATGTTACTCTGCCTGGATGGAAGTCGAACACTATGGGTATCCAGCGCTACGAGGATCTGCCTGCTAATGCTCGTGCTTACGTTGAGTTCATTGAGCGTGAGATTGGTGGTGTCCCTGTTAAGTGGATCGGTACTGGTCCTGCCAGAGAACACATGATCGCCCGTGATTAAGTGTATCTCTTTGTTTATTTTCTGTTTGTGTTTTTTTTGTTCTTACGAGAGTAAGTGACTGTATCTTCGTTCATATTGCGATATACTTGGGATTGTGTGATATAAAGGTTTCCTTTTATCCCATATTCAACGATTTAGATGTCTCGAAAATGGATCTGGTTAGAGGCGGCAGTTACCAAAGTCTTTTCCTGTTTATTATCATGCTGTTTTGGTAGAAGGATGTTTGTGTCAAGATTAAAACTGAGTCCTGGATAGAATAATGGCAGATGTATAGAAGATATTGTACATGAAATCAAAAAGTGAAGATCCAAATCTTCATATCCAGAAAAGAATCCCGTAGAACAACCAGTAGAGTATAAGACAAAGAGGAGAGAAGTCTAAATTAGAAACACAAAAGCACCCAACCGTCCACGGGTGTATAGTACACAAAGATAGTTCAAAAAAAAGAGGAGGTAGAACGCCGCCCAATGCCAGAATGGTTGCTTCTTCTTTTCACTTTTGGCTGATCTGGTTTGGAAGATACCAGATCAATTATGATTGCCAGCGTGACTGGCAAGAGTTGATCTCTGATTCAACTCGAAACTTAAAACCGGAAAGCGTCCTCGCCGAAGGAATCCTCGAACGAGCGGCGAGGAGGACGAGACGAGCCACGGTCACCGCCACGGGAGAAGCCACTACGCTCACCACGGTCGCCGCCACGGGAGAAACCGTCACGGTCACCGCCGCGAGAGAAGCCACCACGGTCACCACCACGAGAGAAGCCACCACGCTCACCGCCGCGAGAGAAGCCACCACGCTCACCACCACGGTCACCGCCACGGGAGAAACCGCCACGATCACCACCGCGAGAGAAGCCGCCACGGCTACCACGGTCACCACCACGATCACCGCCGCGGGAGAATCCGCCCTCGCGTCGCTGGCGGCTGCCATCACCCATGCTGACACCGTCCACTCGGTTGAGACCCATTTGCTGCATCAATTTAGGGCTGAGCTCCGGGAGGGTTTGCATGTTGTATCCCACGGTGAACATCTGGTTGAGTGCCTGGATGGCCTCTCTCTTGCTGTTGAAGTTTCCAGTGGTGGTGCCAAGTTGACCCATGTAGGACTTGACCTTGGTAGTATTGTCACATTGGGCCAGACCCTGGTTGATACTGTTGACGATCTTGCCGACTTGTGTGTCGTTAGAGAAGGTCTGGGAAAGATCCGCATCCGCGGTTTGCAATTCAGTGTCCACCTTCAATGGAAGACGGCCCAGGCGCTTTCTGTAGACATCTTGTTCGGCCCGGTGCATAAACAACCAACCTTCACCTTCCTTGCCAGCACGGCCTGTGCGGCCAAGACGGTGGATGTAGGTCTCACGATCCCGAGGAACACCAACTTGGACGACGTGGGTGACATCGGGGAAATCCATACCACGAGCAGTCACGTCCGAGGAGAACAAAATGCCCTCGCGAGCCTTGCGGAAGTTATCTGCGCTGCGAGTTCGGACCTGCTGAGTGAGACGAGAGTTAATCTCGAGCATTCTCATGTTGCCCATAGAAGACTGGCGGAACTCTGCAGTGCGAGTCAAAGCGTTGAAAGCATCGGCAGAGATCTTGGTCTCAGCGGTGGAGTTAAAGTAGGCGATAGCCTTGAAAGGACGCAGCTTCTCGCCGTTATCACGGCGAGTTTGCCAGTTCTGAGCGAGCTCGAGAAGGGCGGGCAGTCCGTTTTCAAGACCGCGCGTGTAGACAAGCTTCTGGGGCACTCGGTGGTGTGTGGGAACTTCATCTTCACGAACGGTATTGACATGCTTGAAGCCGGGCTTCAAGGTCTGACGAACCATCTGCATAACTTCTCTGGGAACAGTGGCCGAGAACATGAGGGTCTGACGGTCCACCTTTGTGGGATCGGGAAGCAGAGTCTGGATCTCCTCAACATCAGGAGCGAAACCCTGGTCCAAGAGGCGATCTGCCTCATCGAGGATCAGAGTGTTCAGCTTAGGGGCAGAAACACCAGTCCAAGGGTCTGAGAGGATGTCCTTAAGACGACCCGGGGTACCGATGAGGAGATGACAGCCCTCCTGCTGGATCTTGGCAAGACCGGCACGCTTCTGTGTGCCACCAACAGCGGTCTGGACAAGGAGACCAGTGCCAAATGCAACCTTTCTAGCCTCAACTGCGATCTGTTCCGCAAGTTCGCGGGTAGGGGAGATAATAAGAGCACGGATTTCCGAAGGACCAGTTCTGGCTCCGCGGCGGCCAACCTTGGACACATCGACCGTGGGGTCATTCAAAATATTCTGAAGGGAGGGCACAAGGAAAGCAAGTGTCTTTCCGGTTCCTGTTTTGGCCTGGGCAAGGCTGAAAAAAAAAGCGCGTGTTAGTGGACCAATCAACGTCAAGGCAAATCTGTCAAAACTTACATATCATCACCCTTGACAATCTCGTTGAGAGTAAGAGCCTGCACCTCAGTCATGGTCTTGAGGTTCATCCGGTCAGGTTGAATAATATTCTTGATAATGGTGTTGTGAATGAGATTCCCCGACGCCAGGTCGGCAAACTCTGTGATATTCGCAGGCTGGGAAGGCTCAGTCTCTTCAACAATCGCCTGCGCAGTAGCCTCAGACAGTCTCGGGAAAGAGGAATGAAGCGATCTGGTTGCAACAGGAGATGAAAGGGTCAGAGGAGCTTGCCATTTTGGCAGCTGAGTAGCCAACCGCGCTGAGATTGAGCGAGGCGCAGTAGCGCGCAGCGCGTGGGAAACGCCAAATCGGCGAACTGTACCAAGCATCATGATTAATGCTAATGGAAAATATAGGATGGGGAGATGATAAAATTGTAAATTGCACCCGGGGCGTTCCCAAGGACAGCGCAAAAATAATTACGGGGTCACATGATTCTTATCGAGAGATAACATCCCGAGATAGGGGAAAATAAACAACTGTGGCAAACGTGGCAAACACGGCAAACACGGCAAACATTCTACATTTTAGAAAACGAAAGAGCCTTCCAAAACACTGGAGGTTCCAAGGTTGGAATCTGCCAATCAAACTAAATGGCATCCGAGAAAAAGTCGATTGATCTTATACTCGAACAGGGTTTGCGACAAAGAATTATGGCTTTTCTGCTCTTATAATGGATCTCAGACCTGTCATTTTCTAACCTTGAAGTAAGTGAACCTTGTTGCAATCTCATCGAATCCATTGATGTGAGCGGACTATGAATCCACCTAGACAATGTTGGTAGGAAGGCGTATAGTATGCTAGGAGCAAAGCAGTTATTTATTTCCACCTGAAATCTTGGAATAGTCGCTCACTTATGTAACCTTTTTCCTTGAATTCGGAGAACTAATGAGCTAGTACGATAACTTTTTCCTGTTATTTCCTTCTTCTAAACTTCGTAACCATGGTGAAACTCATTGGCCGCAACCTGCAGAACAACCCTGAAAAGTACAATTCCCATAGAATGATTTTTCCATATATAACATGTAATGGTTTCGAGAAAATGCCTGTCATTTGTAACGATTGATAGATTGCGAATGATTACCTGGGCTTATAGTTCGCATTGGCTTGCCACATCTTATTACAAAACATACTACTATAGATATCTTTTGATGATGAGTCCATTCGAAGATCTTCTCCCCATAAAATAGTACAGCTGATAGATACCACAGATCAAGTTATTAGTTCTAGCTATATTTTATCTTTCACTTTTCCATGTCATCATTTGCTTCACACCTTCGATTATGGCATCGAGTTTGTCTTTCTCCCATCCAATTTGCCTTAAACCTGAATGGTGTATCCGCGCTGGATTTGAAGCGTTGCAACGTCAAGAAAAACATACTCCTCGCCGTTCTTGCACACCCAACACACACGAGGGGCATCCGAAACAAAACCCCACTCCAACTCAAGCTATGTCTTCTTTGTGTGAAGAGGAACAGTTTTAGTCCGTAAACATATTGTGGTATATGGAATCTCAAAAGGAAGGCCCGAGTTTGACGTCCACCGGCTGTGAGATACTCGGGTAAACGTTGATGATAATCAGTGTGGTTAGATAACTGGGCGCTCTCTACTAGCTATCTATGCTATTATATATATAGCTATGGAGTAGGTAATGTTAGATCGGCTAATTTGCATGACAGAGGATGGTCAGCACGGAGTTTTTGAACAGTACCTGTGTAAAAGTAGCCCACAAGAAGTCATGAAGAATCACCATCTTCTTCTTTTATGATCCATTCATGCTCCAGTAATATATCACTGGATATTATTTGTACTAGAATCAAGACATTCTTCGTTCGTACTCTCTTAGGTGGAAAGACCTGCATGTCAACTTGGAAGTAGGTAGTGCTGATTTTGAGCGTTATCCCTTGTCTGAGCTGAGAGCATATTTTGAAAGATAGGGCTATTATAGCACCCTAAATGCTAGCAAGGTATGATATAACAAAGCATGCGTATATTATCAATTCTCAATGGTTGTGGGAAAGAGGAAGAGAAAGGTCCTGTAGAATATAGGCAGCTGCCTAAGTATATATACATCGGCGGTGAAAGCTGGACAACAGTAAACATTTGTGGGTAAAAAGCAAACTTTGTATAAACAGTGCTATACATGATCCCCACCATGTATCGAAGCCTTCCTATCTCTTTTGTCGCGTCACTGTTCTTTTCGCTTATATTCACCTAGAATGAAAGTTCTTGGTAAATATGTCATTGTCATGTGATTTGATATACAATCAAACAAGGCAAACTGGCCAGACTAACCGAACACTTTAACCCAAGGTTTAGCCCAGCCTGAGAACCTTGGAGGTTCTTGTAAGGGGCTCCTCGGATAGACTTGTAAAAACCTCCCGCCCGGGTAGACCTTGGGACTAAATCCCGCTTATATAATTAAACAAATAATCTTAGGTGTAGCTGAGGGGGACCTCTCAAAACCTACTCCGTACGGAGGATTCCGTACATATGTACTTAATGGGTGAATAAAAATCAGATAAGAAACATCAGCATGTGAACATGGGGAGCTGAGACCCTGAAATCAGATTATTATATAAGCGGGATTTTGCAATATCTACCCGAGCTGGAACCCCGGAAGCCTTGAAAAACCTTGAAAAGGCAAACCAATCAAAGTAAAAATTCCGCCATTCGAAAGCCACAGCCCTGGATAATAATGGGGGTTGGTCAGCACCAGTAGAAATAGAAAATTTGCTGACCAACGCTTTTTCTTCTTGGATCTGGCGCTAAGGACGGAAATACATAACAAACTTATCTCACTATTTTAACCCTGCATAGACACGGGGACCGCAGCCACATATAAAACATCCCGTCCCTTCTCCCAAAACAAAAGAAACTCATCCTCCACTTCACTGACTCTACATAATGGCACCTATTGACATAGTCATCATTGGAGGCTCATTTGCAGGCCTTCACATTGCCCACTCTGTGCTTCGTGATGTACCTGACGCAAAGGTTGTGCTGATCAACCCCTCAACCAGCTTCTACTGGAATATCGCCGCCCCTCGAATCGTCGCCAAACCCAAGGCCTTCCGCCCCGAGCAATACTTGCTCCCAATTAAGGATGCTTTTGCAGGCTACCGACCCGACGCGTTCGAATTCCTTCCTGGAGTTGCCACTGCTATCGATACCGCTGCCAAGTCGGTCTCTGTGACACCCAACGAGGGCGAGCCCAAAACCCTGTCATATGATTACCTCGTCATCGCATCGGGCAGCACTACATCTGCCACTACCGGGTCGCTCACTGGCACATCCATCCCATTCAAGCAGTCGGGCCACAATGATATGCAGCAGCTGATTGAAGCGGCACAAGGACATATTGCTAGCGCGAAGCAGATCGTGATCGGTGGTGCAGGCCCCATCGGTGTTGAGCTGGCTGGTGAGCTTGCTGAAGCAGTGGAACAAAATGGCAATGCTGGCAAGGTCTCCATCACAATTATCTCGGCGACAGATCGCGTGCTCCCGATGCTCAAGTCGTCCGCTAGCTCTGCTGCACGCAAGATGCTGGAGCATAAGAAGGTCAAGGTAGTGACCTCGAAGCGAGTCATCGGCGTCGAGACTCCGGCCGACGACAGTTCCAATTGGACAGTCTCTCTAGATGGCGGAGACAAGATTTCGGCTGACCTATATATCCCCACCACCGGTGCGACCCCCAACAACAGCTTTATTCCAGCTCAGTTCCTAGACAAGGACGGCTGGGTGGTAGTGAACAAGGAGATGCGTGTTCAGTCGACTGATGGGTCAACTCTGCCTATCTTTGCTGCTGGCGATATCACGAACAACTCAATGCGCCTCAGTTTCAAGGCTGCGGAGCAAGCGCAAGTGGCAGCTGCCAACCTCAAAGCCGCCATTGTAGGCGGTACTGCCATCAAGACCTATGACCAGGGCGACAGCATTATGATGGTTGTGCCTGTTGGTGAATCTGGTGGTACAGGTCAGATCTTTGGATTTGTGCCTTTCAGCTTCATGGTCAAGATGATCAAGGGCAAGCACTTCTTCATTGATAAGGCCGCTGGCGCAGTCACTGGAAAGGCTTAGGTTATCCCTAAGCATGGTTAGGTTCAATTTTGCGCATTTTCAGGATTTGAAATGTTCATATATATCCCAGCGATGATTATATACTCATGTACTTAATGCATAATTTTCCAATTGAAGAATGCGAATGTCTTATACAGCAGAACAAGAATGATGATATGTATTGATACATAGGTACTTTGTAGTCCGATCGAGACCTATGGCGATATACGGAGTGTAGATAACGTACCTGCATACTCCGTACTTCACCCGTAAAGGACCAACTGGTCCGTTGCTTAACAATCGCCGTCTTTTAGTTATCCATCGGGTTGTATATTAATCAACAATTATTTCACGTTTTTGTGCCGAGGGTTACGGTTTTCCTACCCGAAACGGTCGTCCCCGTCGGCCTGGGTTGTCTTCAATTCATCCGTTCCCCACTGTTTTCAAAAAAAAACTGGTTCCGTTGCCACAGTTATGTGTTCATAGTACACCTGTTGAACATTACGCTAAGAATATCGAGATACAAATTATGCATATCAAAGCAGAAACTGCAGAAAGTGGAGTTCATCAACTGGAGTATCACCATCTCGAGAATCTTCTCCGGGATCCATTTGCTTTATAATAAAAAAAAGCACAGTATTCGATCCTCGGTACAGCCCCGCTTTGATGAAGAGCTCAATCGTCATATATAAAGAGCTCCCACCATACTTCGATAAATTCCTACTTTCCCATCTTTATCTTTCCTACCACATATCTAAAAAATGTCTGTTAACAAGGCCCTCACTTTCAAGAAGATCCCCCAGGGATTCCCCGTCGCTGGGGAGCACGTAGTCGTCGAGACTGCCGATTATGATTCCAGCGTTGCCACTCCCGACAATGGTGTTGTCTTGCAATCCCTCTACACTAGCTTCGACCCCTACATGCGTGGCCGCATGCGCGACCCTGAGTCCAAGTCGTATTCCCCCGCATTCGCCCTCAACAAGCCCATTGACAGCCGCAGCATCGCCAAGGTCCTGCGCTCCAACAATGCCAGCTACAAGGAAGGTGACCTGGTCATTGGTCACGTTCCGGTCCAGGAGTACATTGCTCTTGGCGAGCAGGAGCTTGTCCGCATCCAAAAGCTCGAGAACCCCCTCGGCCTCGAGGACATCCGTGTCTTCCTTGGTCCCCTGGGCATGCCCGGTCTGACCGCATACTCGTCTCTGTACGAGATCGGCAAGCCCAAGAAGGGCGAGACCATCTTCGTCTCCGCTGCCAGTGGAGCCGTCGGCCAGCTGGTCGGCCAGCTCGCCAAGCACGAGGGTCTTCGTGTCATTGGATCTGTCGGCTCGGACGAGAAGGTCGAGTACATCACCAAGACACTCGGCTTCGATGGTGGCTTCAACTACAAGACTGAGAAGCCCGCTACTGCCCTTGCTCGTCTCGCCCCCGAGGGCATTGACATTTACTACGAGAACGTCGGTGGAGAGCACCTCGAGGCTGCCCTCGATGCTATGAACAACTTCGGCCGTATCGTCGTCTGCGGTCTGATCTCCCAGTACAACACCGCCGCCCCCTACCCCATCAAGAACATTCACAATGTCCTCGTCAAGCGTATTACTATGCGCGGCTTCATTGTCGGCGATAAGGGCATGGGTGATGTTTACACTAAGGAGCACCAGGAGAATGTGCAGAAGTGGATCAAGGATGGCTCATTCAAGGTGCTCATCCATGAGACTGTGGGCATTGACAACGCTGCCGACGGCCTGGTTGGCATCTTCTACGGCAAGAACATGGGCAAGGCTGTCCTGAAGTTCTAAGTGCTTTACGAGACTGATGAACTAACGAGATGTCTGGCGGATTGATTTTTTTTGTTGCAAACATTGGAGGGTTTTAGTACCTCGGTTAGGACTCTTCAGTATATAGAGATACGATGAATATCTCTCTAAATAGTCAAATGAAAAAATAAGTTGTACATAATAAAATATGAACAGACGATAGAACGAAAATTAATCTATAACAATTAACTTCATATATACTACAATACACGGAAGAAGATAAATGCAGGGCTAAATGTTTCTTACGAGAGTATCGGCCAATTTCGGCTGGGCGGACAACCATCGGCCAATCAGATAGCCCGTAAAAGGATGACATACCGAGTCGGACTCCCGAGGTCTCCAACTTCATCCGCTTGTATTCGAACGGCGTTTCTGCTTCTTCACGATCATACTCTCCACTCACAATGGCTTCATTCGCGCGCTCAACTCTGCTGCGACAGACTCTGGCCCCTCGGGCGCCCTTCCTCCAAAGGAATGTCGGCGTGTCGCAGGTTGTCGCTTTCCATGCCTCCGCTAAGAAGCAGATCCTGCCCCCGTTGCCTCGTAAGTAGAGGCCCTGCTATAAGGCTTACTGAAATATTGCCAATGGAGATATCTATTTGGCTATATGTATGGGCAGTTGCTAACGTGCTTTCGCGATACAGAGACTGTTCAGGGAACTAGTATGTGATTTCCGCGTCTTTCCTATCCCGATCCGACTCTCCCCTCGCTTTTCGACGGCATTGATTATAAGACCGACTGCAATATGTGAAATTCCATGATCTATATTGCTTTCATTGCTCGAACAATGCCTCCCATCGGATAACAATACCACCCTGAAATCTTCAATATTAACCTATCCTAATAGTGAACGACCCTGCTCCCATTCCCGAAACCCACCCCTCTGAGGGCAGCTACCACTGGACCTTTGAGAGGTATTGTGCTCCCTTTCACGGACTAAAATGCCGACCTATATGATTCCTTCTGATTTCTTCCGATCACCGCGGGATGCGCAAAGAAACCCCCCGACTAACATCTATCTCAGACTGGTCTGTGTCGGTCTGGTCCCTCTCTCCGTCGCTCCCTTCGCCGCTGGCTCCCTCAACCCCGTCATGGACGCCATCCTGTGCTCTCTGCTTGTCGCCCACTCGCACATCGGATTCCAGTAAGAGCCTCCCCGCGCTGTTCCGCCATTTCCCTCAGATCTTCCCCAGATCTGCAATCCGGAAATCACAATCTAACATCTCTCTACCAGGGCCGCCATTGTCGACTACTTCCCTCCTTCTCGTGTGCCCAAGTTCCGCACTTTCTGCAACTGGCTCCTGCGCGCGTTCACACTCACCACCGCCGTTGGTCTGTACGAGTTCGAGACAAATGATGTTGGTGTGACCGAGGCTCTGCGTCGTATCTGGACAGCATAGAGTGTTGTTGCGGTTCTTTTTTTCAGACATATTGTCTTTCATTTTCCTTTTTTTTTTCTGATTACCGATTTGGTTCTGGTCTATCCAGGCGTTCCGTTTCGCCTCTGTATATGTCGTTGATTATCTTTTCTTTTGTCTCTCGGCCCGAATTTATTGATCGGTGTTGGATTCCTGCTGCTCGGGGTTTTCTGAGCTATAGAAAAAAAAAACGGAATATAACCCTTGTACGAGAAGACATCCTTGGTGCTTTTTGTTTGTTTCTGTACACTACGTAGTATAGTATAGATCTATAGCCAGAGTTTTGATGCACTTTCTGCATAGTACCTCAAAATATGCAGTAAATTGTTAGCATTATTAAATACGAGCATTGTGCCCATGTGTTTCACTTACAGATTAGGTCATTCTCTTGAACATGAATCCTAATCCTTTAAATTCTATACTCCTTCAAAAAGGAATGATTATGCAAAGACACAAACAGACAAGGCTAACAACAAACAAGAGATTCTAAACCCTCATACCAATAACCCTTTCACTCATCCTCACTCTCCTCACCATCATCCCCAGGCATCTCATCATCATCTTCCGCCCTCTGCATAACAGTCTCAATGATCTTAAGCGTCGCTTTAAGCGGCAACCCAATAACATTATCATAACTGCCATCAATCTTCTCAACAAGAATAGACCCAAGTCCCTGCAACCCATACCCACCAGCCTTATCCGCGCCCTCGCGCGTGCGCACATAAGCCATAATCAACTCATCCGTAACCTCACTGTCAAACCTCACCGCTGTCTCTTCAACCATACTCTCAATCGCATACCCAGGGTCCCGCGCACTAGCCAACGGCGCCATAGCCACAAGCGCCGTGTAAACCTTGTGGTTTCGGGCATCACGTAGCGAACGCAGCATGGTCATGTGGTGTGCTTCTGAGCGGGGCTTTTCGAGGATGTTGCCAGTAGATGGGTCGACGACGACCGTGTCCGCGGCTAGGATTAGGGCTGGCTCACCCTTGATCTCGTTGTTGATTTCTTGCTCGTAGACTGCTTGCGCTTTTTTCGTTGCTGTTGCGAGAACATACTCGAATGGACCTAGGCTTTTTGGTAGGTCTTCATTGGCGTTTGAGGGGATGATTTCTAGGTTTGGGAGGCCCAGGAATGACATTATTTGCTTGCGTCGTGGGGATTGTGAGGCGAGGATTACGCGCTGGCTGCGGAGGCGGTTTAGGACTGGGAGGTTGAGGGGTGGTGGGCGTGGGAGTGGTGCCCCGCGGTTGACTTTTGGGGCAGGTTTGTCGTAGGCTGGGGGTGGGTCGGATTCGATGTTGTCGGAGTCGTTCATGTGGGACAGCAGGGCTTCTTTAGATTCTTTCATGTTGGGTGATTTGGTGTTTTTTGGTGTTTTGGATATTGGTTTTGGATGTTGCGGGAAGGGAAGCGATGTGATGCGGGGAATCAGGTACTCTCCGTTTGCTTGTCGAGGCAAATGGTCTTTGTGTGCCGTTGATTGACTTTGCAGTAGGGATATCCAATTGGGTATTCCGATTGTCCACAAGGTCCTGTACTTTATGGGTTTTTGTAGAGTGTAGAGTCAGTATTTGCTTCACCTTGAAGGGGGCTCGGTTTCTCTGGCAGATATCAGGCGGTAAGCTGAAGCTCGGGCGGACATCGATGTTATGGTTGTGGCAATCTCTATAAAACACATGTGCAAGTCTACATATGTTATTATTGCAATACCAACTTTATCACCGCTACATTGATTAATCACTTCTAAAAAAATCCCGAACCTGCACGATACGCTCCTTGGTATAGTCTGATTGGCAACCGAGGAAACTACATGACTACAATTATTCTCCGGAACCTTGTACACGTGATGCGACCGAAGTACGGCTCGGTCAAAAATTTCCGATATTGATTGAAAACAAGGATATCGCTATGTGTGCTCATTCGGAGCAGAAAAGAACTAGATTCCAGGCTAGTCATTGGGAAAGAAAAACGCCCCGGTTGCTTCGCAGCAACACCCATGACCATGTACATTCTGGTACCCAGGAACAGAAACAAACCAGAAAAAAAAAGCTTCAATGTACAATAGTCAAAAGAAGTAGAAAAACAAGAATTACAAAGGGTGTGGCACCATATTGACAGTCATTTGGTCCACGGAATGCGGCGGAGGATGGGTGATTGACATCAAATCATATGCGAAGACCAGATCTGTCAGGCAACGAGGAATCCCCGTAGTTGATCATGTCCAGTATCTCGTTCGTAATACAGGGGTTGAATGGATAGAAAAGGAAAAGAAATTCGTGGTGTGGGTATGAGTCCATGTGGTTCGAAATTCGAGAAAAGCCGCTCGGGCCTCGGCACATGCCAGTTGCCCCAGATCCCCCATATCGACCAGCGGAGGGGAAGAGGGGCTGCAGGATGCTGATCCGATGCCCAATGAAACGCTGAGGGAAATATGATCACGTTGGGCGGAAAGAGTCGTCCACACGGCCGCCTTTGCTTTCAATCTCTGCGATAAGATCGTGGCGTTCTTGCAATTTCACGTGGATAAAGTCCACGGTCTTTTGCAGAACGATGCTCTCACTCCGTCCCTGACCCTCCAGACCAGGTACTAGCTCTGTCAAGCGATCGAAGCCTTCGCGAATGGCCGCGCGCCGCTTTTGCTCGGAGGCAATGTGATTGCTCTTTTTTTCTTGATCGGTTAGGCGAGGCTTGTCCTTGTCCTGGGCAGATCCTTGCTTGGATGTCCCATTCGGCGTCGAGGACGACCGATCGTGGTCATCGTCTGGATTCATCGTGTCGCTTGATGACTGGAGGATTTTGAGAGGCACTGAGGGCGTGGGGTAGATGCGCCGGGAAGACACGACTTGAGGCTCGCGGTTTGGAATGGATTGGTTGTATCGCTATCGCTGTTGTTCGGAGTCTCCGTCTAGACAAGGCATATATGAGGGAGATGATTGTAGTCGGTAAACAGTGCGGAAATGGGAAAGGAAGAGAGAGAGAACGGGAAAGCGATAGGAAGCCGATAAGGCCAAAGCTCAATGTGGAGTAAACTGGAGGCCGGGAACGGGCCTTGGCAACCTCTAAACGTCATAGAGAGGGTCCAGTGAACACATCTTGCTTTTTCTTTTTTTTATGTCAATTTCGTTCTCACGCCTTGCAACTTAATCCCTACACCTTTTCTTTTATCAAGGATTGTAACCCCGCCAATTAGGATTTCTACTAGGCGAAACAGTCGTCTGGTCGCTCATTTCCCATCTATAACCATCTACTAGTCACCAACACCGCGAAAGTTCTCGTACCACCATGGATCTCGAGCCGCTCCGCGGCTCATGCTCTTGTGGCCGAAACGAATATCAAATCAATATTCCGGAAGATGTGAAAGATCATGCTGAAGTGTACTTCGACAGCGGCCGAGACAATCGTGCGTAAATCTAAGCTAGGCTTGTCGATCTCCCGGCTAATATCGAAACCTAGGTCGATTGCATGGCACACCTCTTTCGGCATGGCTTAGAGTTCCTCTTGGCTGGTATCAATCACACACTCAGTCCTTCTTCCCAGACGAATCACACTCTTCTATTCGCCGCATTTTCTCACCTCGCCACGCACCCCAAACCCAGCGTGTCTTTTGTGGTTACTGCGGTACACCCTTGACATTCTGGACAGAGGATCCCATTGAAGAATCTAACTTTATGTCTGTCACGATTGGAAGTCTGCTAGTGGAGGATCAGCGTGCACTAGATGATCTTAAATTACTTCCTCAAGACTTTGACGAGCAAACTGCCCATGTCGGTGGTTCGACGTCATCTGATCTAGCACCAGCCACAGAGACTGCTTCATCTTCAGTCGTCGTTCCATCATCTAGTGATTCTTCCAATATCTCAAGGAGTCTACAGCACGGTAGAACTGGGGACATCCCCTGGTTTGAGGAAATGGTAGAAGGGAGCCGCTTGGGTCGTTTGATGCGGTCTCGGCGTGGTATGGGAGTCAGTGATGATCAATCGACTTCAATCCAGTGGGAATTTAGCGAATGGCATGATGATGGAACCAGTGGGTTTTTGCAACAGGATTCGGACTCGAGTGGACACTCTAGAGGGAAGAGGAAGCGTGTGAACCAGGTCGATGCCGGGATTTGAGTCTTCACCGAGGCCTGCAAAGTGATACCTACAAGTCGCTATGGATCAATGTAGTATCTTGGGCTTTTGGTACTTAACATAATAAACAAGAATTCAATGAAAAAGTTTTTTTTTCTCTCTCTGGATAATTGTGAAAACCAGAAGATGAAGAGATATTTTGTAGGTCAAATGAATATAAATTCCACTCTCACTAGCTGCCTCAAATATCTTCAATAAATTTTGTGATGACTAGAATTAGTCTATGTCGACTATGTTATATATAAAACATTAGTCCTCTCACTCCTATTTAGTCCCGGAGGGAGAACTCAATGGCAATTCCATTGCCAAGAACAGATCCGATATCTCTCTTTTTTTGGTCATATTTGTAGGTCTGTATACCCCAAGCGTGGGATTTTCCTTGGGAGTTTCTACTGGACCCAGAAACTTACTCGTGTAGTGGTTGACACTCCTGCTAGGACCTTTCACATGCTACAACAAACATAGGCAAATGCCAAGATATATATTTATTCATGTGCCACCCGCTTATTGCCCCAAGACATAAGCCTATTTTGTATGGCGAATTAATTTTTGTACAACATATATCCATATCTTCTGTTCACTACCCATATCAGATGTTATATGATACACATAGCTCCAAGGCGCTCACATTATAAGGAAGATCAACAGTGAAAGTTTTGGTTCGCAAAGCATACCCGAAACGGTCAAGCGCGGTTTAGACGACATGGGGCTGAGCAACGAACATCTTTTTTACGATTTCCTATTTTTCTACCTGTGTATGATGTACAATACTTTATCAAGTGCAGATTATGGTATACTGTGGTAAACCAAGCAAAGGATGCGGCGAGTGCAGGTCCAGGAAGGTTCGGTGTGACCAAGCTCAACCGGCCTGTTCACAATGTACCAGAGCCAAGCGGGACTGCCCCGGATATCGGGATCAACTGGCGCTAATGTTCCGCGATGAAAGCAAATCGGTAGTTCGAAAGGCGATTGCTGCCTCGACATATAAGCATAAACGAGCGGAGCGGCTACCTCGCACTGCAGTCCCAGAAGGGAATCCTGTGCGGTCTGAGCTCGAAACCCCAGTGGTGGATCCGGACTTTGATTTCAACTCCGATCCACAGCATATCTATCTTATGCGACAGCTCGCAAATTTGAATTGCCCATCGGGGATCCAGCCGTCCTATGATGTCGAAATCGCCAAATATGAAGCAATCTGTTATTTCCTGCGATCCAATGCCCTCCCTGGCAGTTTCTGGACTAGTGAGACGATCCCCAATTTTTTGTTGCAGACTGGGGGCCCTGCGAGTCAAAGAGCTATGCAGGCATGTGTGGTTGCTACTGCCACGGCCATGCTCTCGCGAATAAGACGGATACCATCGCTTAGAGAAGTGGCCCACAGGGAGTATGGATCCGCTTTGAGATTGCTTAACGCCGCTCTAGCCGACCCAGAAGAGGCGAAAACAAATCAAACCCTAGGCGCCGTTATCTTGCTTTCCATATATGAAGTAGGGAATTTTGCATCTGTTAACCCCTCGCATGGTTCTTGTTGACGCCCTGTTTTTTATAGGTTGTTACGTCAAGAGCTACGGCAGATGTCCATGGCTGGACAAACCATATCAATGGAGCAACAGCCCTGCTTGATATACGGGGGAGTGATCAACTTAAGACCAATGTCGGTCTCCGCTTGTTTTTGCACCTTCGGTATCAGATCGTGAGTGTCATCAGGGTTATCACTCGCTCCTTCGATCTCAGGCTAACTCCTCAACAGATCGTCAGTTGCTTACAACGAGACGCACGAGTGCCCGAGTCACTACTTGAATGTACAAAAATCGTAATGTTTCTTCAGCCAGCAGAAGCCCACGGCAATCGTCTGTCCATGATAATTGCCAAGCTATCGAACCTTCGTGCAGACATCCGCGCCAATATGTACAACGATGAGCAGCAAATCATATCAGCAGCGTCGGCTATCGAAGCCGAATTAATTGCCTGGCTGGCAGCTCTTCCCCCCGAATTCAGCTATACCACCCATGTAAAATCCCCCTTCGACTTTGCTTTCCAAAGGCGATTCCGAGGCATATCGCCATACGACGATCAATACCACGTGTATCCCACCCAATGGGTCTGCAATTCATGGAATCAATACCGCAGCGCTCGAATCATCGTCAGCGAAATCATCCTCTTCCGCGTCCGGAAAATGTCTGACAGTTCCTCTCTGGCCTCATTGTCCGAAGAGTTCCAGCTTCACTGCAGGACATTACGATTAACGATCCGGCGGCTGGCCGTGGAGATCTGTCGTAGTGTTCCTTTTTACTTGAAGGCCTATGCGGCAGATAGGGAAGCTAGTCTCCCGCCGCCTGAAAGCTACATTGGAGGTCTTATACTTCTCTGGCATTTGTTTGTGGCTGGAGTGGTTGAGAACCCCCGACATGGATTGCGCCGCTGGGTGGTCAAGTGTCTGGAAATGATTGGAAACACGATGGGTATCGACCAGGCGCTGGCAGTGGCGGATATTGTCGCTGCTGATCCTGGAGTTTTACATTCTGTGACTGAGGAAGAAGACTGAAATGTCTGATGCGACTGATCTGACGAGGCGACATCCAGTTTAATTGGCCAAGGAAGATACTTCCAAAGTTGCCTCGGTGTATAAAGTGACTGAGATACATAATTGTTTCTTTCTTTTCTTTCTCTCTTATATATTATGCTGCACCAACACTAGCAGTGTCAAAATGTGCTTAATTATTTGTGTATTTTTTTTGTTATAGCTTGTTTCAGATTAGGGCGCCTCGTGTTTTAGTTATCATTATGAATCACGAAGTGTCTCAAACAATCAAAGGAAAGATTACCTAGGTAGAGCCTCCTGTCCTAGTTAGTCATAAATTGCAATAAGATTCCACAAGGAACACTATCAATGAGTCTTCAGTCCATCGCCGTGTGAACTAGAGGTATGCTGCGCCAGGGCTGTGCACTAGTAGGGTTACCGTATGCGGGCTGTGTTCGCTCCGCCCACCAGTCACAAGGGACCTTGTCTGTGCGCTTTGAAATTCCCAGGAAATACTTTATATGATTGGTTGTATCTGAGATTAACACTTAAGCTCAATGACTCTACTTTACCTGGCTGTTGCCCTGGTCTCCAGGGCGGTGGCTTATAGGTGATTGAGCAACGTTACCCCTCCTCTATATTACGGTTAGTTACATAGGGCTGCAGTTAAGCAAATCAGCCTTGCGATATACGAAGACATTTTGTACCTTTGTCATACTTCGGGCTGACTTCTAGATTGAAATTCTTGTGCTTTTGGGGGCAAATCTTTGTTGGTCATTAACTGCCCAAGTGTGCCTTGGCCTCTCTGCCCTATATTGCCCATTCTTTGTACACTAGGTTTCACAGCCGAGCCCATGGTAGATGCTAGACAGAGATATAAAGAAGGTGTTTCCTGAGTCGAATCCTTTGTTTGGAGCATACCATTTAAGGATATCTGAGCAATTTCTAAGACACTCAAGTTTATTTAGCAAATATTCCTCACTTGCACTTTATCCAAAACATATACAATCTTCAACCATGGGTGCTTCCGAGAAGACATCTATATGGCATTCCTTCTCATCCAACTATCGGAAGGAGCGCAAAGAGCGCAGAGCAGACACAACCACCGCAAGAACCACAGCCACTGCGCCGACGCACTATCCATCATGGTCCCGAGGCCGCACCAGTCGCTCCAATGCATCGAATTATCCAAGAGAGCCATCATCGGATCTTCCGCCACCATATGAAGCGACAGAAGTCCCAAGAATCAGTATCAGCGCCCCCGAAGAGTCAGAATCCGATTCCCAGTTCGCTTTCCTTCGCGATTTCCACACCATCTTCCTAGTAGACGACAGCTCTAGCATGAGAGGCTCACTTTGGGAAGAAGCCCGAGAAGCCATCGCAGCGATTGCGCAAGTCTGCACAAAATATGACCGCGAAGGAATCGACATCTACTTCATCAACCACCGATCAAAGCCCAACACCAACCCTAGCCACGCTATTGATTACACCTACACCTACGACCCCGAGCGACTCAAAAGTCCCAAATTTGAAGGTGGATACTACAATATCAGAACCGCGCAGCGAGTAAGCGAGATCTTCGCCTCCGTCAGACCCTCTGGCGGAACAGCAGTCGGGAGTCGACTGTTTGATATCCTAGACCCATACATGGAGCTGGTGGAAACGACAGAGACAGCAAGGCGAGCCCAGAAGGGCGCATCTAGCTCGCGCCATTTGGTTAAGCCGACCGAGTCAGTTAAGCCGGTTAAGCCAATTAATATCATCACGATTACTGATGGGGTGTTCACGGATGATGCGGCGAGTATTATCATCCGGACGGCTGAGATGCTGGATGGCCCTTCTTGTCGTGCTATTCCGCGACAGGTCGGGATCCAGTTTTTTCAGATTGGGAATGACGAGATGGCTCGGAAGCATTTGGAGGAATTAGATGATGGACTTGCGAAAAGACGTGGTAATTTACGTATGAGAGATATCGTTGATACTATTTCTTGGAAAAATCGGACTGGGGAGCGGTTGGATGGGCCTGGGATTTTGAAGGCGGTGCTTGGAGCCGTTCATAAGCAGTTGGATTGGAAGAAGCTTGAATAGAGGGCAGTTTTAGGTGTTTATGGGTTCCGAATTTAGATTGGAGGTTTTCGACCTAATTTGTTGATCTACTGTATTTACCAATCGCATATTTTGACCTATTAAACTGAGATATCGTCAGCATTAATCTTAGGAACCGCCCAGGTGGAGAATTCTCGGACATAATCCTCGTTAGCTCAGTTTTGTTTTAATATCCTGGACCAATGAGAATATAAAGCGCCTACATATGTGCTTGCTTTGTACTTTGCACATCACGTTTTATCTTGGTCCTTGCCCAGGTGCAGCCTGGAGCTTACGGATTTGTGATGTCTCAGCTGTTATTGTTTTCTAGAATAATACTCTTTATACATCTGTACTCTTCAAGGCTGTTTATATTTATTAGTTAAATAACTACTTCGTATAACCTTGGAATATAAATAAAAAAACCAATATAGTTAATTTAATATAACTTAGCTAACTAATCTAATTGTGCATACCTACCTTGCATAGAGATCGACGAACTACAATGACGGGGCAGGATCGGAGGATCGCAAGCCACAAGCTGGGACAATCGGAGCGAGAATCTGAGATCACATTCTTTTCTTCTCTTTTTTTGCAGTACTCCTCAACTCCAGCGCTCTTATACGTGATTATCCATATAGATCAGCACAAGTTATTAAACCCTCCTAGCTCCACCCCTCATCACCGCCAATTTATGATCGTCAAGAAGTCATCCCCGCGCCGATCTTCCAAAAAACCTATTTACCCTCTCACTCTTCTCTCTTGATTTTCCTCGCTTTCAGCCTTCAGGGCTTTATTCCACCGTTTCTACCACTGTTTCAACATCAATTTACTCCTGCCCCTGTTTCAAAATCTCAACCTGCAGCCCTCTTAGCGCCAGAGTCCCCTACGCAGGAACATCACCAAGCCGAGTGGTCGGCGCTTCCTTCTTCCGCCTCCTCATTGGTCAGTGTTGTCGTCTTGCACCTTCGACGGGGAAATTGCACTGTCGCGGTTCCTGAAGCATCCGCAGCCTATTTGATTATTTGGTTTGGGCCCTGTGTCCAGGCCATGGAATTGTGGTGATTGTCTGTGGCATTGCCCCAAATACACTTGAAACGAACCGTTTATTCTTAGACAGTCACTCAATTCTGAAACAGGTACAGTGAGGTGCTTCCAACCCCAGCTGTAATTATAGAACCGTCTTTGTGGAGTTGGCTTTGTGCCTGGGCCTTGTATGTTTTGTTATATGAACTTGGGCTTTCGGCTGACGTCCCTTTTTCTTTTGGTCTCTATAGACCACTGTCCTTTCGTTGCCTTGCATTTGCGTGTATTGTACTGGGATTTTCTCTCTTTTAGCATTTCCTTTGGCTTCTTTCTTGCATTGTGCACTTTGTTTTCTCTGATCCATTCTTTTTTATCTGCCCTATTACCTGCTTTCCTTAGCGATCTCTCTTTTACTCTTATTCTTGCTGTCTTATCTTGCGATGATCTCAACTACCCTCATGACCTTTTTACTGTGAGTGTGCCTAGGTGCAATTGATATCTCCATGTGCTGACCACAATCCAGGATTACCAAACCGGAGGTCCGGTCGGTAAAGCTGCTTGGATCATGGGATAATTTCTCTAAGCAATATGTGATGGAAAGGGATATGCGAATCGGGCCCGGAAATTGGAGAGGATGCCACACCTTCACGGATATAATAGGCGATGGACCGGACAAGAATCAATGGCGAACAGGAGGTCTGAAGATGGGTGGTACTTATTGGTATTATGTGAGGCTCATATTCACGCATGTAAGACGAAAGAGCTAACGAGGAAAACAGTATTTGCTCGACAATGATATAGAGTATTACAACGAGGCGGAGCCAACAACCACAATGTGCCCGCTTCTTCCAGGGCAGCCTATGAATGTGTTGAATGTCCCTATTATTTTACCCGACAGCCGCACACATGGACGCTCGGCGAGTGGCAGCTCCCAGAAATCCGAACATCTTCGGACCATGAACCCCGAAGACAAATTTATGAACCCGCGGAAGCCGCCACCCCAGCCTCAGCCTGTGCGTCTTCAGACATCTGCACCAACCCACCGTGAACCGAGCCCCCCACACTCTTCGAGTAGATCTCCGATGACTGGGGTTTACCGAAGTGTATCTCAGCCGCCCAATGCCGCTCGTAAGGGCCACAAGAAAGATTCACGTTCTATGTCTCCCCCCAGAGCCCGAGCCCTTCTTGCTGCTTTTAGGCAGCCTGCTGAGACGGATCGAAAATTCGAGCCAGCGCAACCAGTGGTTACTTCTAAGATGGCACCGCAGCAGAAAGAGTCTGTGGAGAATCGCCGTGATATCCCTGGAATCACGGTCAATGCCGGAATGGCGATTCCATCCACGAGCTCTCCCGACAAGCTTGATCCGTCCACCATTCAAAGTCGTCGTGCGATGAAAGCAACCGCTGGGGAAACGGCACCGGGCCGTCTTCTCACAGTGCAGACACGTCCGGAGCCCAGCAGACGCAGTCCGTCCCGCAGTGCGGCAAATGGAAGCACCGCGGAACTCGACGAACATCGTACGATCAGGGAAGCCTTGAAAGATATTGCTAGCTTTCGTGACTTACCCACGCCAACTGCCGCATTTACCAAAGAAAAAAGGCTCCCTACACTCCCAAACACACCGTCTTCAGTCATGGATGAAGCAGTTCGCGCCATCGACGAGAGAGACAAGGCAATGAATAGCGAGATCCCGCGCAGCCACTTCTCTAGTATGACAGCAACAACAATCGATACTACCCACTCCCGCGTCATACCTGAATACAGCCGGTTCTCCGAGTGGAGTACCGATACCGACACCGACTACAACCCGCATGAATCGATGGTATCGGCATCCACATCCAACGACCACCAGGCCGAGTCTTCGCCCAATGAAATATGGAGAACACCAGACCTCTCGCAGTCTGGTGACGGCGCAACAAATACCGACCCAAACACCCCCCACCTCGCTGTCTACTCCAAACCCTCGTCTCCGAACTCCGAACTCCCTCCCTGGAGCGCAGGTCTCCCCGAACTCACAGTCTCCCTGTCCACACCTGGCTTTGACTGTTCTGGGTTGGGAATTGATAACATGGATGAAGTGGAAAGCAACCCTAAGCGCCATGCTGCCCTATTTAGCGCCCTTGAATCTATCGAGGCCCTCGCGATGTCACGCAGCCCAAATGGCTCCCCGATCCTGCTCCCCGAAGTTACTAGGGGCTCTGAAACAGAGCAAAATCTCTCTTTCGCAGAGCGGAAAGTGAGCGATACTTCCCTTGAGTGTATTCGCTCGCGTTGTAGCAATGCCTCGTTCCAAGGGAATGCTACTATGCAGGAGTTGATGGATGAGCTCAGTTACCTGAAGAATTTAATCCAGGCTGACATGGATGGAGCTCCATTTTGACGACAGACTCCTTCTCAGAGACTTCTGTCTCGCATTTTTATTCTCTTGTTCTTATTATCATATTGCTGGCGCTGGTCGTCGGTGTTGGAGGTTTTGTACTCCACACATGTATCATTTAGCTCTCAATAGAGATGAAATCATATCGAAGGAAATATATCAAAAAGAAAAACGGAGTTTCCAATGTATAGATTCAAACAACCTTGTAGATAGTAGAAACAAATCGATGTAAAGTAAACCCCAGGGTGACGTTGGTGAATCCCCTACCAACAGATCGGACACCAAAACAACGCGCCAAGAATCCCTCTGTATCCACCACCCGCGATCAACAGCTTCAGCGAAAACAGAACAGCGCCACACCTCAATTCCTGAACCTTTGATGTTTCCAAAATAAGAATGGGCTGAATGTACTATTTATTTTGAGAAAGAAACACCCATAATGGCAGCCGAGGGCCCCCAACTAACCCCCGTCGGGGAGAAGTCCCTACCGGCAAAATGCAAGGCGCAGGCCGTGACGTATTGTCCCACGATGGACCTGATAGCACTGGCGACCGAGGATGAAGAACTGCGCGTATTCCGACTTAATGGGCAGCGAGTGTTCGGGGGTTCTTTTGGTGGAGATCCGTACCTAGGCGAGGATGAGGAGGATGGCGAGATTAGAGGGATGGCGTGGAAGGGGAATGGTAAGTTTGAATTTCCTTGTCGCTGGGCTTTGCTGTATGTCTTTTTATATAATCAGATTTTACCGGCCTTTCTTAATTGATATCACGCCCGATCATTTACTAACGCTACACCAGGTCGTCTACTCGCTGTCGCGTGCGGAGATGGCTCGCTTCGCATTATCAGTTCGTACACCGGGAAAACGGTGCACAACTACCAGACCTATCAGCAAAAAGAGGAAAACTCCAATCCCACTGATAAACCCATACCCAAGGCAACGTGCGTTGGGTGGGGTGTCAATTTCACCGATAGCAAGGCCGCACAGCGGCATTTGCATGAATCCGCGGGCCAGATATCCATCGAGGATCTTTTAGCCCCGGGAGTGTATCCATCCAAGGCAGCTACCATGCTTACAGCAGATTTACCTCGGGAACTTGCCTTGTTGGATATTGAGAGCTCGCTACCAAAGCTGAGCACCCTGCCTGCAACAGGAGGCGAGGACGATGTCTTTAGCTCGCGGGCATCCCTTGATGCCATCTTCCACTCTTCGAAGGATACCAACGACTCGGTTGATGTGCTCTCTGTCGGATTCAATGATGGTACTGTTCACCTGCGCATCTTTGATTGCTTTGAGATTGGCTCTTTCCCTGTGGGAAGCTCCCCAGGTATCTCCGACTCGTGCCGGATCTTGCGGCATGCTTCACACCCCTTGAGCTCTACACATGCTATACTGGCATCACCGGCCGAGGGAGATACTCGTGGTCCACTCGAGCTTATTACGATGGATCTTCGCTTTATTACGAAGTCTGGGCGATATCTGTCTCTTCTTGCGTCAAAGACTACTCAGCTTCAGAATTTGCTGCGCTATATTGGTCAAGTGCAGCGGCAGATTGAACTTGAGTGGAAGAACGCTCAGGAGCTTCCTGCGCGGTTCTTGCGCAGTGTCAATGAGGACTTGAAGGAAAAATGCCAGTGTGATTTTATCACTGCTATCTATCACCTGGTGGTTACTGGTCATTGCTTCGAGCCCATGAAAGAGTTCCTCACGGATATTGTTGGCGAAAGAGTATGTGGGCCTCGCGATTCGGGAGATGGTGTGCTAATGAACGATACAGGGCCACAAGAGATGGGATAAGGCCGTCTCGGGCGGCTACGAGAATATCCGGCGACTGACACACGAATGTCTCCTCCCAGCCTTGGAACGCAGTCAGGTACTTCTCGGTCGATTGGTTGGATTGTCTAAATTCCACAAGCTAAGTGACGTCCTTGGGCTGGACACGGCCAAGCTCAATGCCATCGTGGAGACACTTGATTGTCTTCATCTCCTTGCGCACCGCGTTCTCTTGCATACCAACGAGGAATTGCAGCAATTCGGCGCTTTCTCTAGATGGCTCCGTCAAGAAATCTATGTTCTCAACAGCGAGCCCTTGTCGCAGACACTGGAAGAGCTGCAGGAGAAGAGAGATTTGTTCGATGTCCCTCCTACTGTGAAGTATATCAAAGGCGCACTGACCAAGAGTGCTCTACGGAACTTTATACGGCAACTCCCTATGATCGGAGTTGTTCAGCGCCCCGCCCCTCCCACTGATAAATGGCTTCCAGACGGCCATGACCGCTCGTTCTTCGACACTTACAAATCACTTCTTCGACAGCAACGCGAGTCTCGAGACAAGGGTAGTGATGGTACATCAGTTGAGACGCCTAAACTCAATGACTTGACGAGGCGTCTAGGCATCCAGTTTGAGAAGGTTTTTGGAGATATTGCCTTGACTCAGCGCAGAGGAATTCTCCATCGCTCGCCTTTGACGCTTCACTCTGATTGCGACCAAGACGTTATCGATTTGACTTTCTGTTATGAGGTATATTTAGACTTATTGCTTTTCGTCTTGTACTAAATACTAACTTGTGTCACAGGATGCCATTGAAGGCCAGCCTTGCTCGATATACGTCGCTACCCGATCAGTCACATCAAAACATCAAGGTTCGTCATACAATCACTCTTCAAATTTCAGTTGCTTACACAAAACTAGTCTATCTCTACCGTGTCATCCTCAACTCAGCTGGCGGCGTCAGCTCAACAAGAAGCACATCCCTTGCAACCATCGACCTCCAAAACGGCGAAGTCCGCCAACTCCAATTCGTCAACGACAACACACTCATGGTTCTCTGGCGCGACAGCAGTAAGTTACTCACACATGAACTTGTCACATTCCTTCCTAGGCTCTATATGCACAATTTAACGATCTATCCGAACAGAGGGATCCTCCCGTCTCCTCAACTTCCCCTTCCAGCCCACCTCAACGCAATCTCAAAGCGAGACAACCGACCCACCACCTTTGGTCGTTGACTACATCGAGTGCGACAGCACGCCATCCACTCCCAAGCCTACTGCATTGGCTACGACACTAGATCTCTCGCCTGAATCCCCTCACGTGGGTGTCCTGATACATCTCTTTGCTTTACATGGCCCTAAGGCGCGGCCTATACATGTTGATGTTAATGGACGGAAGGGACGGCGCGCTATCTGTGTTTTGTATGCGGATGCTATGCGATATGAGGTTTTGGACTTGGATGCTGCGATGGGAGATGATGAGGAAGATGATGAAGATTATCAAGAAGGGGATGAGGAGGATGAAGAAGAAGAAGATGATGATGATGGTGATGACGAGGAAGTCTTCGATAGCGATGAAGAGAATAATGAGAATTAGGATCTCTAGCTCAATGATAGCTTGCATTCATTACTTACATGAGAATTCTCTCGAGGGCTGCATCATTCATATAGCAATGTGACGGACCGCATCGAACCAAAAGGGCTTTCCATACCCGGCGGGCTACGAAGACTTATAGGACTCAGGGTTGGTTCAAAACCCCCTTTTGGGGATGATTTTATGCCTGAATGCTTGACTTTAGAATGGCAGAAAAATTATAATACCTGAATTTCTATTACAAAAGCCTTAACAATCATAGTACGCTTCCAAATTCTCTTGTGGGTCACAAGTGTCAAAAATGAAGCTTTCCATCTCCATACAAATGGACGTATCTCCATATTTTTGGACGATTTCATTTTTCACACTTGCAAATCTTCCAAAGATATCGAGACATGTCCATTTGTATAAAGCTGAAAAGCTTCATTTTTCACACTTGTAAACCGTCCAAGAAAGTCGAGATATCTCACTTTGTATGAGATGAAAAGCTTCATTTTTGACAGCTGTAGTATTAATAGATTTACCATACACTGTATAGAGCGGTAAAAGACGGTGCTAAATACGACATTCAGGCACCAATTCCCACCCCCAGAAGGGGGTTTGACCCCTGAGTCCTATAAGTCTCCGTAGGCGGGCTGTCTGGCCAGAAAGAGGGCTGTTAATACCCGTGGACACTGTATGCGCCTGACACAAATACGATAATTACAATTAGCGTGAATATGCGAGACACTTCTCGACGGGGCTGTCTTGACAGGGCAATGCGGTCAACACAGCCCCCCTCTTCGTTTGTCTTGAACTTATCCTTTTCTGCCACATATACTTCTCAGAGGATATCATTTCCAGATTGTCGAATTAAACCGGATGCATAGAAATCTCAAATGGCTTCTGTAATCCCATATCAGTCGAATAAAATACAGGGGCCGGATCCCACAATATCTCTCAAGCAAGCTCTGCTGCAATTCGAGGGCACCCTGACGGACGATCAAAAGCAACAGTATCAGGCAAGAAGTGTGAGGCCAGATGCCGCAAGCGTTATTGCATTCGTTGGAGAGATCGATTCCAACAAAAGCACGACAAGAAGGTGTGTGGCGCCAAGATTGCACAGCTTCTTGCAGGCGACACAACAGTTTAGCGCCATCGTGGATACATTTGTCAGTTCCAATCCCGAAATAGCTGCTCTGGTTTGGGGAGGCATCAAGACGGCAATTTTGATAGCAAGCAATATCACATCTTACTTTGACAAAGTCACGAGTATGATCATGGCGATCGGCAGGTCATGTCCAACATATCAGCAATTTGGTCACCTTTACCCAGGCTGTGCTGGTCTCCAACGTGGCTTATGTGATTATTATGCCACCATTGTCCAGTTATGCATCAAGATCATTGAAATCTCAAAGCGGACAGCTGTTACTCAAGTTTTATCGTCTATTTTCAATCCTTTCGAGGCCGAATTCAAGCGTTTTCTGGATCAGCTTGACGAAGCCGTGAAGGATATACAGCTACAACTATCATTTGCCTCGAAGAAGGCTAACGCGGACTCTCAAGATCTCCTTAAGCGTGAAAGCCACAGCAACTCAGCATTCCGCCGCTACACCTCAAGCTTCTACAAAGACTCTAGAAGTGAGTATGCTAAGGCGCAAGAGTTGCGAATGGACATCTTGAAGAGGCAAGCCGCGGAATTGAGATCGAGCGTCAGAGATAATCTTTCTAGCATCGACTACGATAAGCCTTGGAAGCAAGCGTCACGGCAACGTGTTCCCTCTACAGCCGAGTGGCTACAGCAGGAGCAGTCCTTTCTTCACTGGAAAGACGGTTGGGATACCGAAATTCTCTGGTGCTCAGGCACGATGGGTGTGGGTAAAACGGTGCTTATGTCAAATGCGGTTGTCCAGCTACATGCGTCCCTTGGACCAAGGGATATTTTATCCTACTACTTCTGTTCTGCTGACTATGCAGCATCTCTATCAGCGAGAAATATCTTCGGATGTCTTGCTCGTCAATTGTTGAACGCACAAATCGAGATTGCGGACAACGATAGTCTACGACGTTTATATAAGGATAGCCGGGATCTCAACGCGGCGGAGACCATTGATTTCTTATTGACTAACCTCAAAGGCGACAATAAATATTATATAATTCTCGATGGCCTCGATGAGTGTGAGGGTAGCGAGATTCAACAGATAGCGCAGGGCATAGCCAAACTCTGCAGTACTCGCGCCAAGGGGTTCAAACTCCTTTGCGCTGGTCGCCCAGGGCTTGAAAAGCAGTTGTTTAGAGTAACCCAACCGAACTACGCAATTTCAGTGACTGAGCAAAAGGTTGAATCCGACATGGAGCAATATATTGCGACAACTTTGGCTTGCTGCCTAGACGAGGGGCAGTTGAAGCTGGGGGATCCGAACCTCATCATAAGAATCTCCAACGCTCTTCACGATGGATCCAAAGGAATGTACGTCAAGAAATGGACCTGTTATGAATAGCAGCTAATAGTTTGATCCGAATAGGTTCCTCTGGACGCGTCTTTTGATAGAAGAGCTATGCGCACAGGGCAGTGACCATGACATATTAGCTGTACTAAACCATCTTCCGCGTGGCCTATCCGAAATTTTTGATCGAAAGCTGCATCGATTGCGGAGTGGAACGGCAGTAAAAGATGCGATTGCAACACTCCAATTCTGTGGTGTGCTGAAGCGGTCGTTGACAGTCATGGAGTACCAGGAGGCGTTGAGTCTATCTCCTGGACAAACGACTCTTGATAGCCAGAAGTTTCCTAACGACATGGATAAGGTCATACGTAATTGCTGCGGCTTAATATTCGTCGATGAAGAGGACAGCACCGTGCACTATGTTCATCATAGTGTAAAACAACACCTCTTCAACACCTACCATTCGTCATCAGAGGAATTTGATACGAAGAAACTTGATCAGCATCTTGGCTTACTTTGCATGACTTATCTTGACTTCAATACCTTCAAACGTCAGATATCGAAGGTCGCCGAGGGGTCAAATACTCCAATAACCCCTGTTCAGCTTGGCATCACCCCGATATATCGCTCACGCAATGATACTGGTCGAATAGCAATGAAGTTGCTTTTGTATCGTCGGAATCTGCAGCATCTCAGCGCTCGAGAGTTGGAGAGGAAATCCCGGGAATTGCTTGATGATCTAGAGTCTTCAGGTCTCGATAAAGACCTCCACCGGAACTTCCAGTTTCTCAACTACGCCCGCTCTTATTGGATCTATCACGTGGCAGACCTGGACCCGGATCATCAGACATGGAAATTGTTTAGCCGCTGTGTAGACGGTGATATCATCCTTGCACACAGACCATGGGAGTCAACACATCAGACGGACGGCGAAAGAAACGACATGTCAAGAGCGGTACAGTGGCTTTTAGCTGAGGGTCATTTTACACTTTTTGTGTACCATACAAAGCACCAGTCAAACCTTTTGACTGAACAGACCAAACGCGAAATTATTCAAAACTCCAGAATTCAAGATCGTGGCCGCTTTATTGATTTGATCATTCAGCAAAGCAATAATTCCCTCGAAACGTTACATCATGCATTGTATTATGCATCGAGAGAAGGATTCTTAGCCTCAGTCAAAGCTTTACTCCAAACAGAGTTGGATGTGAATGCTCGGGTATATAACCGAACAGCGCTTCAAGTAGCGGCAGAAGCAGGCCATCTTGAGGTAGTCGAGCGATTGCTCAACGCAAACGCCGACGTTAATGCTGCTGCTGCTGCTGGATATGAAGGACGAACAGCACTCCAAGCGGCAGCAGGAGCGGGTCATCTCGCGGTGGTTGAGCGATTGCTCCAAGCAGACGCCGATGTTCATGCTGCAGCTACTAAAAATGAAGGACGAACCGCACTCCAAGCGGCGGCAGGAGGGGGCCACCTCGCGGTGGTTGAGCGATTGCTCCAAGCAGACGCCGATGTTAATACTGCTGCTGCTGGATATAAAGGACGGACCGCACTTCAAGCGGCGGCAGGAGGGGGCCACCTCGCGGTGGTTGAGCGATTGCTCCAAGCAGACGCCGATGTTAATGCTACTGCTGCTGCTGGATATGAAGGACGGACGGCACTCCAAGCGGCAGCAGCAGAGGGTCACCTCGCGGTGATTGAGCGATTGCTCCAAGCGAACGCCGATGTGAATGCTGCTGCTGCTGCTGCTGATGAAGGACGAACCGCACTCCAAGCAGCGGCAGGAGCGGGTCACCTCGCGGTGGTTGAGCGATTGCTCCAAGCAGACGCCGATGTTAATACTGCTGCTGCTGGATATAGAGGACGGAACGCACTCCAAGCAGCAGCAGGAGGGGGTCATCTCGCGGTGGTTGAGCGATTGCTCCAAGCAGATGCCGATGTTAATGCTGCTGCTGCTGCTGGATATGAAGGGCGGACCGCACTCCAAGCGGCAGCAGGAGGGGGTCACCTTGCGGTGGTTGAGCGATTGCTCCAAGCAGACGCCGATGTTAATGCTACTGCTGCTGATGAAGATGAAGGACGGACGGCACTCCAAGCGGCGGCAGGAGGAGGTCACCTCGCAGTGGTTGAGCGATTGCTCCAAGCAAACGCCAATGTTAATGCTGCTGCTGCTAAATTTGAAGGACGAACAGCACTCCAAGCGGCGGCAGGAGGGGGTCACCTCGTAGTGGTTGAGCGATTGCTCCAAGCAAACGCCAATGTTAATGCTGCTGCCGCTGCTGGATATAGAGGACAAACAGCACTCCAAGCAGCAGCAGGAGCGGGTTACCTCGAGGTTGCGGATCGACTAAGACAGGCTGGGGCACATGACTAGTCTATCCTCTCTTGTATCGTCTTCCTTTTTATCTAGTCGCACATGCAGCCAAGTTGTATAAGTTCAGAGTTATGCTATAGTTGTATCTTGTCTCCAGTGGAGCCGGATAAAGGATTGTACAATGGTATGGAAGATGTGCGAGGGCTCCGAAAGAAGGAATCGTGAGATGGAGGGATCGAATCATCGTGTATGGATAGCGACAGCGAGGTGCAAGAAGATACCGACAATGCGTGCTAGGGAAAAGAAGAGGCAAACGCACGAAAGCAACGCTCGTAAACCCTTGGGGAATGGTCATACTTCTGCATTGAATGATATAGAGAAACCATGGAAGTGTTCCACGGTCCGTATACAAGCGGCACCTCCTAGGCTGGACCGACACCTTTCGAGGTGGATTTGGTAATCACTCAACATAGCCCTGGAGCTTCCAAGGTTGGGACCTACGATACATAGACTTTATTTAGTCCTTCCAAGCCAAAATGACAATAAATACTAGTTGAAGAAATACTAGTTAAAAAAAGAATCGGCCAGGAAAACGTAATTAGATAGCCGATTTTCACACCTGTTTTGAACGCGGCAAACATCCTGTGTCCATCGTTATTCTTACATCTGTATAGTACTAGACTCTTACAGTCTATTCCTCTATCTTCTCCGTCTACATAGCTTTCACAAATACAATACATCGGTCCCATAATCTATCTACTATCTTAGATTCGAACACACTCCTCTCCACTCTCTACTTCTCTTGCACTTGAAGATCTAACTACGCTGAAAGCCAGTTTCGAACAATGGAACGGATCTGCAATATCCTTCGCGAGAATAAGAAGCTTCCTATGACAGACGAGCAGCTTTCAGACCTCGGAGTCAATTTTCATCAGTTTTATATCCGCACTGGTAAAATTTCTTCGCCATCGATTACAAGCTACTTCCTACCTCGGGTTGATTTTCGAGATGTTCTCGATTCAGATCTAGCATGTTCACCCTTCGCAGAGGCTGTAAGCTGCACTGAAGTGCCAGGTCCTCGCCGCAACTCATGGACTCTTGAGGCATTAGAGACGTTTATGTTTCCAGATATGATGACCGATTAATATAACTATTTTACCTTCACAGGGAGTGGTTTTTCATTCAAGGAATTCCATAATGAAGGGTTTGTATACGTCTTGGCCTTTATCAACTTGTTACTAATAGTCTTCTAGGATTCCTAATGCCGGATGGGTAGTAGACCGGTTGGTGGATAAAGTATCTTATATATCTCAAATACTAACTTGTACTCTAGTGATACGCATTTTTTTCTCGGAGGTACTACTCTCAGTCCGCCGACAGTTTCTCGACTTTGAATGTACAAATACTGAGAAGCTGGAATCTCCTCTGGCCCCATTCACTAAGCTACCATAAGCACAAGGGCCACCAGCGCTCACTAGTCGGGCTCTCCAACAAGGAGAAATGTGGTGATAAACGGCCTTCCTCAATGGAGGTTTTTGCGATCGCCGTCTTAACCCACCAAGAAATGACCAAGGTTGATCGGGAAAATAAGCATCGGTCGGATGAGAGTCGGTCGGACGAGTGCTACTTTACTTTCCCGGTTTGTCTTTCCTTCTCAGGTATCATTGGTCTTTTACTAATATACTGATATATCATTAGAATTTAGTATTTCTGATGGACAAATTTGGCGGATGCCGTATGTTCCAATCCTATTTTGATGGCAAGTTTCATGTCCAATTCTCGGAGCTCCTAGATCTAGTAGGACATATGATTGCTGTGCCTGCTTACGGGGAAAAGTACTTTGATATTGTTGACAGAAAAGACTTTCTGAAAAGACTTTCTGGAGAAGTTGAACCTGCTTCTCAAATGGGCATGGCCTATTCCACAATGAAATACCGTTGCGAATATTCCAAAAATCTGTGGCAATTGATTTGCTGGGATTGTTTTCCTTCGCTGATCTTGCTGGATATCTTGGTTTGCTTATTTCAAGGTTGACATTGTTCTAAGAAAATGAACACCCTGTTAAGAATCCTTCTTTCTTGATGGCTTTCACATTATACCTTTCAACTTAGTACCAGTAATTGCATCAAAGGAAATCGGTAATGTAGCTGAAAAGGATACAGTGGTGTCGAGGATAACTTGCCTCTGAACTAACTGCCTAGATGGATGGTGCGCGAGGCATACGGACCAGTTTCCTCGGTTAACATATAAGTTTGTGAATCTTTCTTCACGGAAGTTGGATAACCACCGGTTTGTGACGTGGTGATAATTAGACGGCGCCCGAGGGGAGGTGTACTGTGGTCATGACTTGAAAGACTTAATGGTCCCGAGGTCCTCCTCGGTGGTCCTAAGGGCCAGGAGTTGCCCGCCACAAATCATCCTCTATATATCGCAGCACAACTTGTGGTCAGTACTGTATCTCTCACAGTGAACGTGAAAGCAGCTCTCTACTCAGTTACATTCTTCTCTAGCATTTATATACCGAGCACACCGCATTTACTTTCGTGAGCGTCAATTGTTCTAGTCTTCTAGTCGACGAAGCATATCGCGTTGGGCTTCGCCAGCTTGATCCACGGAGCCTACTGCGCCTTCGCTTTTCAGTTCTATTTCTCGCTTTTGCTACAACACCTTACCCGGCTTCTCCTATTCTGTTCCCAAACACTTACTTACACGCAGACAATCTCATTTGCGGGAGTCTCCAGGAGCCGGTGCATTTCTTGCCTCGACTGCGAAGCTAGCCGATGGTTTTTACCAAAGAGGGTTTACTGACACAAATCAGAGGAACATGTATCTTTGATTTCAAGATCCGAGAGTCCATGTTAGGAAGACGTATCTTTCATTTCCTATCTAATCCCCCTTACTCTTCTTCCAACCCGGTGCTGGACAATGGTAAGCGCGACAACAAGAAAACCAAAAGCCCGCATCTCTTCGGCGGAACAAATGTTGAAGGGTCCCAGTAGCTGCATTGTTAAATGTGCGTTGCTATCGAGGGGTTTCGTAGAGTGCGTGCCTTTAACCAAGTACTCGATGTACTCTTCATGCAGCTCAACGACAATAAAATATATCTGTGTAGCGTATTGCGCTAACATCACGCATCTATAGGCGACTGATTAGCGATGTTTCTCAAGCATTGGTATAGTGATCATGATCAAACCTACCTTCTGATCGGTGAATCGACTAGTCGAACTTTTGGTCCATTTGACCCTTGAATACCGAGCGTTGTGGTAATCCATGCTAGCATTTCAAGTCCCTGTTGCATCAAGGCTTCCTTTGCCGAACTCGCTGACAGATGCTCAGCCTTGACTTCAACTAAGACCAGAATTTCCCCATCGGGATCTACCACACCATCGTCGACAATTTCTTTGTATTGAGCCTTGCCGATATGTAAATTGAGATGATCCTGGATACTGTCTCACTTCAGGTTGGTCAGCAGTAATAAGCAGGTTGTGTAAAGCAAATTGACGAAGCTCATATTGATCTTCGCTTCATGCGTTCGCCTCTTGGCTTTGGAAGAAGGACGAGGAAGAAGATAAACAAAGTAAAAGGGGAGGAAGGCTCCATCACTAATTAGGCAGGTGCTCAAATGCAGCAGTAACTAACTACCCTACCTGCCATTATAGGAAAGGGTCTATCTAGGACTAATCAAAGTACATGCCCATCTATCTAGTGAAAATTAATATAGTAAATCGAGTTAAATTTGCGATTGACCCACATGTACAGTGAATCTCTCTACCTAGAGCACATATCCTCAGGATTTTATAGCTCAAAAAATTCTAATACCCCAGCAAAATTCGATATCCAGTTCTGCTGACACATATCGTCCAAGGAAACCGGCTTTTCGTCCTTTGCAATGGCCGTCCATTCATTTTTGCCAACTGCATTCCACAAAGGGCAGTTTCTTGGCAGGGGAAACTGGAGTTCACCTGCACTTAGCGAAGACCATACTGCATTAGTACCATCGTGCGTTCTGTCTCTTATACTAGTTTTGCTTGCTTTCCCACAGACCTTGTACAAGGCTATGTTAAATCGCTTGATTTCTTCAATACTAACCCAAACAAACGAAGCCAAATCTGTTTCTTCGTATTTGGAGAGAATGTTCGGATAATAGAACATGCCTAGCCTTCGACAACTTCGGACAAGAGCTTCGAGTAAACCCAAATCGGCTGGGGGAAGAGAGATTTTCAAGTCGAAATCAATATCAGCCCGGCTGCTGAGAACAAAGGAGAAGATGATGTGTAGTAGAATAGCCTGGTACATTGCTATTGGCCAGACACAAGTACTGCAAGCTTCAGTTGCTTCGGAGGCGTCCCATTTTTCCTACCGGTGAGTCTTAGTAACGCTATAATATTGTGGGGAAGTAACGCGAACCTGCTGATCCCGAAGAGCCAAGTCAAGTTTACCGTGGAGCTCCACAGCTGCTGACTGCGCAGACTGTTTCCTAGTAGCCCACAGGCCTATAACAACCATTGATTGAACCAGGAAGGGCGTTTCATGGCGTATGTCGAATATTGCTTTGTGGATGAATGGCCAGGAGGGGTGGAAAGCCTCGAAATAAAGACGGATGTACTGCTCGGTCTTCTCCGCATGCTGTAACCCTGGCTGATTATGGTTCATGCTCGGTACATGATGTATTGAGGATCCGGGAGGTTGATTTTCTACCGTACCAGCGGAGTCGGCGAAAGAGCACTGGATCTTGCGACGTAGACACTCATCACAAGGCACACCTCCTTCGCACCGAGATTTCGCTGCATGGCAGCTCTCACAAGCTCGCTGTGCACGTTTGAGAGGTTCAATTATTCCGTGACGCTGACGGACATGGCGTCGAAGTGTGTCACTGATTTCAAGATTAGTTAGAGTGGGTATTGGAGTGTATAAGTATCCGAAGAAGCTAGATACCTTCGTCCAAATTCTCGACCACAATTGGAACATTTAAAAGACTGCTGCTGCAAGTGTTTTCCTTCGTGGCGGTGCAGGTGCTCCTTGCGCCGGTAGCTGGCGCTGCAGCCAGGAAAGTGGCACCTAAAGGCATGGCAACAGGGCGAAGTCGGTGATCGGCGATCTGATTCATTGCCTAGGCTTGCCATAAGGTGTCAAAAACTGAAAATGAAGACTATCAAAATGACGTGTCGACATCATTCCAAGGTTCCCGTGGATGGATGCTATTGGTTGATTAGCTATCCCGAGGCCGGCCTCCCACCGGTCTCCCACCGGCCTCCCACTTGCCACCTGTGGGCTGCCACTAGGTACTATATCCATTTTACTAACCTTTATTGTTTCCAATTGCGTCTTTAGTTAGTAATCTACTCTTGAATATTTCCAAGGTTAGCTCTATAAACTGCAAAAAATTCAAATTGCCGAAGCCGAGCACGATTATAAGTACCCAGCAAGTACCTCGATGCTTGACAAACAGGCAGCACATCTCTCTTAAAATTTATTCGAACAATATCTTTCTTGATTCAACATGGCCCCTACCATTCTCATCATTGGTGCCACGGGCAACACTGGCCAAGCTGTTGTCGAAACGCTGCCAAAGTTGCTTCAATCAGGCAATGCTCTATCTGAGTACCGTATCATTGCTCTTACTCGTTCCCTGAAGAGTCCAGTGGCACAAAAGCTTGCCAAATTGCCTCGGGTTGAAGTGATAGAGCAGAACTGGGTTGAAATTACACCTGAATGGCTCCGTGAACATCAAGTGACCAGAGCATTCATTGCATCACACAACGAACCCAATCATTTCGCTGAAGAGTCTACATTCCACGTTGCTGCCTTGAGCGCCGGTGTCAGATACGTTGTGCGGATCTCGACGACTGCTGCAAATGTCCGCCCGGATTGTGCCGCTTACTACCCCCGTGCACACTGGGCGATCGAGGCTCTCCTGGACTCTCCCGAATTCACCAACCTACCGTGGACTTCTCTTCAGCCTAACATCTTTATACCTTCCTACCTTTTGAGTGCCGTGGAATATATCAAACAATACCGCAAAACTGGAAAGCAGGGAACGCTTAAATTGATGGCGTCGAAGGATGCACCCGTCGGTGTTATTGATCCTTACGAGGTTGGAGTCTTTGCAGCTCATCTCTTGTCCCAAGAAGATATCACTGTGCACAACAAGGCCAAATATGTTCTCAATGGACCAGAGGACATTACCGGGAAGCAGATAGTGGATTTGGTCGAGCAGCAAATTGGTACACAGGTTGAGGATGTCACCTATCAAGACATGTCGTTCCTTAGCATGCTCTATGAGTACAATTATGTGGCAACTCGTCAATCAAAGAACGTGATCTATTCTATCAAACATGCTCCGGAGACCGCGTGGGAAGGAAAATGCACAGCTTCAACCACGAGCAAGGCAGTGTTGGAGATCGCTCCACCCAGAATTACACCTGCTGAGGTGTTGAAGCGTCTTTTGGGGGAGTAAGGGGACAATTCAATGACGAATGAGTGATTCAGCGGTGTCAAATAACCTACTACTTCTTTCATCCTAAACCAATAAGAGATCTCTATTGTTCCTTTGTTCATACCTTTTCCCAGATCACATCAGGAAAATCCTTCTAAGTGTGAGAACACTCCGTTATTCGACGTAGTTGAAAATGGAAACCCAGGTATGAGGTATGTGTGTCTTGCCTGATGAATAAGTCTATGGGGTAATGGTCTTTATTTACAACCTTGGAAGCTTAGGATTTTAGTTTATCCAAGCTTTGACGCTACTATAGGTACTTCCAGCCATGTGTTTATGAGTGAATGTGACTTTTATTAGTAGCTATAGTAAAGCCAATATCCAACGGAAAGTTGTCATCTACAGCTTTATGCGATGTAATACCAACACTAGTCACAACTCGGATATCCTTGATAATATTAATTTCCTGGATCTGGTCCCTGTCGTTATTTATTAACCCCTAGAATCTTGACTAGCATCGCAAAACTTGCTTCTCAAAAAGTGCTAATTTCAATGCAATTTAAACCTGCGCTCTCATTCTCCACAGCGGGAATTTTCAGCCACCCGTTCGATATCCGAAAGTAAAATAATGCAATCTAGCTCCAGTTATGGTGTGAAACGCACGAGACCTTCTCTTTACGGGGGGCAGTTCAACAACTCGAGCAGTGGCGTTATTCTCCAGTCTTATTGACTGGCTTTACTAAATTAGACGTAGTTTATGATGTTATAGAGTATTGAGATGGGGATAGTAGTAGGAAACGGTAGTTCTCCTATATAGCATAATACCGATGCATAAAATAAGTCTCGCATATAAATTATGATATGCACGGAAATTAATGAATAATTGTTGACAAGTATCATCGCTTCTCAGGCCCTGTGCTTTCCAAGCTGTCCCGTTTTTATGATGCCTATCTTGCAGGCAAAAATTTCCAATATCAGATGGAAGTTGAGAAGCTACACAACACATACGGCGATTTCGTCCGGACTAGTCTGTCCGACCTGCTCATGGGTGCATAACGCGAGGCTGATTTGAAAAATTGCGTTTTTTTTAGGACCGCGGGAAATCTGCATTGTTCGCAAATCTGCTGTACCGTTGATATTTGGTCCCCAGTCGAAATGCTTGAAGTCGACATTTTATGCTCAAGTGTCGACGCAGTCCAAATTTTGTTCAATTCATCACTCACGCGACATGACGGATCATCGGAAGCGCCGCAAGGCATGGGACCGTGGTTTCAGCGTCAAAGGTAGGTAGGGCAGTCTCGGATGTTAGGTCCTTTCTTTCTACAAAGTTACTATTTCTTTCTACAAAGTTACTAACTATGTATCTCTAGCTCTTGCAACTTACGAGCCACGTGTTAAGAATAAGGTAGACCAGTTTTCTTCTTATATTGAAAGCAATCTGGGTCAATCTATCGATGCTACTGCCTGGTCCATGTTTCTCAGTTTCGACATCATGGGAAACGTTGGGTTTGGAAAAGAGTTTAACAACCTGTCTACACGCATTGAACATCCGGCGATCAAAGGCGTTCATGATCATATGGCTATTGTCGGAACACTGAGTCATATTCCTTGGCTTCTGAACATTGCCAGTCGTATTCCAGGAGCGGCATCTGGATTTTCCAGTTTTTTCCGGTGGTGTGGGGATGAAATTGAGCAAAAGCAAAAGGTAGGCAAGTGAATCTCTGCACGCGTAACCATCACGATGCTAATAGATATAGGAATGGGATATGGACAAGAGCCCACGGGATATTGTCTCATGGTTATTGAAATCCTATGTCGAGAAAGACATATCTGCAGCTCCGAGCAAGGCTGCTCTTCATGAGGACTCACGGGTGGTTATAGTCGCTGGCAGTGATACTACAGCTACTACTTTGGCATCTGCGCTCTACTATCTGGCCAAGAATCCCGCAATACTATTGAAGCTGCAGCGCCATCTAGATAAAGTCATCCCACAAGGATCAAAGGACTGGTCATATGATAAAGTCAAGTCTGTCACCTACCTCGACGATATCATCCAAGAAACACTTCACCTGCGACCTGCGATACTGACAGGTGGACATCGTGTTACCCCAGCTGAGGGAATTCAGGTTGATGAGGTGTACATCCCCGGGGATGTCAATGTTTTTGTTCCAGTGCAATTGATTCAGACGGACGAAAGGTACTATACCGATGCCAAACAATTTGTACCAGAGCGATGGAACGAGAGGAGAGAAATGTGCTCCGAGAGCGCCCCCTTCTTCCCATTTTCACTTGGTAAATACCGCCCAACGCAAAACTCACAGTTGATACCCCTAACCCATTTCCATAGGGCCCTATAGTTGTACCGGGAAGAACTTAGCGATGATGAGTCTTCGCATTTCGATTTCCACTTTTGCACAGTTGTTCCACATTCAATTCAGCCCTGACGAGAATGGAGAGGCATTTGTAACCGAGACCCAGGATACTTTCACCACCACGCTTGCCCCGTTGCACATCCAGTTCCTGCTGCGCTAACATCAGATTGCCTGTTGTTGCAGGCAGCCTTGCGAAATAAACGTCGAGGTCTAAGCTCCTGGTTTTAGAGGATCTACAATTCCTTAAAATGTTATGCGTTAAAAAAATGTAATTTCCCTGGAATATGTATATAATCCAAGGAGATTAGAACAAGCTACTAGTTGTCGATATAGTTGAGACCCTTAGATTTAACACACAAAAACCCGAGCTACAAAAATGCAACGAGGAAGAGGCATTGAACGGCAAAATGGCGTGCTTCTTGAAATAGAAGGTTCTTAGATCCTTCACTTTTCTTACAGCAAAAGTTTTTGCTTACTCCTTGGCCGAGCAAGGGAGCCCTGCGTTTATGCTGTAGCCTGAGGCATATAGTCACGTGCACCTTACTAACCCCCGCAAAGAGGCCAATCAGAGGGCGACCCCCGTAGAACCTCAACCCATTGTGGTCTTTCTTGCTTCGAATCTTTGTTTTAATCTCTTCACATATCTTGCACTTCTCCAGCTATTCCCGTATTCTCCAGGCTTCTCCACCTAATTATTGTGTGTTGAAATCTGGGCGTGCACTCAAGGCACCTTTTCCTCTCTGTGCCTCTTGTCGCGGAAAGACCTAGTGCATGCCGCCTCGTCATATCCACAAAAACACCCGTCCCTTCTTCCCACTCTTCCACAGGAAATCTTCTTTCCACCACTGCTTCTATCGTGGTGATCACCGAGTGTCGAACCCTTTGATTGATCCGGGTACAGAGGGGTTTTAAAGTCTTTTTTCTAATCTTTTCTCCACCTCTTTTTTTCCTTCTTTTTTCTCTTCCCCCCACATCCTTCATTTCTTTGCACATCATGGACGCCCGTCAGGTGTTGCAGAGCACCCTCGCGCCAGATGCGGCCGAGCGTAGCAATGCTGAACAGCAACTCGCCCACGCCGCAGAGGTTGACTTCGTATGTGTCTCCCCTTACCCCCCTTCGACCTGCCACGAGTCATGAAATATTTCCCTAGGATCCTGAATGCTAATACTTCTGCTACCCGTTAGGCTGCCTACCTCATCACACTCGGCCAGGAACTCGCCAACGAGAGCAGCCCCGCCCACATCCGTGTCGCTGCAGGTATCGCTTTGAAGAACGCTTTCACTTTCCGGGATTCAGCCAAGTTGCGCGAGGTGCAGCTCCGATGGAGCCAGAGCATCAACGCCGATACAAAGACACAGGTCAAAGAGCTTGCGCTCAAGACCCTGCATTCACCCGATGCTCGCGCTGGAAATGCCGCCGCTACACTGATTGTTTCGATCGCGGCCATCGAGTTGCCCCGTGCTGAGTGGCCCGAGTTGATGGGCATTCTTGTCCAAAATGTCGCCAGTGGAAACGACGCACTAAAGCAGTCGTCTCTCACTGCCATCGGTTACATTTGCGAGTCGCAAGATCCCGAACTCCGCGCCAGTCTGACACAACACTCCAACGCTATCCTTACTGCGGTCGTCCAGGGTGCTCGGCGCGAGGAGCCGAACATGGATGTCCGTTACGCTGCTATCGCCGCTCTCAGTGATGCCGTCGATTTCGTGCGAACCAACATGGACAATGAGGGAGAGCGCAACTACATTATGCAGGTCGTCTGCGAGGCCACCCAGGCCGATGAAGTCCGCGTGCAGGCTGCTGCATTCGGTTGCTTGAACCGCATCATGGGATCCTACTACGAGAAGATGCGCTTCTATATGGAGAAGGCTCTGTTTGGCCTGAGCATCATGGGCATGAAGAGCGAGGAGGAGGAGGTCGCCAAGCTGGCTATTGAGTTCTGGTGCACTGTCTGCGAGGAGGAGATTGCCATCGAGGATGACAACGCGGAGGTATGAAACAAGCGCACAAGACCGACCGAGTTTGACCGTGTACTGATGTTGTGTTTCTTATAGGCTCAGCAAGAGGGTGTTGAAGCTCGTCCTTTCTTCGGATTTGCTCGCGTTGCTACCCGCGAGGTTGTTCCCGTCTTGCTGCAATCTATGTGCCGCCAGGATGAGGATGCTGGTGATGACGAGTACAACGTGTCTCGTGCTGCCTACCAGGCTATGCAGCTTTACGCCCAGTGTGTGCAGGGTGATGTCATTCAGCCCGTCGTGACTTTTGTGGAGGAGAACATCCGGAACGAGGACTGGCACCGTCGTGATGCCGCCGTCGCTGCTTTCGGTGCTATTATGGAAGGCCCCGAACCCGAGGTTCTGGAACCTTTGATCAAACAGGCCTTGTCTGTTTTGCTTGGCATGATGGAGGATAGCTCCGTCTCCGTCCGGGACTCCACTGCCTACGCCCTGGGTCGCGTGTGCGACTGCTGCCCCGAGGTTCTCGACCCCGAGGTCCACCTTCAGCCGCTTATCTCATGCCTCTTCAACGGCCTTGCCAACTCCCCCAAGATCGCCAGCTCCTGCTGCTGGGCTCTTATGAACGTTGCAGACCGATTCGCTGGTGACGATGGCTCGCAGACCAACCCTCTGTCGAAGCACTTTGAGGACAGTGTGAAATCCCTACTGACCGTGACCGAGCGGTATGTTCCCCGAGTGATGTCCTTTTGATTGCTTTGATCTAACGCCCATACAGACAAGACGCCGATAACCAGCTCCGGACCGCTGGATACGAAGTTCTCAACTCCTTCGTTATGAACTCTGCCAATGACAGCCTGCCCATGGTTGCAACTCTCTCAGATGTTATTATCCAGCGTCTTGAGCACACTATTCCCATGCAGCAGCAGGTAGTTAGCGCCGAGGACCGTATTCTCCTCGAGGAGATGCAGACCAGCTTGATCAGTGTCATCCTGGCCATCGTCCAGCGCTTCGAGGCCGACATCAAGCCTCAGGCTGACCGTATTATGAGCGTGCTGCTTCAGGTCCTGACTACCCTCGGACCTAAGTCGAGCGTACCGGATGTCATTTTTGCCACTGTTGGTGCTATTGCCAGTGCTCTTGAGGATGATTTCGTCAAGTATATGGAGTCCTTCAGCCCATTCCTGTATAACGCTCTGGGCAACCAGGAAGAGCCTGGTCTCTGTGCTATGGCCATCGGCTTGGTCAGTGACATTGCTCGTGCCTTGAACGAGAAGGTCCAGCCTTACTGCGACAGCTTCATGAACCTCCTGCTCAAGACTCTTCAGGTGAGATTGTTTCTCTCAGATATACCGCGGTTGATTTCCAATGCTAATTTCTCAAACAGACTTCCACCAACCAGCTGAAGCCTGCGATTCTTGAGACCTTCGGCGATATCGCCCAGGCCATCGGAACTAACTTCGATACGTACTTGGCGGTTGTTGGCCAGGTTCTTCAGCAAGCCTCCAGCGTGACCACCAGCTCCGACCTCTCATACGACATGGTGGATTACATTGTTTCTCTCCGTGAAGGTATCATGGATGCTTGGGGTGGTATTCTTCTGTCCTACAAGGGCACACCTTCAAGTACGTTGCTCTTTACTCTCCACACAGATACGCTGTCAGCATGCTAATTAGATTACAGTCACCCAACTCCAGCCTTTCATCGAGTCTATCTTCCAACTTCTTCACATTATCTCCCAGGAGAGCAACCGCAGTGAAGGTCTAATGCGGTCTGCCATGGGTGTTATTGGGTATGTCCTGGCAGTTTTTAGTCTCAATTCCTTATACTAACTATTTACTAGTGATCTTGCTGATGCGTTCCCCAACGGCGAACTCGCTGCCTACTTCCGCAACGACTGGGTCACTTCCCTCGTGAGAGAGACTCGCACAACCAGACAGTACAGCGAGCGCACAATTGAGACTGCCCGCTGGACCCGTGAGCAGGTCAAGCGCCAGATCAACATGGGTGCTGGTATGGCATAAAGCCGTCGCCTTGTCTCATCTGATTCATTACCTGTGCTTCTGGTCTGATTTCGTCTTGCAAATCATCTGCCACTCACGTCGGACCTGATGGCGCCAATGCCACAGGTCCCAGGGCTGCTCAAGTCCACACCCAATTGGTGCTTCTGACGTGTGCAGGGTGGTTGCCCTGTTCTCGACATTCTCGAACCAGAGTACTTGGCTGATAGCCTCAAATTCCTCTCCTCTTTATTTCCCAGCACAGGATTCCCCTCCCATCACTACCCTTTGGTCACGAACCCCGTTCCCCCCAAACCCTTTGCTGGTGCTCAATTCCCTGATGACACGTTCGAATGAGCTTCAGTAACCCTTCCCGATTTCTGAATGGCCCTGTCTGAGTTTCCCTTTTCTTCTTGATACAACCCTTTCACCTTTCCCTATCCCCCTTCTATGTTGTTTTTAATTAGACAAGACCCCCTCCCTCGCATCTTATAGCATTGCGACTCATGTAGCCCAAGAATTCATGTATCCCCTTCCCCTCTACTGTACTCCCCATCCATGTATCCCTTTCCCCTCATGTCACCCCCTCCAGAAAAGAGTCATTGTCATGAAAAAGCTGTCCCTGATTTCGTCTCCCTTCCTCGTATACGCCGATATTTTGCCCACAACCATACTATCACTCTGAAAAATCATGTATAGAACCACCCATCTGCCTTGCCCACGGATGGGATAAGTGAATGATGTGCTGATGAGTTAGTAGTAGTAGAAGTAAGGATGTTTGTATGATTACTTGTGTTGGTGTTTTAATGGTGATTTTTCGTTCCATCTTTCGGGCTCTTGTTTTGCTGCTATGTATAGTATGGTGTAGGGTATCTCTGAGGCAGTAACTATTGTATTGCGTGTACGCCCCATGTAGAAAACAGTAATGCCTTAGGTATGAGACATCAATTTCGTATCGCCACGTGACTACCACGATAAGGGTAGTGTTGGACAATAACCCTACCCGCGCACCACCCGAAAACCAAACTTTCACCAATCGTCCTTCCTCCTGCTTCATCCATCGACGACCATCTCTCGAGGTATGTGATATGCCCTCCCCCAACAATAGCCTCTCACCTAGTCTGGGGATGCAATCATCTTGTCTAGATTGCTTCCATATGTGAATTATAGATAATTCGCAGGAATCGCGATCCAGGAAGCCAAGATGATACGCATCTCCCAACTCGGCACGGGCTGAAGAACTCCTTGCAATGCAAAAAAGGGGCACTCTTTGCGCTCGAAGACTAGTGGTGGCTGACTTAAACCGCCTTCATCGAACAGATACCTCATAATCTTTACTTTTAAACGTTACGATTTGAGAATCTCGATTCCACTAAACCGCCAAAATGGTCAAGACTTCCGTCCTCAACGATGCGCTTAACGCCATGAACAACGCCGAGAAGGCTGGCAAGCGCCAGGTCCTCATCCGTCCTTCCTCCAAGGTCATCGTCAAGTTCCTCTCTGTCATGCAGAAGCACGGTACGTGAATGCTGAAAATTTTTTCTTCGTCTTTTTATTCTTTTTTTCCTTTCTTCTTCGCCCTGTCATGAGAATATTTGTCCCACCCATTCGGGCTGATAACTAGGCGGCCGGTCTCAATCAACCTACGACGTCTGCCTTTTAAGTGTCCGATATATCAATTTGCGAAGATCTTACACGTTTCCAAAGCGCTGTTATGGCTTTTTCAGTATTTGACGACTTTTAAATTTTCGCAACATACTGACTCTTTCTTTTTCAGGCTACATTGGCGAGTTCGAGGAGGTCGATGACCACCGCTCCGGCAAGATTGTCATCCAGCTTAACGGCCGGTACGTATTCACAACTACATCCATCAGTCTGATTGGAATATCAAGCTAACGCTCATCTCTCCAGTCTCAACAAGTGTGGTGTCATCAACCCCCGCTACCCCGTTCAGCTCCGTGACCTCGAGAAGTGGGCTACCCAGCTCCTTCCTTCTCGTCAGTTCGGTTACGTTGTCCTGACCACCTCCGCCGGTATCATGGACCACGAGGAGGCTCGCCGCAAGCACGTTGCTGGCAAGCTCCTCGGCTTCTTCTACTAGATGGAGTCGTTCTAAAAAAGAATTGAGAAAAGTTCTTGCTTTGACTGGTTATGCATGGCGTTGGTTTTCCTGGGCTGGACCCTGAAATGTAATCTGGAATCTGTAGCTGTGAACAAAATACCCCCTGTTCCGCACTTTCGATGGCTTGCAGAGTACATGGTTCGCTCGTATATCAATGTTAGATCATTCTGGTCTGCAAACCATTCTCCTTTTTTCTGCATATATCGTAGCCATGAACCGAGGCATATGTTCACCGAGGCATATATTCACCGCCCTATAATGTAGATTGTTGTACACGTATTCTGCCTTGCCCCGCAACAATGGCAAGGCTGGTACATAGTTTAACAATTCAAGTATTCATACACCATGCCTTTGGACACGATATATCTGACTCGTCATGGGGTATGTATTCTATGCTGTGATTATTGTGGAATTGTAGACCTAACCATTGCAGCATCGCCTTAACTGGACCATTGACTTTCGCACGGGCATCTACAACGCTCAATTTCCCACGCCGACAGGAAACCCAGCAGACCCTGCGCTGACCTCGCACGGTGTTCAGCAGTCGCACGAGTTGGCTGAGCACATTGCTGGCCCTGGATTTCACCCGAAGCCATTCCGCGTCTACTCGAGTCCGTTCTATCGCTGCCTTCAAACCATCCAGCCGTCGGTCGAAGAGCTCAAGAGACTCTTCGCTGAATCTGAGAAGAGTCAGACTGATGGTGAGATTGGGTCAATTGATCGGCATGCGGAATTTGATGTTCGAATTGAGAATGGGTTAGGGTATGTAGTACACCCTCTCTTTATATTTATACTTGCTTCCATCCTACCCAATCAACCCAGCCATTTGACTTCCGTGTCTCGAACAAAAGGAGCACATTACACACACCTTATTGATATATGAACTAATTGAACCCTAGAGAATGGTTCGGCGCCACAGACTTCTTCGACCACCCGGCTCACCCAGCCCGCGAAATAATGTCCACCCACTTTCCAACCCTTCTCCCAGAAGCCGATCAAAGCTACAAACCCCTACTCATCCCCTCAAGACGCGGTGAGACAATTCTACAGCTCCACAACCGCGTCGCAACAGCCCTGGAAGGCATAATCGCCGACATCGATGCAGAAGTCTCTGCCCTGGAAGCAGAGCTACCACCAGACCAAAGAACCAGCAAGTCCGTCCTGATCTGCGCGCATGCTGCGCCGCTCATTGCCATGGGACGGGCTCTTACAGGCCACATGCCGGATGATAGTTCTGAAGAGGACTTTAATGTTTTCACGGCGGGGTTGAGTACTTTTAAGAGGAGGGAGCCTTCTTCTACTGCTAGTGCTGGGCAGAGCAGTGACCAGGAAGAAAGTTCAAATGAGAAACCGCTTGCTGATGGTACGACATTTATCCGCGCGTCAGCGTCTCCGCCGCAGTGGAAGAACGGGCAGGGCGTTGGGGGTGGATGGGATTGTGTCGCCAACGGTGATTGTAGCTTTTTGAGCGGTGGTGCCGAGCGTGGATGGTGAGTGGATTCCTTTCTTTTGCCTCTCCCTTTGGTGTCGAGAGGAGTTATTGATATAGATACCGGCAGGCACTTTAACGGCGAAGAATCTTTCAATACGGGCCCTATGGCTCCACCTTCGGAGCCACCTGCAATCGCAGGTGCCACAAAGTTGTAAGTCGATGATGTACGTGATTATCCTGGTGCAATGATTTGTGGTGAACATATGGGGGACATCATTGTATCTTTCTGAAATCACCAAGTATTGGTGACTCTGAAACAATGACCACAAACCGGCAAGAGCTGTGCTATCACAGGTCGAGCTGCCATGGTCTATCACTGTCATGCCCAACTGATATCCCATAGAGTAGCTCGTCCCAGACAAGCATTTGCTAGTGGCATAAGAGAAATACATATCAAATATAGACGTATAAACAAGATTTATTAATAGCACGACAAGAATATTCGGCTCAAGATTGCTAGTTGGGATATTATATGTAAGAGCACTGCAATGACCAGATGTGTTTTTGGATATTCTTTTTAGACGTGCTTTTGGATATAATAAGGAGATGGGGAAAAGTATACACTACGTACGCAGCCTTGTTGAGTCTTTTTAGTAGTCTTTTCAGTAATCTTTTCAGTAATCTTTTCAGTAATCTTTTCAGTAATCTTTTCAGTAATCTTTTCAGTAGTCTTTTTAGCGGTTTTTTTAGCAGTCTTTTTAGATGTGTCGTGGTATCACTTTGACCCACGCTGACTTCAATTGTACAAACTAGATCCATGGCGCTACCGCTAATAAAGAGATGAATAAAAAGCACAGGCCGCTCCCGGTGTAGATCAGTTCCCCACTGGAGCCTGTGCATGCGCGGCAGAGACCTCTTCCTGTTCAGTGCTTGCATTTCCTGCACCCTCTGCCATGCCAGCTTGGCTCTGCTCCTGCTCCTGGCGCTCCCGCTCTCGTGCCTGCTCCTGCTCCTGTTCCTGGCGTTCCCGCGCCTGCCGCTCCTGCTCAGCTAAGAAAGCTTGATCTGCCGCAGCGCGAGCCTGGACATGCCCTTCGCCAATACCGGGAACTAGACTCGCAAAAAGAAAAACAATGGCTCGCTCCACGCGACGTATCTGGTCCCAGATATTGAACTCTGCAGCAGCGCCATTGGTTTCGGTTTGGGTGGCTCGATCTGCCGCGCCGCCGGCATGCGTGAGGCCCTCGAGATGGCGTTGGATGGGACTAATCACCATAGTCGCAAACCTCCGCGGGATATCGGTCTCGGAAAAGAAGGTCACTATTAAAGCGATGCTGACGAAGATGTAACGCCTCCAGGTGCCAGGGGCGCTGGTGAGATAGCAGAAGAGCCACAGACGGGTGAACAGCCAGATGCGGCGGATGTGCCGTGCCAGACCGGCGTGCTCGATGTTGTTGCCTCTGCGCTGTTGATTGTGCATTACTTGGCGGAGGGCATTTTGGACTGCCGCTGCATTTTGGTTGGGTGCTTGAGGCACTTGAGGCTCTTGATGTGCTTGATGTGCTTGAAGTAGTTGAGGTGCTTGAGGGGCCTGGGATGCGCCGGGTTCGTTAACGGGGGCTGTATTGGGCGAACCAACCCGTTGCGTTGTGGGTCGCGATACGAAGTGTCCTTGCACAAGGCCAGTCTGGGTTCCAGCTGGCGAGGTCAGTATGAAGAGCTGCATGGAGCCTGGTTCGGGCGTCTGTGATATATTCCCCTGTGAACCAGGGTTATGGGCTGAAACGTTTGTCTGCGAATGCTGTTGTTGCACATATTCCATTAGACGGGCACGTTGCTGAGCATCAAGAATACGGGCGACCAGTTCCGCAACACCGGGTAAAGGAAGCTGTCTGCCAGATCGTCTATCTTGAATTTCAAGAAGCCGGTTCCGTGTACGAATGATATTCTCCATGGATGGCATGATACGTCGGTCCAGCTGTTCCTCAATCTCCACGGTCTGAGCTCGCAAAGTACGAATATGCCGGTCTTCACCATTGTCTTCTGGTGTGGTTGTAGTTGTTGAGTGTCGGTTAAGATAAGAGGTGTCGTAGTACTGATTGACAGTGACGTGTGGAGCTGTAGGAGTGGCATCCACTGTTCTGGGAATACCAGAGTACGAGGAGGTGCTGGCTCCAGCCACCGAAGTATCGGCACTGGAAGGACTAAACCAGGTGGAAGAGGAAGTGGAAGCTCGGCCAGAATTGCGGAAAGGCGAATCTTGCGCCATGTTAGAGACAGTAGGTGGTTCTGCGTGTGTTGACTCGGGTGGCAGCACAAGGTGCATGCTATCAGTGCCTTGCTGCAAAACAAACCCCATTCAGTTAGGGGAAAAAAAGGTTATATGGCGTAGATTAGGAACAATTTACTTACCCCCACAGATGAGACTATTGCTCTGAGTGTTGCGTCATCGGCAGCTAGGACTTTCCCTCGGTAAATGAGCCTCTGCTTTGATGCACGAGGATTATTCGGAAAAGACTGTTCGATCCTGCTCTTGAGCTGAGAAATTGTGGAGGAGAGTGGAACGTTCTCGAGTGTAAACCGGCTTGGAGGGGGTAGAGACTGGCAGAGTATGTGAAGTCTGATTGTGCTCGGTGTGTCCCCCTCTGTCAGGGGCTGGGATGATGATCCTGTCGCCATTGCTTTAGAACTGTAGTTGTGCTCAAGCTCAAATGTCCGGATGGACCTGATCTAGTTGCTGATATCTGGCATCAATCGATCGATAAGCGATCTCGATGTTGTAATGTCCTGTGTGGGACTCTAGCAGCTAGGAAGGAAGTGGAAAGAATGATGCAATGTAAGAGAAGATGCGAACAGTCAGAAACACAGAAACGCCCATTTAACAATGAAATGTACTTGGATATAGAGAGGAGGATAACCCGTCCATTGTATCTCCACGTGCAATTCTGCCGGGCGGTCAACCGGCAGCTGCACGTTTCTCCATTTCGGAAAAAAACGCTCTAAGCATAGGAGTTGATTTTAGCGCTCCAGGCCGATGGATTAAACATTATGGCCAAGCGCCTTTTTACTTCCTCACCTTTCCTTCGTTGTCCTTCTGAAGCCCCTCGGTCCGGGGCTGTGTCGATGGAGGTTCTTTCCTTCCGGGCCACCGCCCGCCATAAAGCCAGTCTCCGACATTTTTCGTCTAAATCATGGAGACAATATCACAAGGATAATAACTCCGAAAATAATAAAGGAGGATTTGGCTCAAGACTAGGTTTCGCTCTACGCAATACCAAGGTCGAATGGTATCCTATCCCAGTCGGACTCGGAATTGGATTGCTAGGATTGTTGTCTTTCTACAAGTCACAACGTGCGGAACGGGATCGGCTGGCTCGCGATGCAGCTGGCGATGAATGGGACGAAGGAAAACGGCCACCTCGTCGTCCGAGGATCAGCCTGTCGGGCCCATGGCATATTCAGATCATGTCCACTCTGCCCCTGAAGGCGATGTCCCGTCTGTGGGGTCGTTTCAACGAAATCGAACTTCCTTACTACCTCCGCGTTCCTGGATTCAAACTCTACTCATGGGCCTTTGGCGTCAACCTTGCAGAGGTTGCTGAGCCCGACCTGCATACATACCCAAATCTGGCGGCATTCTTCTATCGTAAGCTGAAACCTGGTGTCCGACCATTGGATCCCGACCCTCGTGCTCTTCTAGCACCCTCCGACGGCCGAATCTTGCAATTTGGAACTATCGAGCGGGGCGAGGTTGAGCAAGTTAAGGGAATGACATACAGTTTGGATGCCCTCCTGGGATCAGCCACGCCTGCGCACGCCGACCACACCAACCGACTCACGGACAAAGGTGGGAAGGAAACCCAAAAGGATGCCGATACCATGGCTGCACATGAAGAGTTTGCGCTCGTGAACGGCATTTCCTACACTCTCCCGAGCCTTCTTTCAGGCGAAGCCGGTGCCCCCAAACGACGTGCTTCTTTGGATGCTTCAACTGCATCCAAAGAAACCTCGGAAATCCAAGTGCAAGAGGACCTGGCCCGTGGTGATGGAACAGCATGGTACGCACCCAAGACAGCCGCCAACCATGCCTTGTTCTACGTTGTGATCTACCTAGCACCTGGCGACTACCACCGTTTCCACTCCCCTGCTCCCTGGGTTGTCGAGAGCCGCCGCCACTTTGCTGGTGAGTTGTACTCGGTTTCACCATATCTGCAGAAGCATCTACCTGGTCTATTCACTCTCAACGAGCGAGTTGCACTCCTTGGCCGGTGGCGTTGGGGTTTCTTCAGTTACACACCGGTCGGAGCTACCAACGTAGGCTCCATTAAAATCAACTTTGACTCGGAGCTGCGCACAAACAGCTTGTTGACTGATACCGCTGCGGATTTGGCAGCAGCCTTGGCTGCGAAGCGTGGTGAGCAATATCCTGGCTTTGTCGAGGCGACTTACCGCCATGCTAGCCGCACACTTAATGGACATCCACTGCAGCGTGGAGAAGAAATGGGCGGCTTCCAGCTTGGCAGTTCGATTGTACTTGTATTCGAGGCTCCTCTTGGAACTCGGAAGTCCATTGATGCCGGCTGGCCGGAAGATGGCCCCACTGACGGGTGGACTTGGAGTATTGAGAAGGGCCAGCGCATCAAAATAGGAGAAAAATTGGGCTTTGTGAATGAGGCGCAAAATGCGTGAAGTTGCACAGCCCGGTGCACAGCCGACAGCCGACAGCAGTAGCTGATTTCAGATAGTTTTGACCGGCATGTCTTTTTGTAGGTCCGTTTTTGTACTATACCAGTCCTTCTAGGACAGTGTGAGAATTTAGTTTAATCAAAATTACCTTTTTCCCCCTTTGATTCAATCTGTTAGACGAAAAGTAGATCGAGATATTTCCTAAGACTATCAGCACAGACCAGGAAGTCCCACCTAAGTGCCTTGGCGTGATCTATGCTATCGCCTCCCAAATTCGTTATTGCTGATCTTACGTATGCCATTTCTTGGCTGTGCCTTCCATTTTAGTGCTCATCCCTTGCCGCTTTTTGCTCACTGCGTAGAGTTGAGCACGCACCTGATCAGCGTTAAGCTTACTGATCCGTTCACTGAGCATAAGGTTACCTACTTTGTACTTCCAGGATCGATCTGATTTCCTCACTGAGCATAGCCTGAGTTGTGAGTGAACGGCCTAAATAGCAATCTTGATACAATACAATACGCTAGTCCCTTTCACGTGCTAATATCACTCTCCAGATTACCCTAAATATAGTAAATATATTATCAAAAATCCTCGAGATCATCAATGTGATCGTTCGTTCTAGTGGTGTACTTAGACCTACTAACTACTCCGTACTTAGCTAGCTAATTAGCATTACCCTTCATGCTTTCTACTTTGGGACCACTTCGCCTACTATCCTATGAACTCCTGACCAAGTTTGAAAGTATCAAATACGACGAGAACTTCCTAGGGCCATGTCGCATACTCCTAAAAGCCCACCTGTAACACGACTGCCTAGCACTACCTTTAACTATATGGCCCCTGTAGTTAAGGTTTATACCCCTGTACATCTATAGCTCATCAGTTCCAATCAGCGATGCCCCAGGTACGGAACGGGCCCCCACTATGACGGATAATATCAACCCATTTATTGTAATGATGCCAAGTCAAAGAATACATGAACTACTATGAACATGGGGCGAGGATTACTGCTGCGCTGGATTTTTACAATGAGTAGAAATGGTGCATGTATCGCGATTACCAAGAGCTGTGAAGCCCTGGAGTTACTAGACCCGTGGAGCCGTCAAATACTTGACTAATGATAGGTAGGCGTCAATAACTACTCGTCTCTTAATTATTTCTTGAGCTTCTACTAATGAATAACAGGGACTAAAGTATATGAGTTGCCTAAATCAGCCTACATATGCTAAGTGAGCGCTCATTGGGAATCCCCGATCAGTCACGTGCTTGAGCTGAGCAAGCTGAGACCGGACTAGAATCTACTCAGCCAGCCCAACTCTGACCGCCCTCATAAAAGCGGCGGCAGCTAAAAAAGAAAGTCCCACCCGGCAGAAGACCTTGGATCATTGCATATGTACTCTGTATGTTATACAAGTAGTAATATGTAAGATGTAAGATGTGCTACTATATAAAATATAGTAAAATATCTATACAAAAAAAAGAAATAGCAGAGATGGCATTTAAATTACAACCATTGCGCCATCCATATCCTGCATACCCAATGCAGCGCAAAGATAAGGCAACAAACCTCCACCAAAGAGCTATCAACGTGGGCGAAACTGCCAAGCTTCGATCAAAATCAAGGAATGTGAATTTCAAAGTTGTTTCTTTTCCAACTTCACCATTTCTGAGGTTTTCTCATTCTCATTCTTTTCTTGAACACTGATGGCCATCTTTAACTCTCCTCGATCATTTCAAAATGTCAATGCTATGGCCCAGGCCCCAATGGGCGCTAGTCGGTTCTTCATGAACGCCCATGAAAGCCATCCCCCGTTCTTTCAATTAGTGCTGCTTGTCTTTGAAGCTGTACTAGAGGTCGTCTGCGTCAGCTTTCCTGGTTATATTGCTGCCCGTCAGGGCATGTTTGATGCCGATGCCCAGAAGTTGGTGGCAAACCTCAATGTGACTTTGTTCACCCCCTGCCTCAGTATGGATTTCCCTGCTCTTGTAATGAGATATTTCTGTGACATGGCTGATTCCTGTTAATAGTTTTTACCAAATTGGGCTCACAATTAACCGCTGAAAAGCTGACGGACCTGGCTATCATCCCGGCTATTTTTATTGTCCAGACTTTCGTCTCATACTTCTGTTCCATTGTTGTTGCAAAATGTTGTCGCTTCAAGAAGCGGCAGTCGAACTTTGTGGCTGCCATGGGGGTATGTGGTGGTTCCTGCCATATGAAAGTCGAGCATTCTAATGACCACCCCTTTTCTATAGGTCTTTGGCAATTCCAACTCTCTCCCAATCTCCCTCGTCGTGTCGCTTTCGCAGACCCTCAAAGGCCTCCACTGGGACCAGATCCCAAACGACAACGATGACGAAGTCGCCGCACGCGGTATTCTATACTTGCTTATCTTCCAGCAGCTAGGTCAACTCGTGCGTTGGAGTTGGGGATATCACATTCTCTTAGCGCCGAAGGACCGATACCTCGAGGAGGCGGAGCGCGACGAGAGTGGCCAGTCAATCATCGAGCAGGGCCAGGTGCGGTATACCGATAACCCGGACCAGACGGATCCGGACGAGCCGCTAGTCAGAACACGCAGCTCAGAGGATCTACACCATGCCCATGCAACGCACGCCGACCGCCGATTCGAATCCGGTGACCAAACACCCGTGTCAACGCGAACTTATTCCTACTCGAAGCTGTCCGCCCACTCAGACGACCTCGACTCAGACGATACGCCGTCAGTAATTGGACCGCCACCCGCCGGCCCCTTCCTTCCCCGCCAAAGCACCCAAGGCGAGATCCTCCAATTCCCAAATGTCGAAGTCACCGCTCGGGAAGCTCACGAGGCCCAGAAAACGCGTTTCCAGCACTGCAAGGCATCTCTGCGCAGATCGCGAGACTGTCTGAGCCAGTGGCGAGCAAAGAAAACTAGCGCCCTCCACGCGCGTCTCCCAACAAAGGTTCAAAAGGGTCTTGCATCAACCACACGCGGACTACGTCGCTTCCTCAACGGCCTATGGGACTTCATGAACCCGCCCCTGTGGGCAATGTTAATCTCAATCATCGTCGCCTCAGTCCCATCACTCCAGCATCTTTTCTTCAACGACGGCACCTTCGTGCGTAACTCGGTCACCCGCGCAATTGAACAGAACGGACAGGTCGCCGTGCCGCTGATCCTGGTCGTGCTGGGCGCGAATCTCGCGCGCAATACGATTCCCGAAGAGGCATTGGCGGATATTGAACACCCCCGCGACGAACGCAAGCTTATCATCGCTTCGCTGGTTGCGCGCATGCTTCTCCCGACTATTGTCATGGCGCCGATTTTGGCGCTCATCGCCAAGTTTGTGCCGATTAGTATCCTCGACGATCCCATTTTCATTATTGTCTGCTTCCTGCTTACGGGTGCGCCATCGGCGTTGCAGCTGGCGCAGATCTGTCAGATCAATAATGTTTATGTTGGTGCTATGTCGAAACTATTGTTCCAGAGCTATGTTGTCTGGTAAGTTATTATACCTCCTATTTGCAGAGCACAGACCCCCTGGTTGTCGATCTCAAACATTGATCTTTGCTAACATGGTCTTTTCTTTCTTCCTAGGATCCTCCCCTCAACCCTCGTGCTTGTCATGTGCGCTCTGGAGGTCGTTGAGTGGGCCGCCGCTTCGTAGACTCTTTCATTTGCATCTGAACCTGAACGGCGAAGCTGGTCTTTCCTTCTCTGGGCTTGGTTTTCATCTTTCATCGTTTCTATTTTCGCTCTCTTTGGACATTCTTGTAACTACCCATTACATTCTCTCTTTTGGGGAATTGGCGTTACCTATGGCATTATTCTTTGTACACAGATTGTACTTTACACAGATTGTACTTTCTCAACCCATGGACCTATTCTGATTCTTATCTTTATGATGTATACATATTCTTCTTCGCTACAGTGATAGGACACCTCACACTTGATGTGGGCCTGTGTAATAAAAACGATCAATCCATACACCTGACTGCATCTACACTTAAATATTACCAAATGGATATATATCTGCAGGAGAAAGCACCCCGCATCAACAGCAGTCCACTCCCATCCAACCCATCCTACGAAAACAAATCCAACACAAATCCATTAATCCACTATCAAAATGACAAAATCAACAACAGACATATTCATGAGCATAAAACCCGAGCACATACAAAACATAGCTACAGGTTCCAAAAACCACGAATACCGCAGCTATCTCCTCCCACCAAGTATCCAGCACATCTGGTTCTACACCACCAGTCCTATCAAACAAATTGAATATGTCGCCCGTATCTCTCTGGGTAAAACACCAGGAGAAGTTCCTGACGATGGGGGTATCGGAAATGTGGAGTTCAATGCCGGTTTGAAAGAATCCAAGTACGGATATGAGATTCTCGCGCTGTGGAGGTTGAAGGTGTCTGTTAGCTTGGAGGATGCTCTTGTTAAGGGATTCTTGAAGGGTGCGCCGCAGAAATATTGTTGGGTTTCTTTAGATTTCTTGGGGAGGGTTCCCTTGGATGCGCAGGATTTGTTGTTTTCAAGGATGGGGGATGCGGTGCAGGATGAAGACCAGTATAATCTACTAGACTCGACGGGTTAATCGTCCTTGGTTTTGGGCAGTTCCGCATGGGAGACCTTGTACGTTTAACTTCACTTGAAAACCCATGCCCATTTATTACTGATTACCTCTCCTGCGGCCTATAGCTTCGATGGTTCTAAAGAGGAAAGTATTGGTACCTTTCTCTGCAGCTTTGATGTTCTGATTGTGGTATAGAAACTGGGATATATATACAAGAATCTTATTATAACATGCAAGTAGTCAGACAACGACACATTCGTGGACCAGCCAACTTTCACTCAGATTAAATACAAGTCGTAGCCCACCGGAGACAAAGCACATACCCATAGCAGGAACAGTAGGAGACGGACCCATGGCGGTGTAACATTCTCATCTTCCATTCAGCTCGAATCTAAGCCCGAAGACAAAAAGCCAATTCCCGCAGACTGCTCCTTGCGCAACAGTACAATTCTGCCTGGATCCGAATTTTCAGATATGCTAGTTCTGGATTGAACCGCACTCTGGAGTCCTCCAGCACACTGTATTCCGTGAAGTGTCAAATTGGGTGATTCGATGTACTACAGACCATGCTGCAGTTCTTGGTATAGAAGCGGAAACTCATGGACATAGACTCCATGAAAAGTCTCATTCAGATTGCAAGCAAGGGGAATGCGAGCATGTCGTATAGCAGTGTCCATGTCAATGGTCGCTCCATCGATATTAGTGGCACTGCTGTGCCTGGGACTCGAATTGGTTCGAGTATCCATCGACCGCTTTGGCGGGACTTTCGTTAGAAAACCGACTGGGGTAGATAAAATTGATCTCCCACGGGGTTTTTACAACATAAATCCCAAGTTCTCTCTCTGCTCATCTTGCACACGAGCATATCTGCAAGTTCACGTCAGCAGAGCCAAAAATTGAACAAATAATCCATCAGACTTACTCCAAGAAAAGCCGAAACATATAAACGTCTATATCATCATTCCTGATCGTCCTAGCTGCCCAAGCTTGACCTTCTTCGCCGATAGATCGAGCAATATGCTGACCAGCAGGATCTTCCTCGAAAAACCGTATCAACTCAGGAATCTCATTCCCATCTTTGTTAATCGGCACGTAGTGGACCCACGGGACCAGAACATCCTCATGCCACTCGCGAAAGAATGTCAACTTGAATGGAACACTACTGCTGCGCATGAAGGCGTAAAACCTCCCGCTGTACGCGTGACCATCCATATCTAGCAGATAGCGATACTTCCACGCCTCGCTCGCAGGGTCTGGGTCAGCGATATCGTCGAAAAACACTTCCTCCTCATCGCAGTCTTCGTCGCAATCCACAATCTCCATGAAATGCGTATTGAAGTATCCCTCGATCTGGGATCGGTTTGCTGTTTGGACCTCCCAGCCTTCATTTCCAGCAATACAGCCTAAATCGCTCTTTGGCCGCATGAGATATTGGGGCGATTGTGGATGAGTCAAGTTTCCAATGATTCGCTGACGTTGCAGGTTGTGCCAGGTGCCGTTCCGACTATGTCCTCCGGTGGTTTTCCCGCGCCAGTATAGCTGGTGTTTCTTGTTCTCCCATTCAACTGCGGTTTCTGCGTCGAACTCTGATATTCCTTCGTAATAATACGGCGATGGAACGGCAATATCCTGGAATGAAGAAGGATGGGACATGGAAAACATTGGGACCAGCTCGTTTGTCACTTTGAAAGAGTTTGGATGATCGAAAACTCCCAGCCGATGTCGCAGTGACGGACTGTTGCACATATCACTAGCGGCAGTCTGGTTGAACACGAATCCCAAAGGACCCACCGCATAAGCACTTGTGTTGTCTGGTGCGTTACCATCCAGCGCCCTGGCAGGTGTGTCTAGTGGACATGAAAGCCGCGAGTAGAGCCATGTCTCTTGGCGCTCGATGTTGTTGAATCTGGTCGTGAAGACTGGTACTGGTGGGATAGGGTCATTGCCATCGCCCGGTGAAAATAGGTTCAGTAACGACAAGTTGCCATCCAGCCGAGCTTGAGCCACATAGCCCTCAGTGACCAGCATGTGCAGTTCCTCATGCGGAACTACCACTCGCGGCTCGTCGTGTACATTGAATTCCATGTTCATGTCCGGTAACCATTGGGAGAACTTGTCAAGAATCTTCATTGTTGCGTTTTTCTGGAATTTACCCTGGCCATTGCCCAAATGGATAGCTCTGCCGTCGCGAATGGCAATGCCCATGACGTGGTTATGGTAGCCAAGATCCTCTCTCACGCGCGAACGAATCGTACTGGGTGCGAGTCCCCAGAAAGGCAGCAAAGTGTGATAGATAGTATCAAATTCATCGATCAAGACTGTGTTTCGCGACATCGCAAATGCATACCATTCATCAAAATGGGGAGGTGGTGGCATCTTATATCGTCGACGATATTCCGCCACTGCTTCGTCTAATGACTTTGACTGGTGATTCAATGTTTCATTAAAAGTCTGCTTGGCATCATAAAAAAGCCGAGCGACTGGGTGTTGGCAGGCATTTTCGTCGAGGGGAGTCGAATAAAGCAGCGGATGCGAGAAAATATACCAAAGAACCAACGCAGTCGCTATCGCCCCAGAGATAGCAAATGTTCTCTTTATATTTTTGGGGTAATAATGCTGAGACTTTTGTCGAGCCCCTTCAAGGAGCTGGTATTGCTGCTGCCTCCACGTCCCTGAGCGAATGGCTTCGGCCATGGCCACGACGCCGAGCTGTAGTGACTGCAGCCAGGACCGAGCACAACGAACCGGCTGCATCTTGAGGGAGAACTATAGCCGATTGTAAAAAATTGAAATATCTCCTCAATTATAGATGAAAAAAAGAAAGGGGAATTATAGCTCCGAAACGCGAAACGCGAACGTGGGCGATTGGGGCCTGTGGGCCCTGGATCGACACGGACATTTGAGGATGTATGATGTACTTTGTACGGAGTACAATGAAGTTGCTGGGAAGTTGGGCCTCACTGAAATTTTGATAGCATATGTCGATGATCCCTGAGCCTTTCCAAACGTTCAAGCCTTCCAAGGCTTTAAATGACAATGTGGTCTGAGGTCACAGGGCTGCCCCAAATATCAAACGAAATGCTCCATTTGAGGTTCCGGGGATTGCCAATGTCATAGATTTGCCCAGATTCGCTATTTTACCTCTTTCTCATTGGTCTTCACCAGCTAGTCAGCTCTTTTCCAATAAACTGTGAGCCGTTTCCTTCCTATTGCCCCTGAGGATCATCGCTCATCTCAGATGATCTCCACTTCGGGCCTGGAGTGGGCTTGGCAAATTTGCACAAATTTGCACAAAATCCAAATAAAGACATTGCCAACGTGCCTCTTCATACACTGAAGAAAGAGCACAAGCATATCTAGAATAATTGAGAATATACTTCTGGGGTGTGAGTACTAACAAGTTGGCTAGTCCCAAGGCCAAAGATACATAGTCAATACATCTCAAAAAGCAGGGCATAATTCTCCGCTGCCAGCGTGTGCAGCCAATCCTGTAGGATCGCCTTGTACGTCAATCAGCATGGCCATGCCAGTCGCCAGATGCCAGACGACATGGCAATGAAGAAGCCAAACGCCGGGATTATCTGCACGGAAACGGATAACAGCGTAGCCGAGACTTGGGATCTGGACTGTATCGCGCAAAGCAGCCCGGGATGTGTCGTACAGACCAGAATTATGATCAGCTTTGGGATTCTGGGCGTCTGATGTGTCATTTTTCAAAGTATCTGAGTCAGATGCTAGGTGTGGTGGGATTTTGTCAGCAAAGGGATTGTAGGAGCCCCAGCCAAATTTGGATTGGTAGACTGCGAGTACGCAGAAACGGTGCCCGTGCTGGAATGAATATTAATTAGTGCATTGTTGCCACTGGGTAGGGGAGGGGTCTTTGTACCAGGTGGAAGGGATGGGATCCTTCATCTAGATTGTTGATTACTAGGTCTATCCATTCGGGCTCTGGCCCTGTAGTTATCGAGAATTGGTTTGCGTCCCATTTGGCTCTTGGTATAGAGGCCAACGGAGCGGATGGATCTTGTTGAGGTTGCCAGGTAGTTTGATTGATGTAGCCGAATGGCTTGTTCGCATATCGTGCCATTTTTTGGATCTTAGTGTACACCACATACGTTTGTTGCGCCGTGGGAGGAATGGAACGCAGAATAGAGGGCGCAGAAGGTACTTTTTCAATGTTGAGATGGTTTACATTGAGTGGAGGTCCCTGGACGGCATTGGAACCGTGGTTGGGGAATGTTTGATTTGGCGTCAACGCCGGGTTTTCGTACTTGAAGCAACTGATGAGATGTTAGCGAATATATCGTAGCTGTTGTGGCGCTCAGCGAGTTTGCTCATACTCTGGATCCAGCCAAATCCTCATGTGTGACTGCTCCTTAGAGTTTTGTGGTAATGGTCGAAGAACAAAGTCCATGCGTTGCCCTGGGAAGAGTATACCGATGGAATTTGTATTTGTCTCATCAGAGCTTGCCACATCAACACTATCCGCCTGAAGCAGATACAGGTGGTGGGTATCAAACTCAAGGGTAAACCCAGCCAGAGCCCTGTCAAAACTGGTTAGCTAATAACTAATCTGACCCTGATAGTCCTACGACATACCCGGTATTGACCACCCGAATTCGATATGTCGTGTGAGGATCAAAATCGATAAATGAATTATGCGTATGCACATCAACGCAATCCACCGGCCTAGCAGGCACTGCCATAGTGCAGTTAAAATGCCCTGCTCCATTAATTAGTATAGAATCAGGGACAGGCTAGTACAAGCGTTAGATCTCATTCTCTAACCTTTGAGGCTATACTTCGGCACTCACCTCGTTTCCGAAATTTCCCGGATCTAAATACCATTCAAGAACATCATCCGCAGGGCGATGGTACCAGTCCCCGATGAGAAGCAAGATTTCTCTATCGTAAGTGTAATGGTGGGGTTTACCACTCGTCCGGGATATTAAACCCCGATCGGTTGTTTTGGAAGCTGGCGCATGGACGACCAACCCACCATAGAGGCCGTCCGCTCGCGAGACTCCGGAGTGGGCATGGTACCAGAATGTACCGCTTTGATCGGATGGAATTGTCAAATTATAAACAAAATTTGCTCCAGAAGTCACGGGACATTGTGAAACCCCTACCGCACCATCCATAGCATCTATGTCAGTTAGCTCTAATGCTTTAATCGAGATCTGTCAAAACCAGATACTTACTAGTCACATGAAGGCCATGCCAATGGATAGCAATTGATTCATCCGACAAAGCATTCGTAACATTAATGATCAAGGTGTCACCAGAGCGGGCCTCCACCGTCGGTCCAGGGAACAGGCCTAGTTCGATATCCTCCAGTCAGATTGAAAGCAGAATGGTATGGGTTAGTTCCTTCTACTTACCGTTTATTAGATAGACCCGCTTCAATACACCATCTGGTCGGCGAAGGTCCGAAGTTACGCGCCAATCCAGGTATCGAGTTGTCGGTTCTCGGTAGCTATGATCCTCCGGATGAAGCTCTATCCGGGGACGAGCAGTGATAGCCTCAGATTGTTGAGCCTCAGGTTGTTGAATGATGTGATGCCGGCCAGGTACAATCAATGGCACGATAGAACTGGTCATTGACTGGACAAAACATATCAATCCGACCACGAAACAAACAGCCAATGAGCAGCTTAGGATCGGCCATGGCCGTCGTGACAGCTTCGGCATTGGTTGAGGGGCCAATTCTGGAGTAGAAAGAAATTTCCAAGTGTACTGTCCCCGCATTGTTCTATAGTAACCAAGAAGAGAATAGCCGATTGAAGTTTGAGTATATCAGATATATACACAATGTCAAGTACCGGGAGGAAGAGCGCCAAGTGTCGGAGGGAAGAGCGCTCCGTGCTATGACCTCGTGCCTTGCTGCCAAGGGAATGAACGTCTGAAACAAACGTTCGAGACGACCTTACAGAAAGACGTGCAGCACACGTGCCTCTTTTTGGATCAATCAGAGCGAAGATAAAAATAATTTGAATGTTTAGGTGGATTGTGTATGGAATATATAAGCTAAATAATAAATAAGTAAATAATGAAATCAAGATACTTCTGGGCAATATACAAGAAAAAGTATAAACCCTGGAAGTACATAGAGCCGTGAGCTAAGCCCAAAGTGTACTAGATCGTTCTTGCCAAAAAGTCTTAGCGCAATTTGAACTGTGGAACTAAAGGACTCACGTGGAATCACCTGCATATCAGATTGGATCAAGCAGAGTATCATCTAATATCTTCCCATCCACTACGGAGTATACTTGCACTCTAACTGCCGTTTTCTTTTGCATAATTTCATTATGATCGGCGCCCAAGGAATGCTATCCCTGCCCAAGTGTATCCTAAATCCCCACATTCTGACTCGTTCTTTCCTTGAAAGCTACCTGGAGAGCAATGAGGGACGGTGCATATCGCTAAATTCTCCCAAGGTCGGAGCGTCAGATCTTGTGGAGGAATCCATACGGTTGTACGGAGTATCTGATACTACCTAAGTATCATGTATTTTATTGATTCTCTTGGCTTTCTAGATGTCTCATCGGAAGTACATAAGTAGACCTTTCCTTCTCTCATTCTTTCCCAGGACTCCATCTACAACTGCAGCATCATGGCTCTCAAACTGCTGGGTTGTGTCGCTCTGGCGATGTTCCTGGAAACAGGACTCGTCTCTGCTGGATCTCTGAAAGATATCGAACATGTCGTTATCTTCATGCAGGAGAATCGTTCATGGGACACCGTACGTTTTGCCTGCGCTATAGAACGTTTACGTACATCATACTCACTAAGCCGCAGTACTTCGGTACCATGGCTGGAGTCCGAGGCTTCAATGATCCCAATGTTCAGATCAACCCCGACGGAAAATCCGTCTGGCATCAGTAAGTGCCGAACATCGGAGCTATAAAGGAAGGGATTGTTCTAATATTTCTTGTCAGGGTTGTTGAGCCATCCCAGTCCAACAAGACCAAGACCCTGCTGCCTTGGTATCTTGGATACAAAGGTGGAAATGCGCATGATGCTATTCAGTGCATGAACGCCGGTAGCAACGGCTACGAGGAGAACCAGCAATCCCTCAACTATGGACTGAACAACCACTGGGTAGCTAAGAACACCCCCTGGAGTTGGGGCTACATGAAGCGCGAGGATATTCCCGTTCATTTTGCTATTGCTGAGGGTTGGACTTCGGGAGATATGTACCAGGTGCGTGGCCAGATTCGATTCCGATGGAAACTGGAGACTGACTTTCAAACAGGAAGGTCAAATCACTGCCACCAACCCCAATCGGGCTACCCTGGTCAGCGGCTCTATCAACGTTCCCGGCAGTCCCCAGGAGAAGGACGAGGGTGGTGTATACATTGACAACAATGAAGTGCCAGGTATGTGTCATCAGCTCTATCTTCTGTTATTCTTATACCTTCTGCATGTTTCATTATCTGACAGAAATAATCCAGGCTGCGATGACAACGGTATCAACTGCTACCCACTCAAGTGGAAGACTGTCTATGAGTTCTACGAAGAGGCAGGTGTCTCTTGGCAAGTCTACCAAGGAACCAACAACTACGACGATAACCCTCTGGCCTGGTTCAAGCAGTTCCAGGATGCCGCGGAGGATAGCCCACTGGCCAAGAAGGGTATGGCATATCTTGGCCTCGATGCCTTCTACCAGGCTGCCGCCAATGGCACATTGCCCGCGGTCAGTTTCATTGTTGGCCCTGCCGAGCTGTCTGAGCACCCTCCCTACATGCCCAAGGATGGAGCCTGGCTCCAGAAGAAGATCGTTGATGCCGTCACCAGCAGCCCCAAGTACAAGTCGACTCTTCTGATGGTCAGCTACGATGAGACTGGTGGCTTCGGTGATCATGTCACCCCCTTCCACTCCCCCGAAGGCACCCCAGGAGAATGGATGAAGGATCCCCTTGGAATGTTCACCAACATCTTCACTGGACCCGGTTTCCGCGTGCCCTTCTACATTATCTCTCCTTGGACTCGTGGAGGCCGCGTGTTTACCGAGCGTGCCGATCACAACTCCCAGATTCTCTTCGTTGAACAATGGCTCACAGCACGTGGATACAAGAACATCACCACCGATGAGATGGTTCCGTGGCGACGCAACCACATGTCTAATCTCGTTAACGCACTTGATCTTGACAACCCTGACTACTCTCTCCCCAACATCCCAGATGCCGGCACCCTGGAAACCAACGAAAAGGGTGGCTACATCGGTACATCTAACTGCCAGGCTCGCAACAAGCAGACACGTCCGGATGTTCCATATGGAAAGCAGCCAAAGGAGCAGAGTACCAATACCCTGTGGTTCGAGGAGGGTTACAAGGAGGTCATCGGCTACCTCACCGAGGGCCGATACCTGACATTTGAGAAGAATGGAGCAGCCCTCACCAACCCTGGCAGAGGCAAGAAGCTTACCTCCACCCGTGCGACCCGGAAGCACAACTCCAAGTCCCAGCGTTGGGTGATCCACTACAACAAGGACGAGGAAAGCAATACCTTCACCATCTCAAGCGCACTGGATGGCCGATGGCTCGGTAAGAATGGTGCCTTGCTTTCCAAGGACCAGGCTTCCAAAGCAGCCGAAGTGAAGGTCACCTTCTTGGGTAAGAGCCGTGGCTACAACCTGCAGTTTGTGGACAAGAAGCGTTACATTGATATCGACAACCGTGGACAACTGGACGATAGCAAGTCTCAGCCTAGCTGTGGCTTCGATGTCTTCAGTGTCTCGTACCGTGATTAAAAGGTTGACTTGACGACGTGACGGAATCGTGCATGACCATACCAAAGGCCGATGCCCGAGAACTAAGTTATTTATAGTATCTTAGCGACAAGGCCGGTCTTCTCAGAGGCCATGAGCCTAAACAGACCCAATAAATACAATTTTCATTTGTACTGTCGTGCCTGCTAAAAGATATAGTAGTAGTACGGAGTAATAGTGACATTATTAACTATCATTATATGCATATAAATAAGATCACACCGCCTCTTCAACCAGGTTCTAAATCGAAACCAAGTCATCTATGCACGAATAACTGTAAATGGTCCAGCCGCGTTGAACAAGGAGGGCATCTGCATAATATTGATTAGCCCCTGAAACCAAATAAAAGCCAAGATAAACACAGCCCGAAAGCACATAGCTCCACACCACCAAAAAAAGCGAACCCGAAAAAGAAAAAAAACATACTTGTGGCGCCGTCGAAAGAGAAGTTCCAACCCTCAGATACCAAACCGAGCCATCCTTGACCTGAGGCAAGTTCTTGGGGATAGTGACATCAACAAGTCCCGCCTTCTCCTTGATTCCACCCGTAATCTTGATAGACTGGTCGAAGGAGATGACATCCCGATTGCGAACGGGGTTATTGTACAGCCATACGCTGTAGTCGTCGCCGGGGTACTGGTTCAATGGGTCTGGGCAGCGTCCGGTGGGCTTGCGGTTGAAGCGGACGCGCACGGTTTGGCCAGCGGTGACGGTCGAGTTGTCGGGGATGCCTTGGTAGACGTTTACGCAGGCGTAGTCGCGCTTACCCCAGGCTAATCATTGAGTTGTTAGTTCGGAATAGAGAAAATGAGTATAGAATTGCATACGTTGGTTCTTGTCGAACAAGGCCATGCTGGTTCCCACCAGGGAAGCGATGATTGCTGTAGTGAACTTCATTGTGGAATTTTGGTGGTTCAATGGTAAGCAAGAGAGAGAATTGTAGATGGGATATATTCAATGCTAAGTTTGTGAGAATCAGGCTTTTATAGGTGCAATAAGAGGATATAGAACGGAGTACTCCGTATTTTGTCTGCAATATAGTGCCACCGATGACACAAAGATCCCCTAATTATAGCTTCGAGCTCTAAAACCCGGTCTAGGATATCTGAGTGATCATGTTTCACTCCGTCTCTCCACATGGACTCAAATTAGGATTTAGACTGCTTGGCGTGAGGAGTATGATCGGTGGTCGGCTATGCCGATCTTGATCCGGGGTCAGACGTGCAGTCTCGTATATTGTACGGAGTACTCCGTATAGTGGCGTCCACAGGCGCATTTCTACGCTCAGCCAAGCCTCTCTTCATAGAATATTGTCTCTTGGTTTATTTGCCTATAGGATGTTCGTCTATAATTCTCCCTTGATTTGTGGTCACGAGAAAATATCTATCTATAGACTTCCATATTATTAGTTGCTCTGCATATCTAGGTTCATATACTCCATAGTTATTTAGATGCCTCAGGGGAAAACGCCTTAACAATAATGCCAATGCAGATATATATAGTCACCTGACAGCCCTAGCTATTATTGATTTATCTTTTCAGCCCAATGCATACATATGTTTCTCGGCTTGTCTTTTATCTCTTCGCCATTCCAATACGGAGTACTCCGTACCCTAGCCTAGTTTACTTGATATCTGGGCAGATACCCTTGGCAGAATCAAAATGTCCTATGATGACTCCAGTTATTGTTCTGCACTGCAATCGACTTGGGCGCTGGTCTATTAAATTCTATGCTCTTGCTATTTTCACTCGCATCCTCATTCCATCCACCGGCTTGGCGGTAATTTCCAGTGTCTGAACTTTGTTAGTAAATGTATATCACTTGCAGCATTGCAGCCCTGTAGTACCGCCAAGTACTTACATTATACAACTCTGACTGAACTTCGTATTGTCCGTTTTCTTTTTCAATCGGCGCACCTGACGCATCCCGCTTGGTTGACCCAAGACCTACCTTCTCCCAATCATATCGCCGTGTCGCACAAGCGAAAATCACAAGAGCCTCGATATTCGCGAGCTCTTGTCCAATGCAATTGCGTGGTCCACGCTCAAAAGCCCGCCAAGCACTCGCCGGTATAGTGGAGCCGGTTTCCAACCAGCGTTCGGGAATAAACTGATCGCTCTTGTCACCATACACGGCTTGGTCACGCTGGATGATGCTCTCACAGTGGTAGAGCACCAACCCATCCAGACACATATCTTGACCATCTGGTAGTCGAACGTTAAACCCCGTGTTTGGGGCCGAAAAGCGCGATGTCCCAGCTGGTGGATACAGACGAAGAATTTCCTTTATAACGGCAGAGGTGTAGGTCATCCTTTGAAGAACATTCTCTCCGTGTTCTAAGATTTGATCTCGAACTTGGATTGGGTTCGAGTAAGGACCGAAGATGTCGTCCAGTTCCATGCAAACAAGGCGTAGGACGTGAGGGGTCCGAGATAGTTCGTAGAATGTCCATTGTAGCAAGATACTTGTTGTATCATGGCCAGCAAATAAGAAAGTTTTGAGTTGATCGCAAGTCCTATCTAGAACTTCTGGCGTTAACTCATGTGTGTCAACTAGACTTAGAGCAAGGACACTGCGAGATGGCTTTGGCGAAGCTGACTGCTCTTCAAACTTTTCCTTAATACGCTCTTTGATGCGCGCATTGAGTTGACGAGAAATTAAATTTCTCTGGAGAGGACGTAAATATTTCCATCCGCTGTTGCTGTAACGATAGGTCGATCCAAGTTTGCGGAAGAGTGGAATGATTTCACTTTGGTTTTCTTCTCCAAGCTGAGCATTCAGATCAATGTCCATGGTGACCGCGCCGATAATATCAAATGTCAAATTTGTACATAGTACATCCAGCCGAAACTCCTCGCCAGTGCTAGCATAACGATCGAGCTTCGTTAAGAAAATCTGCGTTTTTTCCAGAATACATGGCATCAAACTGATGAGATGTTTATGGGCAAATCCTGGATTGAACTGCTTGCGAAAACTTTTCCACTCTTCATTCTAGATGCAGTTAGTATGGCCTAAATATATCTCAATTTTGGTCCTTCAACCTACCTGCGCAAGAACAATCGAGAGTGGACCCATCATGTCGGTGTATCGGCGAGTTATGTCTGACTTCGGAAGACTGTACGGAAACAGGTTCGAGCTTTTGGATATTTGCTCTGCAACATCATGATTGCAGATCACGCACATAGGGGGTCTCATTGGTCGCAAATCGACAATAAATAGCGCGGGCTTATCGAGACGATTATACATTGTTCTTAAGATTTCGTCTAGCAAACAGTCAGTTTTATATTCCAAGTCCAAGTGTCTCTCATCCCACCAATGTGTATATTTGGTCGATTTATCTTTGTGAATTCCCCGAGCGTGGATAAATGACCCCATATTAGCGATGGCGGAAACTGGGGCAACCAGGCATATTGTTTCGTTCGGTGATATATGGCTTTTTTCCAAAGATAGAAAAGAAGAAGCGGAATGACTGTAGCAACTAGAGTCCAGGCCATTTTTGATATCACAAATATTCCTAGCAGAAGCTCTGGAGGTCAGTATTCGTGGATACCAAGATGCTGTTTAAATTTGGGCGAGTTGACGCCTCGCTTAAGTTGTGATGGATGTCCCGTTGGGATGATAAGTACTATCAAGACTACCCAGGTGGGTAGGCAATTGCTAACTTACTATAATTACTCCACGGCAACCGTGAAAAGCACTCCGTCAGGAGAGATCTATATTGTACTTTGTATGGGACGCCAAAATGTATGGTGCAATGTGAGATGATTGAAGGGTTGAAAAAGCTTGGTTCTAGATTATGGAGTCCGATACACCCATATCGTTCTCCGACCAGTACAAATGATAGATTCACTCAGTTCATTTTATTTTCTGCAAGATAAAATTGATTACAGAGTGTTTTGAACAAGACGAAGTAAGGAGTAGGCATGTTAGGTATCTCTGCCATTCTGGGATTAGCGTTATTATCAACCGTGACAGATATAAAAAGGGATGGTTACATACCTGTGTAGGTTTCCACCTCGAGTTCTTTTCTCCAGGAATTCCCGTGTTTGAACACATCGAAAATATAATACCTCTCACTGCAAACACCAAATCTATGGCTGCATGGCGTCCATAGGCAGTATTTCCGACATACGGAACGAGATCCTGGAAAATGACACCGCAAAACGAATTGTGATTAAAGTGAGAACTCAAAGGCTAGATTCTCAGAATTATCGCGTCTCAGCCCACGAATTTATCAGCGAGGTTTTTCCCGGCTGGGAAAACGACCCGCGGATTCTGCCTGTCGTGATTGATGTATGGGATGAACGTACCTTCATTGTCGTCGACATTAATCATCTTGATTACGACTTTAATACGGCTCACGAAGTCAAAAAGGTCTTCCCAGTGTATATACTCCGCCAAGGGAAAAAGCGTGGCTGGGCTCTTATAAAATGGCCTCGAGAGGATGAGCCCCTTAGCGCGAAACTCATGTATCTTCACAACGCCCATGGTTGGGACGCCAAAACACCTTTCCTAGAAGACCACCACTCACGTATCGTGCACGCCAATCCCCGCGATCTTCGTAAATGAAGGGCTACCAAGTTTTCTTACCTCACTGTTCTACTGGATTAACTGGAGACCAAATCTTGTTTTGTTGGTTATGTCCAATTTTAAAACATCATGTTAGTAATATAGCACGATAAAACAAGAACTTCCACAATTTGCCATAATCTATTCCTTTTCAATGTCCTCTACGCCTAATTGCTTTAATGTATATATGTAGGAGGCACATGTGCATCGAACATTGGAATTACATAAACCACAAGGTTCATAACTACTAATTTACTAAGCTTCCCCTCTCTGATGCGCATACATGTGCATACCTTCCTTTCATCCCACCTCCCAACTTCTTCTTCTTATCTAGTAATGCTCTGGTGCTTCTAACAGGAGTCTGCCAAAGATTCTGAAAATGGCAAACTTCCAGAATTCACATGTGATATATGGTACTAGTTAACATGCTCCACGAATGTTCCCAGGACTAGACCGGGAGCTGCGACCAAAGAAAAGCCCCCTTTGGCGCCATCTCATCTCCCACATGCAACAAATTGAAAGCCAGAAGCGCCATGTACCAATGTTGTTGACGCATATTACTTCTCAGGTGGCTTCCTAATCGGTGTTTCTTGCTGCAACTGGTCCCGATGGCTAGAGAGGCTATGGCCCCAAACCCCCATATGATGCCATTGACACCTTGAGAGATGCGAGCTACGGAGTACCTGTCCCTGACATTCCAACACCTTATATGATGGATCCTTTTTCAGGGGTCATCCCGACTGGAAGTGTTGCGGTAAGTAAAAAAATAGAACGACCAGGAAGGTTGTTGGCCCGATTAGCCAGGCACCCCGAAACAGCCATGCAGTCACCTGAGCGCGATAAGCTCCAAGTTTTTTTTCGCCACTTTTTTTTTTTTTATCATACATATTCCCCCACCAGAGCCCAGATCGCCCAGGACTTTCTTTTCAGTGTTCTTGGTGCTCGACTTACTCTGGAGCTTCATTTAGCATTGAACTTCCCCAGATTTTGTTCTGAATCTGCGGGTAAAACATTCCATATCTAAGGAACGTTTCCGTTCGCTTGACAAACCGTGGTTTATTGGATTTCGAGAGATCCAATTATTTCCCCCCACTTCCCCCTTTTATCTCGAAGAATCACTTCAAAGCAATTTTAAAGCTGGAAATAGCCCAAGAATTGCTTGCGCAGCTGGTCGCGTGCTCAGAGATAAGCCCTAGAGCCTCCGTGTCTTAGCTTACCCGTGGATCACATTACCATTATCTTCAAAGGTAGGCGTCTTCTCCTTTCCATTGTGCGACTCTTGTGTAGTTAGGGAATCTACTGTATTGTGTGTTCTTATAAGTACACGTCGACCCCTTTCTTGTAATTCCGGAGGCGACTCGAATCTCGCCTCACCCCACTCGAATCATTCGTCTTAAGCGCCGCGGTACTAATTCCCAAACAGATTCATCTACGGCAACAGACTTGGATATCAGCTCTTTGATTTACGGCCTTACGCACAGGTAGAACTGTTAGGTTCCCTGTCAGACGGAACACGTTTGAAATAGTATCGTCACGTGTCCTTTAAGCCCATTGCGCAACCATCATCTGCTATGCCTTCGCTGGACGACCACGCGTGTTGCAAACACCGCGAGGGCCAGGAGCAACCTACCATATCCGAGGAAGATCCCCAGCAGGGTCTACTCCACCAAGTATACGAATGGCTTCACCATGAGAAAGTCAGACGACAGAATCGTAAAGCACGGAAAGCCGAATCACCCTCCCATGCAACAAACGAAAATGAGCCAGCTGCCGAAAATGATACCTTAGAAAGACCCCGCTCGAACACCTCGGAGAACAGCTTTTCCCTGGATCAACTGGAAAAGATTCTCCTCCAATATGCGACTACCCGGCCCAGCACTGCAGCGGGTTCGCCCCAAAAACAACCTGTCAAAAAGCAATCTCGACATCGTCTCAAAGGTCTACGGAGAGGCTCGGCATCTGAGTCTGAACTCACAGATGTCGACGGGGCCCCGCCAAGCGTGGAAGCTGTTCTTGACAATACAAAGACACTTGCCTACACCGGCGGCGCTGCAGTAGAAGAAGTCGCCGACTCCAGTGCGAGTGTGAAGCAAGCTAAGGATGCAGAAGCTTGGGTGATTTTCAAGACCGAGATCGTGCGTCTTGTGCATACTCTGCAGCTTAAGGGCTGGCGCAGGGTTCCCGCGGATCTGGCACCAGAAATTGAAGTGGTTAGACTCAGCGGTGCTCTCACAAACGCCGTGTATGTAGTTGCACCACCGAAACATCTACCTCCTCCGAAGACCGATAGCAACAGTCTGTCTTCAAGGAAACGCCCACCGTAAGCAACAAATCGCCTTTCCTTCCTTTGAAGACACAGCTAATTGGATTTACAGGAAACTTCTCTTGCGTATCTACGGTCCTCAAGTCGACCATTTAATTGACCGAGAGAATGAGCTGCAAATTCTTCGTCGCCTCGGAAGGAAGAATATTGGTCCACGCATTCTGGGAACTTTCCAGAATGGCCGGTTCGAAGAATACTTTGAGGCTCGTCCACTCACTCCCAAGGAGCTGCGAATGCCCGAAACGGCGAAGCAGGTTGCCAAGCGGATGAGAGAATTGCATGATGGCGTTGAACTCCTTGAAGAAGAACGCGAAGGCGGACCTATGATCTTCAAGAACTGGGATAAGTGGGTGGATCGCTGCGAGCAAGTGACGACCTGGCTGGATAAAGAACTTGAATCCCCCCAAAACGAGGCCAAAGCTGCATTGGAACCATGGCGTCGCCGCGGTTATGTCTGCGGCGTAACATGGGACGTGTTCCGCAAAGCCGTGGATAGGTACCGGCAGTGGCTGGTTGCCAGTTCTGGTGGAACCGACGAGATCAAACGACAGCTAGTCTTTGCGCACAATGATGTAAGCTTTCCATCTGCTTCTTTGGATATGCTATTAACATGTTTTCTTGTAGACCCAATATGGCAATCTACTTCGCATGGAGCCAGCCACAGAGTCACCACTGCTTTTACCCGCAAATGAACATAAACAGCTAATCGTCATCGACTTCGAGTACTCTTCTGCCAATACACGTGGACTCGAGTTCGCCAACCACTTTGTGAGTCCTACTAATCTAACCAATCCAAATCAATGCTAACTGCAACAGACCGAGTGGTGCTACAACTACCACGACGAAGAGCGCTCATGGGCTTGCAACAACCGCACATACCCAACACCAGAGCAGCAGTACTATTTCGTGTCAACATACCTTACCCACCGGCCTTTCAGCTCCGGCGGACCTATTTCACCTCTAGCCTCGCCAACCATCCGCGCTCGCAGTGCTGCTGTGATTGCACCATTGGACTTGGACGACGTGTCAGATAGACCCAGCTCTCGGCTTTCGCAGACTGATCAGTCCAAGGAGACTGAACTTGACACAGAGGTGCGATTCCTCATACATCAGACCCGCATGTGGCGGGCAATGAACTCCGCGCAGTGGGTAGCTTGGGGTATCGTGCAGGCCAAGGTGCCTGGCATGGAAGAAGGCATTGCGGAGATGCTTGCTGCTCGCAACGGCGATGGCGATGACACTAAGACGCCGCCTGCGGAAGCGGACGTCGACGAAGAAGATGACGGGGACTTTGACTACCTCGCTTACGCGCAGGATCGAGTCATGTTCTTCTGGGGTGATCTGTTGTCACTGAATCTGATCAAACCGGAGGAACTGCCGGCGCCTCTATTGGAGCACGTCAAGTCGCGACTTGTGGCATATTAAGTGGAGGAGAATTGGAGGAGCATTAACGACCATCTTCACGGAGACTTGTTCATACACATTATCATGATTTACAATGTGGACGCTAGTACAGTACATAGCACTGCGTCAAATCGGTGATTTATCACACCTACATGTATCTACTACACTAGCGTTGGGGTTTCAACATCATCATCGAATACCATATCCTGTCTTATTTCATTTTCATTTGATCATCCCAACCATCTCACAAAGGGTATCTGAAATGCCATTGTAGAAAAATCAGAAGTAGAAAAAAAGATCCCATCAACGCCCAACCCTCTTACCTCCGCATCTCAAGCTTCTTCCTCGTCTCCCTCTTCGCACCCTCAACCCACTCCCCATAAGCCTTGCCCTGAGGATCCTTCTCCTTAAACCCAACAACGCCCTTCAAGACCTCCCCAATAAACCCAACGAAATTCCACCGTCTCAGCGTATTCTCCCACTGCCACGCAGCCCTCTTCCTCTCCTCCCTCTCAAGCGTCTCCACATCCCCAATCTCCCTCGCCCTCCCACGCGGATCCCTAACAACAGCCATGAGATTGAAATGCGTTTCCTCAGGCGGGTATCTCGCAATGCGCCTCTGCAGAACCTCAATAACCCTCTCAGGGAACTCCTCCGTCTCACAAGCCCCATGGCTAATAGGATGCGGCTGCAAACCATCGAGCTCATACAGCGTCCCGTTCACAGGGGTATACGCAATGAAATGGTAAACGTCTGCTCCCTTCTCGTCATCCTGAGGTCGTGCCGTCTCATCGGCGAACGGACTCGCGCGCGCAAAGCTGTTATGTGCGCTTCGGATTGCTGCTGAGTTCGAGAGCGCTTCGCCGCGCAGCTCGGGCGGGAAACCTGTTGTGAAGTCTTTGAAGGAGCGGAGCTCGTCGCCGAGCTCGATTGCTGGCGTTGGCGCGGGGGGGTTGTCGTGGTTCAGGATTACGGAGAGGATGGCTTGTGTGCCGCAGGCGTTTTGGATGGTCTGGGCGGCGAAGAAGAGGTTGTTGTCTGTTGCTGTTGGGTCGTAGGTTCCGTCTAGCGGGGCTTCGGTGCGGGAGCTGGTTGTTTCGCGCGTCCATTTGAAGAGGAAGATTACGCCGTAGACGGTGCTGTTTTGGGGTTAGTTTTGGTTGGATATGTTTTTTGAGGTTTTGGATGGGATGGGATGTGGTGGAATTGCGGGCGTTGGGAGGAATTGCTGCTTACCCTAGTGACCGTATTGTGTCTGCATCTAGAGAGATGAGCTCTTCGAATTGGGTGTCTTTTACTCCGAGTGTCTCGATCAGAGAGGTGAAGAGACCCTAGCTTGTGTTAGTATGCTGCTTGGATAGATTATGAGGGTGACGGTACCTCATCTGACTCGATAGTGCTCCAGCCACCTACATCAGCCATTTTGACTGTCTGTGATGGATGCTGAGGGCGATTGTATGGAAGATGTTGTGTTGTCGATTGCTTTCTTCCCCAAACGGGGAATGCGGTTATGTCATTGTCACGTGAAATTTGACTGTGATAGCCTCAAGTCACGTGCGTATCCACTATAAAGTATATAGAGACGGTCCCTCATTGATTTTCTAGAAGATTGAAGACGGCACGCAAGAAGCAATTATAAAGCGGTGGCCATATTGAAGATTAGGTGGGAAGTGAAGTTCTATGAGTCTTAAGTTCCAACTTAGAGTGAAGATGCACCCTGGATGTGGAAGGTTGGAAAAAGTAGTATACAGCACAGCAGTCGTGGATATCAAGAGGAGGGATTAGTTATACTTGTTCCCAAATGTCCAAAAGGGAATGTCACTCAATAACAATTAGATAGACAGAATATCTTCAACAGGGGAAATAAAAAGTCGAACCATCAAACCTGCTCTCACAGGGCGTTGATGAACAGAAAGGCAACGAAATGAACAACCGGACATCCCCGATTCAAACCAAAAAAAAAAACAATGACAAGTCAACCCGTCACTAGATGTATCAAAAACTTCAATTCGGACTACACACAGACCCAAGTGGCATTGACCATCTGCGAGCGCAATGACCAAGAGCAAGAGTGCCATCGAAGACGCGAAGATAATCGCATTCATCTCCACGTCCAACATCACTACGACCCACAAAATAAAGCACAAGAGACAAGAGCCCCAAAATGGGGTATGCAATTCGCAGAAGAAAAGATAAATATAGGCAACACGAGAGGTGGGGACGATCGTTAATCCAATTTCCGCGGAGCGAAGATCCATAATATTAATATGGATACGATAATAACACTTAACAACCCAGAACTGAATGAAAAATAGTAAAAACAACCAACCCATTTATAAAATAAACAACACTCGCATACAGTGTGCAGGCCTGCAAAAAGACGATGTCATACATACTACCGTTGGCGTAACAGACGCATGAAGAACACGGATTACCATATGCAAGAGTCAACCTCCCAGTAATCACCATAGCCCCAAAGCCACTTTGAAACCTCCTTCCCCTCAATATACAAACCCAGCAAACCCCAATCGGTGCTAGCTCGGGGGCTTGATGCCCCATTTGGAATGATCGAAGCCAAGCAGGCAGCCGAATACGAGGCTTGGAGAAATATGGCGGCGGGGGTACCAATCAGAAGGATGGATCTGTAGTCTAAATTCCTTTAATGTGTTCCGTGCTTTTGGCTTCCTCTATTCTTGGGATAGGGGTCTGGTGGTTACCGGTGGCTGCTTTAGGTGCTTCCGTGGTGCCTGTCGATCGGTGTGAGGCGCAGGTTCAGGTGCAGATGCAAGGGGGTTCTTTGAGGAGAATGAGAGGGATGTTACTGAGGTAATGGACTCTTGTTCATTGAAGTTTCAGATCTGTTTCTGATATGATGCCGAGGTTATTCTAAGGCTATAGTTCTGAATAGATGAAGAATTACTCAACGCATATACAAACACTCCAGGTCAATTAACAGATGATTTGATAAAATCAGGGTATATGTATCAATATCAAAATATCAGTTCGAATGCATTCCCTCCTGCAACTGCAACCGAGTACAAGTCCAAACCGAGCATTAAATTTGGACACAATATCACACCCCAACGCTCATGCTCAACAAAAACAAGGTTCCGAATATATAAAAGAAAGAGTCGAGTAGGTTAAAGCCGAAAGACTCGCGTGTCATGATCAAAAAAGCACATGTTCTCCGGATCCGATTACCGCAGAACATAACTCCGTTGCCGCCATATTTTCCAAAAAAATGAGAGAGATTATATCTTCCAATTCCCTCCTGGTACCCAATAGCCAGAGCCAGACTGACCAACCCCTGTTCAGGGCGGTTGTCCGAGATTTCCCATGTTTTTGTTAATTTTTGTTTCTTTTCTGGTGTAGATAGATTTCATCTTATAAACAACGCATCCTGACAATCATGTCCAGAGTGAAGCGGGAGCAGCTAAGCCCGGTATTTCAAAGGGATGTGTCTGCGGATATATCTCCATATTAAGACCGAGTGTGCCATCCGTGCGCGGCAGACTGGCACACAGTACATCGCTGCCATATGGCGGGGTATAAGATGTTGAATTGGAAAGAGAAGCATGATGGGAATGGCCATGGCTATGGCCACCTAGATCTGAGAGGCCGAGGTGTGCATCGTGGTTATCGAGGAGCTGTGGAGAGGGCGGGTATAAGGAATGTGATGGTGTGGCGGAAACATATCCGTCTTGGATGGGGAAAGCAGAGTTTGCGATTGTGACAGCAGGAGGGGAATGCAGAGGCGGGGTATAAGCGGCATAAGAAGGCGAAGCGGAAGCAGGCGAGGAAGAAGCCACGAGCGGGTATTCGTGCACAGCGTGGTGGAAAGGACTGGGTGGACCGGGGGAGTAGTGGTCGACTGAGGAGCGGGGGGACCAAGGGAGCGGAAGACGGCTGCGGTAGCGGGCGACGATGTTGCGTGGCAGGTCCATGAGTTCCAGGGGTGAACGGATATCTGTGTTGAAGGGGTCTGCGGCGCTGTGGGTCGCTATCATGCGGTACATCTCTTCGATGGGAGTTATGGATAGGGCACCTAGGTATGCGCCGCCTAACTCTGGGAAGAAGCGGTCGAGGGAGATGCCGACTGCGAAGAATTGTGCTAGAATTGGGAGGGCGCTGATATCTGATTCGCTGCTTCGGAGCATGGCGGGTGGAAGCCAGAAGAGCCAGCGGCGGAGGGTTTGGATGCTTTCGAATGATTGCTCTGGAGTTTGATTGGGGAAGTCATCGTGGAATTTCTGGGTGAATTCAATGAGTTCGCCTAGGCGTTGGGAGTGCTCGAGGTTGTGGGAAACGCGTTTCTGTGTCATTCGTAGGGCTTGGATGGTTTGGTCCAGATGTAGCATGTCTTCGTCGAGGGGTTGGTAGACACCAGCCATTGAAAGATCTGCCGTGCTCAGTGCTCGTTGGTTTTCTATAAACTGTGCAAGTTCTGACTCTTGCTTCCAATATGGATGCATGGATTCTAAGACGCTGGAGATGCCTCCTTGTAAAGAGACCCAACTTTGACTGGTGCCGGTGTTAGTTGAGAGAATTTCCCAAGGAGCTGATTTCTATAACACTTACTTCTCTGTTGCCTGCCATGAAAGAAGAACCGAAGCTGCCAGAATGGCATCACAGTTTTCCTTCGAGAAGGACCCTAGAGCAGTCTGCAGTCCCTGGAGAGCCGTGACCTTATGACGGAAAGCCAGCTGCCTAGTCTCCTGGTCCCGTGTAATAAAGGCGATATGAAACGCGGAAAAGCTCAAGATAGAGCTCATAACGAAATCGCTGCCCAGCGCAATAGCCAGGAAACTATAGAAATGTCACACCCATCAGTAAAGAGTTCCTAGACCTCCAAACCCTAGCAAAAATGTAGATAATACTCACTTTGGCATCTTCTGCGCCCACACGGTGCAGCCACTCAACCCTCTGCGATGCAAATCAATAGAAAGCCCAATGATATGGTGAATCAAGCGTAAATCAGTGCGCGACAAGCCAGACCATCCGGACCGCGGACACTGCAAGAGCTCCGGATATGGAGGCACGCCCGTGCGATGCCAATTGTCTATTTCCATTTCGATCTCTGGCGAGATGAGGAGGTCCGGCCCGCGGCGGGGCGCGGGAGGACTCCCACGTTGAGAAGCAGCCGCATCTTGGTAGTCACAGCGGCAGTTGTGTTTTGTGCAATTGCGACTGAATGGAATTAGTATGTGTCTATAGTGGAGTATACGGGGAGTAGGCTGCGGTAATGCTGGAATGTATTTCAGAACATACCATTGCGGGAAGGTCTCATCGCATCGAATGTGTCTTCTCTTGCATGTTTTGCAGCCGTTACGGGATTTGGTGTGGCTCTTGCGTGGTGGACCGCCGCCTGGACCGACCATTTTGGCGAGGAAATTGGGACTGGAGTCAAGGACTCCACAGATGGTTTGTAGTAAAAGAGTTGGGCACGTATGCCCTGTAGTTATAAACACTCCCAAGTCCAAAAATAGCTTTGGGGGCCGTTGAGGTTCGAAGAATATGTTGAATTAAGCACGTGGAGAATACGAGAGAAGATCTTAAGAGAAGAGAGAGGGGGAAGGGGGAAATACTATAAACAATAGAGAGTCAGGCGTAAGATATCTGACTTATTTAAATTCTCTCTTTTTCGTTTTTTATTTTTTTTCCCAGTGACGATCGAGATTTTGAGCCTCTGGGTACAGGGGGGTAAGCCAAGAAAATTAATTAAATAAAATAAAATACATATAAGTGAAAATAACAAAAAGTAAATGAAAATGAGTGAAAATAAGTGAAAATAAAACACAATTAAAACACGAAACAAAACAAAAAAAAAACAAAATACGGTCTAATCTAGCACTTACTTTCAGGCATCGGGGACCACATGGAGAAGCTTATATAGCTGCCTTCATAGGTTAGGCCATCCACTACGCATGTGAGCCCATCTTTTTTTTATAGTAGTCTACATTGTATATTATATGTTGTATATTATATATTACACTGTGGAGATGACTTTTTTTCTTCTTCACGTTGGCTTTTGCAGTTTCTGGTGAGAACCATCTAGCCCTAAATGTCCTATGGTTCCAATTTGATATACATATATAGGCACTATATATGCCCATATATAGTCGCCTATTAATTCCAAGGCTATAAGATATGCTTACCACCAAATCAAAAAGGATTGAAAGCTGATTCGTATGTGTATTCATCATTCATTTTGCTTTTTTTTTCCTTTGCCTGAATCTCATCCCGCGTTCCAGGAAACATAGTTCTAGCCAAGCGTATGTATGCAGGGGCCTGTGGGCAGACCCCAGACTTCAAAAAATGATAAAAAAATATGTTGTATAGAAGGGACAATATAGTCACCGATCGACCCTTTCGCCTCGCAAGGCTTTCGATCTGAAGGACCCTGGATTGTGGGGTTGGCAAAGACCGTTAACCCCGTTAGGAAAGGAGAAAAAGAGCCAGTTCTTGCGCTATTGTAGACGCCATCTCTAGAGTGGCTCTTCTCTTTTTTCTCGCTAAAAGGTTCAAGCTTAGCCTGACAGGCGGAAGTCGGCCGTTTCTACCCGCCATGTGAGTCAGATGGGATATTAAACGCTGAACTCGGTAATCGCAACCGAATGTAGAAGGCCGTAAAAAAAACCAGTATAGGATTTTAAGAGTAGAAATCAAAAAATAATATTACACCACATGGAACCTGGGGATTTGAAGGCAACGCGTGAACGTTTAGTCCGCAACCAGGGTGTAAGACCAATCTCTCGGGATCACCGCATCCACATCTCAATTTCCCTCTTTTTTTTTCTTTTGTGCATCCCTTATCCTGACACCCTACACTAACCGATTACGCATCTTTGGCCCCCAGGTCGGAACCCTATCTTCTACTCCGATGAAGTTACCACTGGACTGGAACGTAGGGGAAATCCATAGTAAGCCTGAAAGTATACAGGGTAAGCCCAAAGTGGGAAATGAAACCCCTGATGGTCTAGAGTCTTACAAGGATCAGAAAGAGCTGTAAGATCAGTTCCAACACCTAATCATCCAAAAAAAGCCTAGAAAGCCCTGGGCTTGGGGCTTCTCCTACAGGGATCCAGGGGTTCAACATAAAACAGTAAGAATGTTCAAAGGTAAAAGGTAAAAGATAAAAGGGTTTGAATATCATCATGCACTTTGGCCCAAACGAGGGGATTTCTAAGGCCAAGTCAGCAATACCTACAAATCGACAAGTCCCCTGAAACCATGTAATATGCAGATTTATGTGACACCCGATTTTAGGCCACGTTTTCTGGGGATCAGACGTGGAAGACGTCTAAAGTCGGTGTGTGCCACCTTTTGATCTGGACGGGAATCCTTCTGTATTGACGCACTGCAGTGACGATTATGCCACACGTGGCACCATATACATCACAGACCGAGATGATTAGATCATCTATGTTTGACATGTTTGATGTTAAGCCGAATACGCTGCCTTCCTTTCAAGGCTATTAAGGCTGTTCAACTAGTCAAGTTAAAGCTACTTCTTCTAAATAACCCATAGAAGGTACGGAGTATACAATGCGGGTCCGGAAATATTCGGGCGAAGCTATTTTCTCCAGAAGGAACTGAAGGAACACAAAATCCATGTCCAATCAGCTGTGATAAGTCTCGCTTGTCGAGACATCAGGCCCAACATGGGAAAGGTTGGGGGCCAAAAGTAAGTGGATTTTGACTTCTCAGCTTTATTTTATTTTTTATTTTTTTCCGGTCTAACCTTTTTTTACGTCAGAATTTCACCGGAATTGACGGGAAGCTATTTCAATTTATATGTACACTTTGCTATATGATATATATCTCCGGACCCTTTAGTTTAGATTGGGATGACTTCATCTATAACCCCGTGATCTTGAAACTGTCAGCCCATAAGCAGATAATTCAAAAAAAAAAAAAGAAAAAAATAAGAATCATGGAGTTCCCCAGTCCGAACCTTGGAAATCAGAAACACAGCCCGTGGCATTGCACGCTAACCAACTCTAATCTGCCAAGACTTGGGCTATCCTAGACTTGTGGGGACTTCGGATTTTCTTTCTTATTGTAGATCATATAGATATATGAACTACTATGTATGCTATGTATACTATGTATACTATGTATCCTATACTATACTGGCCTAATAGTTATTAGATTCAAATATCACAAAGTGTTAGGATACACACTATACAAAATACAAACATACTTGCATATGTACATGTCTGCACAATCTAACAGGCTTCGGACATGTAAAGCCCAGTTCTTAAAGAGGCATGCAAGCTCGAAGTTTAACCTCAAGATTTGGAAAGTCTATTCTTTAGGAAGAAATAGCCAGAGAGACGGGATCTTTTGATCCTCCATACCTCCATACTTACATGTACATATAGTATATAGGCAAGTACCTATCCCTGGAGGTACGTATAACATCCCTTCCTAAATAGAGTCCTTAGCGTCAACTCTGTTCCCCAAGCCACCGCCATCTCATCTTTGTACTTTTATTGCCCGAGACTAATGCCCGACACTTGATACGTGTACGTGTCTAAGGCACCTATGAGATCATCATGACTTTCCTCGCAAAATATCTCTATTAACTCTCCTATAGACGTGATAGCAATCTACCAGATAATCTTACATTTCTCCGCGGTACATAGGTACCTAAGTGTATGCTGTAGTTATATAATCCAAAATACCTATATCAGGTGTCATCATGAGAAAACCATGATGACAGAGCCACCCCGAAAATGGCCTACACATCTACACCATATCGATGTCATTAGAGGCAACAAATCAGGGACATTCGTCCATATCATGAGCTTCATTTTCACTTTCTCCTTCTCTCTTTCTTATAATGTGCAGCACTGTGCAACCTGACCGTTCTCGCGTGCCGGGACAATATCCAACAGATACCAGATAACCGACAACAGACAACTTGCATATATCACATCGATCCTTTCAAACTTTCTCATTGGTTGATTCATACCTCTCAGGGTTGAACAAGAAGTGCCCGTGATCCACGCCTGATATCACCCCAAAACACGCCAAGATGGGCTTCCACAAATCATCCATGGGCATCAAGCTCAAGGATAAGCACCTCCTCACTGCTTACTGCCAGCGACCTTCTGGAGAAGCTACATATTCAGAGCTCGATCTGGATGACTTCCTTGGGGCAAGAAAGGGTAAGGACACTCTCTAAATGCTCTGTTGATCAAGATCAAACCCCATATCTTGTTTTATATCGGATCAAGAATCTAATCATGATAATCTAGGACAACTCGCCTGGGGTGAGCGGGGCTTCTCGAAGAGCTCACGTAAGGTTGAATTCAAACTTGAAGGCCCCAACGAGGACCCCGTGCTGCACGCGCAACTCGATGATGGCGAAGGAAACGTAAACGATAGCAAGGTGAACCTAGGATCTTGCATCAAAAATGAGGATGGTCAGCTGAGTTTCATGGAATGTTTCTAGTGGAGGATCGGTGTTTTCCTGTTTCATACATCTCAAAATTGTGATTTAGAGAAGGAAATAACATTGAACACCATTGGATTTGATAATTAGTTTTTCTATGATCTGCTTACAAGTACTCCGTACTCCATCCCAGCCATCCCAGCCATCCCAATATCCACCATGCAGGCATCGGTTTCAGATTTGAAGTCTAAGGCAAGACGCCCAACCTAGACTGTACCACAAAAGACAATGATAACACAGTCACCGAGAACAACATTACGGCTGAGGCTGAGAACATCACCCCATTCCAAGACCCCTGAGAGCAGAGCACTATATAAGTTACGAAGTATAACGGGGGGGGAAAAAGTAAGCCTGATTCGTGAGATATCGCCTGTTTAAGCCCAAAAGCATCAAATTCACACCCGGGAAGGCGGGAATTCCCACCAAAAGAGCCAAGAACAACCCAGACCAACCCAGACCTATATGAATTGCCCCGAATCCTCCAATCCTCCCAGTCCACAATAGCCCTAATCATCCCATATCTGCAAAAGTCGCAAAAGGCATAGTCCGGGGCCGTGGAAAGTAAAGGCCGAAAAAACCGACCATAACCCGGAAACGCCTCAACGCACTACACCAACACCAAGATCCAGGCCGCCGGTACGCTACCCCCTAGGTACATTGTACCCTGCATCAACGTCTGTCATCGACACATGGCTTTTTAATCACGAGAGATAGGGTGGGGTTGTTGGTAGGGTATAGGATAGGGCATGGCATATTGCGGGCGCCCGGGTTCGTGAAAAAGAGTAGTTAAGGGAAAGGCTCGCGTCTTGGTATTTCGGGCGGTTTTTGTCTGAGCGGCCAATCGGTGGGGGGACGGCGTTGGTTAGGGGCTTTCGGTACCGAGGAGTTAATTATAACGCGTTTAGGCGAGAGTCGGGGGATTTGTATATATTACTTCTTTTTCCTATTTCCCTTTTTTTTACCCCGGTTATCTTAGAAGGGTATTTGGGTGTGGGGGGGTTCATTAGGGCTATGCGGTTTGTTGTTATATGTACATAGTAAAGAAGTCATGGTTAGTTTGATTTAGCGATGTATGTGATATGTACTCCGTATGCATACTCCTATATGTAGGTTATGAAAGGCAGGTGACTATGAAGTACTAGCCATGCATAATGTTTGCACAGTCCAAAAATAAACCTGCAGCTGTTCGGAGATTGCTAGGGCCCTGCTGATCTTAATCTTCCCTTGCTTTTTCTCCGCCCATTGGTTTACGGCCGAAGCTTTAGCGAGTCGATCTTGGTATGATCTTGGTATGAGTTCCCGGGGGGTTAGAGCTTGGATAATTTGTGTCAGGCACGGATGTGAGCGAGATATGTGAACGAAATAGATGTGAGATGCACTGACACTGACACGCGGCCTATTTGCCTAGCTTTGCTTTTTTTTAAGAGACAGATAGACAGGAGTGACAAGGTGGAAAATTATGCTCCATAAAAGCAAAGCTGGTTGTATTAAGCCGGAAGTAGCAATGTTTGGTCTATCTATACTGGACCAACGGATATGGCGGACAAAGACACTAGAACAGCCCGGATAAACCCCAATAATACCTGCTATTAATTAGATTGATTACTTTGCTAAAAGGTATTTGGCCCGGGGGAAGTAGGAAAATATCGATATTTAGTATGTATCTTCATACTAAGCCAAAACTAGCAACCTACCACACCGAATGTCCAAAAGGGAATGCTAGGATACCTAGCTGTGTTGAAACACAGCACGCATACGGAGTACACTCTACATACACTCCATGCTTTCAGAAATGTTCGAGATCTTCATTAAATGGAGATCTATCTATCTAGGTATCTATCTAAAGGGGGGTATGAATATGCCACGTAAAAAAAACCCCCAAAACCAGCGCTGAGAAGCCAAAAAAAAAAACCTATGAGCCAACCCTGACTTGATGATAACTATGCACAATGAAATGCAAAATGAGAATCAAGAATAAAGTCAACGAAATAGAAATCATAAAGGGTCATGCGTGCCCATGTTGCAATCATGAGATGTAACGTAAAAAAACAGCTAAATCGCAGATGCTCCTTCCCATGATTTTACTCCCTCTTTCTCCCTCCTCTTTCTATTAACGTGAAATTCCGGCCGCTGACCCCCTATGTACTGAACCCCCTCCCATGGGCCTCCCTCCCCTTCAACCTTAGCCCCGCCCGATTTGAGACAGGAGTGAATGTCAAGTGACGCCCCGGTAAAAGGCCTAAGCAGAGCCAATTTCTCTACTTAGACCTGATACACGGTGCGCAATGTCTGGGCCACGGCCGGGGGTAGCTGGCCGAGGAAGTTGCTGAAGTTAGGGATCAAGGTCTTGTATCCCTGGAGGACCTATATTTATACATATTGATTAGTAGGGTATTACTAAACACCAAGGGAAAATGTCTTACCTGTTGGAAGGATGCTTGGATATCCCGGTACTCTTCCTGTGCCAGCGAGCGGGCAGGGAACGAGGCAATTGCCTGGAAGTAGTCGAGCAGACACGACTCCATGGCCTGCGGGTTCTTCATCACCACCTGGTTGAATCCGAGGAAGGCGGAAGCCTTTTCACGCGTGAAATCAATCTTGTCCATTGACTTCAGGAAAGGTCCAGAACACTCGCTCAAATGGGGCGCAATCTGGTCTGCGCAGCAGAATCCCAATCGTCCTAATGCCATCGCGGCGTTTTCGTTCACCGAATCGATGATTTCCTCGTTAGTGATAATTGTAAAGAGCCCTTGGTATAGTTGCTCGGCATAGGGCGAAAGCGCAGCATTCTCGTGGACGGCAATCTCACCGCACGACCAACAGGCGTTGTTCAAAACACTGAAGCCCGTGTGACGATCGTCATCGCGAATCAGGTCCAAATCAAGCTGCTTAATCAAAACTGGGAGAAGAGTGGGAAGGAAAGGCTCCAAGTGGGGGAAAATGCTGATGGCGCAGTCTCCCAGAAGAGCGTACGTTGACTGACGGACTTCATAATTTTCATCCTCCATACAGTAACGGAGGAGCTCGAAGAAAGATGGCTGTGAATTGCCCACGAGCTCGCCGCTCTTTTGTGGGTCGATGGCCTGAATAATTGCACTAAGAAGATCAATGCTAGTAACAAGGAAGTCCTTGTCCGGCTCATCGGCCGCGGGGTGTGTCGGTTGAATAGAAGCCTGCAAGTTTCCGTAGATGATCTTCATGCAGCGACCGAAGAGAGGTGGCGCGAATTGGGCAAATGCATCGCCGTAAGCTGCAGAGATGTATCCGAGGCACTCAAGCAACGGGAACAGCTCTCGGGAATCATCAGAAATGTAGTTATAGCGACCGATGAGGGCAGGCATCAAGATCTCGATTAGATGCGGCCTCGCTAGCTCGCTCATAACACATTCAGCAAGCGTTTGCACGCAGTCATAAAGGATGTACATGTTTCGGTCTTTGTACTTATTGAAGCACGCCACAAACTGGCGCAAAATAGGCTCACAGTAGGGGGCCAGGTTATCCTCTGACTTCTCTTCCAGGCTAGCGAACGCTGATGCGGCAGCTTCTTGCACCTTCTTGTTATTGTCCAACATACGATGAAGTATGCCTTCCATCATGGGCTCAAAGAATTGGGCTTTCTGAGCTGGGTCGCGGAGGTGGGCCGCCCAACCAGAGTAACGGGCCAAGCACCAGCAAGTGATTTGTCGCACAACAGGCTGTTCATCGTTGAGGAGTGAAATCAGGTAAGGGACCAATTCTGGGAGATGGGGAGTGATGGCATCCATACAGCCATCCGCCACTGCACCTAGCGTAAGGACAGCGGCTTCTCGGTTCGGCCACTGCTCATGGCGCAGAGTTTCCATCAAATACGGCAGAAGGATTTCAAAAACAGGACGGTGGTAAACTGTGGAGAAGACATCGAGCGCAGCAGCAGAGCACTTACGCAGAGTCCAGTTACCCGAAGGGTCATCTCCGAATTCCGAGTCCTCAATTTCACCTTCGCTTAAGTCATCCTCATCCTCTAGCTGTTGCTCGAGAGCACGGGAGGCTTCCGTTTGTTCACCCGGCTTGGGCGCATTTAGACGGTCACCCTTCGATTTGGCAAACTGTGGCTTGAGATCCTCAGCGCGGTCCTCGGCGTCGGCATCATCTTGCTCGTCCATCAGTCGAGCCACTTCATCCTCATCGTAAATCATGTTTTGCAGAAGGACCGGGATGATTTTGTGCATGTATGGAGCCAATTCGGCCTGCAATTGCTCTTGCTCTCCAGCGCCAATCCAAAACTCGGCAGCGTCAAGTGCAAGCTCCGGGTCGTCCTGGGATTGCTGCTGCATGATGATATAGTTGACCAATCCTTCCATGTGCGGGGCCAATTTTTCTGGTGCAGTCTCCACAAGTTGAGAGAACGACTGACACACCATTTGTCGGACTCTGGTGTTTTCATCACCGGCAATTCTGAACAATTGCGAAAGAAATTGGTCGAGCGAAGTCATCAATGCCTGGGGTTTGAATGGCAAGAAAACGTGGATCGCATTGAGAGAAGCGGTCCTAATGTGAGGATTTTCAATTGTAATAAATTGCAGCAAGCTGGGGATGATGACATCGAGAGGGCGTTGGCCGTTGTAGTCACGATCTAGGACCTTGCGATTATCCTCACAGACCTTGTACAATGCATCCATTGCAGCTTGTCTGGCCGACATGGGTACATCCCCAGTGGCATTAGCGACAGTAGTCAATAGCTCATTGACAATCTCAGGCCAGGACAAGAGGCCTCCGTGAAGCACCATTGCGGTGATAATGTTACCGGCTGCTCTTGAGACATTGCGGTCGGCGTCGCGTAGTGTAACCAGAGCCGCGGACTTGATGAAGGCCAAGCTTTCAGGGGAGATCGTGCTGTAAGCAAGAGAAATCTTCGTCTTGACATTCACGGCGGCGGCAAATCGAACAGTTGGGTATTCATTCTCGTTAATCGCCGCCAGGGGGGCAGCTTGCGGACTGGAAAAGATGTAGGTGATGTAATTGATGTAATCAGGGGAAGAAGTCGCTTGTGCGAGCATCTATGAATTTTAAAAAAAAGCCAAGGTTAGTTTCCATCTTGAGGTAGTGTATGTTCGGCGACCACAGTTGAGAGGAAGCTCAATAGGGCAAGAAAAAAAAAAGAGGGAAAGGCATTACCTGCTCAGCCTCTGCTCGGGCTGCAAGGTTAGTTCCATTGAGCGAATCGCGAAGGTAGCGAGCCAACTGCCTCAATGGCTCTTGCTGAGGTTGCCAATTCATCTTGTCCTGGTGAAGAGACTCGATGCGACAGAGGTAAGTCGAAAGTGCGAGTAGCACAGGAGCCCCGCCGAGAATGTGGGAACGGGCCCCCTTCGTTTCCCCAGATCAAGGAAGGCCGAAATCTCCGATCCGCTAAGGCAGATCCAGAAATGAGACGGAAAGTAATTGGCCAAAGAAATTTTGCATGAATAATGTCAGAATCTAATACGTTAGCGGAGAAAACCTCAGACTGAGGGGTGTATGTGCTGCGGGCAGAAAAAAAAAGACTGCTGAAGATGGTAGGCGGTCAGTCACTTTGGAGTAGATCTCAAGTCCAAGATGCAAAGAAATAAGAAGAAAAAGTGTCGCTCTTTGCCACAGCAAATTTATCTGCAAATTATAAGCCTGATTATAGCAGGAGTGGATGGTCCTGGGAGTTGCGTGATGTTGAAGTTGAAAGGTGGAGTTGGGAGATGTAGAGGTAAGTCACGATGGAAGAAACCGCGGAGGGATCACTGCGAAATTTGACCCAATGTACATGAGAATGACATACACAGGCTATTACTTCTAAAGTTTCGCTATGGATTTACCAGCCAGCAGATAATATCCACACATGGAATAGAACCTGATAATCATACGGTCCCTCTGATATACCGCTAAAGTATCATGCGCTTACTCTTGAATCCCCTAAGAAGTATGATTAAGTGTCTGTTCTGTTCTATTGATCATATGTGAACCCTAGACCAATGCTATTTCAGATTGATGATAGTTACAAAACACTTAATTCAGTAATAACATGATGCTCACGTTTGAAAATTGAAAATTGAAAATATATGCAAGAATTCTGTAATGATACCAGTGACCGCGCAAAAGCCAATATGCAAAATGAGAGTGAAAGCTCAAGGTAAACGCAATAGGCATAAGTCGCGAAACCCAATCCAATCATGCCCAAACCATCTTCTTAAGATCGTAAACCAAATATTCCAACCATCCAGTCCTTTTCTTAGCATCCGCCAGAGAGATGATATCCGACTGTTCAACCACAGAGACCGCCTCAACATTCCTCCCCTGACCCGCAAGCATCGCGCGCTCGATATCCAAACAGACCGAGCGAACCCGATCCATCTCCCTAACAGTCCCAGTGCTGGGACCAAGCCGCGGACTAGCCACCGCTGTCGACAGCGGCAGGCCCTTGAACGCGACAAACCGCGTTGTCGCAGGCTTACTACCACGCAGCCATGAAACAAGATCCCACTCACTATTGGCGCTTGCGGTGGTCTCAAGCGTGTTGAGATTGACATCACTCTGCAAGGATCGAGTATTCACACGGAGGGTGTTCATGTCGCCGTCGCGGTGGACTATAACGAGACCGACATTGGTCGCCTCATCGGCTTGGCTATCTGTCAATATGGATGTGATGTATGTGCCGTAATGGATGCGCGAGATGGAGCGGAGATCGATGCGCTCGAATGATAGGACCTTGTCGGTTTCCCAGTCGAAGCGACAGCTGTAGACTGCGGCGTCGGTTAGGAGCAGGACTGATTCCTCAAACGGCAGGGTGCGGAGGGTGTTGGGTTGGCGGGGTGTCAGCATGGTCCAGCCGCCTACGAATTCTTCAGAGGGGCTACTGATGACGATGTTGCAGCTTGTGTCAATGGCGTACTGGCGGAGTTTTTGGACTGAGATTCCTGGATCGGTGGTCTGGAGCTGGATGGCGAACTCGTCGAAGACCTGGGTTGAGACGTTGCCTAGGAGGTAGTCGATACAGGCCTGAGAGAAGAAGTCATTTACGATGTTGTTATAGTAACGGGAGAGTGTCAGTCCAAAGTCGTTGAGGGCACCTCTGTAGTCTCGCTTGCGTGTGCGGGTGTAATCCCCCTTCAGGGCCGCGGTTGATGAGTACTGCTTCGAGATGGCATCGCCATTGTCTGCCCAGAGTGTATTGAACCATTGGGTGGAAGAGTCACCACCAAGATCAATGTCAATGCCTTCATTTTCAAGTTGATGCTCGAGGGCCCATTGGCCAAATGCACACTGGGCAACGCCAGTGCGGTCGAGACAATCCATGCAATTGGTTCTGATGATGCCCTTTTGGGTCTGCAGGATATCGTTGTCTGCCACTATGGTGTAGCAGAACTGGTTCAACGTATCTTTTAGTCGGTCAACCAGGCGAGATACGTTTTCAAACTTCATTCCTCGACACTCGCGGTGGAAGTCGAACCATTCAAGTTGTAATGGCTTACCGTCGATCCCACCGGCATCATTAAAGGCTTCAGTGTATCTCTCATATTGCTCTCCTAGCTTCAATTCACCGGCCAACTTGTCAATAAGAGAGACAGCCTGAACATCTCCATACCGTCGACTGAATTCTCGGAAGTGTCTACCAAAGGCAAGGAGATTCGTGTCTGCAGAGTGATGGAGTACTGGAACTGGCTTCAAGGCAAATGGCGTCTGAGAGAAGTAAAGAGGAATAGAACCCCGGACTTGCAAATATGAGTAGGCAGGATGAGACGGAACCCAATCCGGAACCGACAGAATCTGCTCGGTTTCGACTGTGTTGGCTGTGTTGCCCTCATCGTCAACACCACGGCGCAGGTAACGAAGACCTGGCCGTTTATTAGACCGTCGAGAAATGAGGGTTAAAAGATAATCACGCTTGCTAGCATTGGTCTCAACAGCCTCGGCCTCGTGTTTTTCACCGAGGATTCGGCCTTCCGCAAGTTCCACTGAGTCCTCCGAAGATTGTTTCTTTTCAGCACCGGCGACTGTGAATGCTCGTTGGCCGACAAAGCCTTGAATCAATGGCAGAACAAAGCCATGTGCCCCGTGATCAATGAATGTGTTCATCAAATGTCTATTCCAAAAATACTGCTAAGGAGTCAGCAAGGGGAGCTTAATAAAAGTATACTATGAGCCCTCGGTTCGCGCATACCAATGGATCCACAACTTTGTGGAGGGGGAGCTGATCTTTCCGAGCTTCTTGCATATGTAAAGAGCGCGTAAGATCGTAGTCATATGCAAAGAAAAAGTTATGCGATGCAAACAAGAGTTTTGTATATCGAAGCAGCTTCGGCAGCAAGTCCGCAGCCTGGCTAGGCCGATCAGGCTCACTCTGAGCCCCAACCTCTTCAGGCAGAGCTTCGTCCAAGGCTTCAGTTTTTGCCTCACTGGCATCACCCGATGGATCAGAGGCTTCGTCAAAGGGAGCCTCTGGCACATCCGACTCTAGAGCTCCGGGTCCGGGCAAGCCCAAGTTTTTGCGCGATAGCCAATGGGCAGCAAATTTGCCGAAGCGAACTTTCTTCCCAATCACATCTTCTGCGATACTGCCAACGCTGGTGCCGCGGACATGCGCTGTAGCGCGAGTAGGTGATGCGGGCAGGCTTCCGATCTCAGCCTCGGCCTCGGCTCTGTCGGTTTCATTATCGGGGAGGTCATCTTCGTCAGAAGATGAATCAATGGTGACTTCCTCCTGCGATGATTCTTTCCTAGCCTGTGTGATTGCGCGGGAAGCATCCGCTTGGGACGAGACCGGAATGATCGCGACGTTGGTTACGGCATAGATCGGATGGCCTTGGATCTGCGCTACTTGCTGGCGCTGTGTGATGGAAACGAGAAATGAATATGAAGCGACAGATAAGAAACCTGCAACACCAATGCCCTGGGATCAGTTTCGTTTGTTTCAATTTCCACTCGGTTCGTCAACATACCTACGAGACCGTAGGCCTCTAGCGCATCCTTTCCGTCGAGGGGCTCCGAGGCGGAAGCGGGCAACGCAGTAACTTTGTTCGTCTTATAGTCGATGCGGATGGATGAAGCCTCATTGTTGCTACCAGTGTGTCGTGGTCCGTTGGCCTGGGAATGTAGGATCAGGCCGTCGACTGCCGCAACAATGGCCAATTTGCGCAATAAAGTGGGCATCGCGCAGGTTCCCCGCGTTCGAAGGGAACAAAATCACACAGTTGCCCTTAAGACGTCTATAAGCCCCTCGAAAAGGTCGCCAAGGGCAGGCATTAAACGGGTAATAATTTAAAGACGTTGAAATTAGAAAAGCAAGAATCTCGGATGGGCATGGTCCATAAACAGCTGACCTGCAAATACATCATCGGCCTAGCCCCACCCAGATACGTCGCCAGTCTATTCCGCAAGAAATCCAACTTGAACTATATACAAGTATCTTGCCATGATCACTGATAGAAAAAAAAAAAAGGAAAAGAGAACAGAAAAAAAAAGGAAACAAATCGCAACCATCCAGAGATACCCAGAGTCATATCCAGTCGTTCATACAGACATGTCCAGTGTCTGATGAGTTCTCGCCCGAGTTTCAATGCCACTCTGGCATTTTCGGGGAACAGTAAAAATACAAGTGGAGGTCAAGCCTGTGGAAGGGAAGCTTGGGAGCAGTCGAATGTGTAGAGAGAAAGGAAAATCATTTCAAAGACCTTGTTATAAGGCGAGGGGTGGGTCAGACCTCGAGACACCTGCGATCAGATTTGACTGTTGCGCTTGGTGTGCATTGCAGTCTGTGCTTCGGTCAGTGGGATGGTCGGACCTGGCTCCCCATCATTTGCTTCAGCCAATGTGTCCATGCCGATTGCGTTCTCCGCATCGTATGCATGGATGAGGGCTTCGCGGTCGCCGTTTGCATTGAAGAATGCACTCGAGGAGCTTCGGCGGGACTGCATGGAGCGCCGGGTCTGGAAGCTCGCCATACCGTCTGTTGGCACTCCATCCTCATCAAGCTTTGAATTCACCATGCTGTGTCCATCAGGGTCGTGTCGCGAGAGGTTCAGGAGGTATACGCCGGTGAAGATGACAAGGAATCCACAAAGCAGAGATATGGTGTTGACGGCGTCGGTTGTGTTGAATCCCTTGAAGAGGATAAACGAGGCACAGAGGGTCGCGGTTGTGAAGGTGACATAGTAAAGTGGGTTCACGCTTGAACAAATCATGTCAGCGTCTTGTCTTCATATTGATTGATGTCTATACTCACATCGAAGTCGAGAAAGAGTTCAATGCCTTGTTGAAGTAGTTCATCTGCGTCAGAATGCAAAAACCAGTCACAATGGCAAAGACGTAGGTGGATGCGTGGACGAATTGGTTATTTCCTCCAATGGTCAATTTGACTGCAATACCAAAGGCCTTGACAGACATGACGGAAACCGATCCAACAGTGGAGCAGATCGAGATGTAGATGAGCGGGTTCTTCTTGCCATAGACTGGCGCAACGCGGTAGATCATCACAGTCGAGAAAATCGTAACTGCGACACAGTAGAAAAGAAATCCTGGTCGCAAAGTCAGCATTACTTTTCGCCGGACGCCGATCATGTCTTCGTACCTGGCTGAACAGCATATGCAAGAATTTCATCAACTGTCTCCACCTGCTTGTCTGGAGGCGCATGGAGAACGATGACGACCGATCCCAGCAAACATAGGGCACAGCCCAATTTTCCTAATACACCAAGTATCTCGTTGAGGAAGTACGAACTCAGGACCGCGCTGTGTTATGTTAGCTGAGAGATTATACACACCCTTGGGGAGCGATCCATACCCGATCAAAACACTCAGCGCACCTAGAGGCGTAACCAAGATGGCAGGCGCAAAGGCGTACGCAGCAAAGTTGGCGACTTCACCAAGAGCGACTATAAACCTGTTAGCATCTCGGTCCAAATGTGAAATCTAGCGATTGTTGTCCGTACGTGTCACTATGCCACCCCACCATATAGGACTCTTCAAGTATGAGAATCCTTCGCCCTCAAAACCATGCCGTTCGCTGGCATGCATTAAGCCCTATATTCGGACGCATTAGCGGTTCCGTTCCGATGATTGCTTGAGACCGAATCGCCGCAGTGTTTGTCTAGCGCACGGGATTCAATCGCTGTCCCGGGAGGATTCGTGGCACACCGACCTTTTTGGTGATAACAAAACTGGTGCCGATGGCCATGGTCGATACAATGGCTAGAATAAGCCCGACATATCTACAGGGGCGCAGTGCGCAACCATGTTAGAGCTTGCCAGGTGGACCTCGGGGGCCAATGCGGAGGGAGTTGGGAGAACCATACTTGTCTGGAAGCATTTTGACGTGATTCCTCTGTTAGGAGCCGAGTGCTCCTACTGTCGAAAGACCTCCAGTGCGGGCAATGGATCGGGAAATGAGCGAGAGACTCGGGTGAGCGAAGGAAGGGATCGAGGTAATAAGCCAAGGACTCAAGGACTAGGGGTAAGAGAAGGGAGCGAATAGGAACAAGACAGAAAGACGAGCCAGCCCGAGATTTCTGATGAGTAAGGGAGGATGAAAAGAAGATAGGGTGATGGCCAGAAGCCAGAAGCTGCCAGAGAGATGTGTTTGGTGCCTGCGTGCGGTGGGGTTCCGTTTCAAGCCCGATCGGGGGACGCGTAAGAGAGCAACGGCTTGGGAGAGGGCTTGCAAGGGCTTGAGAGGCTTTCAAGTACCGAGGTGCTTTAGGTAAATTTTTAATTTTAAAATTTTTATTTCCCTCTCATATAAGAAATATGTAGTCTAGTCTGATCGAGATAGAACTTGAAATCGAATAGGTGGCCCCATCATAACTTGGTATTATTTAGTGCATATGTACTATTTACACCTACAATCAGATACATAACACTACTATGTGTTACCATCTATGTATCACAGTTCTGGATACATTTCCCAAGTGTCTCTCTTTTGTACATAGGATCTCTTATTTTTAAAAAAAAAATCAACGGCCAAATAGTAGACCCTAAAATGAGGCCAAGATCGGCGTTTCATTTCCCCTCCGAATGCGGCGTGGGTTTCTATACTTAGCCTGGAATCCCCAGAGACTTCAATTTGGGTCCACTACTAGTAGACTGCATGAGGTTACCCGGCGTGGCTGAGTTAATGAAGGAGTATAAAACTACATAACATACACATTATTAAGTACAATGTACATTGTAGTTAGTTAACTAGTTAACTAACTGACTAGTTACAAGCTACTAGGTAAGTATAGTCTACAATATTCTAATCCCTGTTAATCCCCGGAATGTTTCTCCTTTGTTCCCCATATAAGCGAAATTAGTGACTCCATCAAATCTGCCCAGGTGGGGGTTATGAGATCAGATATACCTATTTTTCTTAATTTATACAACTTGAAAAACAGAATCTAAGAAATAATGGTTGAAATTGAGATAGTATACAGGAGAAGCATATTGGATAAAAGATTCATTGGTAGAATACTACAAACACGTGGCCTAACCCATCGCGCCAATACGCCAGATCCTAAGGGAAATGCATTGGAGAACACGCCCAAATGGGCACCCATCAACGCCAAACAAAGATTTTGGCTGAAAACCCAGCAGTGGTATCTTGAATCGCAATGGGGAAAGAGTCGAACGACAAAATAATAAAACGCAAGAATGGATGAAGGGTAATTGAATGTGTCAAGAGCACCTGGGGTTTGATCCAGATGCGGGGTGAAAAAAAGAAAAATAAGAGAAAGCGCATACCCCAAGGGAAGTGGAGGGCGTGCAAATTCTGGGGGAAGGGGTCGGACATACCTGTTTCTTGTTAGTAGTCGAACGAGACAGTGCGTCAATCGGCCGAGGTCGTTGCTGGCAAGTATGGGTATTAGTATGTTGGAGGGTGATGAGTCGCATGGAACGAGCCATCAAGGGTCAGGTTCACTGGACACCAGGAATGACGAATGAGAAAGATTAAAGAGAAAAGTCTCCAAGGGTAAAAAAGAATGGGGTGTGTGGTTTACGAAGAGCGGCGACGTTTGGTGTCAACGGTGGTTTCCACCAGGTCCCAATCGTCTTCATCTTCGCGAGACCGTTTGGCAGAATTCTGGTTGGTTTGGGTGTCTGTCAAGGAAGGATCTGTTCCAACCAGCTCTACAGCCTCCGATTCTTCAAAATGGGTGTCATAGTCGCCAAAATGGTTCTCGTCAAACTCATGATCATCGGCACCCTCATCAGCTACTGCAACAGGAGCATCGATCTCATCCTCAGGCTCGTCGTAGTCTATGCCCTCGAAGTGATCGAGGTCATCTTTTTCTGTATCTCTCGGAGGAGTCTGCATCAGGTCTACAGCGATTCCAAGTAAATCATCTGCGGGGTCTGGTGTTTGCTCCTTCTTGTCAGAGACGCCACTGTCGAGAGGCGGTGCTGGCTGGTCATGAGAAGGGAGGTTGCTTTCATTCTGCAGGAGAATTTCCGAGACAATGTCGTCTGTTGGCGGGGCATCTAAGTCATCTGTGTCCTCTTCATCCAGGACTGACGCCTGATCAACTGCTTCTTGAGCATCAACATCAGCATTTTCACTGCCAGTGATATCTTTTTGGAAAGCCTCTGAATCATCGACCGAGCCGATGTCTTCATCATCGTAATATTCCTCGGGCCCCAGGTCATCGTTTTCAGGGTCATCTTCGTACTGATTCTCGTCGTCGTTTTCATCTGCATCAGCATCCGCGGCAACGTCTAGGGCGACATGCTGGGCATGCTCTTTGGTCTCGCTTGCGCGAGGGAGCGCAGCTACGGTGGCTGTAGAATCACTTAGCGGGCCCTCAGAATCATAGTGCTCTTCGTTCGTATCGTCATGATCGTATTCGTGATCTTGCTCTGTTTCGAGATGGTGAGACACATCGAAGTGATCTAGGTCTTTGTTCTCGGGCTGGGCGGGGTGAGATTCACGCTCAGGTGCAGCCTGGGCACTCCGCTCATTAGAGGCAGATCTATCCTCATCCCGCACATGGACCTCGGGTTGAGCATCAGAGACAACTTCGGGCTGGACCTGGGACTTTTCACTATCTAGCGCCTGTTCTTCTCCGGACCCTGGAGCCGTTTGGATTTCAGTGGTTGAAAGCTCTTTTTGGGCCTCGTTGGTGTAGTAGACTTCGTCTTCATGCTCCTCGGGCCCAATAGCGCCGGGGTCCTCATCGGAACCCGGCTCGGCTTCATCATACTCATCCCATGAATGAAGTTCTGAATGAAGTTCGGAAAGTTTCTTGCCGTCAATTGCAGCATCGTTGAGATCTGCGATCTCAGCCGGGAAGGCACGCTTGGTACTCAGTGTAAGATAGAGGGCATCGGGTTCGGTAACACCATCGTTGCGGCAAAGTCTAAGGTAAAGATCTAGGATCTGATGCAAGGTTACTTGGGATGTATGGAGTGAGTCCTGAGAGAATGAGTCAGTACATTTTCCGATGGGGGATAATTGAGAAGGTACTTACCTCTGTCATTTGGATACCGAGGGTGTCAATATCGATGACCAAGACATCATTACCTGTCATGGTTCTTTGGAGCACCTGGCGCAGAGCCTTGAATACTTGACCAATATTGTCATAAGCTAAAGTTTCATCTTCAATAAAGAATGTATCCGCCACGTCTCCCTCAAGGGGAGGGAACAGAGCAATCTCGCAGTCCTGGTAAAGAATTTTCACTGGATGAAGAGGTTCATCTATGTATGTGCCCTGTTGGAGAGATTCAGATTCATTCTCATCTGCAGCCTGGTGGTTTTCTTCGGACACAGGCTGGGCATCTGGGTGCGCAGCGGCATCAACGTGGGAAACTTCGGAAGGTTTGATTTGACCGGTCTCCAGGTCGTCGTTGGGAGCTTGCGTTACCTCAGTCTCTGGCACAGAAGGTTGTGATATTTCGTTAGCCTCTTCGCTAAGTTGCGCCTTTCCATGATGACTATCAGTTTCGGGACTGATGACAGTTTCGGATGGTTCCTCAGAAAGGTCATCAGTAGTCGTGCTTGGCTGGGCCTGAGTGTCTGAGCCTTCAACCCCAGAAATTTGAGTTTCGCCCTGAACGGGAGCAGGTTCCACAGAGCCACCTGAGCCTTGAGGTGCTGCTTCGAGGGGTTCGGCAGATGTGACTGTGGCATCTTCCTTAATGGGGCTGGCAGCGTGTTCATTGCTGCCCGTAGGTTCAAGCTGAATCACGGGGGCGGGAAGATTGTCGTTTTCGGCCTGATCAGCTTCAATCATTTCCTCTTCGTATGGCTCTGCCTCAAACTGCACATCAATATCGTTGTCTTGTTCAGTGTAGTTGTCAGCGTCGATCATCGACCCTTCGGAGGGCTCATCGGCCATGTCGGCATCGTAGATCGCGTCATTATTGAGTTCATTATGCTGAGAAGCATTTGTAAATTCATCTGCACCCATCATATCACTATCCATGTTCGAGTCATGGTCCTCCATGAGGTCGATGTCGATGTCAAAATCGTCAGCCTGCCCTTGGTAGGGCGAGGCCATCTCCATAGAATCACCCATAGCCGGGACTTCCATCATGGGGTATGCGATTATGGGGGCTGTTGTCATAGCAATAGAACGCGTAAAATTGCGATCTGAGAGTCGTAGGTAGTATTGGAAGAGTTCAGCAATGACGTTCCATAAAAGCGGTTGAAATGAGGGTTGAAAGTTAAAGAAAAAAGATTCCTCGGCAATACCCACAGCGAAAGGCTTTAAGTAAGAGCAGAGAAACGATGAACTGAGCGTTGGTGGAGTGTATTCAACGCGTGAGAAAAAGATGGAGTGAAGAGAAAGTGTCTGGTCGACGACTAAGCGAAAGGAATGCACGGGCCAACCGCCGCCGAAGTGAACAGAGTAGCTCCCTACCGCTTCCAACCATCAACACCAAGGCGTACGCTTCTAGTCAACCCTACGCTTCTCTATCCTTTTCTATACTCTTTTCTTGAATCACTCTTTTATTGCCATTTGTGTGCGCATCTTGTGCTATTTCCCACCATGGTAAGCCTTTGTACAATACAATTCGCGGGGGAATCGGACTAATCAACACACAACAGGTCGTTCTCGCAGCGTCGATATGCACCCGCGGAGGTAAAGCGGTCCTCTCGCGCCAGTTTCGGGAGATCTCTCGGTCTCGAATTGAAGCCCTTCTCGCCTCCTTTCCTAAGCTGGCAGACTCCGGAACCCAACATACCACCGTTGAGCAAGACAACGTGCGCTTCGTGTACCAGCCATTGGACGAGATGTATATCGTACTGATTACCAACCGTCAATCAAACATTCTTCAAGATATCGACAGTCTTCATCTCTTTGCGCAAGTCACCACCAGCATCTGCAAGAGCCTAGACGAGCGGGAGATTCTCCGCAATGCCTTTGAGCTCCTGAGTGCGTTCGATGAATTGGTGACTATGGGATACCGGGAGAATCTTTCTCTCTCTCAAATCAAGACCTTCCTGGAAATGGAGAGTCATGAGGAGAGAATCCAGGAGATCATTGAACGGGTATGTTGTGAAACCGCCGGCGAGGTTAGTTCATGGCTGACATGTATTGGTAGAACAAAGAGCTGGAGGCCACTGAGGAGCGCAAGAGAAAGGCGAAGCAGCTGGAAATGCAACGCAAAGAGGCTGCTCGCTCAGGTGGTCGTGCCGCGGCTGCAAGAACTCCCTCATACCCAGTCTACACACCGCCAGCGCGCCCCTCCGTGCCTGACACTTATGATTCATACGAGGCCGAGAAGAAACAGTCCTTCGCCAAGTACGTTTGGTTGATCCCTGATTTAGTCGTTGCGAGACTGCTGCTGACTGTTTGATAACTAGGGCCATGCCCGTTCGCGGCAAGGGCATGCAACTGGGCAAGAAATCAAAGGCAACAGATATCTACGAGAAGGTCCGTGGTGATATGGGGCCTGAAATCGAAGAGGAGAGCCCAGTGGCGGCTCCACAAGCTTCGGCTCCGGTGCACGACATTCCCTCAGCCCGCGAGTCTCTCAGTGCGGACCGGGAGCCCATCCAAATCACAATCGCTGAGACCATCTCAGCGACACTTACTCGAGAAGGAGCCTTGAAGTCTTTCGAGGTTAAGGGTGACATGCAGCTCCGTATCACTGATCCCTCACTCACCAAACTCCGACTCGATTGCCAGGCTGTTCCCACACATGGCGCACAGTTCCGCACTCACCCCAATGTCGACAAAGCTCTCTTCACCAACTCTTCCGTGATCCAACTGAAGGACACTACCAAGCGTTTCCCCCCAACAACTCCATCGGCGTGCTCCGGTGGCGCGTTGCCAGCTCGGCTGACAATACCGATATTCTTCCCATCACATTCACCGTTTGGGTAAACAAGGGCTCTGACTCCACCACCGTAACCGTGGAGTATGAGCTTACCGGCGACGACAGTCTTCGCGATGTGGTTGTCACTATTCCATATGGCACGACAGAGCCTGCTGTGTCCAGCTTTGATGCAGTCTACGAAGTCTCTGGTGACAGTCTGGACTGGAACCTGGGCGCTGTTGATGAGTCGAACGCCTCTGGCAGCTTTGAGTTTGAGGCGATTGATGCTGATGAGAATGAGTTCTTCCCCATGAGTGTTCGCTTCTCAAAGACCAGGCCTTTCGTGGATGTCGATATCAACAGTATTTCCCTGTTGGAGATGGAGGGTGAGAGTGTTGCATTCTCGAAAGACATTCGAAGTGTTGCGGAGAACTTCCTCATTGAGTAAAAAAGGGCTTGGACTACTGTATAGAGTTCCTAATGATGTTCGGATTGTGGTGTTCTTTAATTGCTTCCAAGATCGTGTTAAGCCAATACTTTTTGTTTCTATTTGACTTCTTTCTCACTCTTACAATAGTATAACCTCTCAAACATACAGGTAGTACATTTTTTTCCAGCAAGTTATCTGAAGTGGAGGCCTGACAAACAAGGCCAGTAGTCCCACTATATTGAAGTTTATAATCATCCGAACGTAATAGAACGTCAAGATTATGAGCTTTATATCGCAAATTCACTCAAGACGGATACACCGACAAATACGGGAGACATTGGTGAGAATTGCCGTCAAGCTTTCCTCCCCTTGGGGATTATCATCCTCTTTCCGAATGAGGTGTCCTGGCCTGAATGCCAACCAGGGACGAACCACTTCAAAGTCGGTGCCGCCACAATCTAACGTCAGATTGACTTCGAAGTCCCAGGTCTGGGCCACCTGGACACTGTTTATTATTACTGTTGATTTGGCAAGATGATCATATTCATTTTGTTGAAGATGGCTGGTTTAAGTCAGCGGAAGTTCAACGTTGTTGATGAGCTCCTTGAAACACACAATTCAGAGTTTCAAGACCAGCCCTGGGGCTGATCCTTCATGTAGCATTGTTGACTACATAGGTCAAAGCTTACATCCTCTGCTTTGAATACTATATCACGACCCTTGGTCGCTGCATCGGAGTCCAGAGCCAGCCGGTACCAACAACCGAAAGCTGACCCTATCAAAAAGATGGATCACCGGTAATCTGATGGTCCAACCAGCACCTCAAGCTACCATCTGTAAACTCACATCCCTAGGCTGTTTGGTTGATGGCAAATAGCGTGATCAATGACCGAAAGAAGATATTTTGCTCATGAAAACGTTGAACTTTCGCCCCATGCCCTACAACGAGGCTGAGACAAACCCGCACATAGCTATTCCTGATTTGGCGAACGGGTGGCCAATAGTGCGCGTTTACTCATTACCCTAAACGAGCATTGGATGTCATCACAGAGTATCTATCGGCTTGACCAGCTCACGATTCCCAACGGTGCTTGAAACCCGAACCTCTTTTCCTTCATCCTTCCCCGATCTATGCTTCTCGTGGGTCAAATTCTGGGGTGTTCTATAAAATCCAATGACCTCCTTCTCATCTCACATTATTGTATTGACTATTTGATTTGACAGATGTCAAGGCAATAAGCAATTGCTGATATTGTCATTCCAATATATATCAAACGCCTTTTTGGATCTACACATTTTCCAACCCCAATCCACTCATCCAAGTAAGTAAATAGTGCAAGATCACGTAGTTACGAATTTCATTGACATTTAGTGAACAGCTTCAGTGATCATATTTGTGGCTCACCATGAGTAATATGCCATTTCCCTCGTGGAACGAGCAACAGAGCCTCTTCAAATTATCGTGCGCTGATGCAGACACGTGTAATCAGTTGTCCAGTGTGGTAAGTGTGAAATCATGATCACTCCAATTCAAGAACTATTATCTGATAAAGCAACTATAGGATAACCCAGTTCCTCAACTTCAACGAGGTGAATCTGAAGTGGGCACTAAGAAAATGGCCATCCCGCGACTAGCGGAAGGGGCTGAATCCGCCTTCACCTCTCCTGGTAGGTTCCATCGTCGACACGTTCGTCGAGCATGCGAGTCTTGCAGACAACGAAAGACGAAATGCACCGGAGATAAGTCCGGATGCCGTAATTGTCGAGAGGCTGGGATCATCTGCTGCTATACCGATGGCAAAAGAGAGAAGTCCAAACGGTATGGAGAGCCAATATAAAAGCGCGTTAGCGTTATTGCAAGAGCTGACGTCTACAATTAACTAAAAGACAGTTGGCAAGCTTGTCCGCAAAGGTGCAGGCATACGAAGATGTCATTAGCAAACTGAGCAATCGTTTCGGCGTGTCTGATGAGCAACTCGTGAATATTGCCCTGGCAGCGGTATGAAGTTTGATTCCACGTTTAATCACTATGTTATCTAATACCAACCAGGAATCGGCCCCTGACTTGGCACTCAACCCAGAAACGTGCCTTGCAGCAGCGGGAGAACGAAGGATTTCATGGCATGCGGGTTCTGAGCCACCGCCCTCCCGAGCCTCATCCGTTAGTCCTCTGGAATCCGGCGATCAGACGGAGGAGGACTTCAACAGAGATGAAACTGCACGAGCAACAGGTTTCATTGGGAAAAGCTCTGAGATCACTTGGCTCCAAAAGCTCAGCAAAGAGGTTAACAGTGAATGTGAGGCCTGGCCTGCAACTCTTCCCAACACAGATGACGATAACGGTCTGCCCTCTCCAACTCTGACGCCTCGACCGGAGAATCCAAGCGAGCCATGGGTAGTGGCTTCCAACTATTACCTTGATGACCTGGACATTCCAACCGCAGATCAAAGTGATATTTATGGAGTCCCATCACGGGAGATGGCAGGCAAAATGCTCAATGCCTATCTGACTTCCGTGCATCCTTCCTTCCCAATCATTGGGGTTTCAACCTTTGTCCCCCAATTCCAGGTCTTTTTCAGTCAACCTTCTCTCAAACCGGGAAACAAGTGGCTCGCTATACTCAACCTGATCTTTGCCATTGCGGCTAAATATGGGCAATTGACGAATTCTGACTGGAAGGAAGAAGATGATGACCATCAAATGTACTTTTCAAGAGCGCGGGCATTGAGCTTGGAAGATCAAATTCTCCATCATCCTGACCTACAGCAGTTGCAGGTCGAGGGGCTTACTTCATTCTATCTGATTGCATCGGGACATATCAATCGGTACGTTGACAACCTAACCTATATATCTCGCGGTTATATATATATACTCACGACGTTGGTTCATGTAGGGCCTGGAAACTTTCTGGAAGTGCAGTTCGAGGAGCACTGGCTCTTGGATTGCATTTGCGCAACGTGGGTGCGAGCATATCCGATAGTTCCAAGGAGATACGCTATCGGGTGTGGTGGTCATTGTATACACTGGATCATCTACTTACTATCATGACTGGACGTCCTTCATGTATCATTGACAGCTCTTGCACTACACCAATGCCTGTTCCTTTTGATGAGAGTGATTTTCAAAAGGACGATGTTGCTCGGCTAATAGGCACAGCTGTACTTCGTACATCCAGTGGTTCTGAGCGAATGCCCACCAACAACAACAGTGCAGAGGACCTAGAATCAGCGGCTGATTCTGATTCAAACGATTTGCCTGCCGAGAGCGAAACAAAAATGAGCCGAGTCGAGTATCTCAAGAGTCTCCCGCCTTGCACTTCACTTTACTTCCTGCAGCTGGCCTCCTTGACCAGCATTTCCAAGCGGATGACAGTGAAACTCTACAGCCCGGAAGCATTGCAGTCCCCGTGGGCAAGCACTGAGTTCACCATCAAGAGCCTGATGCTTGAAATTGATTCCTGGTTCATGAATCTCCCTGCTGCATATGATTTTACCTCGACACAAACATCCCAATGCCCCATTAGCCAACGAATGGGCCTCGCCTTCTTGTTCTACAGCACAAAAATTGGAATCACCCGGCCGTGCCTCTGTCGTTTAGATCAATCCCCCTCTGAAGAGGACAAGACTTACGAGTTCTGCAACAAGACCGCGGCGGAGTGTATCGAGGCTGCATGCCACATGCTCACGCTGTTCCCGGATACCCCAGACGCAGTACTGCTCTACCGCATGTCACCCTGGTGGTGCACACTACATTATCTGATGCAGGCAGTGACTGTTCTCCTTCTCGAGCTGGCATTCCGAGCCCAGCACGTCCCCGAGAAAGCGACGATGGTCTCCAAAGCTGCAAAGAAAGCTCTGGACTGGCTGTCGACGCTATCAACAACCAACATGGCGTCAGAACGAGCCTGGAAGCTCTGCGACGGATTCCTCCGCCGCTTGGCACCGCATATTGGAATCAACGTAAATGATTTCCCTACCACCGAAGAGTCAGACTCCCTCTTCGATGTCCCTGATACTGCAGACTCCACTACAGTGGCAGAAGAGCCAGCAGCAGATGATGTGGCGTTTGACCCATCCGCCACTATCCCTGCCGCAGTGGCGGTTGATGCTATCTCCGCTGAGCTGGACTCAATTGCCTGCTCCCCGATGGACCAATCCAACACCCCTCTCGGCATGCAAGAATCCTACGGTCTCGAGGCACCGGATCTACTCGATCAGTTCATCAAACAGGAGAAGGATCTCTCGGGTCGGAGCTCGTATGACGAATGTTTCCCTTATGACCCAGCCACCGGCCAGATTACAGGTTCTTTCTTCCCATCTGGTCCGAACTTGGAACTTGATATGGGGTACTTCTGGGGTGATCCGGTATGTTAAACGGTCGTATCGTGATGGGACAGCATGAAAAAAAAAAAAAAAAAAGGAAATCAAAATAGACGCAGAATCAAATTGGAAAACATCTCTGCAGTTATCTGGATTCGGGTTCTTTTCTTTGTCGCTTCATTTGCATGCCATCAAAAGAAAGAGAAAATTCTACACCTGTCTTCATATAGACACTATAGAGAAAAGTGATTCTTGTTTCTCTGGACTTCTCCAACTGCACCATCTACAATTCATGGCGCGATACAATGAGTATATTGTCTTGTGGTAGTTGGTTATACATTGCCTTGATTGAGACTTAATACTTCATGTCTATTGGCATCTGAAAAAAAAAACATCCTGATATTTTGCTATGTACACTAATACTATATCTCAATCACTACAATTCAAGTCCATCGTTCAATACTTCGTTCACATATACTCCTCGCGTCCATAGAACCTCTGATATTAAGCTTGTCCCAGAATCAAATCATCAAGCCCCATGTATTCCTGAAGTCTGGATATGTGGTGCCAGCCGCAATTCACCCTTGGATAGAAATGCAAAGTCTAGACCGGTCGGAAAACAATTCTCCTTCTCTTGGGTCATTCTGTCGTGCTTTCGGAGTTGCCGCCAGGGGGCGACAGATTTTGTCATGGTGTTCTTCGATCATTATGACATGAGTACCTGCACGAATCAGTGGAAATCAACTGAACTTGGCAACTGGGCATGTGCTCTTTTGTTTTTGTCTACTTTGTGTTAATATAAAGAGTAGTCGCCACTGAAGAGTGTACTTCACCTGGGGACATGCATTTGGCAATATATATACACCATCTTTGGCAGCATCTCTATCCTCAATTGGCAAAAATCAAATAAAAGTACATACTATCTCCACTTGATGACCAGTTCCAGTGTACGGGATGATAGATAGTTCAGAGTTGACTCGCTGATGATCAGGACACAATCCAAAGTTGTTGTCAATAAACTTCTAGAGTTTAGAGATGACAAGCTCCATCGTCTCTCAAAAATGTCGAAGTCATAATATAGTATGCTAGTGAGATCGTGAAGTTGTAAATTGGCCCAGGCTCGTATGGAAGGACCGCCCCGGGGCTTTCAGAATGCATGAATTGCGGTATCGATAGTCTAGTAATTTATATATAGTGGTTGGGAAATCAGCCTGAGCCCGCCGCACTCCAATCCCTCCGAGCAGCAGTAAACAACAGCCGTGCAAGTTCTTCTTGTGGCGTGGAACGGGTGACTTGGTTTTTCGACGGTGCCGAAGGGTAGTACACAGCTGTGACTCTTGCAAAAGAAATATCAACCGAGTGTTTCTTGCGCATAAAGTCTGCCCAAAGCGTCCACTTTGAGGGCCGAGAAGGGTCTGAAACAGCAGTATCTAAGACTGCGGGGGTGATGCCAAGAAGACCGCGGTCATCGCAGACGAATTTCTCGATGCACTCCAAAGAAGGCATGATTCGACGTCGCACACCACAGCCGGTGTGAGCTTCGTCGATTGTATAGTCAGGATACTGTTTGATAGAGGCGATGATGGCTGTAATATCAGATGGTGGCCCTGGGGGTTGGTCGTTCCTGGATTCTCCCGTTGCGTGACCATCCTCGTTGGGAAGTGAGTCGAAATCCGGGTCTATCAATGTTGATCCTAGAAAGATTGTTCTGGCGCGCATTGAGAAAAATCGGATCATCTGGCCAAGTTGGAAGAGGTCGCATTGGCTGGAGTTGTTGAATCCGCCGCGGCATTGGAATTGACGAGATTGAAGAAGTGTATGCGCAGACGCGGTGAAGGCCGCGCCCAATGTTCTGTTGTTTGCTGCAGGCTTTGCAGTATCGGTTTCCTCCATACCTCCATAGACTCGAAGGAAATAAGCCTGTAGGTCGGTGATGGTGTTCAAAACACATTGGCGTCGATAATAAATTTCCTCTGCAGAAAGATGATTTAGCTAACGGGAACTAATTGGGATTCATTCTCTGGAAACCCACCTTCTAAACCATTTGGTAGTCTCCAGCGCAGACGTTCTTCTTCGGGGCAATCTAGCCCGTTTATCCAGGATCTAGAGCCTACAACCAGCAAGGCATGGGTCATGATTCTAGTGAGTTTTGAATCGTTGAGGAAGGTGGATATGAAGATGATTTGTCGAATCCGATCTTCTTTCATTGACAACAAAGCCGTATTAAATCTGGCAAGGAGCGTAGGCTTTGACTTTCCATATAAATATCCAATCCTATGTAGAATATCCTGGACAACACGAGGAGAATTCAATGAATCGGCAAGGTCGATCATTCTTGCAACAAGCGATGAAGACTGGGTCTTCAACTCATTTTCAAACACAGCTCTTTCGGTTTGATCGAAAGAATCAAGACACAGAATTTTCAAAAACAACTCGATGGCATCTTCTCCGCACCTGTTGGTAGAGTGGACGTCGGGAAGCCTGACCGTTGGTAGCTCATGCTGTGAGGTTGAGTCTGGTATTTGAGTTTCATTCCAGGCTTGCTTTTGGGCGCTGAATTGCCTTCCCTCGGAGAACTTGGCGGGGTCCAGTAGTGCTTGAAAATATGGACTGTGCGAGGTAAGACAGTCACTTGCCACCCGCCATTTGCACCTGGTGGGTGACGATGAAGAGTCATCGGGGGCGATGTACTCGAGAATTAGGTCCCCATTGGCGGAGATAACTCTAATAGATGATTTATCGTTATGCTCTTGGAGATCAATTTGACCAAAAGGCCAATTTTGGTGGCCTGGGGTTTTGGCTGGGTTCATGGCTGTCGAGCTCCCCGAAGATCTCTGTGATTATGATATGCTGTGAAATTGTGGCCGTGAAGGTAAAACATTGGAAGTAAAATAATCACAGGGATTCTGTCCAACGATTTGTCTTATGTACTGTCGTGGTAAAGTATTATCCAGTCTCAAAAAGTGTTCATCATGAAGATGACGGTTGACGTTCGATGTCAATGAGGTTAACTGTCCACTTTGGCAATTGAACACTAATCCAATGCCGTGATGAGATTTATAAAAAAATAAAGGACGAATGTTATTATATAGAGGCTCCGAGAAAAGATAGAGCAGGATAGCTATAGAGCTGAAAGCCACTGTTGATATCCAAGCCCACCTTGGCACAGGAGGCGATTTCCATAAGATGACTAAGAATGGGCACGTGCTATATAGCTCGCCTTTCCAATTGGGGCGTGGGGGTTTATGGTCTAGATAGTATTCGCACACAAGTTAGGCCGCCCATTTATTCATCAAATTCATTGGTATATGTATAAGACACTTTTGTTGAAAACACCGACGTGAGTCTTGAAACAATTGGCGGATCGTAAAAAGTAAGACAAGATGGGAGTATAGCATACTCAAATCCAAAGTTCCCAAGATGAGACCACCAAAATTCGCCAATAGCTAATCAATGAGTATGTAGAATAACAAGCGCTATGTGTGAAATTATGACACAATAACCACTGGGATGTGCATGATTTTGGGGCCCACCGGTGGTTCCTTCCTAGAACCGGTGGCTTCACGCTCTTGTCGATTCTTTTCCCGAAGCGCGAGCGCTTGCCGGATCATATGGTATAGATATTGCGCAGTGTATGGAGTTTCGGAGTTAGAGTCAGATGGGGCACTTCGATCAGGCTTGACGGTAGGATCGAACTCAAAGTCAAGGCCAAGAATAGGTGATACAAGAGAGAATACACCGAGTGATTTTCGCTGTTCGTGGAGGTAAGGTGTGGTATCGAGTTTGGCAGCGCTGACTCCTGGCTGAGGATTCCCGTTGGCATCGAATAATGCCAATTCAAAAATATCATTTCCTCGGTGATTCACAAAGAAGGGCTCGCTCGTTATGAATCCGATGACAAAGTCGGAGTTGGCACATGCAGCGACTATCGTACTTTGGCGGAACTCGGGGACAAACGCGGTTTCAATGATGATGGGTAGACAGAGTACAATACTGCGAGCCAGTAGCGGGGGCATTGGGACACCGTCATCTGCGTGGATGGGTGCGTGCGGGGTCACGGACTCAGTAGTGACGGAGATGGTTGACAATTTCCGTAATACTGATCCCGTATTATTCTGACTGAATTCTTTCCAACCATTGCTTGTTTGTGTGGAGGGGGTAATGATTTCCAATTCCTCGCCCGACGAGTAGTTATTCATCTCGACAGAGATCTCGGTTTGGATTATCTTTGAGGTTGTCGCAACTGCCTCACGTGCCGCCAATCTCAAGGTTGGGATCAATGTATCGTTTTCTTGTTGGTCGATTGGAGCTGCAGGGGCCCAGGAGGTGGCCAGATTGGACCAAGTCGCCGTCCTCAATGGACCACTGGTGTATGACTTCTTGATCATGTCTGTCAAGACCTGCCTTGTCTCCAATGGCGCATCCGCTCTGCCCATGAAATTTACTAGAGGGTTCAAAATCTTGCTTCCTTCCCACAGTAGAAATTTATGTTTTCTGGACAAATATTGGAGTTGTTCGATGGTATCGCTGGACCAGTCGTCGATGACATCCGCTGGAATCTGTAGTATGGCGATGTACGGGCCGATATCTGCGGCCAGCCGCAGGAGTGAAGCCGAGCCAATGTGATTGACGGAGACATGGGCGACCACGGGCTGCCCATAAGGAAGTGTCTTTTTGGTAGCCGCTAACGTCTGCAGGTAGGCCAGAATGGGGTTCTCGGGGGACCAGTCCCCTGTGGTTGACATTGTGGGCGGTGGAGGAGGGAGTGAGGGTGGAAGGGAACGTCGTATAACAGGAAAGAGAGGAATACAAGTACAAGAAAGCTGGAAAAAAAAAACAAAAGTTAGAGGATTTGGGAAGGAAGAGGGGCTGGAATATCCACTACTAACTAGTGTGATGTCTAATCCCTGCTTTGCAAATTGGAATTGACCATGCAGAGTCTGATAAATCACCCATAATATCGCTGTCAGGAATCTTCCCGGCTATAGCCCCGCGTGCCGCGTAGGATTAACACTAAGCTCTCCGTGGAGACATAGACCGAGAGCCGGGCGCGTACAACCTACAGAGATTGCCCTACGCTAGAAAATATAAGTACGGAGTACATATGGAGTATGCTGTATGTACTAGCATGTTGTACGGAGTACTTTGTATAGATGCTAGGGTGGCCTTTGGTTAGCTTAACAGATCTTTTTCCCTCTGGGGAATCTCGGGTTTCGCGTCCACCCGAAGGATCAGACTTGCTGTCAGGCCGACGGGTTTATGGGGCTTGTCTCCATTAATGGAGTCAATATGGAGTCTGACTGAGAGTTCTCGTGTTTATATTGGACCGATCGACCGGGTGGCAAACGAGAAACCAATGTGACAAATGGGCCCCCAAACTGGAGAGGATTCTCGAGAAACCCGAAGAAACTAACTTAGGCTGTTGACTGTTTAGCAGTTTAACCTGATACGTCTAACCTGTTTTGGTATAGTTGACCTATCTATTCCTATCTTGGTATAGTCTGTGTGATGGCCCTCAGTATATTTGGCCAGTCAGAAATGATCTACTCGTAGCCCTAGAGTACTTTGTACTTTGTATATTGTAGTATATTTGCATGTGTCTACCTGGACTATCAAATACAAAGATATAAACATGCTACACGATAACTGATACTCGATAGTTTTTATATATACTCCGTATTGTCCGGTAGTTTTTAATAGTCATTCGTATCCATATTTCTTTTTCACCCTCAACCCTGTTAGCCCATCAGCATGACCTCGGGACCATTATCCCATGTAGGCTAAACTTTTGACTATTCCAATGGCATTCATTTTCCATCCCTCCTCATTTGTCAATAGATATCTCCTGCACTGAGATAGGTTGCATTGTTTGTCGGTTGTTTCTTTCCATTTCTTTGTCTCTTTGTGATGGATTTTCCAGCCTTCTTCTAGTAATATCCTCTCTTTGTGGCATGTTTCTTAGCCCCCACGAGGGTATATTAGGTAGCTTCTTGGCAGTGCTCCTTATCTTTAGATTACTAAAGCTCACAGCTTCTGAGAAGGTTAGTAGTATTTTCCCTTAGTTATATAACTAGTTCCGGGTGTATCAAAATATTTGATATCTCTGAAATGCAACTGCATCCAGAACCAAATTAATATAATAGATCACACTTGTAGGTAGCTCTGCTGATGGTTCTGCTTGAATTCCACCGAGAATGGCTGGCCTAGACAACACTAAGCTGTGAGGAGAAAGCAGAGGCAGTGCTAAACTTTTGATACATCTCATTGCCAAACTTCCGCATCAGCACAAACATACTCTACAATATTTTGTCTTCTTCAATTACATATTAGTATCAGATGCACCTTCACTCCACTCATTCGCTTTTGAGTATAGGAAAGAAAAGGCTTTTAATCTCAACAAGGTTAAATGTGACTATTCAACATATTTCACTGGTGGCGCTATTATCTTCACAGATATGATAGATTGGAATGCTTCGGGTTCAGGTACATTTGATTTTTGATTACGGAGTATATGTTGCATGTTGCACCTAATTCTATACATTCTGACAATTTTGGCTTCATGCCTACGCCGTACTGATCTTTCTTTGCATGTTGCAACAACACAACTTCTGCTTTTTATCACCACCATCCTGTCAATTCGCTGCCTAGTGGACTCGCCCTAAGCGTGAAAACATCGCTGAAAATCACGTTCGACAGCCCTAGAGAACACTGGGAGATTACTAGTAAGCAGATACTAATGGGGCTTAATGGCTTAGCAGCTGAGCTAAGCCTGGACCGTCCTCCTAAGGTCAGACCCTCAACGCCTCATTGAGGCTTAGATAGAAAAGACCCACCAAGATAAAAACCTTGGAATCAGTAAGATACATATGTCTGGAGTTATGTACATAACCGGGGTACCTTGCAGTTTTCAAATTACATGTAAAATAGGGAATTTAGTATTTCCGAAGTCCGAACTCCGTACATAGGCTATCCAAGGTGAAGTGGGTCCAGTTTGACCTGGGAATCTTGTGGCCTGATCCAATTGTAAGCCGAGAATTCGAAATTTTCCAAGGCATCGGAACGGGCGGATCCCTGGTTCGTTTTATGGTGTCACGCCACGCCTCCCCTGATTAATCCATATTATTGCCGCCACGCCTTTCTGATTTTCACCTCCCATCCTCTACCCTATTTTCCCGATTTCCCCTATTTTGTTCATCTCCTCCGCCATCATGCCTGGGAGAGTTTTGCCGACGTTTACCTCTGCCCAAGTCCAATCTCACAAGACCGCCAAGTCGTGCTACATCACCTTGGGGCCTAAAGTTTACGATGTCACTGATTTCATCGAAGGACACCCCGGTGGTGGTGATCTGATATTGGAATACGCCGGCCAGGATGTGACAGATATCTTGAAGGACGAGATCTCCCACGAACACACCGATTCTGCCTATGAGATTTTGGACGAATACCACATTGGGTTCGTCTCCGATGTCTCTACGCTTGGAAAAACCACGACAACGACGATCATCGAAACGGTGACTGAAACCGAGTCTGGCCCTGTTTACGCAACCACTGGAATGTCGCGGGAGGAGGATCTGTCCATTGACACCGACTATAGCCAGGACTACAAGACCCACAAGTTCTTAGACTTGAACAAGCCACTTCTGAAGCAGCTGTGGTTCAGCAACTTCTCCAAGGAGTTCTACCTGGAACAGATTCATCGGCCTCGTCACTACCGGGGAGGAGAGTCCGCTCCTCTGTTTGGCAACTTCCTGGAGCCTCTCAGCAAAACCGCATGGTACATCGTGCCAATTATCTGGTTGCCACTTGTTTGCTACGGAATGACGGTCGGAGTTGCTGGACTGGGCTCCACTGTCGCTGGCTCCTACTTCGTTGGTGGCGCATGTCTCTGGACTCTGATCGAGTATCTGATGCACCGATTCCTCTTCCACATTGACAACTGGCTTCCGGACAACCGTGTGGGTCTTACCCTGCACTTCCTGCTCCACGGTATCCACCATTATCTCCCAATGGACAAGTATCGTCTTGTTATGCCACCGACGCTATTTGTGGTCCTAGCTGCTCCTTTTTGGAAGCTGGCACACGCAGTCTTCTTCTACAACTGGTACGCGGCTTTGTCGGTATTCTGTGGCGGCGTCTTTGGGTATATCTGTTATGATCTCACCCATTACTTCCTGCACCACCGCAAGTAGGTTAAACTCTTTAAACTCTTATCTCTGATACAACGAACCCACGCTAACATCGATCCAGTCTTCCTTCTTACTACAAGGATCTCAAGAAGTACCACCTCGCCCACCACTTTGCCGATTACGAAAATGGCTTTGGTGTGACTAGTCGATTCTGGGACCAGGTCTTCGGCACCGAGTTGGTGTCCCCTGTCCCGAAGGGTGCGAAGGCTCAGTGAGCACGATGAGTCCAAGCCTTAATATGGGGCTGCCATTAGCCCTTGAGTCACGATTTAACGCCGAGTACGATCGAGTCACTACTCTTCAGTACACTTCAAGTATATTGGCGACTATGGAGTTTCTTTCTGGTTGGCCTTAGCTGTCTACGTCTTGTACAATAGACTTCGTCATGTCATCTCTTGTGATGCTGCTTGATGCAAGACGGAGTTGATTCCTTTTTTTACCAGCATCACTTATCAGTGTATATGACCGTTAATCAATAATTCAAAAGAATAATATCTATATCCCCATGATATCTACTGTCTGCTAGATGGAGTTTGTTCCATAGAAGTGAAAATTGGCATGAATTAGTGGGCATTTGTCCCACAAAGGGATACAGATGATGTCAAAGGAAAAGGCAACCTCTAGTGTGGGACAGACAGGAGCAGAGAGAGAAAAGCCGAATACTCCCAATGTTTTATCTACTTGATGTACTATTATGTACATATAGATGTATGATCCTGAAGATGTATCCTTTTATTTGGGTGGAACTCCTGGAATTGGTTGCCTCAGGCATAAATTAGTTGATGCCTTAGGCTACATAATGTATGTACTACCTAAATCTCCGGAAAATCTCTTCTCCTCGGAGAATACTTTATCCGACGCACGGGACCCTGCTTGGGCCAGGTCCTGGGGACCAACAGAATTATTTAAATACTATACCAACACTCATCGCTCATCAACCACTCCTTCAAAACTCTGCGGCATATCTAGTTTTGCTAGAAAGAGGCGGAAACTGCGTAACCGCGCCCGGAATCCTGCGGAATCTTCTGCTTATCTATCCCATCGTAAGGGTGCGACAGCCAACTCTCTGTCTCCTACCACCATCTGACCCCTACAAAGTGACAATTCCCTATCCCAATCAACAAAACTTTACCGTGTTTGTGGCTTCTTCGCAAGAAAGATCCCAAAATTCCATTTACGCACCTACGCGCCTGGAAACCTGCGGAACCTTCTGCTGATCCATCGCATCGTAAGGGTGCGACAGCCAACTCTCTGTCTCCTACCACCATCTGACCACCACAAAGTGACAACTCCCTACCCCAACCCTCATTACTACCCAAAACAAATATTTCTACCCCCATCAACGACAGGCTACCTCCCAAGATGTCTGGACTTGATGTAGAGGCTCTTCTTGAGTCTACTGCGACTGTGGCCGCCGCCCCCGCCGAGGCCCCAACCACTTCGGAAGCCCGTGACGACAACTCCCGCGCAGACCCCAGCGAGCGCCGTGATCGTTCCCGCGACAGACGCCGTCGCCGCGATCCCAGCCGTGATCGTCGCCCTGATCGAGATGTTGAAGGCGATGGAGTCGTGAAAAGCGACGCTAGTGCTAACGGAAGCCTTAGAAGCCGAAAGAGGAGCAAGAGTCGCGAATCTGACCGGCGCCGCTCTCGCCGTGATCGTGACGGCTACCGCTCCAGCGGTGACTTCTATCGTGGTGGAGGTCGCGTTCGTTCCCGCTCTCGCTCTCCATATGATGATCGCCACTACCGTCCCAATCGCCGCCAGCGTGATGAAGAGAGACGCCCCCGACGTGACATTGATACCCGCCGTGAATCCCGTGGATCTATCAGCCGCAAGTCTCCAGAACTTAATGAGGATGAACGTGACAAGCGCACTGTCTTTGTGCAACAACTTGCTGCTCGTCTGAGAAGCAAAGATCTGATTAACTTCTTCGAAAAAGTCGGCCCCGTCAAAGATGCTCAAATCGTCAAGGATCGTGTCAGCCATCGCTCTAAAGGGTATGTTTTCACATGAATACTTCATACAAGCACTTGCTAATATCTGTTTAGTGTCGGTTATGTCGAGTTTAAAGACGAGGAATCTGTTACCAAGGCCATCGGACTCACTGGCCAGGTGGTCCTAGGAATCCCAATCATTGTGCAACTGACTGAAGCGGAAAAGAATCGCCAAGCTCGCAACCCCGAGGCCACCGCAGGCAACCAGCACACTGCACCCTTCCACAGACTTTACGTTGGTAACGTCCATTTCAGTATTACTGAAGACGATCTCACCAATGTCTTCGAGCCATTCGGCGAACTCGAGTTCGTTCAGTTACAAAAGGATGAAACTGGTCGAAGCAAAGGTTATGCCTTTGTTCAGTACGTTGCCTCCTCCCCCTCCCCCCACATCAATGCCCTTGGCATTCCCACTGACTGACTTAACTAGATTCTCCAACCCCGAACAAGCTCGGGATGCTTTGGAAAAGATGAACGGATTCGAACTTGCTGGACGAGCTATTCGAGTTGGTCTCGGCAATGATAAGTTCACCCCTGACTCGCACGCCAATCGCCCCGCTGGTGCTTCTACAAACGCAGACTTCCAGGGATCTTCATTCTCCGGCCAGGGAGGCCGTGGTGTTCAAGCTGGAGGTTCCAACAACTTTGACCGTGCTGGTGGTAGTAAGACCGACAAGGGCGCTGGTGCCAGTGCACTTGACGACACGGATGTTGCTGGTGTGAACTTCAACAACTACTCTAGGAATTTGTTGATGAGGAAGCTTGCACGAACAGATGATTCCCAGCCTTCTGTCGCTGACGCTCAGAAATTTCCCCGGCCGAAGACCGAGACTAGACCGCTTCCCGTCAACGTCAACATGGCTAGTCGTTGTGTTTTGCTTCGCAATATGTTTGACCCCGCTGAGTAAGTTTTATTGGCTTCATCATGAGAGAATTAACGCTAACCCCTTTACAGAGAGACCGGTGAATCCTGGATCAAGGAACTCGAGGAGGACGTCCGCTCGGAATGTGAGGAGAAATACGGCCACGTTGTTCACATTTCACTAGATTCCAGTTCCCAGGGAGATATCTACCTGAAGTTCGACCGCGTTCAAGGTGGCGAGAATGCCATCAAGGGCCTCAACGGCCGATACTTTGGCGGACGGCAGATCACCGCCCAACCCGTCGTGGATGCTGTTTACAGCAGTCTCTTCTCTCGCACTAAGGCTATCTAGATGCTCATCCCCGAGTACATCCAACCCGTCGTGGATGTCGTCTGCAGCCGTCTGTTCTCGCAGGCCAAGGCTATAGATGCTCATCCCCGATTACATCAATTTTTCTTTCGCGTACATCATCCAACCCGTCGTGGATACCGTCTACAGCTGTCTTTTCTCACAGACCAAGGCTATAGATGCTCATTCCCGAGTGCATCGATTTTTGTCCGAGTAAATCATCCAATCCGTCGTGGATACCGTCTACAGCTGTCTCTTTTCCCAGACCAAGGCTATAGATGCTCATTCCCGATTGCATTGATTTCTTTTTTCTGCGTGCATCATCCAACCCGTCGTGGATGCCCGTCTACAGCTATCTCTTCTCCCAGAGTAAGGCTATCGATGTTCATCCCCGAGTACATCACCCCATCGTGAATGCCATCTACAGCTGTCTCTTCTCACAGACCAAGGCTATAGATTGATCCCCGATTACCTCGATCAACCCGTCGTCCACGGGTGGATGCCGTCTACAGCTGTCTGTTCTCCCAGACCAAGGCTATAGATGCCCATTCCCGAGTACATCGATTTTTTTTTGCGATATCTAACCTGGCACATTCTCTGAAGGCAGATCCCCCTGATGTCTTTCTCTGGACTTAGTGGACGGCTCTGCTACCCGGTAGGTGCCACTCTTCAGCGTTGTTTTTCTTGTTTGGCCACTCTTGTGTGCCGTCTCTTCGTCCACTCCCGTGGGCCGAAGTAGACCTTGCTACCCATATGATTGTTTTTTAGCAGCGTGATTTAGCATCTTGTTGCCATGTTTGTTTAGTTGTGAATGAGTAAGGTCAAACATCAAATATTTCGCCCTGTAGTATGTATACGTAGTCTAGGTGGAGCTGAAGAAAGATCTCCACTTCTTATATGTAGGTATTTTCATTCTTTCCCATTTTGGATCTTCACAGAAATTGTGCAATTTTAAAGACTTCTTTAGTGAAGTGCTATGACCTACGCATGACTTGAATACATAAATACATATGTAGCATTAATTATATTAGTACATGCCATTATGTTGTATAAAGTACGGAGTACAACCCACACTAAAAGAGCTATCCGACATGCCGAGTTCTTATCCGACGCTCGGGCCAGATAGATGTATTCTCCCCACGCCCAGTCCTTTCAACCATCTTTTCTTCCATGCTACTTCCCTATACTTCAATGGGCCAATGACTCTCCTTTCAGCGAGGCGAATAGCAGGCCGGGTCTGGACCTCGTCCGACTGTTACAGTACGTGCGACCAGAGCTACCTGCTTATTTGCGACCATGAAGATCCTTGAAGTACGTAACTAACACAACCCAGGCTTCGCTCTCTTTCGTCGAGCACGATGCTACAGTACCGAGTCTGTGCCGCCCGGCCAGTCGACAGCTAGAAAGCAACCACAGTTCCGCGATTACTTTGTTACGCACCTACCGTCGTCTTCGCTTCATCCGGACCCCCGTGGTCCGTCATCGCCATTTCATAAACTCCCTCGCTCCGCCTCTATACCTCACACCGGAGATACTTTACACTCGCCAGCTGCATTCCAAACTTTAATAGATCGTGAGACCACAGTCGTCCGGATTCCACTCCGCAATGCGAAGCACCATTTCGGCGCTGTCACCTCCCGCGGAACCCGCCCCTCAAATGAAGACACATACCAAGCCGGCGTCATTGACCTCCCCGCCTTTGCGAAGCGACCTCCAACCTCTCTAACAATTAGGCGATCTAATAAGCAAGATCCTTTGGCCCACCCCCGGGAGTCGCGCGGTGCGGAAACAGCTAGTGGAGATCCACAGATCTTCTATTTCGGAGTCTTTGATGGCCATGGCGGATCTGAGTGTAGTTCGTTCTTGAGGGATTATCTGCACGAGTATATCCAGAACACGGCATTTGACATCGAACTCAAGTCTAGCTTACGGCCTGGTGCCGAAGTACCACCCGCCACTAGCGAACTACCTGTGATGCAAGAGGGTGACCGGCGCAAAATCGGAGACCTAGAGAAATACCTTGTGCAGACCTGGAGACGAGTGGTTGGTGGCTACTTCAAGAGATTCAAGCCGCCTCACTTCGCCTACGATGGCACCGAGTCCACCGACCTGAATATTGAAAACCGCATCTCCATCGAGGAAGTTGTGGAGTACGCCTTCCTGCGTGCAGATCTAGACTTTGTCAACGCTCAAGCAGCCAAGCGAGACGACGATCTAGTCCGAGCTGAGAGACCTCTGAACGATGATGAAATATTCCACAGACCTAGCATGACCCGGTCTCCCCAGATCGGCGGCGGCGCCCGGTTCAAGGGCGGCAGCACCGCTAGTATCGCCATGCTCTCGACCCCGACGCCAACTCCTTTCTGGCACCCCATCGCTCCATCAAGCCTCCTAGTTGCCCATGTCGGCGACACACGCATGCTTCTCTGCTCAACAGAAACCGGCGAAGCCATCCCTATCACATCAAACCACCATCCCTCTTCCCCGATCGAGGCAACTCGACTCCGACGGTACGCCACAACCTTTGTAACAGATTCCTTCGGCGAAGAACGTATGAGCGGCTTAGCCAACACGCGCGCGTTCGGCGATGTCCAGTCCAAGCGCATCGGAGTCTCTGCCGAGCCGGAGCTTAAGCGCATAGAGCTTGGTCCGGCCGAGTTCTCATTCTTGGTTCTGGTATCCGATGGTATCAGCGGGACACTGCTTGACCAGGAGATCGTTGATATCGTCAAAGAATCCAAGACGCCGGAGCAGGGAGCGCGCGATGTAGTCAATTTTTCGACCGAGGTCACTAGGGAAGGTGACAATGCGACTTGTCTTGTTGTTCGCCTTGGTGGTTGGGAGCGTCGTCTCGAGGGCGGCGTTGGTAGTATGGGTACAAAGGAGTCTCGCGAGTGGCGTCGACAGGATGCCATTGATCCGCGCAGGTCACGGACGTGAATGTGGTCTTTCTGTATAGTAAGGGCTTATGTTTTGTACATATTTTTCGGCCTCCAGCCTAGTATATAATCAGTGATGTCTTCAAGCACATTATACAATATTCAAATGTTATTTATGGATATCCTAGTTATAAGATTGTAATAAGCTACGCTATATAACTAGTTATGATATACCTCCAAGACTTTTAAAAATATCAAAGCATCAAAGTATCACAAAGAGATCAATTTTGATGCTGTTACATATATATATGTGTGTTTCAAGTCCTTGTTGTTTCAAAATCTCACGATCATCTCCAGGTGGGACCGCGTGGGGAAAGCTCAAGTTTCTTCCCAAAGTTCCGCGTAATCCGCAGAAACATTCCACAATTTCCTCTCTCATCCTTCATCTTTCATCTTTCTTTTTCATCCCTAACTTATTTCTTTCTTTCAATTTAACGCCTCGAAGTTTCAAGTGCTTGTCAACAAGGCGTTATCTCTTATCGTTGAAATTTCTCCTTGTTCCTAGACACCCACCTCCTATCCTTATCCTGACGGAATTCCTCTATTCTTATCTCGCTGACACCGTGTGTTTTCTCTCGCCGCATCTGTACAACCCGTCCAAATCTGACACCACATAGAACAGCTGTCTGCTATCCATACGTCCCTCTGACCTATACGAGAACAATTTCGCCAGGCACATCCTCTTCACATCACAATGAGCGCAAGGACACGACGACAAAAGGCTTCCCTCGCTGCTGAGGAGAGCGAAGATTCACAAGGCAATGGCTCCATTTCGACACCTTCAAAGCGGGCCTCCTCCAAGAAGAGATCCAGATCCGCCGCACGGGAAGAGAGCAAGGAAGTCAAGGAAAACATCTTCCTTTTCACTCCGAATCTTATCGGTAGGGTGCCCCGCTGATGTGGCTTGAAGCTTCGAGTTGCCATATGGGTTTAACACGTTTCCAGGATATTCCCGAGTCTTTTTGACTTTCGCCTCTCTATACTACATGCCCCTCCACCCCCGGACCTGCTCCTTCCTATACACGGTGTCCTGTCTGCTGGACGGCCTGGACGGTTATGCAGCCCGGTACTTCAATGAATCCACCACCTTCGGTGCAGTGCTGGACATGGTGACGGATCGCTGCACCACTGCGTGTCTCCTGGTCTTCCTGAGCTCCGCATGGCCCCGATGGGCAATCCTCTTCCAGGGCCTCATCAGTCTGGACATGGCCAGCCATTATATGCACATGTACGCTACTCTCAGCATGGGCGGATCCAGCCAAAGCCACAAGAAGGTGGATCCTAGCCGTAGCTGGATTATGTACCAGTACTATACCAGCAAGGTAAGAGCTTGCCGCAGCGAACTGATTTTGCCTCCCCCCAAGCTTATCCGCAATATTTATTAGCTTGTTCTGTTCATCTGCTGCACTGCCAATGAAGCCTTCTTTATTGGCTTGTATCTGCTGTCTTTCTCCTCGCCGACCCTATCCCCCTCGCTCCTGCAGCCCGTCTCCGATTCCGGACTGTCCGCCCAGCCCGGAAACCCTGCTCACCCGGAGCCAGCCAGCCTCTTCGCCAGTCCGTGGAGCGCCGGTGCCCTCGAGATGGCCCGTGCAAACAAGCTCGAGAGCACCTGGCCGTGGATCATCACTGGCGTCTCATTCCCCATCATGGCCTTCAAGCAGTTCGTCAATATCGTCCAGCTGGTGAATGCCAGCAAATGGCTCGCTGAGGGCGATCTGGCTGCCCGCCGAGCCAACCGCAAGAAGTAAAGGACTAAAACAACGTCAAAGCTACACTGTAGCTACTAGAAATTTCCAATTCCTTCCTACTTGTCATGCATGTCTTGGAGCTATGGTCTGTGATTTCAGGGATGCGCAAGCAGACAGCGCTAGGAGCTGTCTTTTCCTCCCTAGGGGAACGTTGGTGTTGTAGTTGGACCTTTTTATAAGCGTCTTGGACAGGAATGATGGCTTTTGGTGGCCAGGCATGGTCCGCATCCTGGGACCCTGTACAGTACACACGCGGGTTGTGTTTTTCTTTTTTCTTCTTGCCATTTGTTCTCTCTTACTCTTCTCGCTTTTCTTCACTCCCGTTTACCTTTTTTCTCCTTGTGATTTTTCGGGCTCTGTGTCTACGGCCTGGTTTCTCGATCTTCCCTTCTTTTTACTCATTGCCCCTGCCGGTCTTTTTTCGTTAACGCCGTTATACATCATTTAATGCATTGCTCTTGTGTTTGACTCTAGTTATGACTTGGTGGAAGACCTGTTCAATGATAGCTGTGAAATCTTGTTTCTGATACTTGATATTGCCGATTTCTTATTGATTTTACACAAGGAGTGTTGTACCTTTGATTTTTGCCATTTCGCTTTCTCAAGTCCTTACTTTGGGTCTAGGAACCTCACATCGTACATACATAGCGAAAAAGTTGTTTACTAATATAGAGGGGTGGGAGAATCCGATGATGTGGCGTGGTATTGATTTCTAGAAACACAAACAAACAGCAATATTTGAAAAGATGTGTCAAGTCGCGGATATAAGAAGTTGATGAGGCTCCGTAGTCGACAAAGCGCTGGAGGCAATTTATAGGTGTATGTGGTGAAAAAGGTGTAAGTAGTAAACATCACCAAGTCTCGCTCGCAACATAGGATTGGCGTGAAGCTCTGATTATAGCTATCGTGGACAGGTTCAACAGACCATTCATGGAAGAGGGGTGTGGAAGTTGTCGACCGTCTGGTCCGTAGGTATCATTGGCTTTTATTTTTGCTTGAGTATTTTGAAGAAACTTCTCGCACCCAGGCCTTTAGAGCCTCCCACGTCGGTCATCAAGCAGCAGTCGTGATGTGAAAAGAGTTTTGAGTCGGGCTCCAAGCTGAACATTTTCTACTAAGCTGGTTAGCAATTGAAGGCCAATAGTCTGCTGTGTAGTACCTTGAGCTCTCAGAAACTTACCTGGTAGAGTTGCCATAGAAAAAGTGACTCGTGATAGACTTCCAGAATAGCTTTCGAATATTGGGATCGTGAGACCTGCAGTCGATTAGCAACCATGTAGAAACTCGGTAAATGGTAAACCAGAACTTACAGATCCATCATCGGTGAAAGGAATAGGCAGAGCCTATGGCCAAACTCCTGGCATTGTTGCCCCTTGGTTTTGGGAAGCAGGTATCAACTCGAGCGGCTTCTTTTTGACGTAGGATTGTCCTTGTTCTTTCCTTTGCCCTTTCCCTTATCCTTTCTCTTGCCCTTAGCTTTGCCCTACGTTGGTCGCAGGGCATTTGAAAGAGCTTTCCGTCCGAGTCATGAGCTATGTCTGGCGGCATGGTACCTAGGACCAATATTTCTAGGCGTCGTCGTCCTTTATCTTCAAGATGTCGTGCTATATAACAGGAGGTCAATTTCCCTCGGAGACACGCGACAATCAGTCATTGGATTGGTGTCATGTTGCTGTTTTCCATTTAAATGATAACGATTATGGGAGTTGGACAGTCTCCGGAACCATAGGAGAATGCATTCCATGTCGTGCATCACGGGGAATAAGGACACTTTCGCCTCAATATCCCCGTCTTCTAGTGGCTTGGGGTATTGGGTGACACCTTGACCGATATTGCTCTCAGTGTCCTCGTTAACTGAGGAGGTGGACTGGCCACCCTAGAACAGGGGATCTAATATGCCCAATATGTCTAGGCCGCCGTCTGTTATTGAGGTTCAAGACGTAGAAGTATGAGACAATTGTCTCCATATTTTCCTAACGTAAGCCATAATTCCGAAGCGTCTTTGGAGGGTTTGTTGTTGTTTTCCATTTCATGTTGATTGTGTGTGGAAGATTGGCGACCGGTCCCCCAAACCAAGACGGAATTCTCTCGCAGTCCGCGTCGTGCAACAATGCAGGCTACGATCTCGCATCATCTTGTCGTATTTTCGGACCTAGATGCATAATGCTTTTCTTGGTAGACAAGGGCCCTTTTTAGGGCTAGACGGATCTAGTTCCACTTTATCCAAGCCCTTGTCCGTCCTTAAGCTTTCAGGCATCGCAGTATTAGACAAGTTCATCTCTGTTTGCTTGACACAGGCGAACGGTACTCACTATTGTAGGGGCCAGTTGTTGTTTTCCATTTTGTGTTGTTTTTTGGGAGTTGGGCCAACCCGAAGAACTGTAAGGGAGTCCTCCCGCAGTCCGCGTCGTGCATCGGGTGGAACACACAATCGCCCCAATTCATCATTAGCCTGCGGCTTGCTGGAGCTGGATGTGGTTCCCTGGTCGGTATTTCCCTCGATATTCTCGTTAGTGGACGGCGGGCGTCGTCCTTCAGGGCTAGGAACAGACACCCTATACCCAATTAACACGTGGTTTTGATCGTAGGAGACGAGGGAAGGGAAAACTGGATGGATTGAGCGAGGCTGTTAGATATGTGAGGAGGGAAAGAAGAAAAGAGGGAAGAGGAGAAATATAATTGAGCATAGTTCTATCTGCCTAAGGCAGACTATGGACAATTTCGGGAAAGAGCAACCAACCTTGGAAGCTCACCCACCAAAATGATATCTACATACCTAGGTACCTAAGCTTGGAAAAGTTCTGGTATGGTGGAATATGAAAATCCAGATCTCCCATAGTTTCTATAGCTCTAAATCTTCAAATCGTAGATTCGTCAACTTATATCATCTTCGCGTTCCACAATACCTCTCGGCGTCTCCATTTTATACCTCTCTATAAACAAGTATGATATTATATAGTAAGGCAACTATATAGTAATGTAACGCAAATTTATGATTTCAGGTAGTATATTTATAGTCTGCTGCATCATATTATCATCAGAAATTTATATCAAACATAATTTGGGGCTGCATATGTAGCTAGGGCTGGTGGGTATACATCACGGCCTAGACCTACTCGCTGAATTTTGGTACCATGTTCTATTGTATGGATTCACTGAAGATGTTGTGTTAGTGATGCAAATTAGTGGACGTTTCCTGGTGAATCTTGGGGTTTCCATTTCTTGAACTGCACCGTAAGATAGAGCGGCTGTGTATATATATTTCTTGACAGTTATTGAGGACTATATATTGAAGTTTGATATGCAAGCCCTGACTAGACTTGCGATTGATGACATCCGAACTGCATTGCCATGGGAACGACTGTTGTACAATAAAAAGAAGAACCCCAGATCTGCGCATTCAAAAATCTTGAGGTGACGATCTCTACCAACCTCGGGTTCGTACTCGTATATATGCCTGCATTGAGCAAGCACCGATCAACTTAGAAGCTAGCATAAAGCCACATATCCTCACTTTATGCATCTCGATCGGATCTCAAACCGCCGGGGTGTCCTCATTGGCGGCTTGGCCTTCTGCACGACGTAGGTTCATTATTATAAGCCGACCCCCCGACTGTGGACCCCGAATATTGTTATTTCGGGCAAACAGATCAATCTCCGCTTCCGATATCGATATCCAATATTCAATATGGGAGATCATGCCCAACACATAGCCAAACACGTCGACGCTGATCTCTACTTCCGGAGACGCCCGGATGTCGACAGCAGTGTCGAAGTCGACTTCACCAAGGGTAAACCAGATGATAATGCCAAGAAAATGCACGTAAGGAATGAGACGCATCAGGTGCAGGTGCGGGATATTCGGGGACGGGAATCATCCTACACACTCGACAAAAATGGGTTCGTATACGTGTTGCACGAAATGCCCGAGCTCGACAGGGTCTTGGACGAAGAACACGTTAAGGAAACGACCATCCCCCAGACGGAATCATTAGTTCGCAAAATGTTAGTAGCACTCCCCTGATAAACATATCTGTCTTGTGAGTATCGAAGCTGAAGCTGAAGGATATCGTAGAACCGGCGCTACGAGGACAGTCACTTTTGTACATCGGGTTCGAAGCCTCGCAACAGACACGTCCTCGATCGCCAATAACCGCGCGCCGGCGCACAGCGTGCACTCGGATTTCACAACTACAGGTGCACTCCACTATCTCAAGACGGTTGTTCCGGACGAGCAGGAGCGCGACCGTCTCCTCACTGGCCGAGTGCTGATTATCAATGTCTGGCGACCGTTGAAAACCATCCAGAAAGATCCGCTCGCAGTTTGTGACTGGAGCTCCGTTAATATGCAAGACGAGAGTGTCCCCACTCGTTTAACATTGCCAAATGGGTGGAGTGAACTCGGGCAGTATGCGTTTAGTCCGAGTCAGAGATGGTGTTATCTCAGTGGTCAACGACCCAATGAGCCCCTTGTCTTTATGCAGTTTGATAGCTCCAAAGTGGACGAGGGAGGGATTACAGTACCGCATAGTGCATTTGTTGATCCGAGATATAGTGACTGTGCTGCAAGGGAGAGTCTAGAAATCAAGATGTTTGCATTTGTTTAGTATATGTTTGTCCAGTTTGTTATGTTTGTTTCAGGGGAGAGGATGAAGGAAGTTTCAGTCTTTCAAGGCTATATTTATCCTCACAGATCAGGCACTCCATTAATTATTAAAATCTGAGTCAATAGTTCAAGCATTTTTTTTTCTTTCAGCTCCCCGAATTCCCGAAAAAAAAAAAGAAAATATAAATGACTCAATGCTTTGCCTAGTTGTGGCTTTGTAGGCATCTGAAAATTTCTCCACGTTCCACATATACACGTGCATTGAATGCAAGGTAAAAAAATTCAGCTATCCCTTGCTACCCAAATTGCCTGAATAAGCCGGAGACTGACGAAGGCTCCGGGACCCTGCATGACTCGAAGAACTAGGGTGCATTTATAAGGTGCATTTATAGGGTGGGTTAGGGTGATTTAGGGTAGTTTATGGTAGTTTATGGTAGTGTAGGGTAAAGTCGGGGGGGGGGAAAAGTCTTTGTTGCCTGATGTGATCGCCATTCGGTCCGCACGGCACTAAATAGGAAACCCGGCATCGGCTTAATTAAAAATTTCTTCTCAATGACATGGCAGATTTTGTATGGAGCCTTTTTCGTCATTCGATGTTTCAATTTTTTTTTTTGGGTTTCCTTGTTTCGACATTTTCTGGGCAATTTCCTAAAACGATAGGCAAATCACCTCATTTCGAAATAGGATTGTAAAAGGAGCCTAAAGTTAATAGTTACTCATCTAATTACTCACCTGGGCGTATATAGGCATATGTTGTAGTGTAAAATAGTCATTGGATGAGGAATATCACGCCTTTTGGACCAATTCGAACTAGTTTAGGGACCTTGTGTCATTTTTCCAAGCCATAAGGTGATCTTCGATGGTCCCACCTGGTGGGTCCATTCTTTTCCTCCTTTAGTGACTCACTAAGTCTATAAAGGAATCCATTCCCTGCTTCATGCTTAGTTTTTTTTTCTCAGTACCTCATCTCATCCTTTCCAGGAGGTGATGGTCTCTCCCCTCTATATCAAAAGTGCTTTTCTCTTTCTTATAATTTGACTTGAGAATGGGCCAGAGGCATAACAGACGCCGCACTCGTCGTTCAAGCAATCGCATACCCACTGTTCTTGCTCAACATCCGACCTTGCCTTTGGCAATTAAATCAACAATTCGGACACCTGAGAATAGCTTTTGCAACCTTGTATCTGCCGACAATTCTCCAGCCTCATGCATTTCACGTGGATCTCCGGCAACCGCCCTCGCCCCATCATGGCATTTTGGGTGCACAGCCTGGCAGACCCGTGATATTACCTCGCGGCTGGAATCAGGTGGATTGGAAGAAGCACAGTGTCGTCTATTCGGTGGAGAGCCGGGCGACGATGTGAGCCTTTGCTACCGGATGCTTGAGTACTTCGGCGGACTCGACTATATCGACTCGTGAGTATCAGTCTCGATCCTACTTTACCTGACACCAATCCTGACACCTTTTTTCAGAACGAGTGGCCATGCCCTTGGAGATTGAATGGTTGATTTCATCTGGAGACTGAACCAAACGGAATGTTTCGCCACCCTTTTTTCCTTACCAGTCAACAAAAAAGACAAAACACCAAAACGATTTTAACGAATTTGCGACGTTTATGAATCCACGTTCGACAAAAACCAAAAACGCCATCGAAAACAAATTGACACGACGCCCTGCGCCTTCTGTCGCCCACTGCAAATATGCGCCCACACCACAAACTGAAGTGGCAAGAACGCTAGATCACATGGATTTTCCCGGGTCCCCGACTTGCAGCAATGAAGATGCCCTCCCAGGCATTGGATTGGTCCCTCTTGACCCGGCCCATGTGGATTTCTGGTCCACTGATTCTATTGCACACATGAGAAAATGAGTCATATAGGCATTTTCTGACTGACATCTTCGTATCCATGCTCTGTTTGGATTGGTTGAGTTTGCGTCCGACCTTGAGTCGTTGACGCTTGAACTCCTTTTCTGAGTGGACTGGGGAGGTCTTGGTTATCTTTATTATGAGGGGAGAATTGTGTGCGATGAATCTGTTCTGTCTATACTCCTAAAACTGAAACGGAAATAGTTAAGGCTGCAGCATGTGGGTTCGATTGGACATCACTGTAACACTTTTTTTTTGGAGTGTATTTAATTAGTATATATGCAGCCTTGAGCGCATTCACACAAAATTATATGAACATATTTTGAACATCCAAAAAAAACCCCATCAAAAGCTATTATGAATCGTAAGGTAGAAACCTCGGATATAAAGTAACTGGTAGAAACATCAGAGATGCCTTTGTGACCTCTCACCGCCTGCGCCACTAAAACAGAAAGTGCCACCTATCGATTCACAGTTAAGGCAGGCGGTGAGCGGACCTGGCTTGAGGACACGGTCATCACCAGATCAGGAAGTGCGGTATTGATTCTCCCTTCATCACTCTTTTGTTACTTGTGCGCCAGGCTTTTTTGGGCTCCAAAAGGCTCTTGTTTTATTTCTACAACCCCAAACGCGTTCTCTGGACCGTTCAAAGTGGCTACTGTCAACAGCCCTGTGCAACACGATCTTTAAATTCCGCGGCCAGCGGCCACCGCTGTCTGTATCCTGAACACACCACAGGATGTCGTCAGACTACACCTATGATGAGCAGGTAAGGATGGGAACTTGGCTTCCTAAAGAAACAGTGACACTAACTATGTCTTTCAGGGACAATTCTTCCCCTTCTTCATCCTCACCTTGACCGGCTTGGTCACTCTCCCTCTCACCTATAACCTCTTACGACCTAGCAAAGGTAAGCTTTGACAAGACTAGACCAGATGCGACGTATCTCCGAGGTCCTGACTGATTTATCTGATCTATAGCGCTTGAAAATACCGCTCCCCGCATCAAATCCGATTTCAAACCTAAAGATGCGGATCTCATCGATGCACAGAAGCGCAAGCGCCTGCGCAAAGAGCGCCGAATTAAGCGCATTATCACGGTTGTCGTTGGATATGCCGTAATGGCATGGATGGTCTACTTAATTGTCGTCACCGCCAGGACAGTGGTGAAGGCATACGACCCTTATGATATTTTGGGTGTCTCGAGGGTGAGTTATATCTAGCTCGGTGAGCCTTGGTGAAGGCCCGCCCACCGAATACACGCAGAGAGTTTCAATTGACTAATTTATCTCGGAAAACAGAGCGCAGATGAGAAAGCTATCTCCAGACATTACAAGCGCATGTCTTTGATTTACCACCCTGATAAAATTCGCCCCGACCCCTCCAAGAATGAGACTATGGATACGCTCAATGAGCGCTTCGTGGAGCTCACCAAGGCTTACAAAGCTCTCACTGATGAGGAGGTGCGAAACAACTACCTCCAATTTGGCCACCCCGATGGCAAGCAGAGCTTTAGCATCGGTATTGCCCTTCCCAAGTTCATTGTCATGGATGGCAATGGCAAATATGTTTTAATGGTCTACGGTGCCCTTTTGGGTGTCCTCCTTCCTTATATCGTCGGCAAGTGGTGGTATGGATCTCAGCGCTACACGAAGGAGCGTGTCCTTGTTGCCAGCGCTGGAAACATTTTCCGTGAGTATAAAGACGATATTACCGAAGGTGGAATTATCACCGCTTTGTCCTCCGGCGAGGAATTCAATGATATGTTTAAGGGTGCTCAGGCCGAGTCTGGCCTGGCCAAGCTCGAGAAGCGGGTGCTGGCAGATGATAACACCTTCCTTGCGGCCAAGGACCGCGAGGCGCTGAAACAGTTGGATAGCTCCTCTCGTCGCAAGGCTTTGGCTTTGCTGTGGTCTTATCTTGGCCGAATCGATCTTGGTGATGCGTCTTTGGATGCTGGTAAGAAAAATTTCCCAATGATGTCCCGAAACATACCACTAACTGGGTCTCCGCAGAAAAATATGAAACGGCCCCTGTCGCCCTTGCTCTCACTGAAGCTTTCACTGCCATTTCACTCGCATTTGGTAACCTTGGACCGATCGTCGGTGCTTTCAAAACGTCTCAAAACCTCATTCAGGCTGTGCCCCCGGGGTCATCACCACTACTGCAACTTCCCAACTTCACCGACGCCATTGTCAATTCCGTAGAGGGCGAAGACTCCAAGGAGCATTTCACCGTCCAAAGATACATGGAACTGCCAGAGGCTCAACGACGCAGTCTGACTGTGGGTGCTGGTCTTCTCTCTGATAAGCAATACACCGACGCCGTGTCCGTCGCCAAGCAACTCCCCGTGCTCCAACCCGAGCGGATCTTCTTCAAGGTTATGGGAGAAAAGGTGATCACACCCAGCAGTCTGGTACAGCTGGTAGTCAAAGCCCGCTTTATCCCCCCCGGAAGCACATCCGTGCCGCCTATGAACCCGATCGACCTAGAGGATATCGACCCCGACGAGGATGACCTTGAGGCCCTGATGGGTCGCAAGCCAGCCAAGAACCGTGCTACCAAGGAGGTGAATGGCAAGAAGGTCGAGGCCAAGATCGAGACTGTCCAGCCACCTCTGGCCCACGCACCGTACCTAGCGCGCGACCACTCTCCGCGCTGGAACATCTTTTTAGCAGATGGCAAGCAGGGCAAGATGGCCGTGCCACCGTTTACTTTTACTACATTCGACAAGCCGATCTTCGACGAGGCCGGCAAGCCCACTTTCAACGTCCAAACCCTCAAGATGCAGTTCCAGGCTCCCCCGCAGGTCGGCGACTTCACCTTCATCCTCCACATGATCTGTGACAGCTACCTTGGTCTTGACAACACTGCTCAAATTACCCTGCACATTGACGATCCTGCCAAGGCAGCTGCCGTGGAAGAGGAGGATGACATCAGCGAGCCAGATGAGGGTAAGTCTTTCTCCGCTACTACCCACTCAACTACTTGTTTCACTTTTACTAACCTTCTATTTTAGACTCAATCGCCGGCCAAATGCAGGCGATCAAGACTGGCCAAGCACCTAAGAAGAAGAAGTCCAAGGACTCTGATGAGTCCAGCGGAAGTGATACCGACGGCGACGCTGCCGATACCAGCGACACCGACACAGAGACAGAAGACGAGGCTTGATTTTTTTTGATTCCCTTTCTCATGCATTGATTGATTGATTGTACTCACAACTTGTGTGATATGTATGTGTGGCATTGGCCTTTGATTTAAACCTGGACGGAGGCCTTGCCCCTACCCTGGGCTTAGGCTTAGGCTTAGGCCTATTATTGCCACTAGGGCGTTCTGGGTTTTTTTTGTCAAATTAAACTCTTATTCATTGGGTAGCTACGGAGTTAGTAAGGTATGGCGATGTACTCCAGCTTCGCTGACTAGAATATCGTCGCCCTTCTAGATAATGAGCTAGTGTATGTCTAGGTACTCCGATTATTGCGATGCAATGATTAATCAACTGGTTTACTTTCAGATTTGCTTACTAGTCTTGGATGAATGTATTACGCTTTTTAATCAATCTTCTCACTTCATGTATAATGATGCACGCCCGACTAGCAAGTATAAAAGTAGGTCTAATACCAATGGGTAATTGGCATGCTAGGTTACCAATTCAAATACTCTTGCATGGTTTACCAACATGGCTGACTGAGCTCATCTAGGTAAAACACACAGTAATAAAGCTCGATCGATGAAATAGTATTGGCTTGCTGAACATATTCCTATTGTACGTACATGTTTGCGCGAGGAAGTAGCCCACGGCGCAATGCCCAATAACCGAACTCATATACCCAAACTTCCACAACCCCTCCCAACTTTTCCATACCTCTTCCATACATCCTCCATGCGCCTTCTGTACCTCCTCTACTCCTCCTCCGTACCCCTCCATACCTTGCCCTGCCTCTCCTGCACCTCCACCATACCTCCTCCCTACATCCCCCAGATATCCACAACTTCCACCCTCCAATTCTTCCCAAGTATCCTCCCAATCCGCAGTTTGTTCCCCGGCCCCATTTGTGTAGGACCGGGGAAAGCACGCGTTAGGGGCATTCTGGAATATTGACCTGGCAGGTTTCCAACGAGCCCATCTTGCGTTCTTTCGCGGCTGCGCGACGGAAGTAGACTCGCTTACCCCATTTCCAAGCTTCGACGCCCGCGAAGAACAGGACAGCCTCGACCGCAACGATACCCCATTCCCAAGTGATGGGCTTGTGTTTGAAGACGACATCGTTCAGAACGGGAATGTACAGGATAGGGAACATAGTGACCCATCCAGCCATGATGGACCAGAACAGGAACTTGTTTCGCCAGACGTCGTACATCCACTGGGTAAAGTACTTCTTGGACTTGGGTTGCATGCGGAAGAACGACCGGCGCAGGTTGACCATTTCCCAGGCCAGGAACAGCGCAAACCAGGTCAAGCACACGAATGTCGTGGCGCGGGCTTTGAAGACAAGTTCGCAGTCTTGGATCTCATCGGACCATGCCTTGTTGCAGCCGCGGGCTAGATTGCCATCGCCGAATCCCCACATGCGGACGGAGAATGCGGCTAGGCAGAGTGCTGCGGTCCAGATACCGTATACTACAATGTCGATGATAACCTCCCAGGTGAAGATACCTTGCTTGCTCTGGGGAGGACGGCTCATGATGTCGGCGGCAGCTACCTCCATTCCAAGACCCATATCGGGCATACCAGATGTAATCATGATAATCCAGAGAATTTCGACCGGGGACAGAGGGAAGACGGATTGATTATCAGCGTCTTTGAAAGCGAGTCCGATAAGTAGAGTGCAGGCCTGAGCGATGTTCTCTGACAATAGATGAAGCACGAATTTCTGAATGTTATCAAAGATACGGCGTCCTTCTTCCACGGCATTGAGAATCGAGGCGAAGTTGTCATCCGTGAGAATAATGTCGGATGCATCCTTAGCCACATCCGAACCAGCCTGTCCCATAGCGATACCAACATCGGCGTGCTTAAGCGAAGGAGAATCATTCACTCCGTCTCCAGTCATAGCTGCAAAGCGGCCACGGCGGTGAAGAGCGTCAATCATACGGACCTTAGTCTGAGGCGCACAGCGAGCAATAACCAAAGGCAGAGTCGGAAGCGCATCTACCTCTGCATCAGTGAGTTTATCGAATTGACCGGCAGTCATAACCATAGCCTCCTCAACATCAGCCGCAACTGAATCAAAGTTGGTAGGAAGAATTCCTACTTGCTGAGCAATTGCTTTGGCAGTGCCGGGGTGATCACCAGTAACCATGTGGACAACGATACCGGCGCGGTAGCAGGCCTCGATTGAGCCCGCTGTCTCGGGGCGAGGAGGATCATACAAGCCGATCAGTCCTAGGAAGCACAGATCTTTTTCAATATCTTCACGATTGAGGTCGGCATCTTCAAGCAGTTGTGTCTGAGTAGTGTATGTGCGATGAGCTAGAGCCAAGACGCGAAGTCCTAGCTTGGCGAGTTCTTCCATGTTCAGCAAGATCTTTTCGCGGTGGTCATCGGTCATTGGTACAGGGGTAGATGAATCCTGATCCCAGATAACAGAGGTACAGGAGTCAATGATGCGCTCGACGGCACCCTTGGTGAAGACCATTGTGCGGTTCTCTTGGGGAGTGATTTTGCTGAAAATCACAGACATCTTCTTAACAGTCGAGTCGAATGGGAATTCAGCCTGTTGGTGCCACACCGTTCCCTCACCTCCCGTGGTCGTACTATGTCCCTTAGTCCAGCGGTCGCGGTTCCAGTTGAATCTCGAAGCAAAGACATGAATTGCAATTTCGGTGGGTTCACCTCGGGCGTTCCATTCGCCTTCTTCAGACTTAAACACGTGCGAGAGATTGGCCATCGCGGCGACGTCCAGGAAGTCTTCGAGCTGGCGGTTTCCAGAGACTAGGCCTTCTACGTTCTCGGCGGCGGGACTTTCATCTTTATAATCGTTCTGCGAAGGAGGGATAGGGGCGAAGGAGACATCTCCGACGGTAGGATTGAAAGGTTCGTTGGATGGGCCGACGGAATACGTTCCTCGAGAAGGAATCCATGCTTTTTGGACAACCATCTTTCCCTGAGTCAATGTACCGGTCTTATCGGAGCAAATATCTGTAACGGCACCGAGGGCCTCGAGCGAGTCCAGTTTGCGAACAATGACGTTCCGCTCGACCATGCGCTTGGTACCCACAGCCATAGTGATAGTCAGGACGACGACGAGACACGCTGGAATCATACTAATACCAGTTGCAACGGCGTACATAATGACTTCGTTGTTGCTGCTGAAAGAATTTGCAGCCATGCAGATAATAGCGAAAAGAACCGCAACTCCGAATAGCAAACAGGCCAGCTTTGATAGCTTTCTCTGCAAGGGCGTTCCGACATTGACACCGAGGAATCGACCAACGGCATCCGCCCAGGTAAGACTCCAAGCCTGGAAGTACCAACGCTTCTTGGTCTCGCCGTTAGGACCACGCTTAACGGGACGACGCTTGGTATCGCTGGCCCGCAATGCGAGTGCAATAGATCCGATTTCAGTGTACATGCCTGTGCTGACAACCACACCACGGCCACGGCCACGAGTGACGTTGCTAGAGCTGTAGGCGATATTGAGGCGGTCTCCGGGGCCAGTGTCGTGTTTGAACGTCGAGTCGCATTCCTTCTGGACGGGAAGAGACTCTCCAGTTAGGAGAGCCTCATCAGTCTCGAAATTGACTGCTTCAACCAGACTGATATGTGTGAGCAATTTGGCCAATAACTGGTCCAATGGCTCTGGTATTGCAGTTGCACCATTGCAGAAAGTAGGAAACTCACCGAATATCCGCTGGAACAGTATCACCGGTCCTGAGCTCGATCATGTCACCCGGCACGATATCCGCCGACGGCACTGAGAATGTCTGTCCACCTCTCGAGACGGTTCCTGTTGGGGAGGACAACGAATGCAACGATTCCATAGTTTTTTCCGCGGCGTATTCCTGGAAGAATCCGACGACGATGTTCAAGACGATAACGCCGCAGATCACTCCTCCCTCGATCCACGACTGAATGCCAAAACTGACTGCCATAGCCAAGATCAACACCTGCAATAAACAAATTGTATTAGATTTCGATAGCTCTCAATCAATTGCGCAATATAAGTATGGACAACAGTAAGAGCTTACTAGCATCATTGCATTGGCGACCTGGCGCACGAGAATCTTGACCACAGATACACCTTCACCTTCATCCAATTTGTTGGGGCCATATTGCTGCAAACGACGACTCGCTTCTTCAGGACTCAGACCCTCATTGAGAGCAGTACCGAGTTCCTCAATAGCAGCTTCGAAAGTGAGCGTGTGAGCTGGCTGGCTCAATGGACTGCCACCCGACCCGGCGTCGAGGGCGCTGTCCTGTTTCTCGTCCAGCATTGGAGGTTGTTCTCGATTGCGTAGATAGCTTGCTATTCCCGCTTGAGAAGGTATCTTCCTGTGGTAACCACCGAGCTGTTTGCTCTTTCGAACTTTTCCGGGGCAATCAGTAGCTAGTTAAAGAAAGAAGCTCTGTAAGCGGGGAGGAAAGCTAATTCTTAGGGTCTCAAGCGAAAGCCCAGACGACCTTACTCCGTATTTGGTTTAGAAACAGAATGTGGATGCCCCAGATTTTAGTCTTGGCCAATGGCTCCCAAGGTTCGAACATCTGGGCAGCCGTGCACGTTGCTCGATTCATTGGAAGAGAATGGGCCAGGGCACCAAGATGCCAAGGTATTGGGCCCGCCAGCTTGTGGTTGATAGACATCGCACGATGGTCGGGGCATCCAATGGCAAAAATATCGGGTTCCATAATTCGAGAATGCCAAGTAATACTACATATGGCAGCTGCAGGCGCAGCAATGCCAAGATCCAGCGCGGCGCGAAATATTCCGAACTTCGGGCACTGTTGCAGTTTTGTCCTATCAGTGTGCATGGAATCTATCTTGTCATGCAAGCAAAAATCCGGGTATACGTAACCCCTTGATTTGACATCTCGATACAATAAACGATTAAACGCCACCGAAGCAGCCTTATGGGAGTGGTAAAACTCCGCTGCAGGAAAGCAGCTCTTGGCGCCGAATCTTGGCGCCAAGTTCTTGGCAATCAAGCGGATGAAGCGGGTGATGAGATTAATAATATTATTAATGTACATAATTCGACTTCGCTCCGACTCATTATTACTCTTCTGGGTAATGGGGTAAGTCGTATTATCGTTATGCAGTGGCTATTGAAATTGGGTTGCAACTACGGAGTAGATCGGTTCAAAATAAGGCCTAGATTACATAGATGTATGCATGTAGTACTCTTTTTGGCCAATCCATTTTCAAGAATAAGGCGAATGGATTTTTAGAATGTGTCCACATGGCCAAGATGACTGATCTGATTTATGATCTACAAGGATACCTATGGCTTCCGTCCCTATCATCGTATGTTGTAGGTATATTTCCGAGGTTGGCTAGCGCAAAATGATATGTCAGAATACTCCGACGTGCTTTTGAATGTTTTTTTTTGAAACGTTTTCTTCCTATATGTATGTGAGGGCTGTAAAACGCATCAGTCTGTAGACGATTCTTGTATAGATATTCTTTGATCTAGCTCCATGTAGAGTGTTAGAGATCGTATATCTTGGATATATTGTAGACATACCTATAGTGTACTTGATAATGTCTTCGTAACGTGAAGATTGTATATCATGCATCATGACGTACGCCGACTACGTTGGATGATACTTTTCCTATCTTGACGAGCTGAAATTCGTATCACGGGGTGGTGATTAATATTACCTGTTTATACGAAAGAAAACTATATTATTTGGAATGCTCATTTCCAGCTGGGCCATTACAAAAAGCTTATAATGCATGGAGGTCTATTCCGAAGTGGTATCTCCATCCTGACTTGATAAAAGACTGCGAGGGGATGGGATGATGCTGTAGTCGTGGTGTAGGAAACTGCTCTCTCTATTGTATATGCGGCGTCAACAGACGATGATTTGAAATAACTACAGCGGAAGAGAAAAGTATGGTAGTGCACCCGTCTTCCTTGTTATCGACTGATACTTCGCCGGGATTGAATCAAAGAAAGGTGTGGTATCAAAATAGACATCAAAGTCGTGATTGGAGGATATGTTGAGAATGATAGGCTTTTTGCTTTGCTTGCAGAGTTGTTATTGAACCTTTTCGTTTGCTCTCTGGGTGGTTTCTTGCTGAAATTTATTTCGTTCTTTTATCTATAAATCCCCAAGAGTTGGTACATATACATACCTCTTATATCAAGAAGTTTCTTCAACCATCCAAGTAACCTCTTGGTAGTGGCCATTGTGCTCATATGAAAGCCCCTTTGATCTAGCTAAATCTCAGCTCAGCTCAGACTTTCCAGACTTGATAGGTAAAGATCGCCAATCAATCAATCAATCAACCAAAGTTCAATTAACCTGTTGTATTCTAACTAGTTGCGTATGAGTATGCAGGCGCTTCATCCAGCTGAAGCAAGAACTCGAAGCCAAACGCCGAGTTGGGATCACTCCCAAGAGTAAATACAGAGTCTGGTTTGTAAAGAGTCTGGAACTAGCCCATTCCTTCCTATCGTAAATCTAGAGACCGCAAAACCCATACACAAGAAATATATATAACAAATGAATGCAACGGAGTGCACCTTCCGCCTTCCATCTCTCCCTCCCTCTCTATCTTCCCCCCTCCAGTCGCAATTGATGGTGTATCGTTCATAGCCAGTTGCTTGGTATGTTTGTCGACTTTTGGCTGAGCTTCTCGTCCCCCAGCTTCGTTTTCCTCATTGACTAATACCATTAGCCTTCCACACCTAGATGCATTGGCGCAAGGCCCGTCGGTTCGTCATCGTCGTTTTCCCCCGCGAGCACCACATATTGAAACTGTTATTGAAGACCTGTTTGGTGCATAAGGTTGCCCCCGCAGCTGATAGCCTGCGGGCTCGATACGATCTTGTCGTAATCCACGTCCTCGACTCCCTCTTTGTCAGATTGTTTCCACATTTTCGTGCGAAGGCCGGTGTACAACGGACATTGCGTAAGGACACACCTCGGCGTCTCTGAACCTGCATCGCAACTGCATTGGCCTGTTTCCGATGAGTTTATTTTGAACAAGAAGCGACGAAGCCCGATTCTCAAGGGTAGCTGGGATCGTGTGGAGCTTGCATAGCCTCTTTATACAGCAAGCCACATATTGGTTCAATTTGAACAAGTCCGAAGACGAAAAGAGAGAAAAGGCGGCAAAGGCGCCGGAGGATTCTCACACTGAGCACGAAGTCAACAAAAACATGCAATTACTAAGGGAAGACATAAAAGCCCTTACAAGCACAATTAACGCCATGAAAAAGACAAATTCAAAGGCCGAGAGCGAAATTTCTGCGCTTAAACGGGCAAATTATAAGGCTGCGTGCGAAGTCACTGCGCTGAATCGCACCCCTCTCGAGAAGAACGGATCTCCAGAGGGGGCTGTGAGATGGCGAGAAACAGGTGAAAGAAATGCTGGTATATCCCATTGAACAAGACCATATATTGTTAAACACAGAGTTCTATTATCATCCATCCATTCATCTATAATATCCTACAGACTATTTTATACAAACAAAATTAATGTACGCCTTTTTTTAAACCAATTATAACTTTTAGAACCCCCCATCATACTTATTTCTGCGCATGTGGTTCTCCGTTGGATCGGATGGCCCTACTTCCGTATGCAAATCGGTTCTCAGCATGATTCCCCCATTGGGCACAATGGCCTCCTGGCTTCCAGTAGAAATGGTAGTGTCATTTTTATCATGACCTAACCAGCTCTGCTTGCGATCTGGAATACGTTGTAGTGGTTGATCTCGGTGAGAGGGGCTATAGGTCTGGTATCTTTGGCCGCCATAGTAACTCCCGAAAAGACGAGGGGCGTAAGTCTTAATGAGCACCGAGAAAGAAGGCGCAGACCCGCAACAGATGGCTGGAATATTGAGCATCATCATCAGCTAAGATTCGATACCAGGATTTTTGTTCAGTATATCGTCGAGAGCTACTCACCAACATAAATCTCGATACTGCACCAATTAAGGGAATCAGCAAGCTCATAGTACTGCTCTTTGGTACCTGACAGCATTTTGACATAGGCATATCGCACGCAACCGGCTGGAAACAATTAGTATCTCTTGGATTAAACCGTATTCGATGACTCTTACCGGCAAGAGCGAAAATTCCAAGTCCAAAAACTCCTGTGAGAGCGATCTTTTTGCGCTGTAGACCGTAAGCGGCTTTCTGATAAAGTTGGATAGATATTCTTTTTTGAAACGAACCAATGGAATTTGCACTTTCCATAACATAGGAATCGGCGTTAGGTAGACTAGGATATCCGTCACAATATTGAGAACACCATTGGCTTCATAAAATGTTTGCTGGGATGTAGCTGACATGCAGTTCCCGGGGACAGTCCCAGTTAGGTCCCAGAACTTGGCAGGTGGGAAACAGGAAAATGCGAGAACCAAGGCACTCGCAATTGACAATCCCAACACCACAAATGTCAGGGCATATACCGCCCATTTCATGTATCCGTGTTGATCGAGACGGAGATAGAACCAGAGTAAGGAGAGCTTGACAAACATGATTCCGATTACATACAGCAGCCGAGTCGAGTAGATGGACTAAAGGTGATGAATGACTGTCAGACAATTTGATCCAAAATAAATATCCACATAACTATTAATATTACCTTTAGCATTGGCACATAGTCTTCATCAGCGATCTCGCCGACTGTATGGGCAAGGAATTAGTATTGGCTTGCTGTAGGCTGACTTCGAATCATAGGAGTAAAACGCACGATGCTTTCCAGTTCCGTAGTACGCCGCTAAATTCACATTAGTGGCTATTCAATAAAAGTAGGATCGTAGTCATACCTATCATTGAGGCAATGGACAAACCAAAAGTAAAGATCTGCCGCAAATTTATTCGTCAATAACGCCCATGCAAATGAGTGACGTTCACTTCACTTACAGTGCCCACAACCATCAAAACTTCAAAGCAGTTTGTTAACCCCCTATGCTCGATAAAACATGATAAAAAAACATACCATCATCAATTCCAACAGCTCGAATAATTTTCATTCGCACAAACAATCGTATAGCCATGACGATTGAAATGAAAACTATAAAGCTTATTCCAACGCCAAAGACTGAAGCTTGTCGGGTCCCTGAGTCAATACCCGCACGCTGTAATATGACAGATGGCAAAAGGAAATCCATATTCTTTAGTGGGTAGAATAAAACTGAAACTGGGACTTCACGGTCAGGAGATTGCTAGGTAGAAACTCGAGATCATTCATTGAAAAGATGGTGCCATGAAGAGCCGCACAGCTTTCTAGCCTTCTTATAACTAACTTGCTCCTTTTTTCTTACCAAGCAAATCCACAACCATTGCTGATCCTTCAAGCCAGTGTGTTAAAGTACAAGAAAATGATCGGTTCGACGAGGCAAACCGTAGTAGTTTTAGAATGGTCTTGGCGGAGCTATGTACCTATTAGACCGGAATGGTTGATATCTCCTATTAGAAGCGATCGACGGTATTAGATCCTATGTAATTATGTTACCGTATCTAGCTTCGCTCAAAACTCAGATTTTGAGCATTTTATATCAATAGGAACACGTTGAGAAGACCTGATCTATGCAGCATTAAGCTGAACCATCAATTGGTCAATGTCTGGTTTGCATACTACCGAGTCTTTTATCTCCCAATGTGCAGTCGGATATTTCTGGTTATTCGTCTCTCTTGTGCCTACGATCACTTTCTATTTTTTCATTAGTACGCGATATAGCCCCCAAAAGCTATGAGCCATGCCGAATCTCCACAACAGATAAAACGGACAAAAGTACGAAGTAGGGCCAACAAGTAAAACACCCACTGAAGGTGATTCGAACTCGGGCTTTACACTAAGTCTACTCCGTACTAGACTGTTTACTGCCAGCCTGGAGTGGAGCCCTATGTCCACATATTATCCATTCCGATCCCTGGAATACCATATCATTGTGATACTATACTCCGTACAATATGTTGTATACGAAGTACGAAGTACCCACCAAGGATCCTTCTCTTGTACGAAAATGGATAGATCCCCGTTATAAGGATAATTCCCGTCCGGAAGTTAATTCGCTTCTCCCCGAGACACTAATAAAAAACCACAACGATTCAGAAGTCAAGTCTATGCGGGCCATTCCAACTCAATTGAATAATTTACTACATATCCCTTTCCAAGCCTTCCAAAATTTGAAATGCTCAAGTAATAGCGCAAAGGTGCTTGGCCTTGAGGACATATCCGAATTCCGAAGTCCGAAATTTCCACTTCCACTAGGATTTACAGAGACACTGCAACCATTTAAGTGGGGTATGCAGAGTAGCAAATTATTCAGTCTATAATTTTTACTCCTATTCATACCATTAAGGACTAAGTTGAAAAATCCTGAGAACATGGGGGCCACTAGTTGTGCCACCCGAGCCTTGCTCCATAAATGAAGATTGCGGGAGCGGCCCCAAGGGCGGGACACTCTACGGCTCCAGCCATGATCAACTTAATTGTGTTAATATGAACTGGCACCTCCTTTTTTTCGAATCTTGTATCAAAGCACGACCGTCAAACTATCGATCAACTTTGGAACGGAGTTGTCACTCGGCCCCCAACCCGTTGGAGACGGCTTCAACGACGATCATTCTCATTTATTGGGCTAGCGTTGCTTCTTCCTTCGCGTATTTTATAGCCCGGTTCCTTAGCCGAATCCTGCCGCCGTTGCAGCGGAAATTGGACGCGTATCACCTAGAAATTACTTTGTATATTTCGAGCTAATTCCACGATAATGGCTCAAAAATGACAGGCCGAGGATGGTAAAAAAAAGTACTCTCGCCCAGTAAAATTGATAGAAGAGGTGGGTCTTGTCGAAGTTAGTTAGCTTAGCGATAATAAACAAAGCGGTTGTCCTTCAAATAATAATGGTACCGGGGGGTGATTCACAGCCTTGGAGGCCCCATGTGGGCCTAGCACGCGGAATATGTATCTCTATAGAATAGGAGTTTGATGATGCTGGGCACATTTAGGCCCCACAAGACCACATGAAATGGAGTTCAGAACTCCTACTTCAGGGGGCAATATCACTTGTGCTGGTTCATTTTCACTTTCTCCTTCATATTCACTCAAATCCAATCCTCATAATGACTGATGGGAAGAAAGTAGCACTGGTCTTCGGTGCCAGTGGGATCTCCGGATGGGCCGTGACCAAGAACTTACTGTCCTATCCAACTGATACCACGTTTGATCGAGTTATTGGTTTAATGTATCGCCAACGGACCATTGCTGAGAGCGGCCTACCTCAAGACCCCCGACTGGAGCTGTACTCAGGAGTGGATCTCCGTACGGACCTTGAAACTGTGAAAAAGCAGATGCAGGAACGCATTCCAGACCTAGATCAAGTTACCCACGTGTACTATCTCGGTATGTGATACAATATGCATCGGGCATTAAGTCGGCCCACTAAAGCACAATTCTCACCAACAATAGCATACTCCAATGCTACCGCATACACCGAAAATGTGATGGGTATCAAGGATATCAATAAGGGCATGACATATAACGCTGTCCACGCAGCTGATACTCTCTGCTCGCGGCTTCAATTTTTTGTTCTCCAGACTGGAACTAATGTAAGATCCCTCTTTTGATCTGACCTAACGTATCCTAACTTCAATAGAACTATGGGGTTGCAGTGTTCCAGTACATGGACAAGATTGAGATCAACCCTCCTCTAAGGGAAGATAATCCACGAATTCCATCGCCTTACGGCGATGAAATCTTCTACTACGATCAAGTTGATTTGATCAAGGAGGCTGCTGAAGGCAAATCATGGAAATGGTGCGAAGTTCGGCCTGACCAAATCATTGGTGAGTCACCCCTTACCTTACCTTTACCTTTAATTTTAGTCCAATGGCCATAGATATATCTTTCTTACCTTGAAATGTCATTTAGGATTTGTTCCTAATGTGAGTGGTATGACCTTCATTGAGCCATTGGCTCTATACCTCGCTCTCTATCGATTCGTCAACGGCCCAGGTGCAAGCGTCACCTTCCCCGGTACAAAGACCAATTTTACCTACACGTTTACAGACTCATCTCAGGATATGATTTCAAAATCCGAAATTTACCTGTCTGTGGTCCAGCCGGATCAGGCTAACGGAGAAGCCTTCAACATCGCCGACACTGATGTGCCGGGACCGTGGACCGTCAAATGGCCGATTTTAGCTGAATACTTCGGCCTCAAGGGAACAGGCCCAGGCAAAAGAGGCTGGGAAAATCTCGAAGAGTGGTGGACTGAGCATCAAGATGATTACCGACGGATGTGCAAAACCTACTCTCTCGAGCCCCGTCAGGTTCCTCCTTCATCGTGGATTTTCCTCAAGACTGGCTTTACGCTGCTTGACCGCAATCGGGAGATGTGTCTTGACAAGATTCGAGGCGTAGGGTTCAAAGAAGAGATCCCTGTTGGTGCAGGTCATATCATCGCCCTCGAGCGAATCGCGGAGGCCAAGTTGATTCCGTCTCGACATGCGCTATCCACCTCCCTATTGTTGCAGTCAGAGTCGTCCAAAATCATGGACAAATCTCCTGTCATGGAAATGGCAAGTAATGTAGTCCATTGAGACAACTTTGACGTTAGAAACTGTCAGAGATGCAAGGAGTGTACTGGTGTACTTTTGTAGTAACCTTCGGGGGCTTTGACACAGATGGAGCAAGAATGTGGAGCGATAATACCATATCATTATATACAACTGATGCCGAGAAAGCATTTTAACGTTGAATTTTGAAAATCACTAGAAATACATTTATGAGATTTATGGAGGTTGTCGCCATTCATAGTTCACGCTCCGACATCCATATAATATACCGTTGCATATGAAAACTAGCAACCGACCAACATGAGGTACCTTGTGCAGCTTAAGAAATTGCTATCCCTTGGCTTTTTCCCCTACGTGGCAACCACAAAACCGACTGCCTCTGGGTGGAATGGCGATGCCTTATTGAGACCTTGGTGCATCTTATTCTCTGGTTGGATGAACGTGGAGCTCTCGCAGTTGTGGTTTAATTGTCAGTTTGTGCGCTTGCTCTGGGCTAGGTAAAATTAGATTGACAGGGCTCAAATCTATTTTTTGTCCTGCTATAATGCTTGGCAGTATATCCATCACCTGGATTGTTGATTATCTCTGTAACGCGCAAATTTCGGCCCCGAAAACTGACTTGTTGAAAGAAGCAAGATTTGCGTAGATCAGTGATCCAGGCGTATCGGATAACCAGCAATCAATACTCATCAGCCTAGTTTCTAATGGGTGTTTCGAATCTATGATTAGTCTACGCGCCCTTGGCGAGCCAGCAACAATAATTGGGGCTATGTTTAGTCTTCTCTCTTTCCTCATTCCCATGCGTTATATAGAAGATAAAAGCAGCTTTTAGGCCACAGCAACTTATTATATGTACGACCAACATTCTAGCCTATGACCCAAACTATTCGATCTGGAAATAACGACTGTATCGTCTTGAAAAATGAGTCTCGATTCTGGATTATGCGAGCCGAAGGATTTTGGCGATCCCGACGTGACTGGATTTGGGGTAAATTCCCTGATTCAATTAGATAGTCCAAGCCTGGTAGTTGAGACTGACCTGTATCGAAGGTGCTCATTTCCTTTAGAGTGTCTATTCTAATGATGTTAGGCACTGTTATAACAGGCTATGTCAAAGGACTCCTGCGTGAGGACCGGTACAACGCAATTGATACTATGATTCTCGATACATTCCATCGTGCCCTTGGAGGGGGAAAAAGGATCCAAAAGACAAACAATATCGACCGCATCAAACATTTCGAAAATTTTGTCTTGACAATGAGCGACCAACAATTGGTAACGGGATTTGCGCTTGTGATTGCCGCACAATTGATTCGCTACGGTGTTGCAGACCTGGACAAGACAATATCCGCCTATTCATACTGTATGGCTGTCAACTTGGCCCTATTTTCGTGCGTCACGCACCTTTCGTCAATGACAGTTCTAAGAAGCCATTATGACAGTAACAAACGGCTGAGAGATATTAAGACCGTTCTCATGGTTGCATCCGTTGCTCTCCTGGTACCCCAGCTTGTAGCTGGCCAAATCTTAGCGACAAATTCAACACTGCGTTGTTCTCTGGATCAATTGGGAGGTGATACTGGGCTGCATTGGTACGATGATACTTATTCGAAAATGGTCTTCTTTTCAACCCTATCTATGATTGGCATTCTCGTCGGTGGTTACCTGCGAAGGATTCTGGAGCTCTATATTCCAATGTTTAGTGACTCGCCCGAGGCATGGGTAGCAGAAATTTGTGCGAGCAAATTTTCATGGCTGAGTAAACACGACATAAAGATGTTTAATGTTGTTGCCAATCTCGACCGTTTCGCTGAAGCGATGTCGCTCTTAGCGGGGCGAAATGGTATAAGAGATTATTTTACGATGGTTAGCATCATAGCAGGGGAATTGAGAAGTTCATTCTTTGCAGAAATTGTTTGGTTCTTGTTCTACTCCACCTTTGCACTTTGCGAGGTTTGCTTCTTCATTGTTTGGGGAGGGGACTCGGAGTCTTCCATTAGCTTTACACCGCAATTTGGGCAGATTCTCCCTCTCGGCATGCTCGTCCTTCCGGTCCTTTCAGCCGTTGAGGCTTACAGAAGTTAGTTTGCATACACATTGATCTACATAGATCAATATCACTTACTCACTGACGAGATGAGGGTTAGAATTGGAGAATAAGGAGGCAGATTTGAAACGACCCCAAATGCATGGTTCCCACAGCAGCTGTCAATGTTGTCTTCAAAGAAATGCGCTCTTGGATCAAAACCCGGGACACCGTACCAACGGGTCTTCTTCCACTGCTATCCCGTCTCAATCAGATGGTACTACCGAGAAGGTAAGTCAATATATCTCTTTGTTCCCGAAGTACTGGCTTAGGGCATAGTCCCCAGGATTTTGCGATTGAGTATTAACCATGCATTTTCCCGCCAGCACAGGAAGACTATATCTGGGGCTCTCTCAATCTATACCGAGTTTGCCTTCGGCGGCAGAGGGCAGGTACGCTTGTTGTTACTTGCTTCATGATGGCCATCTACACTAGTGTAGTTCTGTTCGCGGCAGTTGTCTTCACCGGCATTTTATTCGAGACTGATGGGTTGGAGGACGAATTGTTTTGGCTTGGATATTGGATGACAACCCTTTTTTTTGTTCTATTCCTTGCTGGCTTGCTTTTTTCTATACTGAGCACCGTTTTATCGGTTTCAAGGTGGCGGTATAGTGCACCAACTGTTTCCAATGGAAGATCTAGCTAGACCCGGGAGTATATGGGATACGCATTCAAACAGCATATCTGTGATTCACTCGTAATGTTTTTCTCTGAGTTAGCACTGAACTGTGAATCTCCGTGTATATGAGGGAATATTAATAAGGGCGGATTGGGCTCAGGGCAAGTATCAAAACACTTATCACGTAGCAAGGGTTATTTCTCACCCTGTTAGTACTTACTTTAACACCCAAGAAATGACAAAAAAGATGTAACATAATTACGCCAAGCATGATAGGGAAATAGCATGATACAGCATCAAACCAGCCAAGCCTGGAGTAGTATGTATTTTACATGCAATGCCCTATATTATTCCCTGTCCTATATCACACTACATCGCCAATTCCTAGACGTATACACCAGTAAGCAATAATCTACATCCCCATAAATCTCAGTACTTCTACCAAAGTACATAAACCAGGGTACACAAACAATCCTAGCAACGACCAAAGCGCATGTCCTCAAGTCTCACAAACAACCCTCCCCCATGCACCCCACCATCCCCACCCGAACAGGCAACAGGACACACGCACTTTCTATGATCTACGATCCGATCTTACTTGATCTGCACGCTCCTAACCCTTTTTAGACCTCTGCTGCGGCAGCTTTCTTTGTATTTCTTCTCTGGGTTGATGCTGGAAGCTTCTGTGTCAGGTCATGCATGTATTGTACCACTGTATAACCCGGTGCGAGATCCAGATGTGGTGTTAGGCGGTCTCCGGGGTTTCTTGTGTTAGCTTTCGTTGGGGTTGGATTGTAGGTCAGCTGGGATGGGATGGGATGTTATCGTGTATCGTACACAGAGTACTCTGTAATTTGCTTTTCATCGGGACTTGGCTTGTTCTGGCGCTGGTCGCTGGTATTGTCGGGATATAATCATGGCTGGGAAGTAAGACTGACCTTCTTTCAAGTCAGAGAATGAATTTTTCATCGCGGGATGGATATGAAGGTAATGTATGATGATAACATACTTAATCTATATCTCATTGTAAGTAACCCTAACCCGGGTCTACCCAAAGCATAATGCTAGCCCTATGAAGAACAAGAAAAGGCCAGAGGTATGAGAACTAGTACCTGAATTGGTAGGGCGATACTCTTTCAAACTAGATACCAGAATCGAAAGGAAATCCAAATCCAAATCCAAGACCAACACTGACGATCCAAAGAAAGACCTGGCTGAACCCGAGAAGTAAAAGCGAGAAAGAAAAAAAGCGACTGGTCAAGAAGGATTAGGGCTCAATGTGCCAGACATCTTCCGATCTTGTAATCCTGGGTGGATGTCGTGCTCCATGCTCCGGTGGTGTTCAAATTCAGATAAGGGGGGTATAGAAAGACGAAAATCCAAAAAGAGGGTTGGAGCGGAATGTGAGTCGTAACGACGATTTGAAAAGAAAAAGCAAAATAGTAAGACGAAGTATAAATAAGAAGTGAACCTGAAAGAAGCTGGTCAACAGCTTATGCTAGAACCCCAAACCGAAAAAGCAAAAAAGACCATGTATCTCCAAAAAGAAAAGAGAGAAACACTCCATCATATCATGCCAAAACCAGAAGGAGATTTACCCTGAAGGAAAATTCCAACCAGGCGTGAACCCAGGATAAAACGCCGTGTCGTGCGTCTGGAAATGGAAATCACCCATCATCTCCGCTGAGATATTCCCAGTAAGATGGTGGGAATGCGCATGAGACTCTGCCATCAGACCAGGCGGTAATCTCGCCAGCACGGGCTTGACATCCTGCTGTGGAGTGCCTGGATCACAACATCCATCCAGCACATACGGGAACGGCGGCTCGTGGTGCGTATGTTGAGGATGATGCGGCAGCCCAGAAGGGGCAGATGCCATATCAACATGGGGCGCAATATCAGGGCCCATGTCCGACGCACTCATGGACGACCGCTGCTGCAGCGCCATTAGGTCATGGTACCCTGCGTCTGGGTAGCTGTAGCTCGTCTGGTGGGTGGGCTGGAGATCCCATTGCCAGCTTGCGGTAGTCGTTGGGCGGCTGGGCACGGATACGGGTGTTTGGATTGGGCATGGAGGGCGAGAGAGGGTCGGAGAGGGCTCTGGGGGTGTTGTTGGCTCTGGCGAGGGCTCTGCTGTGACACTGCATTCTGTAGATGTTGATAGCAGTCGTAGGTAGCGCAGATCCTCTGAGTCTTCGTCTGGCTCGTCTGCGTTTTCTTCGGCTTGTTTGATTAGCCCTAGACGGTCGAGGATTGCGTGCGTTAGGGGGTGTCCGTCTGGGGCTTCTGCGAGTGGTTCGCCTGGAAAGCCTTCGTTGTTGATGCAGGATTTATAGAGTTTCTGAAGGGCTTTTACGACGAGGGAATGGTGGGATTCGAGCATTTCGACAAATCTGTGTGTAGTATGTCTATGAGCCTTTTGAGGATATGTAAGGCTTGGGATCCTGTGTATTCACTCACCCTCGAGAGTATACTTTTGTCTGAGTGGCCTTTCTTTCACGGAATAGACACGGGTGGTTGTATACCGAGCAGCGGTTGCAAGGCTGTTTTCCATCACACTGATATGGGTTAGTCAAATCAGGATTCCCATGCTATATCAAGCGACATACTTTGGTTTTCTTCACTCGACAGCGATCACAGGCCTTCAAAACATGCTTACGCTTGACCCGGAAGACACGCTGGTCGCGCTTGTCCTCGCCAACCCGGGCCCGATGATCTAGTTCCGACAATGAAGCCACAGCCGCAAAGTCATCAATGCTATGTGGGAAGCCCTTGGGGCGAAGCTTTGGCTGCCACGACATAGTGGATTGTATCATATTCGAAACTCCACCAGAAATTAAGCAAGGGAGGTGGATATTGCAATGCAAGAGTAAAGAAGGGTGGAGAAAGAGAAAAAGAAGAGAGAGCAATATTTCAAGTCAGGAGAGAGACAGAGAGAGAGCTTTGTCCAGCAAAGTGAAAAAGAAAAACAGAAGAAAAAAAGAAAAGAATCGAGCAGGTGGGGTGGATGATAATGAAATGGACTTTTTCAGCCGCCAGGGCCAAGCGTTGATATCATGATTATCAAAGGGGGAGAAGGTGCTCCCCCGCAGAGAAGCCGACCGTGACGTGGAGAGATTGTTCAAAGCGTTCGAGGGTGACGAGAGTGACATGTGGTTGATCCTAGTGTAGGCCATGTAGGCACGTAGACACTTAGGCGACTGTTTAGGTACCTAGGGATCAGTACAATGACACGGTCCGAGCCGTGAATCCGTGAATTCGGCAGATCACCCTAGTCATTGGGCAGGAAAGATCAGAAAGAGGATCAAGCCCAGGGATGGTAACGTTCTTGTCACACGATTTTCCCCTCTTCGAATGCTGACACTGCACGTCAGAGAATTACCCCCCCAAGACACCGAAACACACGTGCCTGGAGATTGGGAAAGGTCAAATCCGAGATTTTCTGATGAGACAGTGTCCAATCATTTAGTCAATCTGCAGTCAAGGGGGTCAATGCTTGATAAAAATAAAAAAGCACGGTGAAAAATGAACATAGACATCCTTGCCTGCTGCACCGAAACGTGGTACAATATGATATGCTAGAATATGTAGACAATTAAACTTGTCTGGTGCCTCACTCTCTCAGCCTCTGAACAAATTGTTAAAGGAGTTAGAGGAGATAGAGCAGTTAAAAAGAGAAGACAATAGCCCTGTACTTCACAAAGCGGGGTTGATGATATTGCCCTCTCCTATTAGGGCTCTCTCCTATTCCCCTTTCTATTTTTGGAGACAATCTTTCTTTCTCTTATAATTCTTTCGTACAATATTACCCTGGTACTGCCTGCATTCTCGCACAGAATCAGAGTGCGCAATCGTTGTATAAGAAAAGCAGCCCCAATCCGAACAGTTGTCTAGGCTAGATCTTTGCATTGATCAACTTCCTTTTTCTATTTACATGACATCGTGTACTAACTTTCAGTGTGGCAGTGTAAGTATTTGTGAGATATGTATACTATATACGCTACCAAGGCAGCACAGTGTTCATCTCAAGCTGCAATACCATACAGTGTGTCACTGATCTACGGAGTACACTTGACTGTACATGTCTCTTCCTTTTCCCCCATCCCTCATATCCTCTGAACAGAACCTGAACAAAACTTCGATCCTGAATCCCAGGTTTGCCACCGAGGTTGTCTAGACCGGTGGAATACAATAAAAATCCATGGAGCTGTGCAATGGATCGATATTGGTTTGTCGAGTACTCCGTACATGGACTATCTCAAGGTCTCTCAGCTGCGAGACAGGGAACAGGGAACAACAGAGAGACACGCACACAGTGTGTTCTTTCTCCCCGATCCCACAGAAACAAGATATGGAACGATTCCCATGTAATATTGGCCACGTTGTGTACATGGAATGAACTATGGACTATTGATTGCTGTATGCATATTTTCAAAAGCAAAAAAAAAGCAGACATACAAAACTCGCCCTATGGAAGGGCTTGATGAAAGCACCTGCATTCAACATGCAGTCCGCTCGTTCACCGACAGATTCCAATTCCAATTCCAAGTAGAGACCACGAGGCTGTAAGATTCATCTGCTTCGGTCCTTGGCAAATGGAAAGTGAACTGTGAAAAAAGCAAAACAAGGGTAAATTCAGGGGGGAAAATGCGATATGTAATATCAGAGGGATTTAGAAATGTAAAATCCCTCGGTTTTTGGGAGACAGATGGCGAGAATTCGAAGCCTGAACACCCTCGGATGTCAGACTTGTCAACTTTGGAACCCAATGTCGGAGTAATCGACCCCGAATTGCTTGGAAAAAGGGGGAAATGAAAAGAAAAGAAAAGAAAAACGAAAGTGATGCGGGAAATCACCAAATTCGCTCATGGAGCCAATAAGCACCCAACCTGACCCTGGAGTGGACCAGTCAGAACAATCACCGACAGATCAGCAGATGCAAGAGCAACGGAAGAATCAGGACTTTCAGGACTTTCGCACCCGAGAACAAGAGATTGATTGCTTTCGACAGCCTGATTTCCCTCCTCTTACACCCCCGGTCCATCGGGGAGCAAGATACTCGCTTCACCCTTGGCAAGCAAATCAAAGCTCTCCTCGCTGGTCGCCGTACTAGGCGAGTGGTCTGGTGGTAATGGGTACACGGTCTTCTCCATATCCAGCGCAGCTAAGGGATGTTGCTGAGCCTGAGCCTGAACCTGCCATCGGCGATCCCCTACCCATTCGACGCCATCGCCGACCCCACTAATATCGGCCTTGCGACGTTCGCGCTCGCGCTCCAGGAGGGGCAGCTTCTCGCCGTCCGGCGTTTCGCTTCCCTGTCCGAGTTCCAGGGGCAGGTTGCGCCGATGCCATTCGCCCACGAACATCCCGTCCACGTCAACTTGCGAACGCACTTTCATCCACGACTCCATGTTTGACCCATACGCGGCACCCAGCTCTTGTGGGCTTAACGTGTTGAAATTCTTCGCCCAGTGCGGTTTCGCGCCCATCTCCCGCATCAGCCATTCGAAGGCTTCATAGTAGCGCTCTTTGCACGGCGGATCGCGGAGGTACGGACGATAAAGCGTTGCGTTGAGGTAGAGGGTCGGGCCGTCGGGACAGGTCGGGTCCAGGAATGGGCGGGGCTTTGCGTTCAGCGAGGTATCAGAGACTCGCACTTCGACCGGACAGTGTACGTACAGTCCCTTGGGTGAGAAGGGGATGCGCGCGGTCGCGGTGTCGCCATTCAACCAGGCCGAAAGCCGACCGATGGCCTCGGGGCCCTTTTCCAGCGGAAGCGCCCATTCATTAACAAACTGCGAATACAGACAGTTCATCAACAATCCCTCGCGCGCGGGCTCAACTGCCTCGGTGATGGTCGACCCAGCGCGGAAGCCGTACTGCATACCAAAGACGAACCATTCAACCCAAGGCAGGATGCGGGGGACGTACGAGGACAGCGCGAGGAGATTATGGTAGATATGGTAGCCTAGGGCGTCTCCGTAGAAGCTTGTCGGGGGAGGGCGCAGCGGGAGGTCAGTTTTATCAGCACGCCAGACAATAGCGGCTTTCTCATAAGGCATCCACCAGACGCGCACGAACTCATGCGAAGTCCACAGGCCCGTTGACCATTCGTCCAGGACACGAGGTAGGGAGTACCGCTCCTGACGCCAGGCGATATTGAACGTCTGCGTCGCCTTGAAGGTGACTTCGACGACGATTCCGAGCGCCCCGAGCGATACCAGCCCCGCGCGGAACAGGTCCGGGTTGTTTGTCGGGCTGCAGCGGACTAGCTGACCATTAGCAAGTACCAGGCCGAGCGAGTCGATACATTCTGATACCAGGCCGTGGCGCAGGGAACTACCGTGGGTACCGGTGGCGATGACGCCTGCTATGGACTGGCTGTCGATGCTGCCGAGGTTCTCGAGTGTCAGACCATGTTTCTCTAGTTGTGTGCCTAGATCGTGCAATCGGATGCCTGCTTCGACGGTTACCGAACCGGTTGACGGGTCAACGCTGATGATACGATTGAAGTCGTCGAGGTTGACGAGCCAGGATGAGGTACAGGTCAAATCGGAGGGTGAGTGGCCGCTGCCGACCGTAACGATGCGACGACGACAGCGACGGGCGAGAGTCACAAGCTGTTGAATCTCTGGGATTGTTTGTGGGCGGATGTACAGCTCCGGGCGCGAGAAGAATGTCTTGGCCCATGTATGATGTAGATGATCGGTCGATGAGCGGAACGGTACCGCGGGGTCGAGCTTCGAAAGCTCACGAAGGATGGAGGGGTCCATGACTCTATATTCACATTGCCATAAGGGAAGAGTAGAAAGTAAGAGAGGAGAAATTTACAAAAGCCAATCAAAGATCGAGAATGGCGACATGCCAGATCGGATGATTTTTTTTTTTATCTCCGTCCTCGGGGCCGGTCCCGTCCATGACCCTCATACTGTACTACTACAGAGTACATATATCCTAAATACCCTAAATATCCGGGAAATGAGGCGTTTCATGTTTTAATTTGAATAATTTAGAATTTATAGACATAGAAGAATAAGCCTAGGTCGATAATACCCGTTATGAAACTCGAATTCTCAAAAATCATGCCTAAATACACCCTCAAATGCGAAATCCACCTATCTACACATCCCCAGATGCTCCAGTTCCCTTTATGGCGCAAATATCGCACAAGTACACAGGACTCCGAAATGCTCTGTAAAGCCTGTACAAAAATATGCACAAATTCAAAGAGCCCTCGCAAAAAAAAATTCAGATAATAAAACAGATCTCACTCACTCTCTGGTGATCGAATCGCCTCAATAACAACGTCCAGAGAGAACACGAAAGGCGCATGCTGGTTGCGCGGGTTCCATTTGCGGAATGCGCTTTGGCAGCGGTCGGCGACGCCACCGAGGGCCACGTAACTTTTGGGGATGAACGGTCGGTCTTGAAGGGATGTAGCAAGGATACCGTATTCGTGCGCGAAGACCACGGCCGAAGTGAACTCGGCAGACTTCTGGGAGGCTTGCTCGCCAATAATACTGTTGGGGGAAGTGGTGTCAGTTGGGTGGAGGGCACTTTGAGGGGCTAGTTAGTACTTACACATAGATCTCAAAGAAGGTGTCCAGAACGTAAACGTCTTTCTCAGTGATGTCTCGGTAGCAGAACGGCTCGATTTCCTGAATGCAATCGTTGGCCTTGACCACTGGTGAACCCGAGCCCGGACGGCGAATGTTCCAGAAACGAGTTGGCAGAACCGGTTCGTGGTCAACACGGAGGAGTCGCGTGCAGAAGTGATTGTACTTCGGCTTGAGGTGCCAGTGAACTTGGCACATGTGGGGCGCGGCCTCCCTAGGGCCTGCGAAGATATCAAAGAAATCCTCAGGCTCTTCGCCCTCGGTGACTTCTTCAAACTCTCCAGTAAGACCTAGGTCCATGCCGATGAGTCGAGCTGCACCGGTTTCTTCCGGACCACTACCTTTACCCTTCCATAGGTAGAGCTTGCCAAAGGGAGCGGAGACAACGTAAGGGAAACCCGAGCAGAGATTGCGCAGTGAGTAATCTACCTCATCAAAGGTCATCTCGCCCAGGTGTTTCCGGCCACAAAGCATGTAGAGTGCCGATGAATTGTGGCGAGAGCTGGATCCCCGACGCGTGATCATAATACCGCCGAGCGCTTGGATGAATCGTTTGGGCTCATTGCCTTGTCGAATGACTTGCAACTTAGAGCTATTCTCGCGAGCGACTTTGCGAGCGAACGGCTGTTCATCCTCCACCGAGGAGTCGGGGACATCGTCTCCACGCCAAAGGTATACTTCCGAAGTGCTGCTTCGTCCGGTCTCGAATACGTGCACGCAGAGATACATGCTGCCTTGGTATAGGATGTACTCCTGGTGGGAAGGCAGTTCCTGACGCCTACCATCGCCTGTGAGCTCCCAGATAAGTAACTTCACGGTCCTGATCTTTACATCGTCTGGTTTACGCATCAGCATCAGCTGCGGATCAATGTCCATCCGGTTTCGAGCGTTGGGGGGCGTCTTGAAGAAGCCTGCAAGGACCTCACGTGCCTCACTAGCTTGTGCAACCAGTGATGGGGCAGACATCTTTCTTGAAAGTCTGCGCGGGTCGGTTGGCTTTGGAAGCATAACATCACCGTCTTTAGGGGGTACTGGCGGGGAGGGATGGCTCATGGACCGTGAGAGGGAACTGCGTGCTGACTCGACGACGACACCGGGGATGCTCTTCTGCTGGCTCATACGTGAATCCATCTGGTTCTCTTTGTGACTTGTTTGGAGAGGGGATGGCGATGAGGACGCAAACCGGTTTTGCTGGCCCCATTGTGGCTTTGGTGTTACAGGCGAGGGGGTCGTGGGCGAATCGGACTTCGGTGGGACAGGTGGTCCGCTTGGTGAACTCACCTCTCCAGGGCTTTCGGGATTCGTGGGTGTCGCCTCAAGGGTGGGGGAGGGGAAAATATTGAAATCCGTTGTTAGGGAACGGGTCTGAAGTGCTTGCGGGATTCCGCTTTGGGGCGTATCGCGTTCGGAGGTATCCTGGGGAGGAGTGGTCACCTCCGGGAGTTGCTCGGTGATCGGGCTGTCTGGTTGAGGGGCTTTGATGTCAGGAACTGGTTCTTCATCAGGCTGCGACAGGTGCTCCGAATCGATGTCCAAAGACTCAACGGGAATTATAGGAGTGTGTGACAGGGTGTCTTCAGAGTATGAAATAGCACCAACCTCCTTAGTATCGTCCTGGGGGGACGTAGTCGAGACACCTGTTGTCTGCGGAAGTCGTCTCTTTGGACCTCTGGCACGACCCTTTGTGATGTGCGTGAGAGGCGCAGACGGAGAAGCGGGGTCACTCTGGGCTGAGGCAGTCGTTGGTAGCTGCTTCTTCGGTGCGTCAATGGCAGGCGCGCCACGAGAAAGCAGTCCAGCTAGCGCAGGGTTGATTCGGCCTGCCAATTTGCTTTTAGCTGCCAGACCTGGAGTCACAGTAGTAGTCTCCGCGACAGGTGCTGGCGGCCATTGACGAACTGGGCGGAGTGTCTTGACTGAAGGCTCCTGCATTTTCACCGTGGTAGGCTGGATTGTTGCCACCGTTTTGCGGGGTTCCTCCTGGTTCGCTGAAGATACCACCTCCGGAAGTTGCTTGTAGTCGCTCGCCGTCGGAACCGCCTCTAGCTCCTCCTCGATGGGATCGTCGGGAGGGAACGGTGACACTAGTTGTGATTCTTGAGATGCTCGCGAGCCACTGGTATCTTTCAAGGGCCAGCCCGGCTCATCATTAGCAGAAAATGGCGACGATAGTTGTAGGTCCTGAGAAGCGCGCGATGGAGGAATGCTTTTGAAGGATGAAGTCGGAGATGACATTGCTGGTCTGTCCTGTGAAAGTTGAGAACCAAAGCTTCTGGCGGGCGAGATCGCCTCATCCACAGGTGTCTTCTTGATGCTATTTCCCCGAGCCATATTTTGTCGCATAGCAATTGCTTCTGGTATCACCTCGGCCTGTTTTGGTGGCGCATCCTGTTCTCCAGCGGTATTCCTTCTGATGGAGCCTCCGCCGGCTTTCATTTCGTCTTTGCGTAGCACAAGACTTTTCCTAAACTCATCGACTCGCTCGGTCTTCTTTGGTCCACCGGTGGTGTTCAAGGCAGCTTTGCCTCGTAGGATATTGCCCTTGAGCTCGTCAGGGGCAACATAGTTGCGGGTCTCGGTCTTTTTGAGGCGCCCAAATATGTTTTTGAATTCCGGTTCTTTGTCACTTCCGCTGTCTTTAACGACTTCCCGTTTCCGCAGGTTGGCCCGGAAATCCACTACAGGAGCTTGTGGCTTCACCTTGGGTGAAATGGGCACCCGTGAGGAAGTAGAGACTGAAAAGTTTGGTTTGGGGCTCAAGGAGTCCGGAGGAGCCCTGCGAGTGGGAGTAGATTGACGCTCAGGGGCGACTTCAGAGTCCTCAGTTGCCAGTAATTCCTGAGATTCATTCTCCATTTCAGAGGGAGGGACAGAGTTAGATTCCTCCGACGGTGCGCCACTTGTTAGGGCATTGAGGGCTTCTTCAACGGGCGATGGAGAAGCTGAGGTTTCCTCTTTTGTTTGATCAACATCAGGGCTACCGAGATCTGACGGGGATTCTGGGACTGTCTCCTTCGATTTGGCTTCGGGGGTTCCAGGAATCGAGGGACTAGAAATACTGGGTCTCTTGGATGAGAGCTCCGACGGAGATTCAGGAACGGTCTCCTTAGCAAGGCTTCCAGAAAACGAGGGACCAGAGACACTGGGCCTCTTGAGTGGGAATTCTACCGGAGGCTCTGTGACGGAGTTCCTGTGGAGTGATGAAGCCGAGCTGATGGGCTTTCTCAAAGGGAATCCCGAGGGAGACTCAGCTACAGTTTCTTTGAGCTTGCCTTCCGGGCTTCCGCTGACTGACCCTCCAGGAGTAGCTGGTCTCTTAAATGGAAATTCCGAGGGAGGATCTGAGACAGAGTTCCTGTGGAGTGATGAACCAGAGACGCTTGACTTGTTGAATGGGAATCCAGAGGGAGACTCGGCTACAGTTTCTTTGAGCTTGCCTTCCGGGCTTCCGCTGACTGACCCTCCAGGAGTAGCTGGTCTCTTAAAAGGAAATTCCGAGGGAGGATCTGAGACAGAGTTCCTGTTGAGTGATGAACCAGAGACGCTTGCCTTTTTGAAGGGGAATCCAGAGGGAGATTCTGGAACTGCATCCTTCACAGGGCTTGCAGGAAGCGATGGACCAGCGACACCAACTTTCTTCAGAGGGAATCCTAATGGAGACTCGAGAACACCATCCTTAGTAGGACTTGTAGGAAGCGATGGACCGGAGCCAGGTAGTATGGTTTGAGCTCCTGGTGGGGGTGTTCGCATCAAACCGAGAGGGGTGACTTCCTTGAAATTATTGGCTCGTCCTAAATCCACGCTACCTCGCGACTGTCGTTCTTTAACCCAATTGGGCTGCGGCGGGGGTCGGGTAGTTTGTCGTGGTAGCTCTGGTCGGTTGAGGGCACTTTCCAACCAAGAAGCCTTGCTGGGGCTCCATCGTCTGGGATCCATGGTTTTCGAGACAAAGGGACTTTGAGCGTCACTGCCGTCTGCGGTAGCAGAGCTAGCAGAACGAGAGTGACCAGGTCGGAATGATTTTCCTGGACTTTCAAAATTCACACTGTCTCTACCCGCAGGTGTGGTTGGTCGTTCGGTTGTCTCAGTGGTTGCCTCACTGTGGCTGGAGCCTGGTCGTTGCAGGAGAGTGGAAGGTTCACGACCAATTTGTCCAAGAGTTGGAGGGGCTTCAGTCAAACTTGGACCTGCCACACTGCTGCGATTTGACACAATAGAATTTGACCGCCCAAGTCCCTGCGGAACTTGTGCACTCCACCTTTTTGACACACTATCTGATCTTCTCATCATAGCACTCTGAACAAAGCCTCCCAGGCCCTTTGTCGGTGAGGTCGACCGGGATCGCTCTGGTGACATCCGCCGCTGAGTTGGAGACGGCACAGATTCCTCAAATGAGAAATCATTCTGTCGAGGCTCAAGCTTGGTAGTCTCTGACAGGTGCACTGGCGACCCCAACCCCGCCGAAACTGATGATACCGAGAAGCGATGGCTCATGTTGCTATCGCGAGAACCGGTTCTCGGAGGCGACAATGATCTCTCCTCTACTGTATCGAGTTTATCTAGTTCGGTACTTGATTCTTCGTCCACATCCGGCTCTTTTTGTCCCAAACCAACATCCTTTTGGCTATCCGTCTGTTCTTCCTTCCCACTTTGGGCTAACCACCCAGCCCCTCGGTCCGGTGATGGAGGGAGCACGGGGGCATCCTTCGTGGGCCGCGGGAACCCAAATTGGAGTCGAGATAATGTATTCTCCTCTGACGCCGTAGACAAATTTCTCAAGTGGCTTGCGCGAGTCGGGGAGCGATTCGGGGATGTTGAGCCGGGTGACATGCCGAAATCCCGCGAAGACGGGCGTTGCTGCCATGATAAGGTCCCCGCGCGGCTGCGGGACAAGGGTGGCCGTGTGCGCGAGGGAGAATCCAATCCGAAATCCGTGACCGATCCGCGCCGCTTGTCGGTTTCAGAAACCTCCGTGCCTTGACTCGAATCCATCGCGCTCGTGATCGGGGGCTCAGGTGCTGGCGTTTGCGGGGTTTGCGGTGTTGGTTCGAGGTGTTCCGGGGGTCAATAGACCGGGGGCTGGTAGATGAAATGCTCAGTCGCGCGGTATTGAGGGATGAATCGTCGGTAAGAGCCAGTGATCGTGCACGCTCTGTTTTTTGAGTCATCCAGATATCAGCACACCTTGTCGACCTGCAGCAAATGTTGTGCGGACATTGCCTGCATCAAGGAAAGGGGTGCATACCAGCTCTCCGAGCTTGCCTTTCCTTCCGCCCCTGCAGGATCTCCTCCTCTAGTTTCTTGGTGCGCTCGTCATCTTCCTTGTCGCGACGCTCACCTAGTTCCCGGATGCGCTGAAGGAAATCATTGACATCCTCGGAACTCTCGTTGGGAACAGTCATGATCTAGAATTGACGTTCATGCACGCCTTTCTAGAATGAAACAAATGAGGGGGAAAGAGTTGCAAAGTGGAAGAAGAAGGGTTGTGTTCTCCGCCCTGTTTAAATTAAATCGGGACTTATGATGATCAACAAATTCATTGGCTCACACATGTCACTTTTTTTTCCTTCTCTTTTTTTAATCTATTTATCCTTCTAGTTTACTATCATTGTTTTTTTTCCCCTTCTCTTTATATATGGATAGATGCATTTTATACAGACCAAACCTGAACATTAAGTCAGCTTTGTTTACTGTGGAGTTCCCAGGTTTAACAGGTTTCCGCCCCGCAGTTCCCTTTTTTTTTCGTTCCATGGCTTTGCTCGTTTCTTTTCTGTTTTTTTCTTCTTTTCAGGGGTTAAGAGTGCTATACGGTGAACTCATAGTTGGTGTCATATGTAGCTCTTTTTTAGTAGTGAGATATATCAGTTTGTGCCTTGCATAGGTGCAGATGAAACAACACGTTACTTTTCATAACTCTCTTAACTCTTTTTACTCTTTATATATCTCTATAGCCTATCGGATATGAGCACCTGGTTCCTTTGCAACTTTGAGGATTTACTGCGTTTACTGCACCCATGGCCCTTTTGAACATGTAACTGGTATTATAAAGGGTCTGCATACATTTTTATGTATAGCATGGATGATTTTTAGAATTTGGAAGCGAAGTTTAAACCTGACTGACGGCACGTTAGTTTACAACACAGTTCAAGCCGATGAGTAGATCAATCTGAAATTAAATAAGATAGGTATCTTGTATGCATCGGGATATCAAGAAAAGACATCAGCCGATTTCCCCCGAAGTTCACTTGTTTACTAGTAAAGGAACAGTCGGTCCTTGGCATCTTGTACCACCCATTCTAGACCTTCATTCAGATTCTTGCCCGTCATTGCACTGCATGGCAAGATAGTCCATTTGTGTGTTTTGATTGAATCCAAGTCAAGACGCTGCAGAAATATCAGCCCAAGTCCAACAACTGGCCTCACCGAATTTTCAAAAGAACAACCTAGACCTACCTCTCGAACCTCTTGCTCAGTCATGCATTGTTCCACATCTGTCTTATTCAAAAATACCAGCAGACTAGCTCCCGTCAGGCGCTGGTGGAATGCGTTCAGTTGATGATCTCAAGATTTGCCGATTGCGGGTGGGGACGTCATCCGTACCTCTTCAAGAAGCAGACCCGAGAGCTCCTGTCGACAATCGTCAACCCGGAGTCGATCTGTGGCATCGACAACCCAGACTAGTGTGTCGGTCTTTTCAAAATAGTTTTTCCAATAGGATCGGAGTGTTTTTTGTCCTCCAACATCCCCTGGTGCTGTCAGTACGGGTTCCACTAGAGATAGTGGGTTGGCTCACAGATGTTGAGTTTGTATCTACGCCAAGTTAGTAAAGCTCAAGATATTAATATGGCTTGGAAATTACCCCATAAAATCAATTGTCTTGATGATAAATCCTAGAGTCGGGCTGACTGTCGTGACATCCTCTTTCATAATTCGCTTGACGATAGTCGTCTTGCCGGCATTATCAAGACCCCTGCAATCATTAGCATCTCGGGTTAAACGACCGGTCAGAGCCCATACAGCATCAATATACGCATTTCTTTATCCTTTAAGCGAGCTTTTCGAAGTATAGACAACATGGTTGTGAGAGTATCCTGCTTGATGCTTTTTCGGAGGGAGTTGGAAAAGGAAAAATGCTACCAGGCTTAAGATGGGGTTTGACCATGTCCACGGGTTGTCTGATATCATATTTCTCTCCCCATTACTACAACTTCACTTCCGATCCAAATGTGCCTATTTGACTGCTATGCTGGTGTATTTTCCCTTACAGTTTGATAACCTGAATTTTCAAAAGAGCACACTGTATTGGATTCCAAGCCATGGCATCGATCAGTAGCGAGGCTATATATACCTAATACTACAAGTTTTCGATTCCCCAAATTCAAGACTTTAGGTCGTTTTACTTGGATTTAAACCTTCAGATACATATACTGCAAACAAAGGACCAGAGGTGTCACCTCAAAATCCTGTACAACTCATTGTATGGACTTCACCTCCTAGGTCTTCCCAGGTCTATTCAGATATCTAGCCCGAGTTCAAAGCAATATTTGAACGAGCGTTTATTAAAAGAACAGGTGTTGTTTCATTGGATGAGAGGGGAGGATATAGGCATGTAATCAGATTGTAAGAAGTTGTGAAAGTAACCTGAAGTTCTTGACTTCGAGAAAGAACGTTCGAGGTTTCCAAGCTGGGCAGTCCCCCGCCGTTTATGATCCTCTCTCCCTCCCTATTTCTTTCTTTCCCCCCTCTCTTTCTATCTCCCTTCTTGTCTCCCATCCTCTCCTCTCCCACTTTTCATCATACAGTCATTTATTTCATCAGTCCGCGTGTTCGCAGCACATAACGCGCTCAGTCCGGTCTCGTCAGTGAATCGACTGCAACGCATCCAATCATTCAGGTATGCTTGTCACCTATTATTTTGACACTGCATCCTTTGAGCAACAAACTCAACCCCATCCCCATGTGACACACAGGCAGAACAGACACAGTTACAGGCCCTATCCCAAGTGGATTCACAGGTCTTCGCAACTGCTTCCTTATTTATCAAAATCACATGCCAGTGAAGAAAAGCGAGGGGATGGCCCAGAACAGACCAAAGAAGGGTCATGACAGTGATGCTCGAATATCCTGGCTGACTTGAAAATAGCTTCTAGAAACTTGAATTCAATTTCGCGTGAGCCAAGTCACATCAAAATGGCAGAAGAAATCGAGACTTCTCTGCCATTCCATGAAAAGAATGCCGCTCCTCAAAATACATCCAAAAAATCCAACAATCCAAAATCGACGGTCTTCCCCGATGGCTCTGTTGAAGCCATGCTTCTCAAGCTCGGATCCCTGAACCAAAATGAAAGGGACAAGCTGATACAGAGCATTGAGAATCTGAGCTGGAACCAAACTTGGGATTTGACGAAACAGTTTGACAAACAGAGAAGAAAGTTGATGTCCGTGCAACAGCCTCCCCTTGGCATGGAAAATGAGAGTCACTCCTGCCCTGAGATGCTTCCTGCAGCGAGGGATGGGCCTGGGGTCGATCCGAGCAGCAGTGTTTATGAGTTACTCGCAAAACCCAGGATTGTCGAAGGCGTTGAGGAACCTGCGACATGGGCAACAGCTGATCCGCCCGATTTTATTCATGACGATGGATATCAACGAATCGAAAAAACCGTCAAAGGGTCCAACAAGGTGGAGTCTCGGGCCCATTGGGGTGCCCAACACAAGATTCAAGTCAAGGCATACGAACAATCTCGCCATATCTTCCCAATCGTGCAAAATGACATCCTAAAGTTCACATCGAAACATCACAACTCTATTTACGAGCCCGAGCGATCTCTCCTTGATGATCGCACTTTGGACATCCAAGAACGACGTGATCAGTGGCGCGAACTCAAACACAGAATTTCATCATTTGATCTTCCCAACGCGGATGTCAGAAAGCAGTTTCGTAGCTGGTGGGACCAGCTTCCAGCAGGACACCAAGTCGACATCTATCATGTTGCATTCTTTGACGGAACCGCGATGCCCGATGGCCGGTGTTCTATGTTTCTGCCTGACATCAAGCACGTCCCCACCCCTAGGAACATGAAAGACGAGCTGACACGCCTGCATTGGCATGAGACATCAGAAGGTTACGTTTACAACCTGGGAGAGATCAACAAAAGGCGAAAGAAGAAGGAACAGGAACAACAAGAGCACTTGCGTCGCACCGCGGATTACCGTGCTTGGCTAGAATTACCCCCAGATTCGAAAGTTGTCCCACCCAACATCTATCTGCGTCCTGCTGAGCAATATGATGCTTCTTCTATCCTTGAAATCATGAACTGGTATTCACAAAACTCAGCCTCGAGCAGTGAAACTGAATCTGTGAAGGAGAATGATTTTGAGGAGCTTCTTCAATTTTGCCGAGAAAACAACTTCCCCTTCGTCGTCGCTGCCCGACGTTCGCCGGAGCCCCTGTGCCGCAACCAGATCCACCCCGTGGTTGGTTACGCCTATGCCAAATTCCACAGGCACGGCAAGCGCGCCGATGTGAACACGGGTGAGCTGCGTGTCTTCGTGAAAGAGGGCAGCAAGAAGCAGCATATTGGACGGGCACTTGTCGACATGGTCCTCTCTTGCTTTACTGTGAACTCAGGAAAAAGCACCGATTATGAGTTTGATCAGACTGGAACAGTGCAGTATGGACCGGGCTATGGCCGCCACCTCACATCAATGCTTTGTGCTATCGTATTGTCTTCGAGGGCTCAGGAGCATGATGCCTGGATCGAGAAATGGTTGGAGAGGGACTTTGGCTTCAAGGGCAGGTGCGTATTTGAGAATACGAGAGTGAAGAGTGACAAGTTGTATGACCTGTCTTTTCTTTTCACATTCATCTTGGATTATATTTACTGACACATATTCTTAGTTCTGACATTCGTTACATGGTGCGTCAGATCAAAGCCCTGCCTGCGAGTAATGAAGTCGAGGGCCGAGCTCAGGATAAAGCCCGGCACCGAGGAAGTGGTAACAAGTCTGCAATACTTCACTACGTCTGATGAGCCTGCGGATTAATAATGTGGAGAGTATGGACGGGGATCATATTCGGAAAATATGGCGGCAGAGAGACAACAACGGTGTGGAAGATAAGAAAAAAAGAAAAGAGAAGAAAAGTTGAAAAAAAGTTGAAAACAAAATGAGACAAATAATATGACAGACGATGGTCTCGATCCAGGATGTTATATCCAGGATGTCTCACCAAAAAAAGTTGATGTGTCGGAAAGGCATACGGGGGAAATTGAGCAGAGACAGTTAATTGAAATGTGTATGATTATAATTATTCCTTAAATAACCTTGGAATAGAACCTAACCTAAGGTCGACGTACGGAGCAGAGCTGGTGACAATCGGGCATCTCGAAGCGGTTTGATTATGTCATCGGAAATTTTCTTGTCACCGCCCGGGGAACTTTTTTTTTGCATGTTGATCCATTTCTTCTCGGCGAGATTGAGTTGCTTGCACAGTGTTCGGGGGTCCAGAATTTTTTACTGAAACTGTTTGAGAGAGCGTGGAAGACAACCAACTACCAAATATACACTGGAACCTGCGCCAGCCTTCAAAATGGCTCCTCAATCGGCGAAGCGGAGTTCCGCCAAAGACGATGATTTCGTATTCACACTCTCCGACGACGAGATCGAAAACCGTTTCGAAGAAGAAGATGACGACAACGAAATGCAAGAAGATAATGCGCCGGCAGCAGACAACAAAAAGCGCAAGCGCGAGGTCGAAGGCGTCAAGCCTAAGAACAAGAAGCAGAAGCAGCAGGAAAAGCAGCAATTGAAAAACGCCAAGAAGAACAAGAAGAACGCCGAGTCCGCACCCGAACCTGAGTCAGAAGAGGAAGAGGACGATGATGCTGCAGCGGATGCAACGGAAGACGACGGGGTCTTGAACCCCGATTTCGAGTTCGATGTCGGCGGTGTCGCGAATCAAGGTGTCACTGAAGGCTTCGATGGCTGGGGTATTGATGACAATGAGAAGAAGCGTTCCGGCGACAAGAAGGCTGTTGATATTGACGATATCATTGAGCGGAGGCAGGCCAAGAAGGCTGAGGCTGCTGCTAAGAAACAGAAGAAGAACCCTGTTGAGAAGGAAGAAAGTGCCAGCGAATCTGATGACGAAGCTGCATCAGGCGACGAAATGCCCGTTGACTTCGAGGACGATGAGCTCATGGCTGAGGACGCCTTCGGTATGGGCGCAGACGGCGAGGAGGAGAGTGATGCTGAAGGCCCCGAGCCTGGCTCTGGGGATGAAGACGAGGAGGACGATGAGGATAAGGATGCGGATTCCGATGACGACGCTGCATCTGATAACGACTCTGTTGCCACACCCGTTGGTCACCCTGACGACAGGGCCTCAGACATCGAGTCTGATGTAGAGAGCGAGGTGGACGAGGAGGAAGCAGAGAAGCGCAAAGCATTCTTTGCCCCCGAAGAAAAGGTCGACACCAAGGCCAACATGGCCAAGATGACTTTCCAAGAATTCAATCTTTCCCGCCCCATCCTTCGAGGTCTCGCCGCACTCGGATTCACAGACCCAACTCCTATCCAGCGCAAGTCGATTCCCGTTGCTCTTCTGGGCAAGGATATCGTCGGTAGTGCCGTGACTGGTTCAGGAAAGACCGCTGCCTTCATTGTTCCTATCCTCGAGCGTCTCCTCTTCCGTCCCCGCAAGGTCCCTACAAGTCGTGTTGTGGTTCTGATGCCCACTCGTGAGTTGGCTGTTCAGTGTTACAACGTTTCCGTCAAACTCGCCACTTTCACAGATGTAACATTCTGTCAATTGGTTGGTGGTTTCAGTCTTCGCGAGCAAGAGAATGTGCTCAAGAAGCGTCCCGATGTCATCATTGCCACCCCTGGTCGTTTCATTGACCACATGCGCAACTCGCCCAGTTTCACAGTCGATACCCTGGAGATTCTAGTTCTTGATGAGGCCGATCGTATGCTTGAGGACGGTTTCGCCGATGAGTTGAACGAGATTCTCACTACGATTCCCAAATCTCGCCAGACTATGCTGTTCTCTGCGACCATGACAGACTCAATCGACAAGCTCATTCGTGTCGGTATGAACCGCCCAATGCGCTTGATGGTTGATGCCAAGAAGAACACTGTATCCACCCTTGTCCAAGAATTCGTGCGTCTTCGTCCCGGACGGGAGGACAAGCGTCTCGGTTATCTTCTGCACCTGTGCAAAGAAGTCTACAACAAGCGTGTTATTATCTTCTTCCGACAGAAGAAGGAAGCTCACCGCGTTCGTATCATTTTCAGTCTATTGGGTTTGAAGGCAGCAGAGCTACACGGTAGTTTGAGCCAAGAACAGGTATGTTAAAGTAACTCTTATGTCTACATGTACAATACTAACTTCCAATACAGCGTATCAAATCCGTCGAAAACTTCCGAGATGGCAAGGTTGCCTTCCTTCTCGCTACCGACGTTGCGTCCCGTGGTCTGGATATCAAGGGTGTCGAGACCGTCATTAACTACGAGGCTCCCCAAAGTCACGAGATCTACCTGCATCGTGTTGGTCGTACAGCCCGTGCTGGCCGCTCTGGTCGTGCATGCACAATTGCCGCCGAACCCGACCGCAAGATCGTCAAGCTTGCCGTTCGCGCAGGCAAGGCCCAGGGCGCCAAGATTGTCAGTCGTGTGATTGAACAAGCCGTTGCAGACAGCTGGGCGCAAAAGGCCGAGGATATGGCCGGCGAGATCGCTGAGATCTTGCAAGAGGAGAAGACCGAAAAGCAGTTCTCTCAAGCAGAAATGCAATTCACCAAGGGTGAGAATCTCATGAAGCACGGTAACGAGATCATGTCGCGGCCGAAGCGGACGTGGTTCGAGACCGAGAAGGACAAGAAGGTTGCTCGCAAGCTGGGTGCCGTTGAATTGAACGGTCCCAATACCAAAAAGAACAATGTCAAGCTCAGCAACAAGGACAAGAAGCGTCTTGATGATGCTCAGATGAGACACGATGGTAATATCGGGTGGAAGAAGGGCAAGGGTGATGCGGAGTCTGCTAAGCTACCCAAGAAGGGTAAGGCTAAGAGCAAGAGCGGTTTCAAGAAAGGAAACAAATAAGGGATCTATGAATGTATACAATTGAATACCATGCAAATAGCAAAGCATATCTAATTGCGTTTACTTCTTCTACTTCTTTGTTCCTATAGTATAACTCATAACCTCCAGGGCTATAGAAGTGGAGCGCAAATCTCCAAATCTCCAAGTCTCCAACCAATAAGGTCGAATCTTCACCCTTCTCCAACTCGACATGATTCGACGTCAATACTATCTCACCTGGCCATCTCAAAAGGCTTAATCCCCGCGCCCCACGGGCTAAAAATCTCCTCTCGTATTTTTATCTCCTTTCTCTCTCTTTTTGACATTCCGTCGTACCGATATTTCGGCATTTTGGGGGGGGTACATCTCCCGTACAAATTGGATGGCCGAGCCGAAGCCCACTCTTCCCCGGAAGAGCGCCTTCTCATGTGAGGCCTGTCGCAAACGCAAGGTGCGTGCGGATCCCTTCGGACGTAGCCCGAGATTGCCGAGCTAACAGCTCGCCAGGTTAAATGTAACGGAGCTAGTCCGTCGTGTTCGCGATGCACCGCGCGCAACGAGCAGTGCGTGTATAGCTTGTGCGTCGATCCCCCTCTTTATTCTATTCCTTGTCATAGTCGCGCGTGCTGATACTCTTTTTTCTCTCTCAAAGAGCGCCGACGTTATCATACACGAAACAGCTTGAAGCTAGGGTTGCGCAGTTGGAGGATGCTTTGTCGAAACGCGCTGAGGGGGAAGAGGTGCAAAAGACAAGATCGCCGTCATCGGTGGCCGAGTCCAGCTCGAGTGGGCCGAAAGTAAAGATCGATCCCGATGCCGAAGATCTCACGCGAGCATTTGACGGTCTCAATGTGGAAAATGACGGTCGCGTGTCATTCCACGGGCCGACTAGTTTATTCCAGTTGCCTAGTGGGGTAGTGAGTGCAGCCGCGTCAACTTTGAATTACGCGCAGGAATTGGAGGGTCGCAAAGAGCGACTTGTCAATAGCGCATGGCGGGAGAGGGCATTTGAGCAAATGGCTGCTATGCCGGTATGGACCCTAGTTGGGTTGGATTGTTCGAAAAATGCGTATGCTAATACACTCCTGCAGGAGCCTTTCCAGTATCTTCTCGACTCGCATTGGTGCTGGATCCAGCCGCTGTGGAATTTCGTCTACCGTCCTGCATTTACACGTTTGTTCGACCTTGCTATTTCAAACCACAAGCGACACTAACCTCCCCGAATAGGTGATATGAAAATTAATGGGGCTTATTATACAGACGTCTTATTAAACGCCATCCTTTCTCACTCGGTACGCTGGTGCAAAGCTGAGCCTCAAATTGGCCCGCTTCTGGACTCTTATGACGGCGGTGCACATTTCTCCCATCGCGCATTGACTGGGGTATTCGACTCCCTCAAAGTTGGTTATGCAGGCATCCCTGCTATTCAGACATTACTCCTTCTCAGTGCCCAGGAATGCGGCCGAGGAAATCGGACGCAGGCTTGGCTATACAGTGGCATGGCCTTCCGGTTATTGGACGACTTAGGTATTTCCATCGACAGTCGGAAATATTCAGGATCCGCTCAACTGAGTGATGAGGATATTGAAATACGGAACCGCCTATTTTGGAGTTGTTATTTCTGGGATAAGGTTGTTTCATTGTACTTCGGCCGGGCGCCGACGATGCAGCACTCTAGAGTTAGCCCGCCACGCATGATTCTCGATGACACCGCGGAGATCGAAATATGGACACCTCATGGGGTGACCTTTACTGACGGCGCTCACTATCCGCCCACGCAGGCGCATTCAACGTCATGTTTCATGAAGATGTGCGGTCTAGCGGAAGTCTTGAACCAGATTCTGATATACATATACGACCCAATCCGCCGAAGTACGGACGCGGAGTTCCTTGATTGTGTTCAGGAGCAGGCCAAGAATCTGAGTGACTGGTGGGATGAACTACCGGACTACTTGAAGTTGACAGCGGTGGACCTTCCTCCATACTCACCACCGAGCCACATCGTTATTTTGAAGTATGTGCTCAATCCTGTGTACGCTGGAACACAGTGCCAACTAACCTTTTTCTAGCTGTTTATACCATACTATCAACATCCTTCTCCACCGACCAATTCTCTGCTCCCGAGAGCTGGCCAAAGCCCGCTCCGAGGCATACGACTCGACCCATCTTGTACAGTGCATGGCATCAGCAACATCAATCCTATCTCTCTTCGATTTATACCGCCGTACATTCGGCGACAGCCACGTTGTCCTGTCTCTCGCATATAGCATTTACACAGCAGCATCGATTTTCCTACTCGAGATCCAAGCCCTGAAGTACGCCGCACCAGGGACACTAGACAAACTCAAGTTCTGCATTTTCGCCCTTGAGAGAATCAAAGCCGCCAACCCGGTTATAACAACAGCACTCAGCCTCATATCCCTGGAACTCCAAAAACTTCAAATCAACATCCACGGACCAATGCCAGCACCCATTCCCGATACTAAACAGGAACACCACCCCCAACATCACCAATCCCCACCCCAGCCCCAACCTCATTCCAGCCGCCCTCATCAGAGCCAGTCCCCGTCGATGTGCAGCAATACATCCCGCCACGTCTCTCCAGGCCAGCATCACCACCAACCACAAGCATCGATAGCTGCGCAAATCCAACCCACCGCCCCTAAAAACCAGCCCCTGATGGGAACATACCATACCTTCCAGCACCCAGGAGCAGGGTTCAACATCCCGCACTCGGGCGAAATGCCCCAGCTTCCGCCTACGCACTTGCTGGGTGGGATGCCAAACGCAGTCATGACAGTAGATGACCCCAGATCCTACGAAATCACGCCTGAGGTATATGAGGCATTCTCGTATGCGCAGCCGATCACGACGAATATGACGCCTGTCTTTGGGCAGGGATGGGGTGGACCATCACAATGATCTTCTATAGCATTACTCGGACTTGACTCTACTTTGGAAGCTGGTTCTCTTTCGCTTGCATCTTGCCCATTGACTTGGTTTTGTTTTCACGATTCCCAAATACATATACACCATAGTAGCCTGTCATAGTCAGGCTCAGTCTGAGGTGGGTATATCGCTTCAGCAAGCAATGATATAACCGCATGTAACCCCAGGTGCACATCTACGTAGGCAACCTTGCAAGCCTCATTGTATGTAGCAGAGAAAAATTGATAGATATCGCATTTCAATTGTTGTCCCGAGACAAGGTATCGTGAGGGAGAAAGAAGCTTGGACGCTTTAGCTGATATGCAAAACAGACTGGACATGTTGGAATCATGAAAATGGACACAATCAAACCGCTATAAAAGTCAAACATGGGGCTAACAACAACAAAAGGGGGTATTAATAGATTCCAAGTATATATATCCATGGGATGAAATCGGAGAAACAATGAAAAGAGCCATCATGAGACCGACACACCAGACTTCAAGATATGGCCCTCCTTCGACTCAACATTCTCCGCCATATCAGTCGACGAAGCAACATCCCACTCCCTCGGCTTAGCCCGCCACCGCAAGTACCACGGCCCATCGAACAGATCCCCCATCCGCTCAATAGGAACGCCCTTCGTCTCAGGCATCCAAATCCCAAGAATAATCAGCCCAGAAAAGCAAATAAGCGCCCAGAAGAGATAAGCACCCCAGACATCAAGCGAGACGAACATATTCGGGGTAACTCGGACAACAGCAAACTGGAAAAGCCAGTGCAGAGCCATACTAATCGCATAACTGACATTTCGGATGCGCGTTGGAAAGATTTCGGTGCCGTACAGATAAGGCACTGTGCATAGACCGATGGACCAGCCGACGGCGTAGATGAAGACCGAAGCAATGGCTGCATTGGAGGCGTTTTTATTATCTGCTGAGCCTGGACGCAGGCCCATGTATATAGCGGTGTAGATATGCGCGCATAGCTGCAGACTTAGTCCAACGAGGGTGCAGCGGCGTCGGCCGAAGAGATCGATTAGACCCCATGTGAAGGCCATCGTGAAGATTAGTTTAACTATCCCGTATGCGCCAGAGGAGACGAGGGATGATGCGTCACCTGTTACGCCGGCGTACTGTATTTGTTTATGTTAGTGGCTTTTCTACTTGGTAGAGCGGGGAATCGCTTGAAATGCACGTACCTGAAATATGGTCGTTACGTAGTATGTGATGCCGTTCCCGCCGGTCCACTGAGCGATAGTTTGCATAGCAATTAGCAGCCAGAAGCGCTGTCGGTAATTCGGGTCCGTCTGTGTCTCTTTAAATATGGTCCAATGAGAGCCAGATGCTAGGTCTGTGGCTCGCTCACGCTCCCGTGCATCGATAGCTGCGAACTCCTTTATGATATCGGGATCATCGATGGCCCTGCCACGTAGCCGTGCCAGAGCCTCCAGTCCTTCCTGGTGAAGCTGTTTTGAAACAAGATACCGAGGAGTCTCGGAACAAAGGTACGACAGACCAAAGGCAATGCCGACAGGGATCAAAGGCACGGCCTGAACTAAGCGATATTGGGCTCGCGTGGCCGCCATGTGGATCCTGGCGCCATAGTTGATAAAGAATCCTGTAATAAAATGTCAGCAAATCAGGATATGCATAACATATACAATGTGTAGAGGGTCAAAGCTTACCCATGGCCAGAACGGCCAGTAAAACTACCATGTATATCCCCACCACCAGACCTCTCGTCCTAACAGGGGCTATTTCGGCTAAATACATCGGGGCGGTCACCGTTAGAGCACCCGCGCCGAGCCCGCCCCATATGCGACTAAACAAGAGCAGTCCGTATATACCGGACGCGAATATTTGGATCAATGTCCCCATCGCCCACACGATGCATCCTAGGCGCCATGCCACCAAACGCCCCAGTCGATCATTCAGATCGAGGACTATCAGCGCACCAAGTGCTGCGCCTAGGACGTTGAAGGAGGTGATGTTCGCTTTCCGATTAGCTAGCTCGGTATCGTCGCCCCCCAAGTGTTCGATGAGGTTGTAGTCGGATTTAAAGGAGGGAAGGGAGACGCTAGCGCTATAGCCACCCTCATCATATCCTATTAAGAACAATATGAAATTAGCGAAATGTCATGGGTACTCTATATGGGATATATTGTCGCAGATCGTTGTTTGATAAGCCACTAGTGGGGGTTTCATACCTTTCGGAATCCCGCCACAAGCAATGACAGCAATCACTAGGGCGTAGTAGGGATTGGTCGACCATCGTGAGGCGATCCATCGCATGGCCCCTAATTTTAGCGAGCGGTGGGTACGTATAACAATAAATCCGGGGGGGATGAAGTGTGATAGGGAGAGTGACAGGAGGAAGAGCGGGTGCTTGGCGCTCGGGCTAAATAGAGATTCGGTCAACGTCCGAGCTCGGTCCTGTTGTCCTCCCTACATGTACTTTCCATCCTGTCCTATGAGGACTTGAGTAGCAGTTGCTGCGATGCAACGATTATATATATTATTTTATTGCTTTCTCGCATTACAATGATTTCCAAGTGATCTCATACTTCGATGTCGGATCGCGCCGCAGCTATCCACTTTTGGGCTCCGCTTGATGGATCATCAGTTCATTTAACAGGTCAAGATGGCGGATTGGAAGGGACTCTTTGACGGACAACTTCCGAGCTCGAATTTTCTTTGCGCCTGATCACAAGCCTGTTGTGTGTTGGAAGGTGGGTCGTGCAAAGACCTGTACATCGTAACTCGTACTCCGTACTTCGTACATTCCAAGTTGCCGATGAGTGCTTTTTAATTGAGAAAACCCTGCATTGCAGGAACTTCAATCAACACCGACGGATGTTGAGCGGTGAAACTGGCATGGTTGTTCCTAGGCAATGTCTTAGGGCGAAATCGCCTCGCTGGAGCTGCTCTTCTGTGAGTATCTTCCCAGGGCTCATTCTGGATTTTTTTCTCCCTGTACTCGTGCCTACTCGATTACTATCGCAAATCCGCTGCCATCTATATCTGCCTACGATATTCTCAGGATGCTAACCGCTGCTCAGCCTAAAGCCAATCTACTCCACGGGCCTCCATTGATATCGTTTAATGTCCTTGCCACCCGTTTAGAGCAACGGCGTTCAATACATGCCTCGTCTACAAGTGTATCGCTGAAGCATAGACTCCCTCCAAAGTCCTGGGATAGTCACATGCATGTTGTGGAACCTGGGCGGTTTCCTGTCTCTCCAACAGCGGTATATAAACCCACCCCACATTCGTTACCCGAAGCTCTCGCCTTCGAGTCCGAATTAGGCGTTGAGAATCTCGTCTTTGTGCAACCTTCAATTTATGGCACAGACAATTCATGTTTATTAGATGCCCTACGAAAACTTGGGCCCTCACGTGGCCGAGGAGTTGTCGTGGTTGACCCTGCCACCGTTAAACCGGAGACTTTAAACGAATGGCATAAACTGGGAGTCCGTGGACTGAGGATCAACCTCCAGTCTGTGGGGAAAGTGATGGACAAGAACGAGTTGGAAGAGACCCTACTCCAGCATGCTGAGCTTGCCCGGCCTCGTGGCTGGATCATCGAGATATATCTTCCCCTCAAGATGATCTCGATGGTTGAGTCGATCCTGCCACGACTAGGCGTACGCATCTGCATCGACCATTTTGGCTGCCCCGAGCTCGCGACATGGGACGGTGATGCTTCGGCTTTCAATCCCTACAACCTTCCAGGGTTCTCGTCCTTGATCTCTCTGCTTCGTGCTGGAAGAACATATGTTAAGGTGTCTGCTCCATATCGACTCAGCAAAGACCATCAAATGCGTGATCTTCAGGCTATGGCACGCGAGTTCTTGTCTGTTGCACCAAATCGGGTCATCTATGCCACTGATTGGCCGCACACTCGATTCTCTCGTGTTGATATCAGTCCATTCACTGAATGTTGCTTGGAATTATGCGCAACCAAGCCGGGACTAGCGGAGCGCCTGTTTCGCAGGAATACCGAGGAGATGCTAGGAGTAGTCTCCGATTGATGTGCAGTTATCCAAGGTTTACATAGCATCTTCGGCGCCGGGGATATGGAGTTTGGTGGTCTATTGCTTGATTCGTACAATTATTCATACGGCTTAGCCGGTTTACCTATGTTGTTATCTCTATAGGGCCAGTATTCTAGATATTAGTATTAAAGAGCATGACAGATTTCGCCTACGTCATTCATCCAAGCATAAGAAGCAAAGTGTCTTGTATGTTCGATGTCTATTCACTTGAAATTATTGACACCAAAACGTCAAGGTTGAGCTAGTTGCTCGTCCCGCAAAGTCATAACATGATTGTACCCAAATGTGCCTTCATATCCTTCTCCACTCTAAATATCTTCTGCATTCTGGAAAATAACATGGGAGGTACAGATCTTCTTGGCGCCCTGAGAGAAGTAAAAAAACCCAGATTAGTAAAATCTAGGAGGCAAATCAACTAACACAAGACTCACAATAGTATAGCAACAAGCCGGTCGAGACTCATCGTCGCACAGTTGAGGCTGCGTCAGTTCATCGCCTAGAAAACATACACCGTTAGACAAATACCTAGTACCCAGATATCACGAGATCGTTATACATACAGTCTAATGCCTCGTTTGCCTTATTGTTTCCCCGTGCAGGCACCAAATCACGGCAGCAGTAGGGCTGCTGAACCATGCCAGTGTGGTCCTCGGCGAAGTTGCAATGCATGTTGATGTTTGTGGCGGAGGCCAAGGACAGAACAGCAGCGAAGGCGAAGACTGTAACACGCATTATGGCGGTGATGGTATGGGAGCTGGTGGAAGATCGGCTCGTGGAAGATCAGTTGGCTTGATATCGAGGTGATTGGAACGTGTTTGGGAAGATCGCCTCATGTATACCCCCGGGGAGGATTATTCTAGGGCAAGATTTTGCTTAATAAATCAGGACTACGAAGGGGAGCTCGAGTGGCTAGATGCCTTGCTGCATTGGCCGGCAAGGTGGGTTCCTAGTTTCTGTTTCATTTACCCAGGTATGAAGACCGCTTGTGGTTACTTTCATTGGTGGATTGGAGGCGTGGCTGGTATCTCCTTGCATTCTTCATTCTCTGTGAATGTGGAGGTTTCAGAGTGTTATGGTTTGCACTCGACAGGGGCAGTTCTTTGGTACGTATAGAAGTATAGCTAGGGATAAACAATAATGTAGATCATTGCTGTTGAGGTCGGCTAGGTGCCTTTATGGGATCATTATGCGACCCTTGACAAATGGGCACTGCCAAGGGATGTATGAGAGGTTGAGACACATGGATAGTCGAGAGTTTGCTTCTCTTATATGATGCTCGTTAGATTGAAACTGGTTGGGGCTTTATTTAGACAGATCTTGGAAAACCCAAACATCGATAAACTTGGAAATATCCAATCCACTTTATAATTGGGATCTGCCGAGGCTTATGCAGGTACCCACGTGGAATACTTAGATGTTTTCACTTGCGAACCGGAGCCCACGGGGGTTGATGCTCAAACATGGTTGCCTGTGCAGCAGATCTTGGAATAGTGGACTGTAGGCACTCACTCCCTTCCAAGCTTTCTATTTGTTGATTTTTGCCCATGTGGCCTTCCAATGTTGAGTCAGGTGATTTTTTTTGTTGAGGCCCCAACGTTAGCTAAGCAGATAGATAACCACACCGCCCCCCTCCCCGGACTCTCTCATACTCTCAGACCCCCTCCCTTTCAGATCTCTAGACACATCGCCACATCACTGTGCCATTGTACATCTTTGAAAACCATGAAACGCAACTCCTCACCACCCGCCGATATGGAACGCTCTGTCTACATCCCGCTCTGCTTCTGCCTCATCTCTTTCGCCGTTATCGCCTATACCCACTAGTTACCCGCTCGCGATAGCGTTCTGCCTCAACAGCGCCCAGACGAAGATGAAGGGATCCCGCGCCGGTCCTGGATTCTGGAGTCTGGGATACCTCTCCTCCTTTGAAACACATTTACTTCTCTTCATCGTCTCGTAATACAACATACAAGTCGATCCCCTCCGGTCCCAACACTACCTTCTACGCTGAAGACTGCCCCTCCGTCGCAAGCAACATGTGACCGGCAGGATAGCATGACCTTGTGTGGGGAATGATCTGCAAAACATCAGAAGATATCTTTTCGATATCTATGCGCGCAACATTCAGACACCTCTATTGGACCATACTTCTTCCTTCCACGCCCCAACTGCTGTTAGTCCTTCGCCACTCTTAAGACTGGCTATGTCACTGGTTGTATCACTCCAATTCCATGTTGTGATATGAAGCCAAGATATACGCTCAGGCTTGGTGGCCTTTTTTTATATTCATCGCATTTTGATACCCTCTTCCATCTTACTACCATACTCCGACCAACATCTTCAGTTGATAGGGCCGAGGCCCTCTTCTTTTCTACCTGAAACATCTTTCAACACTCGTTGGCCTTTATTGGTTTCAATCAAATCTTGGCTTATTCCAGTACTTCAACCCTGGCTCTTGAGTTGTGCGTTGTCTGATCGATATCATTTCCTTGGTTTTTTTTTTTGTCTCGAGTTGGATTCTGGCGTGCTGGTCACTCCCTGTCGCTCTTTCGTGAATTTCCTATACCCATCCATACGATCTACGAATTCAATAATCTTACATGTCAACGCTGTAAACAAACTGTAGATTTTAAATTGAATAATTACCCAAAGGTATCAAGTCTATACTTCCCAGGTCACACCTGGCCAGACCTCGGGGGATTTAAATCGGATCACGTAATCACTGCTGAGAAATCGCCCGCGGTGACGGAATACCCAACGCGCATGAACGAACCCCGATATCGTCACCTCAGTGGTTGCATCTTTTTTTGTCCCCTCTTCTGAGCCTGTATATAATTCCTCGCTCTTCCCCTCTTCTCCTCTCCCCATGCTCTCCCGCTCCCTTCAATCATCCCGGATTAGCTTTCGAGCCTCTTCATCTCTGACCCAGCCTTCCGTTGGGCAAATCCGTCCTGGTCGTTTGACCAATCGAACTCTGGCGACAATCAACTCTCCCCGCTTCACCCCTGCAGACTCAATTGCTCCCCACTCTCGTCTTTCTACAATTTCCCGACACTTTTCTTCGTCCTCCGCCCCCAAGAATCAACAATCATCCGATATGGCTCCCATCGAACCACAGCAGTATGACTACATCGTCCTCGGCGGTGGTAGTGGTGGCAGTGGAAGCGCCCGCCGCGCCGCGGGTTGGTATGGCAAGAAGACCCTAATCGTCGAAAGTGGACGCTCTGGTGGTACCTGTGTCAACGTGGGGTAAGTACATAGTGTCCTGCTGTTATACTCGATTACACACTTTTTCTAACAACGTTTAGATGTGTCCCTAAGAAGATGACATGGAACTTTGCAACTATCAACGAAACGCTACACATGGGAAAGAATTATGGCTACGACATCCCCGATAACATTGCCAAGGACTACACTAAGTTCAAGAACACCCGCGACGCTGTCATCAAGCGGTTGAACGGCGCCTACGAGGGCAACTGGGGTCGCGAAGGAATCGATCTCGTCCAGGGTCGTGCTGGCTTCGTTGAACCTCACACAATTGAGGTCAAGCTGGCCGATGGCTCTGGCACCGCCCGCTACACCGCACCCCACATTCTGTTGGCGACCGGTGGCCGACCCAGCGTTCCCTCCGTGCCCGGTGCCGAGCACGGTATCACCAGCGACGGATTCTTTGAGTTGGAAGAGCTTCCCCCCAAGGTCGCCGTTGTCGGTGCTGGCTATATCGCCGTCGAGCTTGCTGGTGTTATGAACGCTGTTGATGTCGAGACCCACATGTTCATTCGTGGCGAGACTTTCCTCCGCAAGTTTGACCCTATGATCCAGAAGACTATGACCAATCGCTACGAGGCTGTCGGTGTGAACATTCACCGCAACCACGGCGGTTTCAAGGAGGTGCAACTCATCCGTGATGGCAAGGGCAAGGATCGCTTACTCAAGCTCATTAGCCATGATGGCTCTGAGATCGAAGTCAACGAGCTCCTCTGGGCTGTGGGCCGCGCCCCCGAGGTTGAAGACCTGAACTTGGATATCCCTGGTGTTAAATTGAATGCTGGCGGTCACGTCGTGGTTGACGAGTACCAGAATACCTCCGTTGAGGGTATCTACGCTCTCGGTGACGTGACCGGTCAAGCTGAGCTGACCCCTGGTAAGTTACGATCTGCACTTATCGTCTAAAGAAACACACTGACTCAATTCCATAGTTGCCATTGCTGCCGGCCGCCAACTCGGCAGCCGCCTCTTCGGCCCTCCCGAGCTAAAGCACTCTAAAATCTCCTACGAGAACATTCCTACCGTCGTCTTCTCGCACCCCGAGGTCGGCTGCATCGGTCTCACTGAACCCGAGGCCCGTCTACGCTACGGCGACGACAAGATCAAGATCTACCACACCAAGTTTACTGCCATGTACTATGACGTTGGCTTGTCCCCTGAGGAGAAGGCCAAGAACCCCACCGAGATGAAGATCATCTGCGCCGGTCCCCAGGAGAAGGTTGTTGGTCTGCACATCCTTGGTCTTGGTGTTGGTGAGATGCTGCAGGGCTTCGGTGTCGCTGTCAAGATGGGTGCCACTAAGCAGGACTTCGATAGCTGTGTTGCTATCCACCCTACTAGCGCCGAGGAGCTTGTGACTATGCGGTAATGCTGTAATGTTCTTAGAGAAGAGAAGAGAGGTGTGTGAATAATACATAGTCCAGATGATTCCAATATTTATACTTTACAGGTTTTTGGTTTTAATATGTTCTCGAGCTAGTGTATCTTTCCAAGGGAGCTAATCCACTACAAACTGCTGGAAGAGTAAGAAGAAGATGGTGTGGTGTATTCTTAGAGGGCAAAGGAAGTAAGTGCACAAATAATAACTCCATTTTACGATATCCATATCCCTTCATGTCTCTGTTCGACTTGTATAATATATACATACGACGGAAAACCCGCGATATATACCTACAACATAGAATCAACGTGAAGCAAATAAACCAAAAAATAGGGCAAACCGCCGCAAGAAATCAAAGCACTCCACATCATAAATCATCGTTAATGGTAGCCCCGTGCCGAAGGAGTCGAACTTAGGGCTTGGAAAGTCTGATTGAAGTCACGATATTCAACATTCAACAAGTTATACATGCTAGTCGCTTAGGTTGAGAATTCAAAACCATCACGGCAGCACTACTGAATTTCTAGTTATTAGCAATTCGAAATTATAACTCACATATGTTGTGCTCAAGTACTTCCAGGTTGTCCATGATTGGAATAACCCCGCATCTGGCAGGCATCGTGATGAGTAATCCCACACAAAAGCCCTGCCCCGCCATCGCATGAGCATTATATTGCATCCTTTTCATCTCATCATATCCTGCTTTTTCAATTTCATCCGAACTACTTTGTACACCATTGGCTAATTGTTATACCAATAATGACACAGCAAACAGCCAATCAGCAGTACACAACAACCCGAACAACTGGCTACCTGGCAAAGGTATGTGTGTACATGACCGCCCACGTGCACAGTCAAATCCAGTAGGCGGTCCGATTCTGCCCGGAAAACGGTGTTATATTGAACTTTAAGGATACTCTTTCGCCCTTCGGGGCATATGGTCAAATGAAAATATACAGAGAAGATTAGCATGGCCCCTGCACTAAGGATGACACGCTCAATCAAAGAGAAGCTACCTATTTTTTTTTTTCTTTCGAGGTCCTTCGTTATGGAGATAGGATGTGGGGCTGTTTAGCTTCAATATACAATTTCTTTTTTGCTACTTCACTATTTGGACATCACGTGCCTTCGCTGGACGGTCGGTGTTCAATTTGCACTCTGCGCGAATGCAGAACTTGAATGAAATATGTCATTTTTTTTTCACTTTTTCAATTTGGAAGTGTTGGAAGATTGGGTAGGATTTTACACAGTAGCACATGCATATACTAAACTTATAGCGTATGTGGGGCTTTTTTTGACAGCTGTTGAGGCGTCGGCGCTAATGTCTAGTGAGGGTCATCGCTCTTCAAGGATGAAATCGTAGGGAGAAGAGCCAACCCTGGAGCATCTACACATCGAGCTTGCAAATGACAGCTCAATCTCTCTACAGTTGGATCATTAGGGTGACAAGAGAGAATATAGAGAGTGTTTCAAAGAGAAACAGCCCCGATAGCCCCGCATACTAAATCCCCACATGGAGAAGCTCTAAGATGGGGAGCAGAGATGGGGAGGAGAGATGGATATGTCCCCGTTTATGAAAGCTAGAATTCTCCCACTCGAATAATTCCTGTACCAAGCAACTCTCCTAGACTCGAAAGTATAGCTATTTACCCATATACATCATGGCAAACAAGCTTAAGAGTGGCCCACCATTCCGGGCCGAGCAAATGGGCTCCCTACTGCGTCCAGACAGCCTGCTTGAGGTGCGCGAGAAGATTGCCAATACGGGAGTCTCCGCCGAAGCTGCTGGACTGCCAGCTGTTGAACAAGAAGCCGTCCGCGAGGTCGTCAAGATGCAGCAAGAGCTCGGATTCAAGGCCGTTACTTCCGGCGAATATAACCGCACCCGATTTTGGGGATTGATGTGGGATGAGTTCGAGGGTAAGTTGAGACAGCAGTATTTAAATATCTACATACTAAAAACAAACAAATAAACAAGCAACCACGCAAAGAAAACATCCACTAACAAAACATCCAGGAACAATCCGCCTCCAAGATGCCGAATCCTCAATGTTCAGACTCTACCACCCAGACGTGGTAAGCCTGATCGAAAAAGACCGCAAAGTAATGCCTGGCGACTCCGTCATCGCCGGCAGCAAGCTCTCCCACAGCACCTCGGCCTCGCAGTCCAACCTGCACGAGCTCAAGCTAGTGCAGGCATCTCTGCCAGAGAGCGAATGGCACAATATCAAGCTGACAATGATCATGCCCGCTTGGTTCCACATGCGGTACAAGCAAGGGCGCGCATACACTGCAGAGGCCTACTCCAACGACGCAGAGTACTTCGCCGACGTCGCGAAGGTGTATCGCGCTGAGCTTGCGTCGCTGTATGCAGCCGGTCTGCGGAACGTGCAGTTCGATGACCCTGGAATGGCGTATTTCTGCTCCACTGCGTTCCGGGAGGGATGGGCGGCTGATGCCGATAATGAGGGGTCTGTTGAGGACTTGCTGGATGCTTATATTAAGCTTTACAACGATTGTGTTGCTGAACTGCCTGCTGATATGCACACGGGTATTCATCTTTGTCGGGGCAACTTTATTGGTGGAAGATACTTCTCTGAGGGATCTTATGATATCATTGCGAAGAAGTTGTTTGAGGACTTGGATGTTGATACTTTCTATTTGGAGTATGATACTGAGCGGGCTGGTGGATTCGAGCCGTTGAAGTTCTTGCCGAAGAATAAGAATGTTGTTGTTGGGGTTATTAGTACTAAGGTGCGGGATTTGGAGGATAAAGAGGCTATGAAGGAGCGTGTTTATTCGGCTGCTGATTTTGTTGCTGAGGGCTCTGGGGAGACTAGGGAGGAGGCTCTCAAGAGGGTTTGTATCAGTCCTCAGTGTGGGTTCAGTACTCATGAGAGTGGGTATCCTCTTCTCGTTGAGCATCAGAAGAAGAAGTTGGGTTTGGTGAGGGAAATTGCGGATGAGGTTTGGGGGGAGGCTTGAGATGGCGATTCTAAGGGATGAGTTCTTTTCCAGTTTCAACATCAAGAGAACCATGTGTATATATGTTCTTTATTCAACATGGCTTTTGGCGATATGTACTTACGAACAGCTTACTAGCAAATCATTGAAATGGAAAATGGTTTGAAATATTGATAGACTACAGTGACTGCATCTACAAGAATGATACCTAATCCAAAATGCTTACAAGGCCCAGTAGAGCTTGCACCAGAGACATAGAAAGAAAATCACAGTTCAAATGCAGGGAGATTGGAAACATCAAGTAACGTGTATGAAAATGTGCTCCTTGCGCCTGATCATATGAAGGGCACAGCAAATTATCCCAGTTCATTTCGGAAAACCAAATGCCCGTAGATCCAGATGAATGATTTGTCAAGATAGTCTCAAATCACACGCGGGTAAAGACCATGGCGACGGTCTGACCCCGCTCCAATGGACCCCAAGGCCAGAAAATTGGCATATTGACCTGGTGGAATCAATAGAGATGCAAGTCGTGACAAACGGCGCCTGCGCCGTGAAAGTGCCCCCGGAGAAAAGGAGGATGCAAAATTCGAAATAGCCAGGTAGCAAGCTCAGTCATCTTGCGACAGAGCGTGGGGATCACCCCCGGAAGAGCCCGTGCCGACCTGATCTAGTGCGACGGCGTGAAGTGCTGGCTTCTCGGAGATATGTAGGACGCCGTCCTCCTTGAGTTTCATTTGCTTTTTCACCCACTCAGCCACTTCTCTGTCCTCTGTAATGGCGGATGAAGCGGCATCGCCGGACCCGGACTCCTCGGGTAGTGGGGCACTGTTGCCATCTGACTCGGTTGGTGGCTGCATGAGAGGGGCCAGCCAAGGGTGGCGTAGTAGCATGTCATATGTTGGTCGGTTTTTGGGGTTCTTGTCGAGACAGGCCCGGACGAATGCATGCGCTTCTTCAGAGAATCCCTCGGGTAGTGTTGGGGGATCTCCGTGGACGATAGCCTAAAATGGAAAAGATTAAAATGTTGAAATCGGAAAATTGTTGTCAGGGTACTCACGTGTAACTGGCTGAAAATGTTGTTAAATGTTTCAGGTGGGTATGGGTATCGACCCATAGCGCATTCGATGATGGACAAGCCTAAACTCCAGACGTCACTCTGCACACTATATGTACCGGCACTAGGCGCTCCCGACTGTTGCATTCCACCTCCCGAGATTCGTTCAGGTGCCATATAACTCTGACAACCGATATTGGTCTTCGCAATACTAGAGACTAGATTTCCGCTGACACCAAAGTCGCAGATCTTGACTTGGCCCTTGCTGTTGACAAGGATGTTGGTAGGCTTCACGTCACGGTGAATAATATTGTGGTCCTCCTTCAGTGATTTCAATCCCATGATTGTGGACAGAGCCACCTTCCGCAGAACATTCTCGGGCAGGCCACCTTCGTAGAGCTTGTCGATCGAGCCGCCATCCATGTACTCAACACACATGTAGACTGCACCTTCCTGGAAAAAGGCTCCGTAAAAATCGATGATGAACGGAGAGACACAGCGGTGTAGAATGTCCAACTCCATGATGATTTGTGCAAACTTGGCTTCGTCCAATTCCAAGCGAATCTCCTTCATGGCCATGACCACGCCTGACAATTGATTCGACCCAGCTTCTGGAGTCGTTTCATCTTGGCCTGGAGGCCGGCTAACAATGCCACCCAAACCTAGGCCTGGTTTCCGTAGATGCGGGCGAGTGTGTCGAACCTTATAGACTGTTCCATAATTACCCTTGCCCAACTCTTCCAAGCGATCGACTTCATCTAGAGAGATCTTGAAGCTGTGGCCCGACGAAAATTCGACACCACCTCCGTGTAGAATAGCTTTATTTTTAAAGTTCAGAGTGCCCTCCTTCGTATCAATGTACTCAGAGTATTTGCTGAAGGCAGACTCCCCATTTTGTGCGCCCTGCTTTTGGTCTGCACCTGCCGCAGGAGTGGACGAACCAGTGATATCCGATAGCTTGAGACCCGGCTTTACGCGCTTTGCCGCTAGGCTTCCTCCTGGCCGGGGTGACAAAGGACCAGAGCCAGTGGCGGGAACAGAAGGGGCAGATGACCAATTTTGAGGATTGGGCCGTACGATACCCTGGGGCAGGCCGCCGGCAATTGCACCGCCTGCACCGCCTCCTTGGGCCATGGGGATGTGCCCTGTTGAGGCAGCAGTTTGTGGCTGCGGAGCACCTTGGCGGGATAACGAGAATGCCTTCATTTTTGCCAAAATGTCTTGATTTAATCCACCGGCTCCTTGTGAGCTCATCGACGACTGGGTGTGTGGTGAAGACCCAACACCTCGTCGCGCAGCATTGATCTGACCCAGGTGTGTGGATGACGCAGATAAGCCGTTTCCCGAAGATTCGCGGGATGGGAGGACGACGGGGCTCGAGGTCTGACGGGGAAATGGAGGAGTAGCGGGTTCGCCGGGAGAGAGATCATCGGCGTCGGGCGCGACATTCTCAGCGGCGAAATCTCGTTCATCAGCCATGATGAGATGAAGGTGGGCTATCGGGGAGGAAGTTGAGCCGACACCAATGGCCGGTGTAATTGCTGTGATTATGCCGTTTTGGACTTGGCTGCACCGGATGGCAGCCTACGATGAAAGCAAGGAAAAGCGACGACGAGCGAAAGCGAACAAGAGGTGATCTGGTGGTAGATGGGGAAAGGAGGGGCAGAAAGAAGTGAAATCGCAAGGTGAAGTCACTTTCGGGCCCGTGATAGAACGTGGGGAAAACCTATTTCAGTACGTATTTGTATATTCTCGTATATTCTGGCTCTTTCTTCCGCTCTCTCTCTCCATATGTATTCTAAAAGATAGTTCCTCTCCCCTATTTCATATTTTCTATTCTCTCACACACTCCCTATCTCTCTTTCTACTACTGTCCTCTGTGTGTATCGAGGGAATTGAATCTCCAACCGGGCCGCTACACCAGCCAATCACATGACGCTAATCAGCCAAAAGCAGGTTTTCTCCGTGTTATTTCCTTCATCTGCCGTGTTTCGATTAAAAAAGGTGGCTTAATCATTTGATATGACATCTTGTGTAGCTGACGACAACCTGCATCCATGTTGCTGATTAGCCTGTTTTTTATATCTTTCGATACTCATTCGAATGATCACGCCAAGAGTTGGCCGAGTCTGACAGCCCCAGTCGTGGAACAAGATTGGAGGCAAAAGATCATTTTGCCAATCCGGTTCTCTCAGCCGTTGCTGACCCTGCACCTCATGAGTCGTTGACTCATCCTACTCCACTGTCCTCTTGGGAATGGCTCGTTGTTGGCTCGGATAGTCGGTCCCATCCCCGACAAACTTCGCGGCCTGGTTTCCAAGTTGGGGAAACAGCTTAAACTCGTGCACGTTCCTTTGACCTGGGATGAGATAAGGTTCGATTGGTCAATCTACTTATACGCAGTACAAAGCACATTGCTCTTAGTGTATACTATATGATTGCGATTCGACAAATGAAGGTACTGAAACCGTACCTGAAAAAAGACCCTTACCATAGCGGGGCAAAACGCCATCGTGCACGGGGTGTCTTATTCGGGGTCTTAGCCCGACATTGAAATTGCCTTGAGCGAAATATTCATTACTAAATTGTTGGAACAGTGTCGTCATCTAAATTTCCACTCTGCACATACTTGCGATTGAGATATTCTTCATTCCAAATTCATTTAATTTGAGCGCCTCAATCTTACATTCATGGCAAGATATATCCCCCGTCAATCAGTACATCACTTCCAGTCATAAAAGTAGATGCATCACTGGCGAGGTACAGATACAATCCCTTGATTTCCTTCACGTGGCCTTGTCTTCCAAGTGACGACATGCGATATGCCTCCTTGAGGGCTGCGGGACCGGCCCCCATCTTTGTGTCGAAGAAGCCTGGCGAGACGATGTTGACTCGCGCGAAATCTCGCCATTCGCGGGCAAGTGATTTTCCAAAGTGGGTGACGTACGCTTTGGTCGCGTTGTAGACAGGCTGATCAGTAGGAACATTGACAATATGTCCGCTCATACTCGAGGTAATTATGAGATTTCCATAGCCCTGTCGTGCGAATACCTCACCAGCATATTTAGAACAATACACAATGCCATCAACTATTTCTTGGTTAATACCACGATCAATTCTCTCACTGAACTGAAACAGATTCATACCATTCACAGACATCTGTTTCCGGTACTCTTCTAGCGTCTGTTCCAAGATAGGCTTCGAGATTGCCATGCCTTATTTGTATCAGTTGTCTGCCATACACCAAAGTAGCTGCTGGAAACTGACCTGCATTGGCAACGAACACATCAATCTTCCCGAAATCTGCCACGACCTTTGCAATAATCTCGGATACTTGAGTGGACTCGGAAACTGCAGATGAGAGCTTAGAATTTTGTCACTTTCTTTATGGACAAGATGCTCCAAATATCTGCTTACCATCGACCTTGTAAGCGGAAGCCTTTATATTATGCTCCTTTGCTAGGACCTGGGCTTTCTCAATAGCGACGTCATTTCTGTTGATATCGTTCATTAATCACATACAAGACAGACAATGGATGAAGGGAAACCTACGAATTATACCACAGAGCAACGTGAGCGCCAGCTTCAGCCATACCTTGTGCTATCGCATGACCAAGACCATCGGCAGCCCCTGTAACAACCACCACCTTTCCGTTCATTTTGAACTGCTCCAAAACGTTTGAAGGCGTATCCGGGAATGGACGAGGGAAGCCCTCCCGGTCTTGAGCGCAGTCCTCAACACTCATAGACATCTTGTATATTTGGTGTAATGGTTGAGGGTTTGAAGGAATTATGGACCCAACCCCTCTTTATAAGTTCCCCGTTGACCCACTATCGGTGTAGTGTTGGCCGAAACTATGTTGTACATACTTAGATCACCTTAATATGATCTTGCTGTGATTTTTCAATTGATATACTTGATATAAAGCCCCCAAAAAATCAAAGAGAATTGGAGAGTTATTTAAACAGCTATACAAAGACATAAGAAAGTGAGGAGATGTGGGGATATTTAAAGCCTCGTATATCAGATATCAGATTCACTCTATTGTGGAGTTTATCTTTAGTTTCTTCCATCAAAGACATTCAGCTGTAGAGAGAGCCTCTCTCGTCCCTTTTTTCTGAGCTTATCAGGGCTTAAATGTAAGTAATAAAGTCTCTAGCCTCTCGTTTCTGACCAATCGTTTTATCCTCCGCAGACTTCGGAAGATTTCACATTTGAACCCTCCCTGGTTTGCTAATGCCGGTCCTACTCTGCGTGGTGATAACGGCAAATTTCGCTAATCGAGTCAACTGCGCAAGCCACACCAGGTACCCTGCAGATCATCAATATTACCCGTTCCTATCATTTCAATCGAAGGATTCTGCTGCAGGAACTGGATTAGGTATGGGGGCAAAGCTGATTATTTCCTATTTGGGAATCCAGTGCCGACCCCGAAATGCTGACACTTGACCTTAAAGGCGATGCAGGAACGGCGTTATATCGGAGCAATTCCTTTCTCATACCCCTGTCCAGAGATAAGTTCCTTCACATTCTGGCTTGTGGCTAGGTCCTTTCATGCAAGTGAGATCGTGGCCAGGATTCCTCCGTCAATCTTCAAAGATCACCGCCGTTGAAGTCTAAGCCATCTTGAATATAATTCTTACCTGCTGTTGACAAGCGTGGGCCTTGCTGATCCAGACTGAGATCAGCGTTTTACCCCAAGATATTCCGAGGTATACTCCGCCGATGCTTTGTCTCATAAAAAGCAGCACAGATCAAATGGAGAGGCATTGTGAACTTTTGACTTGGCTTGCTCTGGCCGAGGAGTCAAATTGGTGAGATCTGGGATGCATACTATATGAGAAGCATGGAACAAACATCCAACAATGCAGGTACTGGCACACAGTCGCATCCGATCCAAGCTCTTCCGCATGTTTAGGGCCAAGCATCCTGCATAACCGGTCTTTTGCTCGTGCATGTGAGCCAATGACGGAAGGCCTAGTTTGTGATTGTCTCTCCGTCGCATGCATCAACATCAATTGCGTTCGATGAGAGGAGGGGTTATCATCCATGCCCATACTCCACCTTCTTCGGAGCCCGACAGTCGTCACGAATTACCAATTGCGGGCAGATCAGCGGATCTTGGCTTTATCTTTCTTAGTTTTTCCAAAGTTATGGCCTTTTTCCGAAGCTATATAATAATCATATGAGAACCGAGATTCCCTTCTTTTTTCTTTCCGTTCAAGCTCTCCACTCCTCTCAAATATCAATAAATTCCTTGGCCACAATGGTCTTCATATCCCTGAAATACGCTCTTTTTAGCCTCGCAGCTACTGCTGCCGCCGTTCCTCATCCAAACCAGCCTAAGTGTGACGAGTCTTCGCTCAACACTACCACCACTACCTACACCACTACTTCTCAAGACACCATCTTCACTGTGGCCAAGAAATTCAACCGTGGTGCCTGCGACATCGCGCGTTACAACCGGATGATCGACGCTGAGCACATGTTTGCAAATTTTACTCTCCGCATTCCTCCCCAGGTCTGCAACCCAGACAGCACAACCTGTCTCTTGACCAAGCAAAATGCTACAGCTACTTGTCTCAAAGGTGGCCCGCACGACTACAGAACCATTGCAGGTGACACTGTTGAGAGAATTGCTTTGTACAAGCTGAACATGACTGTCGAGTCGGTCTACGAGAATGCCAAGAGAGCTGTTTCGTCCATCTACGAGGAGCTTCCCGTCAACTCTTTCATCAAGATTCCCCAGTGTGTTCCCAGTGCCTGCACTATCACACCGTTCCATTTCACCTACGGTGTTTACAAGGATCTTGCGGAGATGTTTGGCACTACTGTTGGACAGATCATGGCCTTCAACGGTGGTTACAACTACAGTTCAGCAACGGATGAGGAGGCACCCTGGCTCACCGTGCCTACAGGATGCACGAACCTGGCCCTCGATGTTACTGTAGAGCTTTAAGTGGTGGATAATTGGACACTTTTCTAAAAGTTAATCAATCAACGCCTGAATAGAAATTTATATTAAAGATAGGCCCTTCTACCCGCTTTAAAAAATTAACGGATAAAGAATTAACCGGCATAAATACACGGCCCAGCGGGAGCCGGGCCGCACGGGTCTAATATCAGCTCTATCCACAAGACAGCATTCTCATCTGGACAATAAATAATGTCGCAAACTTGGCATAGCCACTCAGCATGATAACACACAGTGCTCATTGGTGGAAATCGACGACTGCCAAGCCATAACTGGCACTTTGTCACACATGTTCTTGCATTCTTGCATGGTGGATGCAGAATTGAGTCCTAGCTGGCACTGGCAATCGAGAAAGGCGACAACCAAGGCGTGCCATTTTTCACAGGACTCTACCTCCCGGAGCCCTTTATATGCGTACTGACTTGGATATTGCTGAGAGGAAACATGACATCATTTTCTAACTAAACTAGATAAAGAGCATGTTTTGGTAATTCCGTGAGCCTACATCTCACGTGGTGGCTATGTGCAGATGCCAGGGTTGGAAGCTATTAAGTTGTTAGGTAGGTTAAGGCGGCTTTAGCTGGAAGGGACGACGGTGACTTGTGGGTTAGTGCATTGGTCTCTGAGCAGCATTACTAGTTACTGTTTCATCCAAGCAGCAAGGTTTCGATTGCTTATTTGCTTGCCTATAGTGAGCCAGATCCTCTCTTTGTCCTCACAAAGCTATATAATGAGGGTCATGGCAGTAGGTATATTCATCATAATCGTCTTCTCCTGCTTCCTCCTTAAGACATAAAGTGCGTCCATCAGTTACCCGCCAATATATATTCCGATGACGAAGCGCTCACACTACACGCATATTTGAGAACTCACAGCGCTTGCTTCTATGGATAGTTTAACTACTTGCAGTGGTCCATGGGCTGACTGTAATTGGTGATAGTGACTGGGTAAGATATATATGTAACTAACACTGCAATGGAGATTTATCCATGCACTATGTGGAGCTATCCTGATTGCAGGAAAAACCAACGTCTAATTTTTGATTGGCCGTCGACCTTTGCAAGGGCTGGTGTGGTTGTGCTCAAAGTATCTCATCAGCTTCTGTGGCGAAGTTGAAACTTAGAAGCCAGACCGCGTGATATCTCTATCTTATTAGTTAACTAATCAAGAACCTCAAACACCGGATACTTGGAGAATGCTCTACAAATTGAATAAATACTGTCACTAACCCACAAGGAGTCCAAATACACGAGAAACTCCCGTATGAGACTTGCCCTACTTTTTCTGAGTCCTAGAGTTCGCAAAGTCCTGGCCTATGTTTTGAGGAGAAGAGACCTCTTCGATGATACGCCTCTGCTCGTCATCCAGGAAAGGAGGAGGGTCTCGATACCAGCGGTTGTGCACACTAACTTCGCAAACCGTTCCGTTCCGATCGCTATGCAACATGCCATTGACTGCTGCGACCATTTGCGAGACACTTGTGATGAGATTCTTATAGACTTTGTCAACCGTCTCCTTTGGCATGATGTTTGTGGGTACCAGACCAGGAACCATTGCGCAGCAACGGAATCCTTCGTCCTTGAATCTCAATCCCAAACTCCTAGCCAGGCCAACTACCCCGTGCTTGGAGGCAGAATAGATGGGTTGCACGGCGTTGGGGTAGAGACCCACTCCGCTGGAAGTCGAGAGTAAGAGCGGCTTTTGCACGTTTACATTCTTTCGGAAATAACGCAGGGCAAGCAGGCTGGTGTAGACAACGCCCACGAGATTGATATTCATCGTATGCAGGTCTGGCGGATTACCAGCGGTAAAGCTCTCGGTAGACTCGGGAGTGCAATGATCTACCCGGTCGCTAACTCCAGCGTTCGCATATACTATCAGAGTGCGGTTTAGTAGGGATTGGGAGGGGGTTGGTCATAAGCGAATTATATTGCTTGCTGTTGACTTACCGAAATCGATTCTGCCATATTTTGCAAATGTCTTCTCAAACGCGGCGAATTGCTGTTCCCACGACGTGACGTCGACCTTGTAGAAGTCGCCATGGATTTGGTCTGCTATTTTCTGGCCCTCTTCGGCATTCCAGTCGATGACAATAACCTTGAAGCCTTGCCTGCCGAGATCTTCTGCAACTCCCCTTCCAATCCCCGTTGCTATGTTGTATTGTTAGCGTAGCTTCCCAAGCACGAAGCCCAGACTGAGAGTTTAATCTTGGGGAGAACAGGTGTTTTACCTGCGCCGGTTATAAGTGCCACTTTCGACATTTCTGAAGACCAGGGCGGATGAAAATGAGTTGAAAATTCGAGACAGAAGTATTACACATACAGTGCATAGGTAAACTAGGTTTTATATATAGGGTTGACGGGATTGTGGACGACCGTCGTCCATTCCCCAAGCACTATGATTCTGGCTCTGATTCACGGATGTCCTGATGTGGAGTTCAAGCACCCCATGTCTGGGGTGTTGATCTGGCCCCTTAACGTCGATTTCCCCACCGGGTCCTGCCGGTAATTCCCACAGCCTAACAACATTAATCAAATATTCCTCTTCAAATATTTTCCCCCCAGAAACCGCTGCGCCTGTTCTTGCCTACTTACTCACACCCGGAGGCCTTCACGAGCAAACCATTATCTACTTTTACACAATATGAGAACTCAGCACAGCAGAGGAACAAAGTCGAGGCACCGCACGCCTGCACAGCTAGAGAGGAAGCGGGCCCTGAACAAGGCAAGACGAAGGCTCAAGAGGCATGAAGAAACTGCAGAGGTGCAGGAGATGCTGCAGGAGCTGCGAAGCTTACGTACAGAGAACCAATCCCTTCATGCCTCCATCCAAAGCCTGCGTCACTCACTTAACACCGGCGACTTGACTCATTGCTGTTCACTCCAGATTGCCGATGAGAAGGACCTTTGCCAGGACTTGCAGGGTATCTGTCCAGGGCCCTGTCCTCCTACCCCTTTGCGGTTTGCTGCTGACACCTCTGGCTCACTACTAGACAATTTTTGCGGATCAGAGTCCATAATGCTACACGCTGCATCCCCTAAATATCCTCGCCATCAGACCCCTGTAGCTCCCTCTCAGCCACCCCGCAGCGTATCCGGGAGTGTTATGTCACTACTTTTCAGTTCTCCGTCGCCTTCAGATATGCGAGGAAGCCATACTGAGTGCGTTTGCAGACCTGCATGTCATGCCTGCTTTGAAGAATGCTTTGAGGAGACATTCTATGGTGTACTAATAGGGGCACAATATCCAACGTGTAAGGTTGGGCAACCGCCGCCAATTCCCGCCAGCCCTCTCCTCTCGGACCTGCTCTTTCTGGACGAGGGCAAGAATCCCGTGACCAAGATTCTGAACAGAGTATTGAGGTCACCACGGATATCCAATGTCAAATTAAGCGTCTTGTTTGGCTGTTATATCATCTTCTACAAGCTACTTCGGGTGAGTTGCTTTCGCCATCCCTTCGATCCGCTTTGTTTTTTTTTTCTTAAGAAGCCATTTCTTTTTATTCTTTTATGTCTAGACATGTAACGAGATGAAAGCTGAGCATCTTTCAATGCAGTATCGTCTCTTTCCTTCACTCGAGACATTCAATGATGTGCCAAAGTGGCTCCGACCAACCGATGCTCAAATCAACCATCCACTTCCAATCTTTATTGACTTCATTTTCTTTCCCCAGCTCCGCAACGCTATGGCCTGTGGCAAGATAGATTACGTGGCAGCGGAATTTGTGGAGCATTACAATGGCGCGATAAACAGCAGCTGGCCAAACGAGAAAAGCTTGATTGTTGCCGGAGAAGCCAACGACGTGATTCTAGATTCGAGCTTTGAGGCACATGCATTAAATCTGAACAGTTGGACATCAGATCCGGTATTTGTTGAAAGATGTCCTAGCCTAGCACATTTAGTGGATATTAAATACTAGCATGATCTTCAAAAGCCTCCTAGGTTGACCGTTCGGAAATCTGCATCGATGAATTCCAGATGAGATTCGCGGTGAGGCTGCACTCTTCGTAGCTCTGTCAAAAGCGGCTGTCGATAACCCCACTGGTGGAGTGTGTTTCCTACAGCTAGAAGGCCACTTCCTGGAGGCGGGGTACCAACCTAGCGCTGCACCTCTGTGGGTCACTGTGTAGGGTCACGTTGAGGTATACACCTATGGGGAGGATCGTCCAACGGCCCAATAGGTAGACAGCTGTCGTTCACTCCTCACTGAACTATACGCTACGCTAAGGTTAGCTTTAACTGGCCTCATAGTAGTCACTTACTAGTAAACTTCAGCAAAACCCATTTTATAACCCATTCTGGGCATGCCAAGAACCCATCGGACCCCATCGGACCCAAAATACATAGAATTTGCATAAAATCAACATAAATGTACCTAATTAGGCAGGCAGGTCTTGGCATTTCTATGCCTAAACTTTAATTTTGGGGCTTTTGGCATTTATTGAAGGTCTTGACTCAAAACCCAGTCATATCAAAATATAGTTATAACTCAGTTTTTGGCATAAAAATACATCAAGCCATCAAGACCTTCCTACTTATATATATTTATGCAAGAAACTGGGTGGAAAACTGGGTTGGGCGGAAGTCTAGGTGGATACGACTGTTTAGACTGCAATCTTCTGCTGTGAGGAGACGTCCACCTGTGAACTTATTGGACTATGTGAATTCTGGAGTCTTGGGCGTGAGTTCGAGAAATCATACACAGTCGGTCAAAGATAGCGCTAGGCACTACCACATACTTTCGTACCGACTTAGTGGGCTGAGCTTCATTGTGTGTCAGAGACTGATAGATTTGTTAGTGATTCGAAGCCAACAAGCATTACAAGTCGTCAGGAGACAATCTTGCCGAAAACTTACACTCATTAGCTCTCATACCGGAAACTACCTCCACAGTCCAGACCTCGGTTGATTAAATTCTAATGATCAAGAGGGAAGGTTGGGTAGTATCACGCGAATCAACCTTGGAGATCAAAACTCAAGTTTACCACAACGTTCTGAGGCTATCCGAAGTTGCGTCAAAGCTCTGTATTCTCAGACACCCAACCTCGCCCGTGCTTATTATTGGCATAGAATGGTCTAGACACCAGTAGTTGAAAGACTGAGAACAAACCAACCAAGATGATGTTCAGAAACTCTTGCTCTCATCAATCGTATTTTACAAGTTACTTAAAGCTGGGTTGGAAGTTCAGTCATCGGTTACAATGCTCTCAGAGATCGAGTGACAATCATGAGGAATGTCAGGAGGATGAAGATGCTCCCAGATGATCTTGAAATTTTATACGGTTCTACCCTAGCTTGGTATCTTAGGTAGTAGTAACAAACCAGAATAGGAAAGTCATGCGAGTTAAATATGAGTGCGTTACTTAATATTTTGCCCGAGAGGTGTAGCTGAGCGGTAAACGCTCAAGCAATATCCTCTCTGGGCGGGCAAAGTCCCTCAAGCTCGCGGTTCAAACTGCGCGCAAACCAGATTATTATCAGGTTCCCCAATTAACTGGGGTCTCCTTAAAAGATGATTACCAGAGGAATCATCTTTTTGCTCAATTTGATTTTATCCTTTTTACTACAATCTTTATTCTCAATGGAACACAACTAGTCCTGTGAATGTTGAATAGAACTTCTCTGTGCGTGGGTCAACTACTTTCATTCAAAATGATTCTGATACTTGGAGTCTATGGCAGAACTTGACAGAACTACGCTATTTCAAATGGCCTTAAATCAGTAGTAGTTAAACTTCGACATGCTACCATGACCGCTGTGCAGATAAGTCCGATTATAGACTTTTCGTGGCTGTCTGTTTCTTAGAAATTAATACTACCGGACATCTGTATCTGGCAGTACTGGATACTTGGGGGTTTGGAGCAAGCTGCTGTGGTGGGTAACTTGCTATGAAACAGCTGGAAATTGCATAATAGTACGTATGTTTGTCACTTACCACCCTCACCTTTGTAGATGCAAACTTCACTAGAGAAATATCACTATGTAAAATTTGGGAAGATGTCAGCCTGGCCAAGTCCTATTCGCGCAAGAGACAAGAAACGCTGACCCTGATAATATAGGCAGTTTTGACAGTATTATTTTTCCTTTTGACCTGAAATAGGAATTCAGGCTTGTGCCATGTTGTCGAATGTCATTATCAATATGATTTCAGAAACGCAAAACATAGCTGGACAGTTGCACCCACAAATTTGAATCACACCCGTAGTTTATGCCAACTTCAATAATTTCTGTTGGGATATGCGATCCTGTTTGCCCTGACCTACACGAGACGAGTCATTTGAGTCCTAAAAACCCAGTTTCTCCATTAATAGAAATTGCAGCCATTCTTTTTTATCTCTTCCTTTTTCTCTCGTCCATTTCATCTGCTTGGTTACTCAATAACTTTGACTCTTTTAAACTTATGGTAAGTCAACCGTAAAATTAAAGATCAAATATAAATAATTTCACAGTTCCAACTGAAGATGGCCTCCTCCTGTTCCTACATGAGATTCACGCTGGCAATCCTGACCTTAGTTGTGCCAAGTTTCTTCACGGTCTCCGAAGACTGAAGAAGCTCATAAAGAAGCACCGATTGCCATGACCCAGTCCAGAGGCTAGAAAGTCAAAAGACTCTGACCTCCTATTAAGTATTCCGCAAGATGCACTGGTCGCGCAGCAGGAGTAAAAATATGAGAGATTTAGCGGCTTCAAGACCTACTCGAGCATGGACGTAATTACCCGTGACCCCCAAATGCGATAATGGCAGTCAGAATAGGTGTTGCACACAATCAGCTCAAAGACTTTGGACATTCAAACACGCAGATTGATCGTCTCATTATGGCGACGACATGGCCGATGAGGTGCTTATTCAACTACCATTGTGCAGTGGCGCAGATTTCAGGGGTCATTATGGATGATACTAGGCGACAGCTGGAAGCAGATTAAGAATTTCCCTCGAATACGTTGGTTGTGCACCAACTAATCATGGTACCATATATGGCATTAATCCAGTCCTATTTTATTACATCCGCCCACGCTTGTAGAAGTTGAGGCTCGACAGGCAAACACAAGATGGAGATCATGAAGATGTACGGGAAAATGCAGTGAGGGTGACTGTTTGAGTTTCGGGTATTTGTGCTTGGGTCTCTGTGCTTTTGCATTTGGCGAATTCCATTTATTAGAACACTAAAATGAAAGTGCTACCCTTTTTCACAATTATTCATGACATTCAAGCTTAATATCAATGAGAAGACGTCATAAAATAATAGGGCTGAAGGGAACGTGCCAAGATCTCGCAAAGCTTGACTAAAAAGCTTGGTGTCTCCATTCCAAGGTTCGATTTCACGTGGACTTCCAACTTTTCTACTCCAAACTTTTGGTTATCAAATTTGAAAAAAAAAGAGAAAAAATAACACACAATGAACATGTGATTAAGATGATACTTCTTATTCGACTGTGTTAACACATAACCTCTCTCTTATCTAAGGAAGCCAGCGTCGGTAACATGGGCCTCTTGTGCCGAGCTCAGCCCCACACGCCGTAAATGTGGCTGCCTAGGCATGGCTGCTGCCCAAGCACGTTCTGGATTGTATTGAAAAAGAGTTTTAATATCACATAGTACTAAGTACTATATGTACTACGAGTACTTTTTGTTTCAATAATAGAAACATACGGCGGCTAATCCCGGCTTACTTAGTTTCCCCTTTATATTTCATTCATCTGCCCCCTCTTCCTACATATTTTCTTCATCCCATCTCCATCTTTCTTCTAAGACACAATTTATCCGCTAAAATGTTCGGCTGGTTCAAGTCTTCCGAGGAGTCCAAGTCCACCCAGGAGCCCACCTGGGATGCGGCCACTCTGGCTATGGAACAGCCATCCACTACCGAGACCATGTCTTCCAACAACGTCATCTCCCAACAACCTGTATGATCTTCGGTTGTTATCTGCTGAGATTGGAACTAACCCATCATTTAGAGCCCCGAGTCCATGAAGATGGAGCTCCGCGGTGGCGGTAGTGGAGATGTCTGCTGTGGAATGTAAGTGTTCTAAGCTTACTTTGGGACCTTTTTCAATCCAGCATAACAAGGAAGATTGACTGACATTCTTACAACAGTTGTGCTGGTATCGCTTGTTTTGAGTGCTGCGAGTGCTGCTGCTAGATATGCCGTTTTGCTACGAGATACTACAAATCGAGACGAACGGCGTTGGAATAACTCGGCACCTGTGAATAATGCGAGCGATAATGGATACCACTTTGTTGCAATGAGAAATTGCTGTTGAATTTATTGTCCGTTTATACCCCGTGTTTTGTTACAACTCCTAGTTGGCCGCTAGGCGGATCACGCGGCCTAATATCGTATTGATATACTAGTAGTTAGGACTAGTCGTGGATCTGTTAGATGATTGTGACCTGAGGGAAATATACATGTCACCTGGGGAGGTCAGGGTTGCATTACACAGATGGGGCTATGTAAGAATCTGACAGAAAGCAGGTGTGTTCTCAAGACATTTTTCTTCCCAAATCCCTTTGTGTCTCCTGGCCAGAAGGGTGGGATAACAGAAGCAACGCAAGACAAGTCTAGTTTGACAACTATCTTTCCATTTTGAAAGAGCCTAGATGGTTTAGATTTTGATTTCCTTTCGAATCGAATTGGCTGCTATCATCATAAATCGAGAGCCGTGGGCATTAACCGCCGGGGGTTATCAGCCAAGGGGGAATTATCTGCCTACATGTATATAGTCCGCATATGTGGATGATATGCATACCGCATAATTAATGTCCGTTGATATGTAGGGATTTTGTGGGACCTTCTGCTAATTCGAAAGGCGTCACCACATGAATATATATTATATATACATCGCAGAATGCCTGTGAGCGATTGGCATACGCTGATTTTTTGATTAATCGCTTGCTATATAACCTCACAGGCTACCTAATTAGTGTGTAATCTCAAAATTCTAGTGAAAAAGATAAAATCTCATTTAGCAAAAAGATGATTCCTCTGGTAATCATCTTCAAGGAGACCCCAGTCAATTGAAGAACCTGATAATAATCTGGTTTGCGCGCAGTTTGAACCGCGAGCTTGAGGGACTTTGCCCGCCCAGAGAGTTGCTTGAGCGTTTACCGCTCAGCTATACCTCTTGGGCAAAATGTTAAGTAGCGCAGTCATATTTAACGCGTATGGCTTCCTTATTCTAATGCGTTACTAGCCACGGTATTAGACCATAGGTAGTCTTATTGAACTGTACATAATTTTGAGATCCTAGTGAACAAGATAAAATCTAATTTGGCAAACCTATAATCACCCTGGTGCAAAAGCTATGGCCAAACACGCTAAATACCTATTTCTCTTTCTTAGGATTATCTCAATGATTTGATCTGAATAGATTGGTGCGTTGTTTGGCCTTGGAATGCCCCGATAGCTTTCAAACGGCGCTAACCGGAAGAGGAAATGGAGCTCCCCTCGATCTGCGCGCGTAAACATCAACTTCTGCAATGGGACAACCATGCCTTACTTGCGCCGACAACCGAATCCGCGCGACCTAATACCCAATCAAGACAACTCCCCAGGAAATCTCCGAGCACAATTCCAGACACCGCCAACGCGTCACACTCCCACCAACCCAACCCATCAACACCAACCCCCCTCCACCGGCCCAAATGCTCTCACACCCGACGCAGTGGCTGTTGCGGGACACCCAGCAGCACCAATAAATCCATTTACGATATTTGGAAGACCAAGGGTAGAGCAGCCACCACCACAAATGATGGATGACGACGACTTTGACGATGATTTCGACCCGCGCGGGCACACCATGCAAGAGCTCGGGAATGACGGACCACTTGACTTCGATGACTCCTTCGATAATGGCCAGCCTATCGAAGGTCAATTTGATGACTCCGATATTGATGGCGAGGAACTGGAGGAAGAAGTCGAGGACCAATTCGAGGACGAAGAGGACCCCGACCAAGAGATGCACGACCGAGGTACTAACTCTCCTTCTTTTCCCATGCGCTTCAAGATTACAAGCTAATATTATTGCCCTACAGAAAAATCACCCTCCCCCTTACCACCCAACCTCCGCGAGATCTCATCCCTCGCGTCCTGGATCGTCTCCACCTCCAAGCCGGGCTGCGGCGTCGCGGCTCTCCGCAACCCCTCCCCGTCCCAATACTGGCAATCCGACGGACCACAGCCGCACACCCTAACCCTCCACTTCTTCAAACTGGTAGCCGTCGTGCGTATCCGCGTATATCTCGATTTTGAGCTCGACGAAAGCTACACTCCCACAAAGATGATTTTCGCAGCCGGGATGGGCGGCAACGACCTCGTCGAGTTCGCGACGTGGGAAGGCGACGGACCGTGCGGCTGGGTCGATGTGCCACTAGAGGGCGTCGGCGGTAGAAACGGCGGGTGGGTGCGCAACGAGCCTGGGAAATCGAAACGCCGATCTACGAGTATGCGTCGGCGGACAATTGTGTACCGGAACTGCGATGATCCTGACCATGAGCATGATGATGAGTGTGATCCATTCTATGAAGTTGATGAGCCCGATAGCCAGGATGATGAGGATGATCCCTATTCTGGGAATGTGCTCAAGGCTATGGTTATCCAGATGCGTATTATGGAGAACCATCAAAACGGAAAGGATACCCATGTTCGTGGATTCCAGGTGTTTGCTTGTGATGATAGTCGTCGGCGCATGAATGCTGCTCCGTCAGCTTCTGCTGATGCTCAGCGTCGTCGTCCGTCCCTTCGTGGCGCTCATGATCTTCGGGGACGGACTGCAAGTGAAGATGCTGATACTGGATTTACTACTACCGGTCTAGACGAGCCGGATTGGATGGGTGAGCCAGTGATTCGATAAGAAGGAGCTTTTTACAAGGAGCAAGAAAATACCGGAGTTGATTGGCTTGCGAAATGCCAAGGGAGGTTTTATTATTGGAGTTTTAATGTCGGCATGATACCCAGTTCCAATTTCTTTTGCATGGGTTTGGGTTGGCGAGTGAATATCATTAGGTACTTTTGCGCCAGTGAAATACATGTTGCATCTTAAACCGGGTATTCAAATTTTTAGTTTTCTATGCTAGTCATATCTCATATAGAAACATCGAAGAGGCGGCTTTGTATCTACTTAAGCAGCTTCTCCAGCTCGGCAGCGACGGCATCGCCGACCTCAGTGGTCTTGGCTGAGCCACCAATGTCACCGGTGCGGACACCAGCCTCGATGACGTTGCTCACAGCCTGCTCAATCACGCGAGCCACATCGATCATGTTGAAGGAGTACTGCATCATCATGGCAACAGACAGGATAGTAGCGACGGGGTTAACAATACCCTTGCCGGCAATATCAGGGGCAGAGCCTATGGGTACCAATTAGCCATGACCAGAACCAAGATTGACAGAAAGCAAAAAAAAGAGGACAGAATACATACCGTGAATAGGCTCGTAGATACCGTTGACACGGTTCTTGCCATCGGGAATACCGCTTAGACTGGCACTGGGAAGCAGACCTAGAGAACCGGGGATAACACTAGCCTCGTCGCTAATGATATCACCGAACAGGTTGCTGGTAACAACAATACCGTTCAGCTTACGGGGATCCTTGATCATCAGCATAGCGGCCGAGTCAATGAGGTGGTGACCAATGGAGAGCTGGGGGTACTCCTTCTCCATAACCTCAGTAACGACCTTACGCCACAAACGGCTGGTAGCGAGGACATTGGCCTTGTCCAAGCTCCAGACGGGGAGGGGAGGGTTGTGCTGCAGAGCGAGGTTGGCGGCGAGACGGATGATGCGCTCGATCTCGTGGCGGGAGTAGGGCTCGGTGTCCATGGCGTAGCCGGAACCATCGTCCTCCACGCGCTCGCCGAAGTAGATACCGCCGGTCAACTCACGGATGATGTTGAAGTCGACGCCGCGGCAGATATCGGCCTTGAGGGGGGAGCTCTCGACCAGCGAGGGAGCAGCGAAGTTGCAGGGGCGCAGGTTGCCGAATGTGCCCATTTCCTTGCGCAGCTTGAGGATACCCTGTTCAGGGCGCACGGCGCCGGTGCCCCATTTCTGTAGGACGCAATGTGTCAGTAGGCTTGTCCTTCGTGTTTGTGCGGAGAGGGAGGAGAAGGGGCTGGGAATGGAGACGTACGGGACCTCCAATGGCACCGAGGAGAACGGCATCGGCGTTCTTAGCGGCATTCAGGGCTTCGTCGGTCAGGGGAGAACCGGTAGCGTCGATGGAGGCCTGCAATTGTTAGTTATTGAGTGTGTCGCGTGTGGATTCATAATACTCACACCACCGAGCAGGTGGTCCTGCAGGTTGAAAGTAACATCACGGCACTTCTCAATGACGCGAAGGATCTGCGATTCAATCAGTATGTCTATTCCGTGTAATTCCAGCTTGCAATGTTACCTTAACACCCTCAGCGGTCACCTATTATCTAAATGTCAGTCCTGAATTCAATTTTCCCACAAGAGCTCTGACCAACATACCTCAGGACCACAGTGGTCACCACCAAAGACAACAATATTGAAGGAAGACATTATGTAGTAATATGAAGAAAATGATTTGACTCAATTGTCCAGGCCGGAGCTTTCAGAATATAAAGGCGGGTGAATTCTGGTGTTCAACCCCACTAGCCTCCGACATCGGCGCCGATGACATAAACCCAATCATCGGCATCGCTTATTCACGGTTTGTCGATCATCAATGTATACTTTTTTTAGAGCATCCCGAGGTCCGGAGCTTAAATAAAAGTAGTTGCTATTAGGTATTGAAAGAGGAAGATTGGAAATCTCACGGCTCCCATGCTGTCTTTGCTGTTCTGAAACAGCTTGAAAAGAAGTTTGACGTTTTCTCTGAAGACTTGCCAAACTGGATGCAGATGCAGTACGGCTGAACCAGATATCGCTCCTGCCCATATCCTAAGAATACATGAGAGTCATGGTGTAAACTTTCGGCTTCTCTATTAATCCACGACCGAAGTTTTTCAACCCCGAAACTCGTAGTCAGTGTAGCAAACGCGCAACATTCACTCAAAACGGCGCTTCTCGCCTTGTCATTATTCGTTGTCAACATGGACTCCCATCCCACCAGAGTAGTCATTTACGCTTGTGTTACCGATATAGATGGTTTTCCCCAACGACGCCATGTCAAAATTGGAGAAGATTTCTGTCAAAGTATCTTAAATCGTTCATTCAATCCTATACTTCACCCGGCGGGCTATGACCACGTCCATATTCCCGCTGATTTTGACTCATCGGAACCTGTGAAAAAGATAGTTTATTCTTGATTTGGATGTCACTGAACCACTCAAACAGGATGATGTTTTGCAACTTCCTCATCGGGTATATCTTGCAAGTCAACAAAGTGGCAAACTGTGAGTAGCCCACTCAAAGTTTTCAGTAATGGTCACCCTTTCTGATTACATAGCCTATTTACCCCTCGCGATCAATAGACTGAAAAGGCAAAGGGGAGGGCTGCTTCGTATACTTGGGGAGGTAAAGCGGAGCAGAAGATTGTTAGAAACATGCAGGAAGTGAAAGATAATGAGAAGAATATATAACAGACTTCAAGGCCTTATCCAATACCTTCAGGGTGTCTCTGATTATTCTTCTTGAACGCGGGCCACATGTGCAGTAAATTTGTTGTTCCTATCCTCTCACCAGTCATTGACGTCTTCACGTTGATAAGGACATGATTTTGAATGCAGGCCCAAGTCTCGTTATCTAAATAGTTGCCTCTTCACTACACCTACCAAATATTTCCCACATATGTCTACATGTCTAATTCATTTATCAATGCCCTTGTGTGCCAATTGGTGGGTTGTTCTTACTACTATGTTGCTCAAATGTTGAGGATCTACGATTGGCAAAACTTATACATAAAACATCAGAATATATTAGACTATTATCCCTAGCTATGACTCTCCCGATCTTGAGAGTAAACTGCTAATTGCTGAATCTAGTCGGATTGATAGGGGTTTTATCCGCTCTCGCTATACTGTGGAGTAAATTGTATTGTTTACTCGAGATCCTGTGAAGTAAAAGCTTTGATATCGAGAAGTGGCAAAGTGGAGAGGGATGGACGACTAAACCACCTGAAAATGGAGATCATCCTGGTATGCGAGTAGTTATAAAAGAGAGAGGAGCGAGAAGCATATTCAAAGCTTCAAAGAGTTATTTGAATGGATTGTTTATGTAGGCGGGAGCAGATAGCCTTTCTCTTCTCATCCTTAACAAATGCAAATATTTGAGTTGGAGCTTACTGTTCACATGTTTCTTTGCCCTTCTCATGATCCAAAGGCGTCATCCTTGTTGATTCCCTAGTAATACCTATGAATGCAATCCGCTGGGTCACAGGATTCCCACGTCCTTCTATAGTTTGAAGCCATAGGTGACGATACCGCTATTTATCGAAGTCTCCTATGAACTTTCCAACGAGAGAAGATAAAAACAGCGAACCTAGGCTAATTTCTTTATCTTGCATGTGATATATCAAATCTCTTTCAATGACTTGGAGATGCAGGAAGCCAATGCATACTTTCGGGGTATCTTTGTAATTGAATATCGGATACAATTACACTTCCACTCAAACCATTCTATGATATAACTAGGCTGCAGTTTACAATATATTTTGCTGGTAGTTCAATTCCATTGCATGTGTGCGTCTCAATATTGTTGATTTATGAAGGTATTCGCTAGTAAATGTAGTCTATACTCCTGTTGAGGCTGAAAATTGAACCCTTGGCTCTTATCTCTTCGGATCCGACAGATACGAACAATCTCCGCCAGATAAGAATATCCTCGGTATTTCCCCATTCTAACCCCATTCGGTATCGATCGTAGGCGTTCCTGCCGAGATCCAATCCGTTTATAGAAGGGCAGGTGCAAGTTCAATTTCTCCTTTTACATATATTTTCTTCACCGTCTCTGTCCTTCCCTCTCATAACTCCTAGGTGTGTCATACCCATCATCTAACCTTCAATAACAACAGAATATCACTCCTCAGTTCACTGTGAGTCTTCTATTCAATCTTTCCAAGACTTCCAGCCAAATTGCTGATCAATCAGTCTCCTCCACCATGTGGATCACACGCGGAATATCACTCGTCAACTTCGGCGTTGCCTCTTCAGCACTGGCATTCCAAGTCTTCGTCTTATACCCATGGCACAATCAGTTAGACGACGAGTTCAAAGCCTTGAAAAAGGAACACCTCCGAGTACTGCGCCAGATCGATTTGCGCAAAACACTGGCAGAATAAATAGAGGGCGGATTGGAGCCGATGGACTGGGTGGGGTGTATATATAGATGGAGGCAGAAAGGAGGCGAAAGGGAGGCAACAGAGACGGTTCATTTACTTTTTGTTTTCCAGCATTGCTTGTGGTTGTTTTATGAGCGTTTCCGTTATAGACAAGTTCAAAACTCATCTTTTGAGTTGTCCGCCATTATTCTTACATAGACAAAAGAAATTTGCTTTTTCATATCAACGAGGAAAAATACGGAGTATATCCATCTTGAATAGATACACCGGGGTCGGCTATTTAGCACATGCTACTTATATAGAGAGTGGACAAGGGGGCCATGGAGATCCCGAGGTCCAACCTTTTACCCCGGGTGTGATGCATATCCGGGCAGCCGGCCTGAGCCGACTTTGCTGGTCATAAGTGACAATATCGGACATACTGTCCGACAAGGTCTACAGAAACTGGCGGTGTGAGGATTTGTTCGGTTTTGTGAGCCATGTCTTCCTATGGATGGAAACAGTGTACTTGTACCCCCTAGGACTGGTCACATTCGATATGAAGTCTGCGTGTATCTCTCCGTCTAATGTAAAAGAGTCTAGGCCGTAGCCATGTTGTAGAATTCGATAAAAATGGATAGCATCTCCCGCAAACCGCTAATTATTATGCTAAATCTCACACTATGCAGATCCTCTAATAATGGCAAGCATTTCCTCGCCCTTCGGTGCAGTAGTGAGATTCTCGTACCCAGTAGCAGTCACGAGAATATCATCTTCAATGCGCACACCACCAATATGGACATATTTCTCCGCAACATCGAAATCAATGTACCGGGCATACGGCTGCTTGCGCGCATTAGCCATAGCCAAAGGAGAGAAATAGAGCCCCGGCTCAACGGTCACAACCATTCCCTCTTCCAGCAGCGGAGCGGAAAGAGTGCATGGCGAAAGACAGGTAGAGTTCAAGATCGGGCGATACTGGAGCTGATCGAAACCCCGGTGAAGAGCCATGATCGACCGTTCCGACACATCGTGGACTTCAAGACCGACGTGATGACCCAGACCGTGTGGGAAGAAGACCTTGGATGCGCCAGATTGACGGATCTCGAGATTTGTGCCGTTCTTGAACACGCCCAGAGCTAGGAGACCCTCGATCGCGATGTCGTGGGCTAAATCGTGGAGAGATAGGAAACGCGCTCCTTTCCGGATCAACTGAATACATTCCTCTTGCATGCGCTCTACCAGCTTATAGATATCCCGCACGTAGTCGCTGGGCCACTCGCCGGTAAGCGGGAAGGTCCGCGTCACGTCGCTTGCATAGCAGTTCCACTCTGCGCCGGCATCGAGACAGACGAGGGGTTTCTTGTGGAGGGTTTCGTTATTTCGGTCGTAGTGCAGGACAGCTGCGTTCGGTCCCGATGCTGCGATAATCTGGTATGCCTGGTTCCGGGCGCCGTGCGAGACGCAGGTATTCAAGAAGGACCCTTCAATCTGCGCCTCGTTGGACATACTCTGGATACTCTCTAGGATTCTTCGATGCGCAAGTCCCGAGACTTTGTTTGCCTGGCGAATCATCCGAATTTCATATTCGTCCTTGATGCCTCGAGCTGTGTCCATAGCAGGCCCGAGCTGTTCCAGGTCCACGGCCAGGTCTTTAGGTAGATGCTCGGGCTTCTCTGAGTCATGAATTAGGTACAGCTCGCTGCCCTGCTTTCGCGCATCCAGCCATGCCTGTAGCTCAGGTTTGAGCGAGGAGTGATAGCGCACTTGGTCCACGTCATATCGGTCTTGTGCCTCCTCCCGTGAGACGGTCGGTCCCATCCAAATAGCACGGTGGAGGTCAAAATCCGGGACATAAAGAGTTAACCGATCTTGTTCAATATCGTACGTTAGAGAGCAGTCGGGCTCGTCGACTCCGCTCAGATAGTAGAAGTATCGTCGCTGTCTGAATGGGCGCGATTGATCGGAATCGCGTAGGTTAATTGTCGGCTGTCCGGCAAGGAAGATCAAGCCACTTGAAGCTCCAAGCTTCCGGGCGACGTTGCGCGCGTGGTACTTGGCTGGTGAGGGCGATCTAGTCAGCTCGAGTCTCACGCGATCACCGGGCGGGGTTCAATGAGCAACAGACAGGCTTGTGAGGGGGCAAATGAAGGCAATCCAATCTTGCAATGTTTATTCTAGGGAGAAATGTACTGACCTGGGTATTTATCGCAGGAGGTAGGTGTCACCACGCGAATATTATAGGAGTCAATGGGATTGATCATGACATCCTGAGGGGAAGACCCCTTGGCACCTCTAGTTGCGCGCATCTTTTTTCAATTCTTAAACTTAAAGAGAATCCTCTTCAATCGATAGGCTCGTACCCCGTTTTATGTAACAAGTTCGTGGTTAATAAACAGATAGCAAACAATAGAAAAAACAACCTCAACTCTCACGGGCTGTTGAAGATGTCATCTGTTCCCCGGAGGCTGTTCCTGATAACGGAATAATAGGGGCCGTCGGGTAGTCCCGACCTCGGGAACCTTGGAAGTCAGGTGAGTTTTGATTACTAACTCTTATCAGGGCCAGCGTTTTTTATACTTCCATGGCTTCCACTTCGACCTCCATTTCATACACCAACTATGTATAATAAATCAAGTCATATTATGCCATAGCCTGGTGGCTCAGCTAGGTGTATGACTACCAGCGAATCTGCACTGCTGTATGCATGGGGCCTTGGATCCACTTCAGGAAAATGTTAGACAAATTTCCTGAATTGTAACCTTCAAACAGTTCAACGACATGAAGTTCAATTGCCAAATAAAACGGCACCCCCTTCGTAATGCGTATACTCACCTTGAGAGAAACGGTTTTGCATAATTTCCCCAGTGATAGGTACTTATATTCCTTCATTATACCAGCAGCACTTAAGCAGCCACGGATGAATTTGGAGCAAAATCGAGGGACTAGAGTTGATATTCGAGGGTATATGACTCAGAGCCTTTCTCCTATTAACATAATATGCACAATTCTATGTGCCGTATACGCAATTCTCACTTTTAAAATGACGTATTGGTCGAGGTATTGAGACCCCTTGCTAGGCCTCTGCAAAGCCCACAAAGCCCAAAGCCCAGCCCAACCCAGCCCACTAATGGGTTGGGCTTTGGGTGTATCCTTCGGGCCCATCGATGGGTTATAGGCTTATACATATACTAGTCATATGTTCTTACCCACTGCCCCACTTACAATTTGACCCGGCAACCAACCTATGTTTTTTTTTCTCCTCCTACACTACCTACACTGCTTCAAATCTAATGAAAATAGGATCAAAAAATAGCAAATAGGTACAGCTCTCTACTGAGCAAAGAGCGGCTATTGTATATATATACAGCAATAGTGCTACGTAGGTTCAATTAGCCAATAATTTTGGCTGTACCTGTAAGACTATTTTTAATACAATTAAACGCTATACAGAGGATAGAAAATTGGAGAATCGTAAGAAAACTGGCCGTGCCCCTATACTTACTGAACGAGCTTATTATCAAATTATTTTATAGGCCCACCGGTATCCGTTTTAGACCTATAAATAGCTAAGTGCTACTATAGTTCAGTATCTATCACCCTCCACTATACGTCGAATTTTAAAGCGATACAGAGTTAGAAAACACTGATCAAGACAAAAGATACTAATTAAGCCCTCTCTTATAATAAAGAGGCTTAGATTTATAAGGAAATAGCGCCGGGAGAGCTTTTAATCGTAGATCTTTTCGGATAAGTGTTCGGTGTAACGAACCTCGAACTTTAGACTACAATAGTACTTCTGTATAACCTCTGAGGGCCTTAAGAAGGAACTTATAAATATAAAGGTTTACGTTAAAGATATTTTATAAATAGTTTAGGCTGCAATCTAGCTTAGTAGTCGAATAAAATTAGTTATTATAGAATAGGATAAGGACTTACCTTCTGGTCGAGGTTACACTGCAAATTTATATATTAAAGCGCTTAAAAAAGGTCTATTACTAGTCGATATACCCGGTTTAGTATTTTAGTAAGATAACGTAAGGATTTATACAGTATTAGTGACACGAGAGTGGTTTAAATCCCACGGGATATATATCGAGGACTAGCCTATACACTTACCTAATTTAAACCCGATTGAACCAGTATAGGAAGACGTTTAAAGGCAGTACGGAGAGCTAAGGGTTATTATACAAAATATTAAGCGAGGAATTTATTGTGCGGATATTCAGCTTACTTATATTTTTTAATTGAATTAATTGAACCAAAAAATGGTGGTGTAGTGTAGTATATAGTAGATATATATATTTGGTGAGGAAGCCATAAAAAGTGGAGTGGGTAAGAACATATAGAAGGTGATGTACCTTGAGCCCATAGGGCCTATTTAGGCCTATAATGGGCCCCCATTATTTATCAAACAATACAAACATACCAGTCTACTGTATAATTAATACATTTTTTGCTGGTTTTTTTTTAATATTGAGATTACTATCCAGGCTATATATAAAGCTATACGTGAATCATTATATTCTTCCTCTTCTTCAACTTCTTCTTCTTCTTCCTTTTCAAATTTACAAGTAAAGTTATAGAAAGTAATAATTCAAATGATTTGATTCAATTAATAAGATACTAGAATTGGTGTTATATTCGTATAATTCCTACTCCTTACCATGATAATTAAATGTTACTGAGTATACAAGTTGGAACATACGTAAAATATTGTCATTAATCAGCTACTTTATATATGCCAAGATAATATTTATGCAGCAAAATGGGCTTTGATGGGGGCCTTATGGGCCCCCATCAATGGGCCGTGGGTTGGGCCCTCGAAGCCCGGCCCATTTATGGGCTTTGCAGAGGCCTACCCCTTGCAAGGAAACTGCGTTATCATCAATTTGTTGTTTCATTTGGAAAGATAAAAATTATGGGACAGTCATGACTTTAGGCGACAATACATCAAGCAGAATAACAAAAAGTAACAACAAGCGGCTCCGGCAATTTTGCATATCTATCATAGATTGCGATAATGGATCACAGTATCAACATGGTTGCCCCGAATACGGCACTGACAAGACTTAGCATGCTTAGTTTGTGGATAGCACCGGAACTTATTTTAATAAAATGCTCGCAAGCGTACCATCCACTAGTTGGCAAACGACGCATGTCTTTTAGCTTTTCGAAGGGTTTGCAAGAAAAATTAGTGAAGTCGGCTGGTGCAAAGATGGTGAAAGATTTCAAGGTTGATGGAGCAGGTATACTATCCCATGGAGCCATCTGCTGTGAGACAAATGGATCACTGTGTTTCCAGGTAAGCGATCATGTCTATTGTGAGTGAAAGAGCTACCACATACAAAAATGCATTTCCCACAGGGACATGCCTAATATCAATCGATCTGATGTTTGTTGGCCAATACCAGGTTTGAATGGGGCGGCCAGTGTGATCATCGGCATATAGCGAAGTAAGATCCAGATCGGGACTCGAGTTGATGTAGAGCTCGAGACCGCCTGTCCAATTGACAGCCTTTGGAGGAAGAGTGATTGTTTTCAGAGGTTCGTTCATTTCGTATTGGCCAATATGTAGAGACCGGAGGTTATCAAAATCGAGCTCTAAATGTTCGATAGAAGTTCCGTTTTTCAATTCCAGATAGTCGACTTCAAGGGAGTCCAGTCGGTCGTTACGTTTAAGGTCTGAGATGCCGTAACCGAGATGGAGATTTTGTATTGCCACTTTTTTCGATGATCGACTACCCAAGGTTACGGCTGTATCACCACGGATGTCGACAATTCTGACAGACTCAAAGCCGATGGGAACGCTGTCGATGTTTGGGAATGGACCCCAAATTTCCACTTTGCTCATATTAATCGAACTGCCTGTCAGACTTTCAAGTGAGTCAATTTTCATTGACGAGAGTGACATAGTTGTCAGATTGCGCAGCCCTACATGACGGAATGTGAGGATGTTAGGAGGCCCAAAGATAAAATGGCCGCCCACCGTGTCTAGACTTGTGAGGTCAACATAGGTGAGCTGTTTGGCCCTGCTACCTATATAAAGGTTTTCTTCCACGGTCGTAAGGTTGGGAAGACTGAGGCTCTGTAATCTTGTCTTTGTGGTTCCACAGTCGATGGAACGAACGTTCTTCAGAGTTGAGATAGACAATGTATGATATGCATGAGTATCCCAATCATCTGTAGCGCAGTCAAGGCGTCCTTCGATTACTTCCACACCGTCGAGATTGATGTGTTGGGTCGTGGTATTGTCAGTGAGCGGACCGATATTAAGCCCTCCAGTAATGACTTGACAGTTTTGGCGAATGGTCTCTGCATCAGCTACCGACTCGACTGAGACGAAATGGCAGTCGACCGCCAACGCCTCTGATAGTAACATTAGCAAAGAAATTGAATAGATATAGATCACTGGTTCCAGAGGAAAGCAGCATCTTACTCACTAGAACTGTAGAGCGAGGCGGCTAACAGCAATGCGACCAACGATACATATATAAACCCCAGCATCCCGCAGAGATCAGGGTCAACAGGTTGGATGTAGATCAATATCAACATTAATCAACGCCAGCTCCTGGACGCATTGTCGTATTTATTATTCATTAACTCCAGCCCCTGAGCAAGGAAAGAAGCCAACCCCCGAATCATATTCCGTTTTCCCCCTGTAGCCAAGGTGCCAATAAAGAAGGGTGACATTGCGGGCACTTAGCGCCCCGTGTTAACACCTTTGATTGGCGTATAACTGGGAAGAGAATAAGACCTCGTGACATGTTTCACATGACATTAAGGGTAGCTCTAGAGGGAGTAGGAATTTGTATGAGACAGAGGGGAAGAGAACAGGAATTCTGATCTACGAACTATACCTCACAGACTAGGGCAACTGCTATTTCCAAGTAGCCTTAAAAGCGGGTTCCCACAAAGACAAACTGCCAGGCTATGGCCCCGTAGTTTAAACTTCGATGAAGCCTCCAGGGCTAAATCAGACACGGCATCACTTCCATTACAATCTTGGAAGATTGTATACCTTTGTTATAAGAAATAATCAAAATGTATACCTGTGAAGAATATCTGCATTGCCAAGTGCGCCCTTCGTGCGCAACCCAGATACCACCTTCAGGCGATAGCACCTTTCCACAAGAAGGTATAAACAATAAGTATCAAGGGAAAGAACGATTCTCTCACATCCTTGGATATCTTCAACTTGGTCTTCTTCAAGACTCAATACACCATTCTCAGCATACGTCTACGCTGAACGATACATACAACGCATGATTTCGACCAATGTTATTGTTTTCTACATTGATCAGTCCAACGTTCGAGCAAGACTTCCTCAACCTAGAAGAATGTCCCAACTCGAATATCCACGCACCCTTCGCCCAGTTAAAGACAATCTGGCGGTGAAGATGCAAACAAGCGCACACAATCCAGGATATTCTACTCTATGGAATGCTATGGGAGGCTATCAAGGATTCTTTGCAACCTATGGGGCTGCACATCACTTTGCGGAGGCGACAATCCTACTCCCCACATAAAGAAGTCCTTTGAGAGACCCAGGCAGCAGGTCGGGCCCATCATAAGATCCTTCCCCGCTCGCGATATTTCAAAAATCCGTACAAAGATACATCGCAATGTGGGAATGTAGATTGATCCTACGATAGAGAACGGACGGCTTGAACCTGCCATGAAAGCCAATTGCACCGAACAACAATCGCGCAACCATGAATTGGAGTCAATACACTAGCTACTCGGGTTATACTACAACTTCCACGGTGGTCTGGGGAATTGATGTTTCAGAGACTTACGCGAAACACGCTACGATGCGACACTGTGGGTTGATCCAGCGATGCGAAACGGTGATCTTGAACTTACCACGAAAATAAATGGCAAGAAAACAATGATCACACAAATATGAATGGGATTTGATAGAGCGACGTCTCGGAGGTGTCTTTTAAAATGCTCTGTGGCCGAGGAAATCGATGTCTCGGAAAATTGCGCGAAGCTACACCGTGATGTGAGAATGTTGGCCAATCTGGCAAGGGAGCAGGCGAGCATTGTACTAGCGATGAGGAGCAATTACAAGGAAGCGATGATCATCCTCGAAGGGTCTGGATAGAATTCAACAAAGTAGCTCTCTCACAAGTTAGTCGGTTGTCATCATGAAAAAAAAAGTGGCTTTGGTGAAAATCCAATTTCCCAATATCCACTTACAACCGCCTTTGAACTCCCGTTCCGATATGCTTTTCCAGCGAGCGACGGCATCTCCAGTTGAGACTGATGCACATATGGGAGAGCAAACCTGAACGGTTACTGTGAATCATACTTGACGTGCGGAATTCTTAGTTCTCCGTCCTGAAATGCTCTGATTGAACATGTACGACCTCCTCTTCTCGTCCTCTTCTCATGTATAAAGGAGGACTAGTGATTTGCTACAGAATCAGAGCCTACAGCAGATGACCGTCGAGAACTTTGTTCTAAGCGCCAAGATACCTAGGTACCTAGCAACCCGATGACTGTCAAAATTCTGCAAAACATTCAAGCAGTCTCACAATCTAGAAGTAGCCATGTCCTACGTTCACGGCATTTAAGAAGGGAAAAGGCTTGAAGAATGAGAGTTGTTAAATCAGTAGTGCTAATTGACTCCAATATTCCTTTCTATATACACACGTCAGTCAATGACGCTTTTCTTATCAGCCCAACTAGGCTGGATAGAACGACAAACAGCCTCATAATCCTGGAAGCGCTGAGTATCCTCTACTAGCCCCGGTGTCGTCCAAAACATAGCCCAATTACTATCAGCGAGCTTCCAAGTACCCAACGACCGCTCGAAGTACCATTTATTAACCGGGTTATCCATGCGACTACGCCAGCAGACTCCATTGGGGAAACATGTGCGAACCATCGCATTGAACACAACATCCGCGACACCGCCGGCGCCCTGGCTGCGCTTGAGCACGGCGAATTTATCCAAATAGGGCACCATGCGTGTGGCACTTTCTTCGCTTCCGTCATCTGGTACGCCTGGTGGCGTTTCCCAGGTCAGGATTGCGCCGCCTTCGTACTCGCCGGCGACGATGACACCGGCGATACGGTTGTTCACTCGGTCGAGGTAGTTTTGGACGTCGAGTTTGCGGTCAAAAGAGTCTTCAATTAAGGTGACTAGCCGAGGGAGGTCGATGGTAGGGTCATGGAGTCCCAGTCGTGGTTGGATCTGGGCCGACCAGGGTTTTATATAGGGGTTTGGGAGGATTGTGAGAGGCATTCCACGTTTCACGAAGGTCGTGTGGGAGATGATAGGGTTGAATGCGCTGGATTTGCCGCCATTGGAAGCACCGCGTCGGCCTGGTGGTAGAGAGGATGATAGTAGAGGCTTGTCTGTGAGGAGGTGGTGGATCAATGGGTTGCGCTGTCGACGGGTTCCGACGGCTGACAGGTCTGAAGCAGCCTCTTGCGGTGAGCGGGCTGAGTAGGAAACTTCTTGTGGGGAGGTGATGATGCCTGAGGAGGCTGATGGTAGCATTGATAATGCTTGTTGGGCTAATCGCAGATTCTCTAGATGCCCATCTAGCACCTTCTCCATCCCCTCAGCAGCTGGTGATGAACCAGATGCGGTAGGTTGCACGGGTGAGATAACCTCACGATTAACAAACTTTGAGAATGGATTGCTTTCCAAAATTGGGTACGTGGCCTCAGTGGTTACCTGTTTTGAGGGATCTTTGCTTCCAGAAACAGACATTCGTGCCCGGAGAAGCTCATCTTTAATTTGATCAAACTCTTGCTCCATGTTGATGAAGACATGCGATGATTGAGGGCCCTGGAAAGCTGGGATTCCACCAACCGGATCGAGAACAATGACACGGTCTAGTGAGACCTCCCTTTGTAAAGCGTTGATTCTCTCGACGGTGGCTATTGGGTCCTCATCCGGGTCTGGAGTATATGATAATCCCGCAAATTCTTTTGCCAGTGAAAGGACAGCATCATTAGCTGGAACTGTAACAGCTCGTGGGTTTTCCTCCATATAAGCGATGGGCGGGACAAGTACCACATGCCCATCCCGAAGGGCGCTCAAGAGCACTTTTCGCGATAGCACGGTGGGTGGGCCAGACCCCCGTTCAGATATAGATAACACCGAGTCTAATCTAAAGGACTTCGAGTCGGGTTGCTGATCGACTGCCGCTGATATTCGATTTGCCTGGTCCACGGCTGTTTGTCGGCCGGCAGGGCCGTCCATCTTTCCGGGGTCGATAACCACGCAGCATGCCATGCCCAGGCGGACGAGCTGCGACAGAGTCTTGGCCACTCCATTAATCACATAGTCATTGACTAATTGCGGAGTGGTGATTTTGATCAGGGCCAAGTGCAGCCTTTCGGGTATATCCTGCGCGCGCGGAGTGGGAGTTGTATCTTGGCGGAAGACAGGACTGTCATACACCGCCCTAGAGGCACCATAGAACGAGCCTAAATTGACACCAGAGGGCAGAGAGGCTGATATGGACTCCTTCGGCGGCTCGGGGGTTGGTTCTTGGCTTGGTTTGGCGGGGCTGGCCTTTAGCCGAGCCAGGTACGACTTAGCTTCGCGCTTAGTCGACGCGGAGCTCAGGAGGCTGAGAAAAAATTCCTAACCCAAACACACAACCGTTAGCATATGAAGTAGGATAATAAAAGGTTATCTGCCACCTACCCGATCGAGCAATTTCTCCTTTGCGCGGTGACCGAGGCGATCATGGTTTTCGCTACTGCCCGAGAACTCGGCGATTTGCTGGGCTCGGACATTCAACGCTTGTGCCGGGCGCGCCGCAATAGGGTCACTAGGACGAAGTAGATGTTGCTTGAAATTCATAGTCAGTACATGCTCAGCATTGGCGGGGTATATCGGGCTTAGCCACCTTCACCAACGAGGACTTGGCCGTTCGGGACCAGGTCAAGGTTCGAGAGCTCATGGTTGTATTATTTTGGGATCAATTGCACCAGCAGTTGGCGCCAAAGAGGCCTGGAGAACCAATCTCACCACTAGTCAACAGGGAACATAGATGAAAGAGAAGAAGTCACGATCAAATCAAAAAAGAAAATAATATGACGCATCCTCGGTTATAGCTCACCGCCTGTGGATACCAAGATTGATAAGAGGCATTTAAGGTCCACTCCAGGGCTACTACATCGTATGTACCTAGTATTATACTACTTGATACTTGATTTCCTCTGCCACTTCTTGGCTTTCCATTTCCGTTTTGGTGTGCAGGCTTTGCCGCTTTTTGCTCATTGAGTATAACTGAGCACCACCTGGTCGTTATATAAGCTGGACGACCTCACTGGCTCACTGAGCGTCACCTAAGCGCGGGAGCAGCTAAGTTCGTAGCTCACCTCAATAAAATGCACTACGCTAGCCCCATCTAAATGCAGTTGTTCACCTGAACTCTTGGCCGTTGTCCCCTTAACGGATAACACCTGTCCGAGAATGTCAGGTGACAGCCCTGGAGTGCGAAATGTTCACGGGGGGGTGTATTTACAGTTAGTCAGCGAGGTCCGCACCTCCAGGGCTGGGCACCTATGGACAGATTGTCCAAAAGGCGGATTTTGTCATATTTTATTAGTTAGAGTCATGCATATTCATTGACCATACCATACCTTGCTTCACCCTATAAGTTCCCTCATCATGTACATATTATGAGGTAACCCAACCACACAGGCACTACCTCCTAGGTAGGATATGTCCCTATATAGACATTCAGGACTCTTTTTCACATCTTAAGTCATCTGCTCCTTCCTGGATACTCTACTCATAGTAGGAAAGCAAGGACACCTCGAAACAATGACTGAGTCTAAACGCCCCAGATATGGAAGGGACGTGGAAGGTTTCCTGGACGACCTGCCTCCTTCCACGAACAGATGTACCTACAAAGGGAAAGCAAAATTTGAGGAAATCGCAAGACTTGAACATCACTGCCTAGAAAACTCGTTACGCCATCTCCAGTCTGAACCATTTGATAACTGTCTTGACATATCAGAATACTTTGTTATAATCATCGACAAACCCTCGTTCCGGAGAGACTTTCCCTCAAGCTAAACGTTGGCGTTCGTCAGTTCTATAACCCGACACTTCACGTATTGATTCTGAGAACGACTTTGCCCAAGAATTCTGAGGTTGCCGGGGTATTTCACGATGCAGTAATGGAAGCTTTGCGGCCCATGGGGCTCAATAAAGCAGCAATCCTCAGATATGGAGGGGCAGACATCAATGTCGGCGACGGAAACATGAAACAGCCAGATTGGGGCTGGAGCCCCAGGCGGCGCCCTTGTGGTGTTGCACGCCGGCCCTCGGTCGTCCTGGAGGCTGGCTTTTCAGAGCCCGAAACAAAATTGCACAACGACGCAAGAATGTGGGTGGATCCCACCAGGGGGGAAGCAAACATGGCCATCACCATCAAAGTCAACTGCCGGATGTCTATGATCACAATCCAGACGTGGGAATGGGATTCCAATTCCCAGCAGCCCCATGTCACACAATCCTGTGTGATAGAGAAGACTGGCGACAATGTCACCGTCTCGCAGCACGCTCTAACTATCCTGTTTAATCTGCTCCTCCTACGACCTCCTTCCGCTCCTCGGGAGACTGATATCCGATTACAAAAGCAGGACCTTGTAGAAATTGGAACTGGGGTCTGGCAGATGCAAGGGCTGTGATTCTCATTTAGTAGCTTTTTCTGATGTTACTTTGACCCCGGCCACCTTACGACTCCAGCGGCCCCGCTACGTTCCAACTTCCAACAATGCGACAGTCTATCACTACATCCCGGGATTCAAAACGCACTACATCCCGGGATCCAAAACAACCCGACGCAACGATTACCGCCAGCCCACCGGTACCTTTGACTATTCAATTTGAGGAATTGTTTTGTCGGCAACCTGTCCCCCCGGAACACAATATTGACCTCTCACCTGATCAATTGAGAGAGATTTCAGGGCAGGTCTGGGATCATCAAGTCTTTCAAGTTATTCTTACCTCAATAGTTAGCTTCTTCAAACAATGACAAAATCAATCATTTTACACCACACCACGATATCAGATCAAATTGAAAATATGGACGTGCTCAGTTTTACTCAGTGATCAAAAAGCGGCAAGGGGTGAACACTAAAACGGGAAGGGCTCCAATGTCTCGAGTGCCAAGCATTATCCGGTACGGAGTACATAGTATGTGCCCATATGCATCTGGTTTAATATATCCCTCTGGACACAAAAAATTCCGAGTCTGCCCACCTGATCATTGATGTATAGGGATTAGTGCAATTCTTCCCAACCCCTCCTTGGATTTAGGTACATACAAAAAGATCAAAAATAGGAAAAAAAATCCTAAGATTCTTTTCTATAATGCATTGTACCAAGAATGACGAGGAAAAATTAATGCAACCTGTAGGACTCACCTATGCCCCTTTCACTAGAAGGTACTGAATTCAGTGAAGAGGTCCATGGAATAACGCTTGGGTTAGTAATATAATTAATATAAATTCAGATTAACTAATAAAGAAAGATGATGCTTATTTCCAAGGTTAGCGCCTTAAACCTCTGAAGAAACTAAAAACCGTGTGGCGGTGTGTGGTTAGCTACAGCCACTTGTGGCTAACCTAACAACCTCGGAATCTACGTCGATGATGCGTAGTAAAATTATGAAATTAATATCAATTCTGGTCTTCATTGAATTCAAGAGAGAAGAAAATTAAACAAATTAGAAGCTCTAAGATCAACAAAAGCTACATTTTCCTAACCTATATCTCTAAAAAGAAGTTATGGTCGCAGTAGCAAAGACTATGTAGTCAGGGAATGCCTAATGATCGTTCTCCTTAGGTTCTAGAAACATAGGAAATTCACTTACGTAGACCGCTCTAGGGCAAATGTAACAGTACGGGGAAATACATTGTAATGTAGGGCGAACCCGGGCGAGAAGCGGTAACTGATAAGTTCCTGTACTTTATCGGCTGGACTCCCCCGCCACTGGAAAAGCTTCCGCATCCTCCCTTCTCCATGTTTAAGGAATAGAACACTTTGTGTGAAACGCATCTCCAATCACTAGAGAGTTCTCAAATATTCTCATTGAATACCAGTAAGTGTGTCCACTGCTTCTTCAATTCAATCCACAATTCAATCCTCCAACACCCCTCCAACCGCACAGTGCCATAATTTCTTATCTGTGAATTGCCAACATTTCCCAATCTTGGAAAGTTGCTGGAAGCACCTTTGATTCTCTTTAATTACAAGGGACAAGACGTGTCAATTTACCGTTCAAAACCGGCACTATCTGTTCCACTCCATATTGGTTCCTATCTTGCATGAGATTAATCCCCACTGTTCTAGATTCGTATCCCTCTCATCTACGCCACTAAACCGGGTCACCCCTGCACCCCATTGATCGTGGCACCCTAGCCTGGTTTCACACACAGAAATTTCGATCCCAACCGCTCTGACCCTCGATACCCCCAGTCCATATCCCAATCCCCCACAATGTCCGATCAGAGCGAATACCTTTCCGAGTCCATGTCTGACCAGGACAGCAACAGATTGAGGCCGCTGTCTAATGCAGACGACTTGTCTCTCGGAAACCATAACAACGGCGACCTGTCTCGTATCATGAGCCGTGCTGGAATAGCACTAGCTAATGGCTTCCCACTTGATGATGAGGATGACGATGATGACGACGAGGCGGATGAGGACTATGCTGCGGCCGAGCAGGATGACGATGCAAACGATTTCCCATACTGGTTCCGTCGCCAACCTGCCCACAACCGTACAAAGCTGGATGAACTGCATCCTTTCGTCCAATTGCTCTCCGTCTCTAATGTCGATGATTGTGTGAAAGTAGAAGAAGCTTTCCCCGAGCAGGAGCGTTGCTCTCGCGATAAGGTATGGCTAACTTGATCCCGTCAAGAGATTCACACCACCAAAATAGAGTACCAACTCAACAATTGGATTATGTCAACTCGATAGGATGTGACTTCAGATGTATGGAGTATTTGATTGCTAACCTTTTGATAGTTCGTTTACCGTCTCACCAGATGCCCTGAGCTCAGTCTAGGCCTATTCACTCTTCCTCTGCTCGCGGAAGGAGAAACCAAACCCCGCCCAACGCTCATTGGGCACATCGTCTCTACGCGCACTTCAGAGCCGCTTGTGACAGATCGGTCGATGCGACTTCCGGCCAACTGGAAAAACGAGCGTTGGTCCTTCGAGGACGGACACGCCGTTGGTCATGAAGAAGGTGGCAGCACTATTGCCATTCACTCGCTTGCTGTGGACCCAAAGCATCAGGGCAAGCAGGTCGGAAGCACATTGATGAAGTCATATATCCACCGGATTCGAGAGGCCCAGATTGCTGAGCGCATCGCGATCATTGTACACGATCACCTGATTCCTTTCTACGAGTCATTTGGCTTCGAGTCCCATGGCCCTAGCAAGTGCCAATTCGGTGGCGGTGGTTGGGTTGATATGGTATGTTCTGTTTCTGACTATCAGCACATATATACTGACCCCAACTAGATCCTGGAGTTTGGCCCCGAGCCTGTTGAGGAGTAAGAAGTTTTTCGTAAAACCTTTTTTTTCTTGCATCTTTTCGGATTGGAGCATGTTAAATCACTCATGGTTTTAACATGTCTTATATTACGCACATCCTTGTTTTTGTCTCATCTCGAGGGTTTTATCCTAGACGGGCTTTCAAGAGAAAAGCAATGGAGTTTCTTCGGATGGCGGGATTACTTTTATGAATCTGGGCAGAGACGGCTTGGGCTTCCCGAATCGGTCACAAAGACTTGTGTACCATAGTTGACGACAATTGAATGTATATGAGCATGGCTTTGAATTACAGCAAGAGATCGATATGAATATACAAATATAGCATCTAAATTATCGAGTCTGCATGGAGTATTCGATATTTTGTTCTATATTATATCACGTGATTCGCCTATATCACGGTTCATCCAATAGTGGTCCCCGCATTGGTGCTCCGCCTGGCAGAAAAAAAGGACTGCCAACAATTTTTTCGTGGAGAAAAACCCACTCTATCAACACCCATTCACTCACGGCATTACTTCAAGAGTCATTACTTACTTGACTCCTGACTTCTGCCCATCATGAAGACGACGTGGAAGGATGTAAGTTAATTCCCCGACTGCACTTTCGCGCCAGCTTTGATTTGAGGAGATTGCTGATGTTTTTGACCGCTTGATAGATTGCGCCTGTGCCCACACACCAGGAATTCCTGGATATTGTGCTGAGTCGCACTCAAAGACAGCTTCCCACACAGATTCGTGCTGGTTTCAAGATCAGCCGTATCAGAGGTAAGATCCCAATCATTCTGTTTGATCCAACATGCGGCGAAATGGGGAAAAAAAAGTTATCGCCGTTATCGATAAAGCACAATCGCTGATTGAAATTTTTTCCATTAGGATTCTACACCAGAAAGGTCAAATATACACAGGAAACTTTCGGAGAGAAGTTCCAGCACATCCTCGATGGATTCCCTCGCCTGCAGGATATCCATCCTTTCCGTAAGTTTTCCTCCCATGGCGATTATGGCTGTTTGGGTGGGGTCTAATATCCACCAGACAAGGATTTGATGAACACTCTTTACGATGCCGACCACTTCCGTATCGCCCTTGGTCAAGTCTCTACCGCCAAGCACCTGATTGAAACCGTTTCTCGTGATTACGTCCGTCTTATCAAGTATGCGCAGTCTCTGTTCCAGTGTAAGCAGCTTAAGCGCGCTGCGCTCGGTCGCATGGCAACCATCACCCGCCGCCTGAAGGACCCCCTTGTCTACCTTGAGCAGGTCCGCCAGCACTTGGGTCGTCTGCCCTCGATCGACCCCAACACCCGTACTCTCCTGATTTGTGGATACCCCAACGTCGGAAAGTCCAGCTTCCTGCGCAATATCACCCGCGCAGATGTCGATGTCCAGCCCTACGCTTTCACCACTAAGAGTTTGTTCGTCGGCCACTTCGATTACAAATACCTCCGTTTCCAGGCTATCGACACCCCCGGAATTCTGGACCACCCTCTGGAGGAGATGAACACCATTGAAATGCAATCGATCACCGCTGTTGCTCACTTGCGTTCCGCTATCCTCTACTTCATGGATCTTTCCGAGCAGTGTGGATACTCTGTCGGCGATCAGATCAAGCTTTTCCACAGCATCAAGCCCTTGTTCGCCAACAAGATTGTGTTCATTGTCGTTAACAAGATTGATGTGCGCCGTCCTGAGGACCTGGAGCCTGAGTACCAGGAACAACTGCAGGAGATCCTCAAGGCAGAGGATGTTGAGATGCTGCAGGTTTCCTGCACCACCACCGAGGGTGTCACCGCCGTCAAGAACGCTGCCTGCGACAAGCTCCTCGCTGAGCGAGTCTCCCAGAAGCTCAAGTCTGGCTCTACTGCTGCCACCCCCGGCAGCCGTCTCGGCGATGTTTTGTCCCGTATTCACGTGGCTCAGCCTATGGGCGGTCTGCGCGAGACCTTCATTCCCGAAGGCGTCAAGGACCTCAAGAAATACGACAAGAACGACCCCAACCGCCGCAAGCTGGAGCGCGATATCGAGGAGGAGAACGGTGGTGCTGGTGTCTACAACTTCGACATGCAGCGCGACTACACCCTTGGCAACGACGAGTGGAACCACGACAAGATCCCCGAGGTCTGGAAGGGCAAGAACATCTACGACTTTGTGGATCCGGATATCGAGAGCAAGCTCGCCGCCCTCGAGGAGGAGGAAGAGAAGCTCGAGGCCGATGGTTATTACGATTCGGACGAGAGTGTGGAAGACGTCGAAGACGCCGACAACCGCTTGAAGGCCGATCTCATCCGCGAGAAGCGCGTGTTGATGCGCAACGAGGCCAAGATGCGCAAGTCTCTCAAGAACCGCGCGCCCATCCCCCGCAGCGCCAAGTCCAAGAAGCTGTCCGAGATGACCAGAGGCCTGGACTCCGCTGGCTACGACAATGCTGCCGCTGGTTCTCGTGCTCGCGCCGCCAACCAGCCTCGCGGCCGCACTACTATCCGTGAGCCTACTGCTGACGGCGACGCTATGGACGTCGACGAGAACCCCAAGAAGGCCCTTGTTCGCGCTTTGAGCCGTGGCCGCAACACACCGGTGACTGATCGTCGTCTTGACGGTATCACCAGCTTCGGCAACCGTGATAAGGCTGAGCGTATGGCTAAGTTGGGCCAGAAGAAGATGAACCGTATGGCTCGTGCTGGTGAGGCTGATCGTCACACAACCGCCTCTCTCGAGAAGCACTTGGTATGTTGTTCTACATTATTTTTTGTATTAGTATTACTTGCTAACTTGTTTTCTTCTTTAGTACTCCGGAAAGCGTGGTATGGGCAAGACAGATCGTCGTTAGAAGGCCCGATACGGCTGAAACGAGACCCATTCTTAATCATTGTCCATTGGTTTCGATACCGGGTGGAAAAGGGTGTTGGGCGTTTTTTGTTTCATTTTTTTTCTCCCTCCGAGTTTCCTTCAAATGTTCATTTGACGCGCATTTTTGGTTTCCACGACTGTTCACTGTGGATGATTTCAAGTTTATTGGACACAGTAATGATTTGTGGGAGTTTTTTCTCTTGGTCAATAGGACAGAAAAGTTCTTGACTTGATGATCTTGCATATATCGCCAATACAGATGATGATCTTTGGTTTTATCTGGTACGACACTGCGGAGACGCTACCTATGTCTCTTCAGGGTCTTCATTATTAATCAGCTTTTCTCGTATGCACAGGTGCCCCAGATTGTAACCTTAGGATCATCCCCTGGCGGGTAGAAATAGGTGGATCCTTGTGATGGTCTCACCGGTGCCTAGCTGGTTACATAGAACGTCCATGGGTCATTGGCCCCAGGTGTTCGTATGGTGCACAACCATCGAGTGCACTGACTGTGGATTAATGGTTAATAGTAATGATTCATCAATTATATGTTTCTTCTATGGGTTTGATTATTTGTTAGGGGTAGTCTGGTATTTCTGGATGTATTACAAGTTAGAAAAAATAATCAACCGATACCCATGTGATAGAAGGACATGCAGGAGAGGGATATAAAAGTTCAAAAGTACATGTAGCACTGAAGGTAGCACAGATGAATCAAACTTAACGCATGCAACGAACATAATGCTTATTTGGGGTCAATGCATACATCAATCTGGTTCTGACTTGTTAGGTATGGACAACATGATAGTGTGTCCGACAATCTATATATCAACTACGTAATACTTTTTATACGGTAAGCATAACTCGAATTAAACATCGTAAGTTCACTCTAAAAAAAAGCCATGGCAGACTAGAGCAGACCCCAGTAACAATGCCTATTAAGAGGTGGGACAGACATCCTGTCTCCAGATGTCGGCTACTAACCGAGCACCGGGATACAAAGTGATGACGGCATCAACATGCGCTGAACATAAGCAAAGCGCGATTTTCCTCGCCAGATCTTCGACAAAAGATAGATTGCAGACAAGCATTGCCACCCGTGCAATCGGTTGCTAGTACAGTACGATATGTATATACATAGTTGGTTTCGTGGAGGGAGGTGGGGTTGCCTATTTTGGAGATTGTGTACATACAACATAGGCGTACTTTGTATGTACTTGCCAAGAGATCCTAGCCAATCTGGGTGTAGGGCTTAGTGAATTCCCAACAAAATTTGCAATTGATAATTTATGTAGCTATTGAGCAATGAGTTTGTGTTGGGCAGTGGAGACGTTGCACCCGTAGGGAATTGCCTAGTTTGGAGGTATACATAGTATGCTGAACATATTTCTAATGCAATAATGGCAAGGTGTAGTTTGTATGTTGTAGACGTCATTATGGTTGTCTGGAAGACAATCTTGCTTTGATTAGATTAGGTGTCTAGATTGTTGATTTAATTTAATTTGGTTTCATCTGAATTTGCTGATAATGGTTCACTAATATATTTCGAATATAGAGATAGCGAAGATCTAGGAATATATTCACATATAAATCTAGAGTCTCTGGATTATTAATTCAGATATCATCAAGCACACAACCTAGTAAATATTTGTTATTTTGCAGACACAAAGACCTAAGAATGGTTACACTCCATACTGTATAGACGGATTGTACATTGTACCACGTACAACATACAAAGTACAAAGCCTTCCGGGCTTGTCCGAAGAACCCAGTCTAATTACGGAGTAGCGTAGTGTATGAAAAAAAAAAATCAGCTCACCCAAGCATAGGCAGATGCTGATCAGGTAAATTTAACAGTGATTGGGTCCAATTTCCCTATTTGCGATTTTCCAAGCCGGAGGCTAACCAGAGGAGGCTTAGGGTGCCCACAGAGGTTTACTCTCAGTCTGTTAGTGGTGTGATGCTCTATGCCCAGGCCTATGTAGTTTATTAATAATATTAGCCCTTCCAGACATGTCAGAATTTTTTTTCCCAGTGGCGCTTTTGTGGGTCTAGCTTGAACGACAAGGGATGCCGAGACAGACATGCCGAACATACCAAGAGGCAAAATAATAGGGAAACCGAATCACGCTATAGTTTAAGTATTGATAAATTGTACTTCAATGTTCATACAGTTCTATAAGTATATACTATTATACATATTATTATATATGTTATCGGCTAGGGTCGGCACGCCGACTGGGGATTGTAGTCGGGATTGTAGTCGGGATTCTCATCGGCTTCGGGACAGAAGCTTCGGGACAGAAAAGCAACATTTCGGTGTGCCGATTAAGAAGAAGTGGAGACGTAGAAATTAACATTCTCGGAAATCTCTGCACTGGACTCGTATCCTCACCGATAGTGGGTCTATGCTATATTGGCACGTCCAACTTGGGTTTGTTATCAGTATAGACTGGAATCACTTCAAAGATATAAATGGAACTATCTCCGTTTGTATTGAAAGCTTCATTTTATTTGTTTTGTCCGTCAGTTTGCCATGAACTGCAATCAAATAACCCCCCAAGCCCTGGATTTTAAACTATGATCAACGTCCCTGTAACCGGGTGGAGGAGTCCACACATTTCATGATCCACTTAGTAAAACAATAATGGATTTCCTTTTTGGTTGTATTTTCGGGCTTCGACCTTTTTTCATAGGTAACCCACCTGGTTTCAGTTGCCATTCGCTTCCGTAGGGTCAATTATCATGCCAACACAGTTCGAAAATCTATATCCCGGCACTTCTGATTGAAAACACGGCACCAGGTCCCGATCTGAAGGAAATCACCTGGATATATACGTCACTTTTAATAGAGAGATGAGTGATTTATTCTTACATTGTATCCAGGAACTAGCCCTGAAGAACCAGAAATGTCATGATCATTCTTACGTAGAAATATCCGGTTATGCAGGCACCACATTGTCACTCGCACATTTACATAGAGGATCCAGATGTCAAACTGTCCCGCATGCTTCTAGAAGGTGGCAAGCAGGGTCGGGTGACTTGTTCTTGTTTACTATTTACTGTATGCTGTTTACATTGTATACAACATTATAGTGTAGTATAGCTTCCGATTTATCCCCAGGTATCACGAATGCATCATTGATCTTGAACATGAACAGTATACCAAGTATAATATATATGCTATACATAAGTTAATACGTTTTTCAACTCACGTGCTAGATATGTACCGAACATTCCCCCGTTCCCTCCACCTTTTCTCCACCAAAAAATAGGGAAAAAAGGACACTAAAGACGGAGTATATGACGCTAAAAACATTGAAAAAGACTGAAACAGACTTTTTTCAGGTCTGTGGAGTGAAATTTACATTACACCCCGATTTCACTCCATTGTATACAAAAAAACCTGGGACACCAGATCCGGGCCCCCGTTTTTTCGCTGGTCATATTGTACTAAGTACCCGCGGTACAGGGAAAGAGCCACCCCCGAGAACTTGGACTATTTAGTTCTCTCCCTTCCTTTCTCTTCTCCTTTTTTTTTTTTCCTTTCCACCCTTTATTTATTTTGTCCACTTGTTGATCAACTGTTCAACATGGGTGTCTCTTCCTTTATGGATAAGATCAAGCCTGGGAAGGCTGAGTCCCAGTTCTCATCCCAGGCCGCAACTCCTGCTCGTTCTGACTCGACTGCTGCCGAGAAGGATACCCTTACCTTCGATGATAGCCCCGTCAAGTACCTGACCTGGCGGTCATTCATCCTTGGTCTGTGTGTTTCCATGGGTGGTTTCATTTTCGGATACTCTACTGGTATGTGTGACACAAGCCTCTCGCCGATGGATGCAATGTTAATAGCCGATGCCCAGGTCAAATCTCGGGTTTCACCACCATGATCGACTTTAAACAGCGCTTCGCTGAGCACAATGCCGCCACCGGAGAATATGTTTTCAGTAACGTCCGCAACGGTCTCATTGTTGGCCTGGTATGTTGGATTCTCACATGCAAGTCATACATGTACTAAACTCTATAGCTCTCTATCGGAACTATGATTGGCGCCCTGGTGGCTGCCCCCATTGCGGACCGCATTGGCCGCAAGTTCTCCATCTCCTTCTGGGCTCTCCTCCACATCGTCGGTATCATTGTCCAGATTGCCACCGACGACAAATGGTACCAAATTGCCCTCGGTCGTTGGGTTGCTGGTCTAGGCGTCGGCGCTCTTTCCAGTGTCGTCCCCATGTACCAGTCCGAGTCCGCACCTCGCCAGGTCCGCGGTGCCATGGTCAGTGCCTTCCAGCTGTTCGTCGCCTTCGGTATCTTCATCTCCTACATTGTCAACTTCGGGACTGAGCGTCTCGAGAATGACGCCTCGTGGCGCATCACCATGGGCATTGGCTTTGCCTGGCCCCTGATTCTGGGTATCGGTACCCTCTTCCTGCCCGAGTCTCCTCGTTTCGCCTACCGCCACGGCCGTACTGAGGAGGCTCGCGACGTCATGTGCAAGCTCTACGGTGTTCCCCACAACCACCGTGTCGTTGCCCAGGAGATGGCCGATATGAAGCAGAAGCTTGATGAGGAGCTCGCCCACGGCGCGACTGCCTGGCAAGAGGTCTTCACTGGTCCCCGCATGATGCACCGTATCTTGCTCGGTGTTGGTCTGCAGTCCCTCCAGCAGTTGACCGGTGCCAACTTCATCTTCTACTACGGAACCAGTATCTTCCAGGGTATCGGTCTGAGCAACTCTTACGTCACCTCCATCATTCTCGGCGCTGTCAACTTCGGTATGACCCTCCCCGGTTTGTACATTGTCGAGCACTATGGTCGTCGCAAGTGTCTGATGTACGGTGCTGGTTGGATGTTTATCTGCTTCATGATCTGGGCCTCCGTCGGTCACGAGATCCTGAACGACAACCCCTCTTCGCACCCTGCCGGTGTTGCCATGATCGTCTTCACCTGCTTCTTCATTGTCGGCTTCGCTACCACCTGGGGTCCTATCGTCTGGGCTATTTGTGGTGAGATGTACCCCTTCAAGTACCGCGCTGTCTGCATGGGTATTGCCACTGCTGCCAACTGGACCTGGAACTTCTTGATTTCCTTCTTCACTCCTTTCATCTCCGGCACCATTGACTTCCGTTACGGCTACGTTTTCGCTGCCTGCTGCTTCGCTGCCATTCTCGTTGTCTTCTTCTTCGTCAACGAGACCCAGGGCCGGACCCTCGAGGAGGTCGACACCATGTACGTCCTCCACGTTAAGCCCTGGAAGTCCTCGAGCTGGGTTCCCCCTGAGGGCATCATTGCCGATCTGCACCGCCCTTCCACCGCGGGTCAGAAGGAGGGTGAGGCCGGCACTAGCGAGCACCAGCACCACGGCGAGTCTCAGGAAATTCGCGAGTGATGTTACAGCAAGTGAAAGGAAAGCGCGTATCGCGCGTCGCTTTTCTGTCTGCTTTTTTTCTTCTTTCAAACTTCTGTGTTCATAATTAACTCTACTCCTTGATTAGTTGAGTCTCCACCATATCCCTATGGAGACCATGATTTAATAGCTTTACAGGCGAGGCTTGCTATAGCAATATTATTCTTTTATCATATTCAAGTCAGACATTTCCTATTCTCACATAATCATATCTAATTCCACTACTCATCCTTAAAAAAGCTCATTGATTATCAAATTCCATCCCAGCTCCCTTCCTAACAGCCCCATAAACAGCAGCAACATCCCCCTTAGCTCCCTTAACCTCCTTGACCACCTCCAGTAGCCCATCCGTAACCTCAACATTCTTCATGCGCAATCCGCCCTCCTTCGCAATCCCATAAGCATGCCTCAAATCCTTCCTGGCAAGATCAACCGCAAAAAGCGGCTCCTCCCGCCTACAATAGTCCCCACCAACCATCCTCTCCGCATAATTAGCAAATGGCCCCGGCGCAAAAAGCTCAAGCCACTCCTGCAACGGCTCAACCCCAAGCCCAGAAGCCTCAGCAGCAACAAGCGCCTCAGCAAGAACGCCAACAGTATTGAGAATAAACGTATTCCCCAGTACTTTCAGCGTAGAAGCCCGTCCAACATCAATATCCGCCCCCGTCCCAGCCGAAAGATCAATAGTCTTCTTAGCAACGACACCGTCGAAAAACGGCGTCGCCTTCTCAATTGCAGACCGCTTCCCCGCCGGAACGACAATCAGTAGCCCCGCGTCCGCCATATTCGGCGCCCCGAAGACAGGACACGCGACGAAGCCTGCGCCGCGCGCGTTGAACGCTGTCTCCGTTTGCCGGGATGTATCCGGGTGCACGGTCGAGCAGTCGATGAAAGTTTTGCTCGAGAGGTCTTGCGGGATTGAGGCGTCTGACAGGATTGCTGTGACGATTGAAGTTAGGGCTGCGTCGTCGCCGACGCAGGTGAAGATTATGTCGGAGTTGTTGACGGCTTCCGGGAGGGTTGAGACAGCTTTGGCGTTTTGGAGGGTTGAGGCGTGTGCTGTTGCGCGGGAGGCTGTGCGGTTGTAGAGGAGGAGGGGATTGGCTTGTGGGCCTTTTTGAGAGATATTTTGGCTCATGCCCTGTGGAGTGGTTAGGTGTTGCTGTGCAGGGAGGATGAGGGGTGACTTACTCGGCCGATGTTGCCGAGGCCGATCCATGCTACTCGTGGTCCGGTCATTGTTGTTTGGGAGGGAGTTTGAATGGATTGGGTTTGAAAGAGGATAGGAGATGAGTATAAGAGTTAAGACTGTTCGGGGGAGGATCGGGACTTGATGTGGGGTGTGGGGTAAAATGGTTCAAAGCTTAGCCGGATGCGGGAGTTGTAGTATACAAAGTATATGGATTGGTGCTCGACATTAGAAGATGAAAACCAATCTTTTATATAGAGTTATCAAAATAGGTATATATAGTAAATTCGTTATATGAAGTTAGAGAGTTACACGTCTATTTTAGGTGACTTTATATAATAGTGGGCATATTAGGCATGCCCGTAGTCGGCATATGGGTGATGGGCGTTGTGGACGGACACTCGAAACCCCAAGTTAATTCTTCACAATTGATATGCAATTGGGTCCAGTTCAACGCTAAACCCTAATTGATTCTGCGCATGCGATTGATTTTTACAAAGCGCCAAGTCTTGCAGAACTCCTACGGAATAGGGATTAGCGGCGTCAATGCAGTTTGACGCCTCTATCATATATCCCATTATACGTATCTCGAATTGCATGTTTGCATTTCAATTCGAACTGCTTTCAGCCAATAGAATCTTGAATAATCCAGCACTCAGTACTAACACCGCTATTTCAGCTTCTTGTTCATGATTCCATGTTACACTTATTTTCGCAAATGTATGCTAGTCAAAGAAGCAGATGGAATCTACAGGGGTAGGAGAATAAATCCATAAATATGGCTTCATCCCCAGGCATTGAGAGATTAGACATGTCAGGAGAGGGCTACGTCGAAGTGCATGGTGGAATGTGAGTAGCTTGATTGAGTAGAGAGTTGTAGAAGCTAGGTTCTACGCTATGAAATCTGACACCCCCCACGAACATGAAACCATGGAGCTAGGTCCCCCCATAAAACGCAAACCGTTACCTAGGTGGCGAAAAGGTTGTTGTAGCGAAATGTAGGGTTGCCGGTAACGGTATTGGCTGTAATGGGTTGATTGGCGGTGGTCTTGGTGGTGCTGGAAGCCGGAGTGCTAACCGCGTTAGCTAACTTAGCGTTGTTAGCGTTGTTAGCGTTAGCGGGGTTCCGGAAGTATTCCTCTGATGTGTGAGCGGTCTTTCGCTGGTGGAAAGTACAAAAATGCTTTGGTTTAGCGTCTTTGGAAGTAGGCTTGTGAACCGCGTTTGCGTCGTAAAAGACGGGATCGGAGTTAAAATTGGGATAACTCGCGAGACGTCGATTCTTAGAGATAACGAAGTCAGAGAATATACTGATCAGAACTTGTTCGGAAGGATTATCGACTGAAGGCCGAAGGCTGTTGAGCCACTGATAAGTAGCGGGATTCACGCTGACAGCGGAAAGAAAAAGAAAATACTAAGCTGTATTCGAAATATAAGAGTGACCGTAAGCCTCTGCGAACTCGGCGTAGGCGGTACGCTACGTAATAACGAACTGCTGTGGAGTAACAGTATTGTTATATTTGAGGGTAGTCTACTTGTGGAACTTGTCGAAACCTATATTGTAGGTGTGGACAGCGAAGGTTTTGAAAAGACTCTGATACGCAGCGGGAGCGTCAAGAGCAGTATTGATGTAAGGCTTAAGCGAAGCGTGGATAGTAGCGTGAAGGTACGAAAGAAGGTGACGAGAGTAGCGGAGCCACTCTGTAAAGGCTGGATCGTCGGAAGCTGGCTGAGCGATCTTGCTGGTAAGGATATCGAAAAGACGAGGGTCTTTAGTATCGAGCGCGTACTTAAGTGCGGTGGACCACGAAGCGAAGTTGGATTCGCCTATAAGAGTAGGAACGAGCTCTGATAGCTTTGGCTCTGCGAAGCTGGTGGTAGAGGCTATTTTGAAATATATATGGTACGTCGTAGGAGAGGTACTCGACCGCGTGGTTAGCGGATAGTGGGGTGCGTCGTAGGAGAGGCACTTAGCCGCGTGGATAGCGGATGAAAAGGTGCGGTGCGTCGTAGGAGAGGCACTTGGCGTTTTTGTTTGTTTGTGGGATGAAAACTCTGCGCGAGAAAAACCCTATGCTGATGAATTGTTTGTATATAACACCGTTTGTAGGTGTTTGTTGGTGGGGTGTGGCCTGGCCGGTTTGTCGATAGTGACGAGAAATGCGGCGTCGATGGAGAGGCCGATAAAAGATGAAGCTGACGATAATGAGGAAGGTTGAATAAAGAGCTTCCCGGGCTCATAACCTGTCAGGAGAGGGCTACGTCGAAGTGCATGGTGGAATGTGAGTAGCTTGATTGAGTAGAGAGTTGTAGAAGCTAGGTTCTACGCTATGAAATCTGACAAGACAGTTTTGTACAAAGTATTCCTTTATAAAAGATCTAAATCCCAGTTACTACATGCTGCTTAGTATACTATTTGTGTAGTATATTATCCAACATACCTCATTCAATGTGTTTTATGCCCGGACCTGCCCAAACTGAGGATTCAAGCTAGGCCCGCACCAGACCCAACGCCTACAATTGTAGGCCCCCAATCAAACCAGCAATAGCGATTTTGACTAAGCCGGAGCAAACAGGCCCGGTGGGTTGGTGGTGCATCATTATTGATGTTTCAGACACATGGGAATTTTTTGCATCTTTAAACCTTCCCCCATCGTGAAGTCATGGGCTTCCCACTACCACCGGAGTTGATACAGATTGTGTTGGACTTCATTATTGCCGAGGAGAACGCCAAATATCCTCCATATTTTACCCAGAACACTAATTTGACCTCATATGCCACTATCAACTGCGATTGGTAGGCAATTATCGAGAGGCAAACCTTTTCAAGCATCAGGATCAACAAAAACAAGCGACTAGCAGAGTTCAAACAATTACCATGGGACTAGCTATCATGGAGGCAAAGAAGAAGCCATGTACGGGAAATCCATTTCATCGCGGAGCTGGATTCGTATGATGGCGAGGCTCGCACACGGTACGAAAATGAAGAGGAGATGCTGCAAAACAGCAAAGTTTTTACCACTTCAATTCAGTCACTATTCAATTCTCTATCTGAATGGCCGGACAACGAACTGGGCATCAGTCTTGGATTATGGCGCAGTCCCCCGGCGATATTAGCGTCCAAAGTCCCGAGGCAAGGAAGCAGCGCGGGTGGGATAGATCACGTCCCTTGAATGATGATATCTGGGATAGGCGATTTGAAAGATCGTTTCTCCATTTTCTGGCCGTTGAATGATGATGATCCGAAACCTCTCTTTTGGCCACATCTAACCAGTCTAACCTTGGAGTATATACCTATCACGCCATGTGGACAATGGTTGTTTAAACAAGACGACGACGTCGAGCCCGATTACGATTCAGACAGTGTTGGCTCCTACTATGACGATATGGATGACACCGATCAGGATTGGGTTCCTCCAGAGGACCGCAAGTTCAGACGATTCCGAACCAAGTTCGTGCACGAATTGTTCAATCAATATTATCTATCAGCTGGCAAGGCTGCTCTTCGGATGCCTAAACTAGAATCGATGTTATTGGACGTTTCGAACCGATCTGAACACCGGTTTTGGTATCAGGTGGAGAATGGAGTGGCGAAAGTGACCTGGCTCGGTGATGATTACCCTAGAGGGTTTGAACCAAGCGATGAGGTCTTGCAACTTTGGAAGCAGGTTGCTTTGGAACATACCGGTCGTGACCTAGTGGTTCAATTCGGATTCGAATTCTGTTGAGATAGGAAATTGAGAGGAAAGTCGGAGGTGTGATGGAGCGACGCTATGGTGCCACGAAAGTACGATGACCACGTTGCTCTGCCAGAGGAGGCTAGTGGGCGGCAAGGCATGCTATCTTCCCTTCTTCCAGCTATATCAAAGGCTCAAATGGATGTTCAGCGAGGAATCATGCCCCAATGAAGTGGCAGAAGGTGGTACAAGTATGCATTGGTACTGGCAAGGATGAAAGAGAGAGAGAAGTAGGGGAGGAGAAGGGTATGTACGTAGGGAGAACCTGAGGCTACCGAAAGATTTGGTGTATAATAAAAAAAATCCCGTGATCGCCAACATATATTGCACTTATATTCGAGCATGTATCAACCAACGGTTGAGGTTCCGGGACAAGAGAACAAACCCGACTTGAGATCGTATGCCGATGCAGTAGGCCCCATTCAACCGGAAGCTGGTTGCGACAAACATGGTGAGCAAGAATATACTCCCATGAGCCGGAAGAATAAAAAACTTACTTTTTGTAGGTGCTGTCCAAGGCCGTATTCCAGTTATATATGTAAATGGTTAATATCAAGGTGAAAATCCATATTAAAAGCGGGAAATTCCTCACAAAGCTGGTAAACCGTGATCTTGTTGCGAGTGGCGAACACCGCACACCGATCACCATCCTGGGCCACACCATATGCGTTGCAACTGGATATAATCCCCGCCTATGTTAGTGCTGTTAGAGTAAAAATCGTTTGAGTTTACGAGGCCGATCCATATATACTACTCGAGGTCCGGTCATGGTTGCTTAGGAGGAGAGGTGGATTGAATGCGGAAGAGGGTAGGAGTAGGAGTATAAGAGTTTGGATCGGGACTTGATATAGTGTAGAGTAAATGGTTCAAGTCCTAGCTGACTACGGGAGGTGTAGTATAGAGTTCTCGGCGGGATTAGAGGCGGCTGATTCCTTAATAAAAACTAGTGGCTAGGTTATGTATAATTATCCAAGTGATTGTATAGCTGTATTATTAGAGATTAATCCCTTCAAGGGTATCATTGATCGTGAATATTGCCAAAAGGTTTGACTATCATTTTACTACATCTTCAACAATAGCCGTGCGCTCGTACCAGTCAGTCGTCGCCAACTCCCACCTGCTCTGCTTCTCCGCCCTGCCTATTAAGCAAGCGATCCAATCAGACGGAACACAAAGCTTTAAACAAGTCCAGTTTCGACTCTGTGCAAGTCTCTCCAATGGCGCAAGCATTTCGTCTATCTTGCTATCGTCTATAATTCCTCTCACCTTCTCCCATCCCGGCAAATGCATCGTCAAGCACAACTTGTGAACTCTACAGAAGCAACGCTCGAACAAACCAAACAAGCCCGGGTAAATCGTTTCCCAAGCTGCGCCCTGCGGCGTTCGGTCTATTTTATACCAGCAATCAAAAGAGACCTCCATAGACGTGATGAGAGACGAGCAGGCCGGCGATAAAAGCCTCGACATGATAAACGGTGTGTCCAACCCGCTCCGCAGAATAAAGATATTGGTCCCGTACAGTACCGCCAATGCCTCCTCATAACTATAAAATAAGAATAAGTCAATCTCGCACTCATGCACCAAAAATACCCCAACTCACCCAATCTGACAACATCTCAAAAACTCCACGCCTCCAAGTTTCGTCCCCGCTGGTACGCTCTCCAACCCCTCAAACTCACTCGCATACCTCTCATCCTTACGATCCCAACACCGATCATCAACAAATGACCCACTCCGCTGACAAACGCCATGCCACCAATCCCAGCGCTTCAGGTCGTGCTTTGGTTCCGGGACAAATGGCGACTGCATCATCCACGCATGCTCGATATGTACGCGTCGATTGCCCATTAGCACAGTATAGATCAGTGTTCTGATTTCTATTGGGAGCTGGAAGAAGCGACTTGCTTGTTGGGGGTTGCGTTTTCTGGCGCTGGGTTTGAGGATACGTTGGTCTGGTGCTGGAATTGGGAGTTTCCATCCGTCGAAAGGGTCGCCGTTTACTGTGCAGGTAGAATTGGAGATTCCGATTGCGTTTGGTGAATTACAATTGGGTCTTGAGGGTGGATTGTTGTCTTTGGGTCTCTTTTTGAGAATTTTGAAAATTTTGGGGGCCATGGTTTGTTTAATGTGTTATGCACGTAGGAGCTTTATGTGTCCGGGTGTGGATAGGATCCGTGCAGAAGCTGTGTGTTGCGGAACATGCACCCCGCAAAGCCGCAATTCACGGGCCACGGAGAGTCAACGCTAATAAGGTCACGTGCAGTGTAGAGGATGTGAAGGGAGAGAGGAAGGAGCAAAGAGGTGGAAAGCAAAATGGGTTCTTTCATGCTGGAGATATTGAAGAGAGGTTATGAGGCGGCGCTAAAAAAAAAAAAGTAGAATAGTTCGGTGGAATAACTTCAGGGCTAGAAAAACATGAGTCCGAACTTGATATGACCTGATATTCACAAAATACGAGCCCGAGGCTCTGCCATATCCAACCTAAAGCTTCGAATTCCCCTTCTCGACAATCGCAACATCCTGAAACGGCAATCCAAGATACATCCACATAAACGCAAACCTAACAAAATCAGCATCCATTCAATGCACAGAAACCGTATAAAACCCACCGATCACTACCGAAAAACGGCTCTTCCTTGCCCTCAGCATTCCGCACCCAAAACCAAGGCGCACCATAGGCCCCTTTATCAAGGGCGGTCTGGGTATTAGCCGTCAAAGCTTGCTTGAACTCAGGCTTTGATGCCGCAGCCAGGATCTCCTTGACTTCTGAGTCAGAGTACCCGTTGCTCTGGAATAGCTCAGCCAATTTCTCCGGCTTGCTAATATCAATGCCTTTGTAGTACATCCACTCCCACAGTAAAAGGAAGGTTGTTTCGTATTGCTCACGTGGGAAGTGGGCTTTGATGTAGACCATACATCGTTGGGGCTGGTTGGTTAGTGGTGGGGTTATAAAATGAATATTTACAAAGGTATAGATGTATAGAAATGATACTACTCACCGTGATTGAGAGAATTGGGAAGAAGTCTGGTGTTTGGATTTGCGGAACTCCAAAGTATTTACATGCGCGCTCCGAGTCGAATTTGGAGTACGCTGCTTTGGCGGGGAGTGTCCAAGGGGGCTTATTTCCTGATCAAATCTTTAGTAAATTTGATACATAATTGATGATAAAATCTGAATAATATTTGGATGGTGTATACCTGAGCCAACATTAATTCCCCCTAAGAAGACCGGATGGAATCTGTTCTATTAACACGCGTCCTCATGTAACAACTCGCGAGGTGCATACTCGACCTCGACCCCATGCGACTCTAGAGCTTTGCGGTTTTTGCGTAGATACAGCGTCGCATAGTACGAGTATGGCGATACTGTTGAAGTGGTAATTAGTGAATGGAAGGCGATCCAGGGGTAAAAGGCTGAACTTGCATACCGCAGTCAACATAGGCGTCAATTTTGCCAGGCATGATGAGTAATTATGGTGGTAATTCTATATTTAATTCCAGTACAATCATTAAGGGTAGGTAAATCAGCGAAGATGAGTTGGTTATAGGAGGTTGGGGCCGAGGTGGAGATGGACCGAGGCTCCAATGATGAGTGATCATTTTAATTTCCAAAATTGTCAACTATATATTCTATCAGATTTATATCCATTCCTCTCCGCAGTTTATGCTTTTTATTGCCTTCGTTTACTTCTAAAGGCAAGTTAAGAATAATATCCAAAAACACATCTGAGTGTTCTATATCGTTCCAAATATATGTACGTCGTCAAGAATAGAAGCCACTTGGAAGGTCGACTACTTGATTTTATTGAGTAAGAAGAAACTGGAAAACCAACATAGTTTGATAAATACATTCAAATTGGGGTATATAGGATAGCGAATAATTTTCGTGGCATGCACCGGTCCAAGATCGGAGGGGATGAGAGAGCATAGAGGGTGATTAGAACCCATCTGACATGTCCACTCAATCCTTGCGGCTGATAGCCGATTGTCGAGTATTGACCAGATCTAAGTCATAAGGGTTCTCCTCATATTGCGTCGCAGTCGCAACGCGATTCAAAGACCGACCAGAGTGCCGAGACGCGCGGGACGCATAACGCGCGATCGTGCCGCGTGATGGAACAGCAGACAGAGCATCACTATCACTAGAGTCCTCACCATCAGGTACCAGAACCACCTCTGTCTTCTCGTCCTTCTGTGAAAAAGGCTCTTCACGACGGAGCGCTCGGTTCCTCTCAGCAAGGCGACGCATGAAGGCATCCGCTTCAGAAGCGTACTTGCAGCGCTGTCTGATTCGCGCTCCATACTTGTAGAAGAAGAACGGGAAGGGAATGCATGCGAGTGCCAGAAATGCCGGAATCGAAGAGGCCCAGTGAATGCCCAGATTATGGTACATGTATGTTGTGAAGAGCGGGAAGGCCATGCCGAATAGTGAGCGTAGGGCGGAGTTCGCGGCTAGGACAGAGGCAGAGAAGATGGTGTATGAGTCGATCAGGTAGTTGAATACGCTGAGGAATACGAGAACCATGCCGAAACCGAATGGTGCTCCTGCTGCGACGGAGACCATCCAGTGGATGCTAGGGGAGTTGGTCCAGGCAAACCAGAATAAACCAATGGGCAGTGCGATGCCGCCGATCATGCTTGGGGGTAATCTCAGCTCGGGAGCGAGCCGGTCGGTGGTCTGGCTGCACTTTTTGGCGTAGCGGATATTCTCGGGGAATGTGTATATCACGGCCATCACCATACCGACAAGGATACCAAGGAAAGCGAGGCCACCAACGCCTTCGCTCCATCCGCGGACTTCTTGGAAGACGATTGGGTATGCGGCGAAGAGCATATAGAGTGTGCCATAGATAATTGCCATATATATGGAGAACAGAAGCACAATTGGCTCACAGAAGAGCAGGATCCACGGGCGAGAAAGCGCAGTTTTCAGCGTCTTTCCCATAGGCGCTGGGCCACGGTCGATGTCAAACTGACTGCGATACACTTTGCTAGTTAAGGAAGACATCTTTTCTGCACGACGGCGTAGGAGGACAGGTGCGTATGTCTCTGGTAACAAGAAGATAATACATAGCCAGAGCAGGCCCGAGAACGCAGCAAGTAGTCCCTCCACCCACCTCCAACCGGCAGCAGAAGCTAGAAATCCTCCAATCACAGGGCCTAGTGTCGGTCCTAGGAAGGGCGCAGCAGCAAAAAGACTAATGGCAATACCACGCTGAGATGCTGGGAACATATCCGCAATAGTGCCGCCTCCATTTCCAAACGGGGAAGATCCAAAGGAACCCGCCAGGAAACGTAAGATAATGAGTGTCTCGATATTTTTAGCGCCCGCAGCGCCCGCATTGAAGACAGTGAGGAACATAAAAGAAATAGTAAAGATATGTCTCCTGCCGAAGATCTCACTAAGAGGTGCCCAGATCAAGGGCCCAATAGCGAATCCGAGCACGAAGAGCGATACGCCTAGAATGACAATTTCCTGGGATGAATCAAAGTCTTCCATGATCTGGCTCATTCCGCCTGAAAATGCGGATGAGACCAATGATACTGCGAGAGTCACAAATGATACTAGGAGTGTAATAGACCATTTCCTGATCGGGTGGAAGTTCATAGGGTTGCGTGGGTCGGCAGGGATCCAGACAACGGCATATGGATCGTCTTCGGTGCCTGAACCTGCGTAGGTAAATTGCATGACTTCTTCGGTGATGACCTTTTGGTCGAAGATCAAGCGCCAGAAAGGGATTTTCGAAGGCAGCGTGGCCTCGCCCCCGGTGGAAGCTTTCATGTTCCTGTGCTCAGACCAAGAGCTATGCAATTATTGGGGGGGGTGGAGATATATATTAAGAAGAATATATTGGCCAAATGAGCAAAGTCAACGATAATATGAGAATGATTTGAGAAAAATAAATATCAAATACAACAACCGAAAGCAGCCTCGGTGTTATTCGGCTTAATTTATTATTATTAATAATCGAAAAATCCGAACCTCCCCCACTGTCTCGACATAAAATATTGACGGAATATAGTCTCGGCATTCAGATGCCCCTTGCACAAATTTCTAGTGGAGTACATTATGAGACCTTGGAGCACCCTGACTGGCCCGAATATCGGCCCGAACGCCATCTTTACGGCTTCCCGAAGGCTTAGGTGACTTGGATGGCTTGGCAGATATAAATACATAGTACCTACATCATAATATTTGTGTGCATCCTAGAGCTCATTCTCTAGTAGCTAACTACAAGAATACTCGGCCTCTTATGCGGCCTTGTGATGTCTTTTTTCAGCAAAATTCTTTTCTATTCTTCTTGGGTTTCTTTTTTATGGATGGTATTTTCTTCCTCTTCTCAGGTTGATAGCTAGACGGGAGAGAAAGGCGAAAAAAGCATAGACTATGCAACACGGCTTTTCTATGTATAATCTTTGATTTTACAATTCTGACGCCATAAGCCCGGGACTCCTTGCTTAGTTGCAAAGCTTCATATCGGCCTCTTGCAGGTTTCAAGCCCCTAAACAAACATATGTATTCTCCTTAGATTCACATTGCCTGTTGTACATTCAATAAGAAAGGATTTGCTAAACTTTTTCTTTTGAGAATACCTCGCTCCAAGCCATCTGATAAATGTAAATTGTACATTTGAATCCCCTTCGGGACTCGGTTATTGGTCACTGACTGTCATTGAAACACGTTAAAGGCTGGTCACATGAGAGCAATACAACCTCTGCAAGAGAGATAATTTTAGTTATAGCCCAACTCTACGCGTCTGTACTTTTGTTGCTGAGTCTCAGTGAATTTTAGATAGAAAAGCCTGGCTTTCTTTTATTATAATTGCCATTGAGAAGCCTCCGCCAAGCCATTTGTCAACGACAAGATTCAAGCCCCCGGAGCTCAGGACATCCCCAGAGATCTTACGAATTCGTCTGTGATTAAACTAGTTCATTCATATATATTCCAAGTTGCCTATAGTGGGTTAATCTCAACAGTACTCAGGATAGAGAGATTGGGGCAGCCCCAATCACCATTGCGTTGGTTTGATGCATTTTTTGCTCTTCCTTTGACTGCTCAACAGCTAGCAGCAAACGCGTAGAGCGGATGTGGAGTTCTACCAAGTCAACACCGGATCCTCTCCACAGTAGCAGCGACTCACCTTGCAAAATAACCTCATACCCGACCCATGAGTCATTATTCCGATCATCCTGATGTACAAGCACCGGGAAAGACGGATCCCACGCCTTTGGCCGCACGCGCATTTTCAACCCAACAGTCTTGTTCATATCCACCCACAGTATATCGTCGTCGGAGGGAGCCCGAGGCTTATCAGGGTCCTCTTCCCATTCATTCTCAGGAGTCATATTCTTCCCTTCACTTTGATTCCGTAACCAGTCCCTCCATAGCCGGATGAATCCGTCCTCAATAGTCGATGCACTCAATAGCAACGATGTCCCCGGCTTGACTTGCACTATGTTCGCCACGACACATAACTGTGAGAAATCTTCATATCCATCTAAAGTAATTTCACGTATCACTGCATCCTTTTCTTTGCCATCTCGACCCCCTTTCATGTCAGCCCGTATGAACCCTACCACCCCCGACAACAGAAGCATCCTACCTGATGAGAAACCAAATCCGGAGTTATTTGTGTCTCTTTGTTCTTCTTCTTCGTCGTCGCTTGCCACCGGACGGAAGCGCGAATATAGCCCTGTCACTCTACCCAACTTGTGGGCGATATCGACATTCTCATATAAGGAACCCGTGCCATCATGGCGCTCGGTCAGTCCATCCGTACCAAGATACTTGCAGAATACATGTGGCTCGGTTAGCTTCGAGCTAGGATGGAAGCATTCTAGCAGTAGTTTGTATTCTTTGAGTGGTGTGTTGAGAAGAAGGCGGAAGTGGAGAATTCTTAGAACTAGGGCGTGGAATCGGTGGTTGACTGATGTAACTGGGAGAAGTGCCCGGGTTGAGAAGTCGGAGAGGATTTGGACAAATATCTAGAGATATGTTTAGGCTTATACTAGCCTATGGTATGCTCTGTGGACATACCTCGTTAGGTAACGAGTCCAAGGTTGGTGCGGGGTTGGCGGGGTTCATAGTGATGATTATTGTGTGCTAATTGGGCTTCAACCTGGCAATATATGCAATCTATACCACCTAGGTAGTTGGTGTACCGCAATTGTCAATTGATGCAATATACAAGAGACCAGAAAACAATGTGAGTTGTACTGTGTTGCTATCCATGTTGTACATTGTACCATTGACGAACAATTCACACCGGCCCGGATACCCCCGGGCGATAAGAGATAAGCAACGTCATAATCTGGACAGGCGGGGCGAAATTCCCCTTTTTGTCTTGTTCGGTGTCTTAGGCCAATGCCAGTCCACTGCCAGTCTACGGTGAGCCCACCACGTGGGGACAACGACCGGCGACTGTGATTTCATGGCGGCAAATAATTACCTGTTTCAGCTGAATTCTGGTCAAATGGTCCCCCAATACGTGCCTGTTTCCCCGGAAAACTGCGGGATCCCGAATCCTTGTACGGCTCACCGAAAAAAAGACGGAGATAATGCCAAGAAGTTGTATGCCAACCCATGGATATTGTTTGTACAGCGCAATATTAGCCTACAGATTTACCACATTAGGCGAGATCCGCTTGTTTCTGGAGTACTTGACCTCGCTTAACAGCTGTAACCTGACACATTCCTACTCCGGAGACCCCGCGCCCTTCCCCACCGGAAGTCATCCCTCGATCTTTTAACTATTTTCATTTGACTTTCTTTTTCTTCTTCTATTCTCACTAAGGCATTATACCCTGTGATTATTCCAATACATAGCAATGGAGAACGTACTCGATGACATCTCCCACCGGAGATATAACCCCCTCCGTGGCTCCTCCATCTTGGTTTCTCCTCACCGAACCAAGCGTCCCTGGCAGTGAGTATTGCGATAAAACGACATTGCGCGACAAACATGCTGATCGTACAATTTAGAGGAGCGCAGGAGAGCCCCTCCAAGACTACTCTGCCTGACTACGACCCTAAATGCTACCTCTGCCCCAGAAACGAGCGTGCCCAGGGCGACACCAACCCCGATTATAAGACCACTTTCGTTTTTGTGAACGACTACAGCGCGGTGAAGGAAGAGCAAGCGGCCTATGAGCCCACGAACCAGGATGGTACGTCCAACCGCCCAGCGCATCCGCGCCATTTGTACCAAGCTCACAAACCGCAGAACTCGAATCGCGATTCCTCAAGGCCGAGCCCGTAACCGGCAAGTGCTACGTGCTCACATTCTCATCCGCTCACAACCTTACCCTCGCCGACCTGCCACCTAGCGAGATTGTGCCCGTGATCGACGCCTGGACAGAGATCTACACCGCACACCTGTCCCCGAACTCGCCGCTAGCGAAGAAAGCACCCGCAACAACACTCCCACCCTCCTCCTCCTCAACAAGCGCCATCAAGCCAAAGGATCAGTACCGATACATGCAGATCTTCGAGAACAAGGGCGCGGCAATGGGATGCTCTAACCCTCACCCACACGGCCAGGTCTGGACGACGAGCTCGATGCCAGGAGAGCCCGCTGCCGAGATGGAGCAGCTGACCAAGTACCGCAAGCAACACGGCGGCAGCCACCTGCTGGAGGACTATGCGGCGCTCGAGAGCCGCAAGCAGGAGCGCGTTGTGTTTGAGAACGACGCGTTCCTGGTTGTGTGCCCGTGGTGGGCGACGTGGCCGTTTGAGACGATGATTGTTAGCCGTACGCACAAGCGCGCGCTGGTGGATTTGTCCGAGGCTGAGAAGCTGCTGCTTGCTGAGGCTATCGCTGAGACTACCCGTCGCTATGACAACCTCTTCGAGACGCACTTCCCTTACAGCATGGGTATTCACCAGGCTCCACTTGATGGTACCGAGGAGGAGATTGAGGCTTCTTACCTGCACCTGCACTTCTACCCCCCTCTGCTGCGAAGCGCTACCGTGCGCAAATTCTTGGTCGGTTATGAGCTTATGGCCGAGCCCCAGCGCGATATCACTCCTGAGCAAGCTGCTGCTAAGCTGCGGGCTTGCGGTGGTGAGTTGTACAGGAACAAGATCGAGTCCTGAAGTGTCGGAAGTGAAAAAAAAAAAAATGAAAAAGTAGTGATCATGCCTGGAGGTTTATACCAGAGTTGAAGACATTTTGTCTCATAGTATACATATATATTATTTCCCCACAAAAGCTTTTGCGCCGAAGCATAAGTTATACATAGTCGTGGTCCAACACTAACATGCAAAGCTCAGTTCCTCCATAGCTATCCGTTCCATGTATTGCATTGCGTTGAATCATCCCTCGAAACCAGACAATTCCCTCTTCTATAATCAGGGCCTTAACCCAAGTACGCTGCACGCTGGGTGAACATCCAAGCCAGCGAACCCGACGCAACAATCAAAGGATTCAAGAATCGGCCCTTGAGCGATGCATTACCCAAGAAGAGCTCGCCAACGAAGTGCGACAGCGCAATGCCGTACGTCCACATACCAAGGTTGTATGCGACAGGGTTTGTGATGTTGTAAGCGGCAGTAAGGCGAATGACTGCAGAGAGGAAAGTCCAGGTTCCGAAGACGCGGCCGGAGAGCGGGCTTGCGGGGACCGTGCCATTACTGTAGAGCATGGAAGTATAGTTTGGCGAAATGTAGGCTTGCACACTGTTAAGAGCAGAGACGACCGATACCTGTATAAAGTGGTAAATGGTTAGTCAGATTGAAGAATGGAGGCATTGGTAGCTAGGGGTTTGGAGTGGTAGTGGTAATGAATGGGATTGGGGATGGATAGGGGTAGAACATACGAAGAAAAGCCATCTGGTCAGAAGGCCTCCTTCAGACTCGGGGAGATAAGCGATTAATTGGTCCATTTTCGAACGAATTCTTTTTGCTCTGTTTTGGTTTGAAGGGAGGTGGTTTGTTTTTTGTTGACTTGGGGAGAGACCGAGGATGTTTAGAGTCTTGGCGTTGATCTTCTCCCAACAAGCCTCGCGTTGGTTTGCTCACCTTTTTTTTCCCCTCCTCGTGTCAATTTCTTTTCATTCACATTACGTTGCTCATTATGGATTTCTCAAAGCATATTGAGTGTCTCTCCAAATGGCCAGCCCACATTACCCCGGGGCTACCTACTTATGGAGCGCTGTTCCTCCTGGGAACTGGTGGCTTGGTCATTGCCTACAAGGTCTGGACGTTCGTGCGGGTGCTTCTCAGCCTGTTCGTGCTTCCGGGTAAACCGGTATGAAACTCGACCCTGACGTCCTCAATCTAAGAGTATTAAGCTGACTTGAGTAATTAAATAGCTTCGCTCCTTCGGTCCCCCCGGTAGCTGGGCCGTGGTAACAGGCGCCTCAGACGGCCTGGGCAAGGAATTCGCGCTGCAGTTGGCAAAGTCGAAATTCAACATCGTCCTCGTATCGCGAACCGCTTCGAAGCTAGCAACACTATCGGAGGATATCAGCAAGCAATTCCCGCAGGTGCAGACCAAGGTTCTCGCAATGGATTTCGCACGCAACGCCGACGCCGACTACCAGGCGCTGAGCGAACTGATCTCCGATTTGGACGTGTCCGTGCTAGTCAACAACGTCGGCCTGAGCCACTCGATCCCCGTTCCATTTGCGCAGACCCCCGCCGCAGAGATGGCCGATATCGTGACCATCAACTGCACCGGCACGCTGCGCGTCACTCAGCTCGTCGTTCCGGGCATGATGCAGCGTCGCCGCGGTCTGATTCTGACCATGGGATCATTTGGTGGTCTCCTGCCTACCCCTTTCCTTGCCACTTACTCCGGCAGCAAGGCTTTCCTCCAGCACTGGTCTACTGCTCTTGGCGGCGAGCTCGCCCCCTACGGCATTGATGTGGAACTTGTCCAAGCCTACCTGATTACCTCTGCCATGTCCAAGATCCGTCGTGCCTCGGCTACTATCCCTACCCCCCGCGCCTTCGTTCGCTCTGTTCTGTCGAAGATTGGTCGTAGTGGTGGCTCGCCTACCTACGCTTACAGCTCGTCGCCTTACTGGAGTCATGGCATCATGGCTTGGTTCTTGACTACTGTTGCTGGTACTATGGGTAAGCTTGTTCTCGGACAGAACAAGTCTATGCACGAGAGCATTCGGAAGCGTGCTCTCCGCAAGGCTGAGCGTGAAAATGCCAAGAAGAGCACTTGATTGCTTGATTGATGGCTGTTGTGGAGTACAGGAGCATAACATGAGTTGTGCTTTGCATCTCCAGTGAGATTTATATATTATTCGACATGCATAATGAATTCGAATTAGTGTAAGCTAAAAAAATGACAATTATCGTAGTAATGGGAATATCATAAATACCTACATAAATCTTATCTTTTGCTATGCCAAGTAGTCTGTCCTTGAAAAATACAAGATGCCAACCTCCGTCATCAACACCCTGCGATCGATCTTATATAGAAAACCGAGACTTTCCAATATTGAGTCGTGGAAATCTGATCTTATCGATAAGCTCTTATCGCCCCCCGTCTCTCAAGCACCGTAGACTGATCTCATGTATTATGCACAGCAACTAGCTCGAAATTACACATACCAATGAACCCAAGTTCACGCATTCGAGAACTTGATATCCAAAGACATGTCTCAAACAACGCACACCAGCAGTGGCGTTGGTGACGCCTCAAACAAAAGTTCCATATCAAAGACATCAATCTGCGACAACCGCATTCACCTCCTCCTTGCCGCAACAGGCTCAGTCGCGACTATCAAAATATCCAATATCATCAACGCCCTCTCCCCTCATACCAAGAAGCTCTCAATAAGAGTAATCCTCACCACAAAAGCCAAGCAATTCCTAGCCGGCCAGTCCGCCGAACAGCCCACCGTCTCGTCCCTCATTTCCCTCCCTGGCGTTGAAGCCGTCTATGACGATGACGCAGAGTGGGGACCAGAGCCCTGGCGCCGCGGTGTTGATATTTTGCACATCTCCCTCCGACGCTGGGCAGATATCCTTGTCATTGCCCCTCTTTCCGCAAACACCCTTGCCAAGCTCGCCAACGGACTAAGCGATAACCTGTTGACGTCTGTATGTCGGGCGTGGGATACCGATGGCCAGGTTGACGGGAAAAGAAAACGGATTGTGGTTGCACCGGCAATGAATACGGCTATGTGGCGGCATCCAGTGACGGCACAGCATATCCGCGTTCTGGAGGAGGAATGGGGCATTAGGAAAGATGAGGATACAAGACAAGAGACGGGATGGTTTGAGGTTCTACAACCACAGTCGTCGAAAGTGTTGGCTTGTGGGGATGTGGGGAGCGGTGCTATGTTGGAATGGACCGAGATAGTCAAAGTCATTGAGGCTAGGTTAGGACTAAGTGATTAGAATTTATCCTGGAGTAGTTAGGATCTGTAATTGCGCATTGCTCTAGGATTCTAGTTTCTAGTTTACCACATCCTGCTCCAGGTCACGTACTCACGGCCGGTTTGGTGCCGCCAACTCGTTTTTTCTGGACCGTTCTAGTGTCTTTATTGGAAGGTGAAAACTTGAAGATTGTCGTCTAAGATAGACTGTTTTAGGTCATCACAAGATATCTTTATATTCAGCATTAGAGTAAATTACATAGAAAATCCGACGCTTCACTCTCGTACGAGGGAAACAACCTTGATTGGTGGCATACCAAGATAACCACCATCTATGATTTCTGCTCCTCACAGAGCAATGTATCAAAGCAATTTTTTCAATTTTTCCAGATCACATGTTGCGCATCTTAACATACGTTGCGGTACTCGTCTCGAATTTTGTGCAAGGCTTCTTGATCACTTTCCCCCCTTAAAGCCAATTCAATCCACTGTGCGAATTTCACTTGCGTCGGCTTTACAATATGATGCAAAGAGCCCAGCCCCCTCTCACAATCAGGTGAGAGAACCAATTCCGAGAGCTAAGCCATGTATTGACTTTCACACTGGTTATTTTAAAAGGGTAGTTGCGGTTCATAAGCTGTCACATGGCCATTGAAACTGTCTAATGCATTTCGAAATCCTCTCACCATAGCTATGGGTATAATATAACCTACCACGCTGGCTCGAGGAGGGACGCTAATCCATGCCCCCCATTTTGAATACAGTATTCTTTCAACCAGTTAGACAAATTAGATACAGAAAAGGCTATGGGCCACATACTCATAATTGACTGGTAGTATTAATATTACGAGGCAAACAAATAAGGAGGTGAGTATTCATTCGCGTCCATTCTCGAGCTGTCGTGGTAGGGTACTGAATATGTAGTTGACATAGTGGGCACTCTAATGGAGAGCAACAGTTATATGCGGTGCAATTGCCATTCAAAGTCTATTCTATGAACTACTATTAATCCAAATCATCTCCGTTTTCAGAAAGGCACATTTACCCATAATGATCTTCAAGTGATACCACCAAAAGTCAGGCGGGGACAAGCAATTGAAAACTCTGTCAAGGACCATGAATTGTATGATCTAGATCCAAATGTATCACGTGGCCCGTATACAGCCAGAAGACTTGCTCAAAATTGATTATTACTTCTCTAACTAGAGTTATCTCTCTCCTTTCCTAGTAGTATACTCGTTCAGCTTCGTGAATTCTTTAGCCTAGGCCAAGCACTGGTATTGTGATATTGGGCATCAAGCGCCGAAATCGGTGCTGTCATTAATCTGAGAAGAGCATGGCATAGGAAGGCGGATATCTAGGTGCATGGTGCAATATGAGAATGAGGATGAATTGTTGAAGAGGTAAGGATGAGGACGAAGATAAATAAATCAAATTGGATCAAGCAGTAAATTCACGTTCTATAAACCAGGCAGTCCCTCCAGTTGCAAGATAAACACCAACGCAGCCTCAGAAATTTGTATGCTACTATCAATAATGAGGCATAGCCAGGTCTTTTCGTCCAATTTCCCTGTTCAGGGCAAATGCGATGAGATGCATCATCCTATCGGTCGCTGAAAGAGAGACCCGAATTGAAAGCTCCAAGTAATAGACCGTCTGTCCGGTGATGGTTTGGTGAGGAAATCGAGTAAGGTCAAGGCCATTAAAGTGACATGTAATATAATCGATGCAATGGGCGTCTATGTTCAATATTTCTCAGCATTCCCAATTCCTCACTTGAGACGATAAGCGGAAAATTGTGACCGCAAGACTTACCGGAGTTCTCAAAGTGTTGTGGTGCAACTTCGAGATTGGACTCATAAATCTCCACGGCCTTGGTGAGGAGATCCTGCTCCCGATGAAGTAAATGTGTTGTATGAGATTTCTGAAATTGCTTCGGGTATCTCTGATCCTTTTTTGGATTATGAGTTAGATTATGCAAGGTAGCGGATATTCATATACGACGCACCTTGTGTAAGATCCATTGGGGAAGCAAATTCACCGGTAGTGTGCTATTTTCGGCAATAAGCCTCTGCCACTTGTTCTGAACGGAGAAATGGAAAGGCTGAAGCGATGCCAAACCATAATTTCGCCAGAACTTGTAGCTTGGGGGCACGTAGCCCCGAAGAACTTGAAGTGCTGCACCATGAACAATTGCCTGTCCCCTACGATATAAAAGTTAAATTTATCCCCAAGCTTGTATCTAAATAGATATTTCGCTCACGGGTTTTGAGGAACAAGCACGGAAATGTTGCCGATACGATTCAGTGCATGCTGTATCCTTCCTTGCAGATAGGGCGAGGCGCTGAATCCGCCGACCAAGACAAATTTCTATACAAGAAAGATGATAATCTTAGTTTAACATAAAACATACGAAGTAAGAATAATCAGGGCTCACATTAATGACATCCCGCGCACATTCTTCCTTTGCAGCTATGATCTGAGACAAAATCAGGGCGTAGATCTTGCTGAGAACAGGCTCATATAAGCCTCGGACATCTTGAACTTGAAGAACAATACGTCTTGTTCTTTCGTTGGAAAATGCGAGATGTGTTTCGGGAAAATCGAGGTTCAAATCAAAGCCCCAGGATTGTGCTACCTCACCATTGGATGCTCTTTTGATATCTTCAAATTTGTTCATGGCAAGACTCCCTGGTTGGATCTGGCTCATGGGTAGATGATTGAATGCTCCATCAAGTCGACGAGATAGTAGTTCATAGAATCGACTGTCAATGGCAATTACGCCGCATTTGGCTCCTATTTCGTATTAGTATCCAGAGATGTGGGTTGTATATTGCTCTATATCATACCCATAGCAGTGGTGATCGGCTCAAACGAGGTTTTTGGATAAACATCAGTGACATAGTATGTTGTAGTATCCTGGTCACAATATGAGATTATGAAGTGCCAATGGTGTAGGAGGTTATCTCACCACTGTACCACCTCCACAGTCACAAATTAGAGCTCCATCATGACACTAAGGACCCAGTGAATAAATTATCTAGCTAAAATAACTCACCACACCGAGTTTGGGATTTTTTGACTTACCTGAAGATTGAAACTTCTGTCATCAAAAACAGCAAGAGCTGCAGCCTCGGGTTCCGTTGTGGTAAATATCTGATGTAGAGGGCTTGATCCGAAGCCTGCTCTGTGGATTGCTTCACGCATTAGGACCTGTGTCTCTTTAGACCATATAGCTGGGATCATGAACCAGAAATCAACCGACACTCCGCTTAGATTCCTTCCGTGACTGCGAAGAAGCTTTGTTACCTCAGATTCGTTGTCGGTGATATGTGCATAGATCTGAGAAAGATAATCTGCTACTGCATCTACCGCTTTCTTTGGGTCGGGAAGCTTCAGGATATCAGAACCAGTGACCATCTCCAGGAGTTCATCGTCAAGCTTGCTATGCTGGATATTCCTATCCAATAACAGCTTTGTCCAGCCATATGATTGCATTCCTGGCTTAAATTCAAAGCCCCAGAGAGGTGGTCTTTCATTTTGCGTGTATGAAATTAGGGACGGCGTGCTGGTCTGGTTATCAACACCTGGAGGCCAACACTGCATGAGACTGATACTTCCGCTGTCTTCTTGGCCACTTGCACGGTTCGTGATAACATAGGCAACCCCTATTTTGGCAGAGCAAAAGTCGAGTTGTTAGTATAAGGGAATTAAATTATTTATTGAAGGAAGACACTGGCTTTCTTACCTGTGAAGGTGGTACCATAGTCCACAGCCACAACAAGCTTGTAGCAATTCTCAGCTTCTGTGCTGCCTGATGATTGAGATTTATTCTGTTTGTATAAATTTGATTCACAGTTCGACTCAGATCCGCGATGATATATAATTCACGAATCCCTCATTTTATCCCTGATGAGCTAATGTTAATGACTTTTATGGCTCTGTCTCGTCTCTGTTTTAGTATTCTTTTCAACATGACCGCCATGTCTTTCATTGCGCAATCTTGAGCTACACTAAATTTGGTGGTAAGCACAACCCCTTAATTCTAACATTGACTAGAAGACACGTTATTTTTTCTCCTCATTCTTAGCCTCCAGTTTTGTTCCAACTTTCAAATATCACGTGGGTATTCGTAGAATTATCCTAGTTCCAAAAAAGGAAGCAATCTGTCCGGCTATCTCGTGTAGATATTATGGTCTCTCCTGGTTCTTTACTCCTAGTTTTATCTAATTCTAAAATATAGGTTCGTCTTTGTCTCGAATGTAGCTGTTCGTGAGATTGCTACTAGTTCGAAAAAGGAATAAAGAAATGTGCCAGCTAGGGCCTAGTGTAGATATTATGGTCCCTAAATTCTTCGCCCCTAGTTTCAAACCATGGATTTTCTTTGTCTCTCATATTAGTATCACATATGTATTTGAATCACTTTCAAAGAATTCTAAAGAAGAGTAAAGGAATATGTCTAGAATTCCTCATTTGTGAAATTCGGACTGTTCCGAAAGCGACAAAGAAATGGGCGAGCATGTTTCTCCACAAAATCTAGACATAAATCGGCACATTGCAGTGCTGTTTTGAAATTCACACATCTTCTTCCTCTTATATCTTCCCTTCTCTCTAGCTATATCTATTTCCTGCCATGCCGACTACTAAGTCAAACAAGAAACACAAATCTAAGGTGAGTAGTTTCCCTTTTGGTACGATATGTTTAGTCTGACATGCTTGAAAAGGGGAATCCGCCACCTGTGGAAGACCAGCCGAAAAAAAAGAAAGATGTCTGTTGACGAAGCCAATGACCGTTATGAGTTTCCCAAATATAGTGCTGAAACCTTCTTTGAGGAAATTCAGGAGATGAGAAACATGATCAATGCGGGGATGATGACTTGGTCCGGGCCAAAAAATCAAACGCGAGATGAGATTGGGGCTTTTTTTCATCTCACATGTCCAATCGTTCGCGACTAAATATGCGAGGTCTGAGCCTGAGGATGTAGAAAACCTCTCCGAAAGCCAGAAACAGACCATCATCAACAGTTTCGGGGTAAACTGCGTGCAAGAGAAATGGGATTTCCTCATAAAACTCCTTCCAGATCTAATCCGTGAGAAGATCCTCCAGGTATTTCTGGAATCTTTGATTTTCCAAGAGATTTTTCGCAGGTTTTTCATGAATCCTTGGTGGTACATGGATGGGAAAATGCATCCGTCAGACAAAGGAGATGATAAGTTCGGTGAACGACTAGAGAATCTATATATGAGATTCTTTCACAGTATGTATACCACAACTTTCCGCTCAAAGATATGTTTTATTGACCACGCTCATTGCTATAGCAAACCCACTCATGGCGGGACTATGGAGATCTGAAACCAACCGCCTTGCAAACGCGACGCATTTCCAGCAGGCACCGAAAATAGAACTTGGAACTTACCATCGGGACCGCCGCCAGTCTTTTATCGCATAATTTGTGGATGAAACTCTCTCCAGTGAGCCTATCAAGTGGCTGCTTAAAGAGACATCAAGCGAAGAGGAGATTGAAACGCGGTATGCACAACTTCACGAACTCTACAAGATGGCAGTGGAATGCGCCGCAGAAATGGGAAATATACGAGGCAACATCAGTCTCCAAAGTTTGGCGGTGCTGCCTCAGACCTTCAACGCGAGCGCAGGTGACAGGGTCTTGGCACATGAATACCACTGCTTACGAAATAATAGCCCTAAACTGGATGATCGTCGGATATTGTTTTTTGTTTACCCAGGGATAGTCCGCAGACATATTTCTGCTCTGGAACGACATAACATTGAATACAGCATCCCAGCATATGTTGTGGTCTCTTCCCCAGGGGAAAAGGCGCCATAAATGTTCTAGATGGATTTAGATTGTCATTCAACTTTCTATATTTGTTTTGTGTTCGATTTCGGACTCTTATCTCTCTCTCTCTCTCTCTCTCTCTCTCTCTCCAGTTATCCACATTATCGCTGCACCACAAACCTCATTGGCGACTGTCTAGTAAGCATAGCCAGTACAAACCTTCGATATCTCATTCTAGAAGCAGCTTATTTGTTGCCTGAATTAGGTCTTGTATCACAAAAACACTAGAGTTTGCTATATGTATTACCGATCTTTGAGATACTTTTATCTCTACACCGTTCAAAGCGAGTTATCAAAGTTTTTATAGTGACACTATGCTCGAAAGTTGACTTGATTGAGATATATTCTTTAGTTATCAGTGTTGGAAATGCTGTATCCCTCTACCACTACATCTAGTCAAATTGGGGGTTGGGGTATGGGGAATTCTACAGGTGACTAGCAATGCCATCACGCATAATATGGGTATCTTATAGTATAACTTTGAATTATTAGGTTATGCCCCAGAATGAGAACCGCCTTTAAAGTTCCTTTGCCTCAACCAGGACAAGCATTTACAGGATAAGCACGCTTATAGGTACAAGCCAAGCATTCCTAATGTTTCACCACCCGGGGGATTTTTTGGATCATACCTAGGTAACTATTGGCTGTTTTTAATAGAGCGGGGCTTCGGGCTTGGATTTTGTTAGCTCAAGGGGACAGAAATGTAAGAAGGGCAGATAGGCCTGCATATTACTCAGTACTAAAGTATTGAGTATAGGCGTATAACTTTAGGAATGTTAATAGTCCTAAGTACTATGAAAACCAGATTTGAGGGTTAATATATCTTTGGAGAGAATAGATAAGGCCGAGAGCCTTGCGGCGAGGAATTTAGCTATATTCTGTCACGAAAGGCTTAGCTTACTAGATACCCACGTGTATACTTTTGTTCAACTAGCATTTTCAGCCTTGCAAGAGAAAGAGTTTAAGCTGTGGAATTATATTCTGCCACGGACATATCAGCCTACTAGGCGTTCTGCATACGTGTTCGTATTTAGCTAGTATTATACCTTTATTGTGTTCTTGCTGTTGTAATGCTATACTGTTAACGGATTTTTGGTATATACTAGGTGTCTGTTGTGTTTACCGAAACAATCAAGAAAATCTTAGCGAGTAATCAGTAGATCCGATAGCTGTTATTCCCAAAGCTTCAGTAATACCGCGAAATATCCCACTGACCCTCCCAATAACATAGGGCTGTCACGATCTGGCTATTATCGCATGATTTTATATATCAGGGATTGTTTGTTGTTTGCTATTTCTTTGTTTACTCAAAAGTACTTAGCCTAATCGGGAAGGGGAAGGGTTTGCTTGCATAGATTTTTGCCTTTTTTTAAAAAATAATGTCCACTGTTAAAGAGTCTATCAATCGTCAAGTCACACTGACACAAGATGACGCCCTTGATCGGCTGAGCATCTTTGTCACCAGAAGAGGACTAGCGCGGATGGGGAATCAGCGGAGCCAATTACCCGGTTCTTGCCAAGCAACCCTACCACCCCCTTTCGGTAATTGGGTTACCACAGGTAAATGCAAACTCTTGCCAAATGCAAAATGTACCTTTTGTAAGGGATTCACATATAAACGGTACATATGGCCCAATATCTGCCAAAATCCGATAAAAATTGATAAAAGTAAATTCAGCTCGACTGTTCTATTTTATCGATATACAAATCCATTTGGTACCCTTTTGATGTCTAAGATTGGCGTTATCATAGTGTTATAGCATGAAGGAGTTTTGAACAGCCCCCGAAAATTGTTCGCGTTATATCTAATATCTATACCAACCGTTCTCTAGAAATTATGTTTACAAAAGATATATATCTTGAGATACCTGAAATTTGAATCCTAATATTATAATTATCCTATCTCCTTCGAAAGTCGCGAAATTCTAATTTACTGGATGTACCGTTTATATGTGAATCCCCTACAAAAGGTACATTTTGCATTTGGCAAGAGTTTGCATTTACCTGTGGTAACCCAATTACCGACAGGGGATTGGGTTACTTGGCGAGGACCGGGTACTGCTCTCAATCTTCAGCCCTAACTGGCTGGGAGATACTTCTTGCAACTGTAATCTCCGTACGGGGTAAACTAGGGAGACCTAGTCTATGGAAGAGATGATGAACTATCGAGACTTTCAAAAGAAAACTCTTCCCATTAACCCACGGTTGGCCCTGGGATTAGTAGAGAGTAGCAATCTGACAAGCTACAGTTTGAGATCTTGTTTCCGAGACATATGGAAAGGAACATGGGACTATATCCTGATTGCAGTTGGATATAAATTAAGTTCATTTCGAAGGTGGAAGACGCCAAGTAGAGCTCTGGTGTTGAATTCGGCCTGATTTTGGAGGTGGAATACATGAGATGTTCTATATGTATCAAGCAAGCTGAGAAATCGGGACCTTTGACCACCAGAATTCTGTCTCCTCTCTTGCCCAATCATCCGCAACACATTTTGCAGGAGGAGCAGCACTACCTCCGATCAATTCGTCATTCCCTTCCCCAAAGATCATAACCTTTTTATCCACTGGCTGGAAGGGCTTCCATTCTGGTCTTTTCCCATATCGGCCAGACACAGCATTAGGATCACCGGTTGTTATAAAACTAGTCAAGTAGGCATGAAGTGCACCAGATAGTTCTTTCTGCGATTCTGAAATTCCCGTAATGCCATCGTTATACGTCTCGTAGTACATATTATCGGCATGGTTTGCTCGACCCACAACCGTTCTGGGTAGTGCCCAGTGATAAAGGTAAACTAGAGCACCTTCAGAGGATGCAAATTGCGCTGTCTGACGCACTGGTGCGACATAGGCATAGTGTCCATAGGCAGCTTCAATGCGCTTATATTGAGGTCCGAGGCCCTCACCCTGTCTGTTTTCAATATAGGGTGATGTGGAATCAATTGAGGGATCAGGATAGAGCTTCTCGATTGTGTCAAGATCAGATGGCTCGAGTTCGGGTAGAAGGTTGTGCCAGAACTCACGGAACTGGGAGGCGTGTGACATTTTCTTGTCGACGTACATTGTTCCCTCATTGCTGTTGAAGCCGGTCATGATGGGTACTTTATTCCAGACTTTTGAATCCCATGCTTCGAGGGGCTTGCGAGAGATAATGTCTCCATCAATCACAGGCTGGAAAGCCCACAGAAGGGAGGGGTTATATTTATCGAAAACAGCCGTTTGAGCATTTGTAACAGTCAAGCTAGAGAGAGAACGGAGGAATGGGAAGATTTCGGTTTCGTCCAGATTGGCTGGGCAACCCACTTCTTGAAGGAAGTCAGCAAATTGGTCCTCGTGAACCTTAGCGTTATATGGGCGAACAGCGCGGGAAGTTGGTGCTCCAGACTCGATAATGACACGATGGAACAATGGCGATTTGTGCTCATTGTAATTGAGGAGGTGGTGACCAATCTAGATTTTGGTCAGAATAAACTGTTTGGGAAATTAGAAACGGCGGAGATTCACCGAATGCGCCCCTGCGGAAAGACCGAACAAAGTGACGTTGGCAGGATCACCGCCAAAATTGGCAATGTTCTGTTGGACCCACTGTAATAAATGCACCTGATCACGCAGTCCAAGATTCAGCAACCCCTCCTTCTGCGAAAGACTTGAAGGGAGGAATCCAAGAGCTCCAATGCGATAACCGAAGCTCACAGCAACAAAAGGATTTTCTGACCACGCCACCATGGACGCAGTATTGTGTATAGCTGCGGACCCCCGATTGAAAGCACCGCCGTGGAGATAAACTGCGACAGGGAGTTGACTGGTACTATTGCTTTCAGCTGGTCGAAAGATGTTTGCCGTCAGACAGTCTTCACTTTGCACAAGCTTCGGTCCTCCGGAGAGAAGTGCCTTTCCAGGAGCTGCAGGACCATACTTGGATGCATCAATAGTATCTGATGAGCTCAAAACTTTGATTGCTGGCCTGAAGCGCCTATCCCCTACGGGAGGAAGGGCATATGGAACTCCCAAGAAGGCGTCGACGGTTTGGGGAAAAGAATCCCTGAGCTGGGTCCCCACCACTTGGCCTTGCACCAGGGTGACGGAAGGAGGCTTGGTATCAACAGTCATTGTATATCTCAGGTTCAATTGGTAAATCAAGGGACTTCCAAGATCAAAATTTGGGGACTCGGAAGTAAAATATACCACCGTGGGGGTCGCTATCTCTCCGGTATTCAAAAGTAGCGCCGAAGTTATACCGTGCGGGGGAACATATCTTATCTCGGTGGAGTCCCGAGGCCTGGGGTAGATCGATAGATCGATAGATGGATCCTTAGGTAAAACCCTGAAGATAACAGAAAGATGGCCGGCAAAAAGGCTTTGAGAGGGGTATCCATGACTCCATATATGGAACCGGTCCCATTTCCATCTTTATCTTCCCTATTACTCATTCAATTGCAAATTGCAACATGGAGATCGACAAGAAATCACCCGTGGACGACATCATTAACGAGAAAGATGTTCAAATTGGCACTATAACGGATCTCGATGAAGGAGAGGTCTTCCTCCGCCAAAATGGATTCACTCAAGAGGCCATCCAAGCACTCCTGGATGATGAGCCACGCAACAAGTCGTTGGTCCGCAAGGTTGATCTTGTTTTGTTACCTTTACTTGCCGGGACATTTATGCTCCAGTATATCGACAAGTCAGCCCTCGCCTACTCTGCCGTGTTCGACCTCCTCCCTTCTACAAATATGTCAAGCGAACAATACAGTTGGCTGGCCAGCATATTCTATTTTGCATATCTAGTCGCCGAATATCCATGGAGTACTCTGGCACAGAAAACAAAGCTTGCCAAAGTAGTTTCTGGCAACATTGTTGCCTGGGGAGCAATGCTCATGATCACTGCCGCCTGCTCCTCCTTCACCGGAATGGCTATCTGCCGCTTTCTTCTGGGAGTCTTCGAAGCTCCCATCACCCCTTGTTTTATGATGATGATCGGAATGTGGTACACACGTGCTCAGCAACCATTCCGTGCCGGCGTTTTCTACAGTTGCAACGGACTGGGGGCTATGTTTGGTGGTATTCTCACCTATGGCATTGGACAAATCGACACTATCGCCGTATGGAGAGCTATCTACCTTATTCTAGGTGGTATTACCCTTGTCTGGGGAGTTGTGATGCTTCTCTTCCTCCCGGATGACGTTATCTCGTCAAAGCGCTTCACCCTGGACGAAAAGGCCCTCATCATTGGCCGCGGTCAACTCGGTCAGACCGGTATCATGAATCACAAAATCAAATGGTATCAGATCCGCGAAGCTCTGATTGATCCACAAGTCTGGATCTTGTTCTTGTTCACTTTTCTGAACGAGGTCGTGAATGGTGGCATCGCAAGCTTCGGCAAACTAATTATCAAGGGCTTAACCGATGACTCGGCCACTGCCGTTTCTTTGGGGATCCCTTTTGGAGGATTTCAGATTTTCTATATCCTAGGAGGAACATATCTCGCATCTCGAGTCAAAAACTTCCGAACTGTCGTCATGTTCATTTACTTGATGCCTACTATAATTGGGGCCTGTCTGCTATGGCAGTTGGACCATGAGATGTATAAGGTAGGCGTTTTGTTTGGTTATTATATCATCGGCGCCTACGTCTGTTCTTTAGTACTCGCTTTACAGATGCCAGCCACGAATCTGGGTGGATATACAAAACGTACTACGAGTGTCGCTTTTGTGTTTTTGGCATACTGCGCCGGCAATATAATTGGACCTCACGCATTTCTGGCAGAGGAAGCGCCCATATACCAGACTGGAGTCAAGCTCATTCTAGCATGCTCTTCTGCGCAAGCAGCCTTGGCTGTTTTGCTGCGTTTTGTACTGGCTCGCAGAAACAAGCAGCGAGATGCCGCCGCTGCTGCTGCTGTTGGTCAGGTCGAGTCATCCAGTGATGATAGTGCTGGTGCAGATCTAACTGATTTCGAGGTTAGTGACGGCATATCGTTTATTTCTTCCTGTGACCTATTTACTAACCAGTTGACAGAACCCACACTTCCGATACGTTCTTTGAAATATAGCTTTCAGATCATTGTTTCTCATTAAATTCCATGATTTTGGTATAAAAAATTCCACGTCAGCTATCCCTAGGCTCTTTCGTAGGACTCACAGGGCGGTGCTGCACTGTTGTTTCTGAAATACGGTATCTGTGATTTGGTCGGTCTTGTAGCAAGGCAGTGCAACGGGCCATATGAGCAAATATCCCCAAATTGCATGGATTCTTTTCATAAGCACAGGGTTTCAGGACCTGTTCTCAGTGAGATCAAAAGTGGGCATGTAATCAACTATGCAATCTGATATACTGCAAAATGTATATCCTCCAGGACTTAGGACTTTAGATCAGCTACCTCAACCATGCCATTTGATTTTCATCACTTGATTAGAAAGTAAAAAATGAAAGCATTCAACTCCATACCAGGAGCGCGATAAATGTTCCAGTTACTAGCAGCTAGAGAACTCGAACAGACGTCCATCATCTTGGGTGCACCTGATGACGTTATAAGTCCGGTGGTAGGAGGCAGATATCCACTGGAGTGTAAAGGTTAAGATGGAAATCAAGGGAAACGAATCCGTTGAGCGGCTCTGCATCATCTGCTATTGTTAGGAGGGGTCTACGTATGCGCCTAGGTGCATAGTGCAAAAGTGAGATGAGATTGTTGAGTGTTGTAGAAGCTAAGAGCTAAGACTAAAAGTATGACAGCCATATATATAGTAGTTATGATGGCCTGTGAATACATATTTACTAGACTCATCTCAAGGTCAAAATGTAGTCGATATCCAAGTCTAATGGTGTTGATTGTATGGACATATGGACAATCCATTGAAGGACCATGGCCAATAAACTGACGCGCGAAATAAATCGAGCTACAGAACTAGGAGCTGATAAATCTTGCTTCCTTAGATCCCATATTTTCGTCGTTGTGCTCTAGTTGCCTTCGGCTTGTGTCCCTTCGCTATGAGCAACACGGATAAAAGGGCAGCTAGATTTCAGCATTGTGAGAATAAAGCGACACATTTTACTCTAAATCAGCACTAAGATTTAGTGTCTAATTAGTAATCTCCTCAAATAACCAGCCCGTTACCTAGGTACCTTGTAGCCCATTAGGTGGCTCGACACGGCTGTATGGTATCCGAGAATGTCTAGCGGACACCAAGACGGATCCCGCGGATCCCGCAACATTCTTAGATCAATATATAATTATCACTTCACGGTTGTCATCGCTGATGACATACTGCAGTATCGTTCCCATCTCAAGATCAAAGGACTCACCATCATATCCAATGGCGACTCCGGTCCAGTTCAACAATACCGCAACCTTGGTTTCTCACGCCTATTATCCACCTAACATACTTCTACCACAATATGTGGACAATGAAAGCTCTCCAGTTTGGTTAATTGTTCAATTCGGATTTTTATGGGTATTCGTATTGGTAGCAGCCTCTATCACTATATCTCGTGTGCGACCGACTGCTAGTCAATCAGATAAGCTTGCTTTTGTTTGGATGTGTTTGAGTAAGTTCTACGTTCCATTCTAATGGGACATTTGGGCGTCAGCTTATACATAAAACCCAAAGCGGGATTTATCCATCTCTTTTTCGAAGCATACTTTGTTATACACAACAAAACACTCGCTGGCTCCCAAGAACTATTCGGTCAGCTATGGAAGGAGTATTCTCTGTCTGATTCTCGTTATTTGACATCCGATGCGTTCCTAGTCAGCATGGAGGCTGTTACTGCTGTAGGTCAACGTTTCTCCGGTTCAATTATAGAATATGCCTGACACTGGTCACCTTACTACTTGTAGTTCGCTTGGGGCCCTCTTGCCTTCTATATCGCATATTGCATTGCAGTACAGCATCCCGCACGTTATGCTCTGCAGCTTCTGATTTCTGTGGGTCAGGTGTATGGCGATATTCTTTACTATGCAACTAGCTTGCTTGAAATCTCCTACTGTCGACCAGAAAGATATTACTTCTGGTTCTATTACTTCTTCTTCAACTTCATTTGGATGGTTGTTGGTTGCTGTTCGTGTTTGTTTTCTATATGTGCAGTTTCAATGCTAATATAGTTGTCTTAGATTATGCGAAGCAGAGCATTACGGAGATAACGAAGGGTTTCAAGAAGCTTGCAGAATTTGAAGTCTCATCCAAGAAGAACGAGACTTGAGTTCAAAACAGACACTTTTCTTGGAGATGGGGAGTAATGTTGGAGAAAAGAATTCGTTAACTACTCTTTTGGAAAAGAGAACGAGCATGAGTTCCAGATTATTTCAAGCGCTGCGCGAGGTGTTCTCTATTTTTGCGATTGAACCTGGGCGTATTAGGGCGAAGATGATATGAATGATGGAGACGGCTTTATCACACAGGGTTCCTGGGTAAAACAAAAGTATGTAATCATAATTTTTATGCAAATTGAAATTAGTTGGCCGAGGTTGTTTTTGCAACAGGCCGGGTCAAATATATAAATTAATGTTTTTGCCACAATGGAAAACAAGCCCCGATGCATGACTTTGAGGAGGTATCTTATCTTCGCATACTGCCTAGCTGTCAGGTAGAAAAGACAGCTCGGGTACGATTCAAGCCGGAATACTCTATTTAAATGAGTCTGGCAGTATCAAGATAAAAAGCTATCTCCGTTTTGTAGGTCCTTCGAATGACCTTGCCTCAACTTTAGACAAATCCATATTATCAGCCAGTGTTCCCTGGTGAAACTTGCCCTGGGCTGCACACAGAAGACTTCTTCAAGAAGATTTCTTCGCATCCCCATTCATCCCGACCGTCCTCGTGCTCTTGACCTCTGCAAAAGCCCCCGCACAAGCTCTCACACTATCGGCAATAAGCACTATAGCGCATTAGTCCAATTCTCATTCACAAATCCTAATGAATGGACGAAAAGGAGAATAGCCACTTACAAACTGGAATAACGATCCAGAACCCATTCAACAACACAAAGTACCCATAGAAGTAATAATTTTCAGGCCTCGAGTACTCAATCCCATACACGAAAAAATCAAACGCACAGGTCGCATAGTACAGTACATCCCCGTAAAGCTGTCCAGTTGAAATGATAATCTGCAGCGGGTGGCGGAAGGGATTATCCGTGACGATGAAGGACGCAAGGAGGAAGGATAACGGGCCCCAGCACCAGGCGGTAATGGACTCCATAGACATAACAAAGGCGTGTGAAGTGAGATACCGAGAATCAGACATGGAGTATTCTTTCCAGAGTTGCGCGAGGAGGTGTTGGGAACTTGGAAGGGTGGCGAAGTTCAGGGCATAGTAGCCCTCAAGAATGAGGTGGATGCAGCCGCCTGGTCGTGTGTTAGTACTAGGTTTTGCATAGATAGGGGGAATACGTACATAGGGTAAACCAGAGAACTCTGGAGAGTTCAGGGGTCGTAATGCGAGGGTTTACATTTGTTGCAATGGTTTTGGCGGCTGTCAGGACGATTATGCAGGTGACACCAAATGTAGAGACCAGCGCTAGGGTGCTCCATTCGTTAGGAACGTAGCTGGGGATCTCTACACCCACGGGGTAGTAAGAGTGGAGAGGGGTCATTGTGGATTTTTTGGAGCGTTGGAAGAGAGGAAGAGTAATTTTAGAGAACTCCAGGGTGATCTGAATATGAGGGCATTGGCATGGCTACCTAGTGCCTTTGAACAAACAGGGGTGATAGGTGATACGATTCGGAACAAGACACGGTCGGGTCCCGCGGCTTCCACAAGGATAACACAAAGCACGTGAGTTGGCTCACAACATGGCCCGCTTATGTTCATGATTTTCATTGATAATATGACTATTGTTAGTAGTGAATTGCCAAGGTCAGTCTATTGGATATCATTCTTTTATGTCCGAGTAAATATCTGTTGACCATACGGACCATGGATACCATATAGTTTAGGGACGGCTAGTCCCGATCCCCACGCCTAGTGGCGCGGGATCCCCGGGGGGTTCGCCTTATTTGGTGGAGTCAGATGACGGAATGGGTCACATGGCTTCTAGTGGCGTACACGGTACGGAATAGATAATGACTATAAGTATAATTCAACGTCAATGAAGGAGACTTAGGTTACTCCTTTTCAGAACCCTTCCGAAAGAGCACAACATCATGCTAGTCTAGTCATTATACTTGATGAAGCAAGTCAACTTGGAAATCCATTGGAACCAACACTTAGCCACTCGTAAATGTTAGACGGGACTGAGACCTGGTTTTTTAGTATAGCCGCTGTTTGCTGGACGAGGTCCTGGCGAAAGGACATGTACTTCTCTGCAGCGACACAGTCTGTGGGTAAGCAACAATATCAGCACGGCATCAGGCAGATATATATAAAGCCAGTTACAAAATAACAGGTGCATACTCATAAGGAAGCCGCTGAAGAGAGACTATCTGTGATATTCTTTGGCAATCAAGGTTCGGACCTACGTCCAGGCGCCTTCTTCGGCCGATTTACAAAAGAAACCTATCATTATGCGCACCATACGCCGAGTCCCAGTCCCAAGGTAGCCCCAGGTGTAAAGGAAGCAATCTCGACTCCTCGGGCAGCGCTATCGATAGAGGAAGCCAGTTCGTGCGTCCAGATAATACCGAGGAGTTTTGACAGTCTGTGGCGCTGGCAGCACGTTAATGCATTGGAATCATTAAAGCTACAGAGGGACTAGCTAGCGGGGTTTCCAGTTGGAATATCCTAAAACGCACGTCTCTCGGATGTAACATTGAGTAGTCTGCTTGGTCGAGAATACCAGGCGGAACGGCTGCGTCCAAGAACAGTAAGTAGACAGAGTGAGAGAGCATAAGACGCAAGGTAGTTCACCTGCAGGTGGGTCTTGAACGAGTCTGCTGATCGGGCAAAGCGAAGGTGTCAAACACCGGCATTGACAACTGCAATATCCAGTGAGGGGAGGAGAAGAAATCACTCCGTGAAATCTCGGATCGACCGGAAGGGCTCAATCTTGAGGGGCCACACATCGACCCGAGGCTTTCAACAGCGAAACTCTTGGTCGTTGCGCAGCTTGTCTGCCTTTCCAATCTCCGGAGCGAGGACCTCATAGCCACATTCTCTACACAAGTGGTTTCACCGGCGTACCCAAGGGTATCAGGCTCCATCAAAGGGGTGTTATGAGCTACGCCGTTTTTTTCAAGCAAACTATATGACTCTAGACAACTCAGGGTACTACAACAAACATCCATTGGGTTCGATGCGGCGTTTTTGCAAATCTACAGCGCTTTCACAAATGGTGGGACACTTGTGTCGCTCGAAATTCGAGGCAATCCAGACATTCTTTCCAAGCTCATCCTTGACAAGAAGATTCAATGTACAATGTGCGCCCCGTCGGAATACAGCTTGCTTCTTATCTATGCGTCAGACCGTTTACGGCAATGCACCGATTGGCACTTTGCCGGGGCAGGCGGGGAGTTCTCCTTGAACGACTCGTTGATGCTCTGCGAGGGTTGAAGCTGTCCCGTCTGATGATGACCAATTGGTATGGGCCTGCTGAATTTAGTCTTTCTACGAGCCGAGATATCCCCATACACGATGGCGCTAGTCCCAGCCATGATCAAAGCAAGGATAAGATCGGCTCCCTGATCGGTCATGTTGTTCTAGACGACTCGATTTATATCACCAGTGAGCAGGATGGGAGTCTACTGCCTCTAGGCATGCCAGGGGAAATATGCATCGCTGGCACTATGGTGGCCAATGGCTATCTTGACGCGAGCCTAGATGATGGCGTATTTGTCAAGAATCCGTTCGCTACTCCTCAGGATCTGGAACAAGGATTTACAACCATGTATAAAACTGGGGACAGGAGGCTCGTGGAGAAAGACGGATCAATCACTTTCCTCGGTCTAACTCAACGCGGCAGTACGGTCGTCAAACCTCGAGGTCTCCGTATTGACCTGAATGAGGTGACTGGCGCGGTTTTGGAAGCAGCACCGGACGATTTGGCCGATTTGGCCGACGCGGTTGTGACAGTTCTCGGCGAGCCGCAATACCTCGTATGCTGTGAGGTCTTTCAGCCAGGAAGGCACGTGGAGAACCAACAGCTCATGGATCTCCTACAAACACTTCACCTACCGCGATACATGATCCCAGCCACCATTGTAGTGTTGGACTCTCTGCCACTCGTGCCAAACGGGAAGCTAGATCTTGAGCTTATCCAGAACCTGCCGCTGCTTACGCCTACAACTTCCTCGGGACAAGCACGATCGCAAGTCCCTATGCCAAACGGAGAGCAACTCACAGAAATAGAAGAAAGGCTTCGCGCGCTTTGGATTGATGTCATCGTAGCAGTTGCACGTACAGCCGAGATCGGTCTACACTCTTCCTTCCTCGCAGTCGGTGGAAATTCTTTCCTTTTGGCTCACTTCCAGCATGCTATTAAGCGTGAGATTGAGGTTGAAATTCCCCTTTGTCAATTGGGTCAGGCGTCGGAATTGAGAAATATGGCTGCGGTAATTGACGCAGCACGCTGAACCATCGCCCAGTTTTGCAGGGCTGTGGGGGAAATATATGTTATCTAGTTATCATTTCATAATTCATTTTGCTTGACAGCAATTTCTTTTCATCAAGTGATATTGAATACATAGGCTATGTACGAGTATTAAAAAGGTCTAATTTATAACGCGCAAGTTTAGTTTCTCCAGTTCTGCCTCTCTCCCTTTTGCCCAACTTTTTTCTTTCCCCATCTCCTGCAAGCTTTACAAATGTTACTTATCCCTTCCAGCATCTCATCCATCTCACCTTGCAATTGACCAATTGAGTACTCCATGACAAGTACGTGTAAGCATAAGAACATCGCTTCTGAACCCGAAGTCTTCGAGGCGAAGCGCTCGAGGACACGCTTGGATGCATACGTTTTATCCCAGGAATGCGCCGATGATCTCCTTCTCCTTTTGTTCCAATTTTCGACGCGTTGCACGCATAGCTTCCACAAGCTGGGCGGGAAAAATATCGTCCGGGATATCATTTCAGTTCAATTTCGAGACCAGACGAAGGGTTATATAGGAAGTACGACTGTATACGGGGCTTTCAGAAATCTACTAGGGTAAGAAATTCCATTGGCTTTTAAGCCAACCACTTTCCTTTGCCACTATAGACGGATATTTTGTACTAAAACAAAGAATTTCTACTTGATAGTAATCGCGATTCGGGTCCTAACACGAATGGGAAAAAAAATAAGCAACGACGGCTGCATGATTCGAACATGCGCCCGCGAACGGAATTGATTTCTAGCTGTTGGAATTGTTAGTGAATGATTTTGTGTGATGTTGTCTGAAGAGAAACGTACTCAATCGCCTTAGACCACTCGGCCAAACCGCCGTATTCATGGAATGGGGGTCGGTGCTACAGCTCATGAAAGAAGACTAAAATCTCGGACAATTGGCCGACCCTCCCGAGCTCTTTGTCTTTGTTCAAGAATACCTGGTGTTCGGCCGCTTATGATGTCTTTTCACTAGTCTTTTTTGAATATCCTTTTGAACAGATGTTCTCTTCCACTTCTTAATGTCATAAGTAGACAGCGAAAAAAAAAGCGGAAAAAAAGCGGAAAAAAGCGACTTTTCTATATATAACCTTCGACTACGCCATGCCGCCATTGACGCGCAGAACCTGTCCCGAGACCCAACCACTAGCCGGAGAGCTGAAAAATGCCATGGACTCCGCAATCTCCTCAGGTGTACCCAAGCGTCCTTGCGGGATGAGACTCTTGATGGTGTTCAACACAGATTCTGACTTGCCTCGTGTGAACATCTCAGTGTCGGTCGGACCAGGAGCGACCGCGTTGATGGTGATTCCCTTCGGGCCCAGGTCCTTAGCTAAAACGCGAACCATCTGCTCGATAGCACCCTTTGTGGCCAAATAAAGGAGGTAGGGAGGGCTAACTGTGGAGACGTGACAGAGGGTAGTTGAAACCAGGATGATTCGGGCGGCCGGGCGGAGGTGAGGAACCGCTTTCTATATTAACCATTAGCAACCATCCTTCCTCCATATATTCTACAGATTTTCCGGGTTTCTGGTCTCATACCTGAATCAAAAAGTATGGTCCCTTTACATTCGTGTCCATGCAGTCGTTGAAGTCTTGCTCTGAGGTATTCGCGAGGTCTCTGATGGGTAAAGAACCGGCATTGGCAATGAGAATGTCAATTTGACCGAACTTTTCCAGCGCATGTCGGATCAGCTCGTCGCTGTCGGCCACACTACCTGCATTTCCCTTGACAGCCAGGGCGTTCTGCTCTCCGATTGCGTTCACCACCTCCTGGGCCCCTTTGTCATCGGAGAGATACTGGATAACCACCTTGGCACCATCATGCGCAAGACGAAGAGCAGTCGCTTTGCCAATACCTTTGGAGCCACCGGTGATGATGGCAACCTTGCCAGCGAGAGCAGCCATATCTTTGGCTGTTGATAGGGTAGAATGAACTAATGTCACAAGGCAGGTGAACAAAAATGTTATTTTGACTGATTGATTTTTAGGAAACGAGAAGATAATGCTTGCTTAGATTCCTTTATCACGTCAACACTGTTGATATACGGCCCCTGCGCCGACAGCTTCGTCCCAGCGGAAGGTCAAGCGAGGAACAAGCCACCCCACTAGAAGCAACCTTGCGCCGCTATACCCTCGCAGGCAAGAAAGAAAATGAACAATCCAGCCCCCTTGCAGTCATCTCTTATGCATGATGTAACGATGCAGTTTAAAGATGCGATAGTGAGTCGGCACACAGGCAGAAGTGAACAGGAATTCATGGATTCTTCCACTCCTTGCCAAAATATTTCGCACAAGCGTCCTCAACACCACACAGCTATGCTTGTCAAATGATGGAGACATATACCTACCGGCTACATAACATAGAAAGTATGACGATGATTACTAGCCTGTTAGTCGGATGGTTCCGGTCCTATTTGCCTTTCCATCACTTTAAATGACCCGAAAAGACCGTTGCTGACAGGAAGACGGTGACGTCGAACAAGCGATAGAGGACTTTCAGATCTGGGAAGCGTGTGGGACTCCTTGAAAATCTATAATGGTGGATTTAGATGATAGAACCTCTAAGCTATATGTTCATGACGATTTTGTCCCCAGATCTATGAATATTCTTCACAATTTACAGATTCCTATATGTGATGAAATTTGAGCCATGCTTACCGTACTATTTCCTGTCTCCCGGCTATTAAACTCCCTTGCTATAGATTTAACGCCCATAACCACTCGCTATTGTTAGAGGTTTGTACGGCCCGCATGAGTTTGGTGCCTGGGTCGGAAGATACGAGGATTCAGATATTGGGGAAAACCACACGCTATTTTGGTGGAGCCCAAAGAAACGTCTCAAAAGATGTTCCAGTACATCCAGCCAGTCGTTTGGAGACTAGAGACTAGAAATTCCAGGTACCAAGAAGCCAGAGACGATTGGTTGGAAAAGGCCCAGTCTACCTATGCTATAGATAGACTAATCATCTTACAGTACTAAGTTAAGTTAACCTCTGATTATATAGTATATGGCTCATCGTAAGGGAAGTGACTTACATCGAACTCTGCCGAAATAGCTTTGATCTCATCCTTGAGAATCATTTGCGTGGTGCACATCTTGTCATATGCTGCTGGCTTACCCAACTTGCAATGATCTTGCTGTTGAAAATAGGGCGTATACCGCGGATTCCACCGTCATCCGTGACAGCTGCGAATCCTAGTAGTTGTTGGTCATGGAGGTTGATTAGTACTTGCCTTCCTGGTAGGCGATATCCAATCGTGGTACGCGGGGTTTCCGCATCTGCGCTTATCATATCAAATCCCGTGATGTAAGTCTTTGTCGTTGTCTTTGTTGGTTCATCTAAGATGAATACAGCCAGGCCTATAATGTGGTCTTGTAATGAAACGGCTTGTACCATAGGAATGTGCGCTTCCCAGCAATTTTTGCACTTGTTCCGATCTTTCCCCTGTCTGCAATTTCTATCGCAGCGAATCTTAGCGGCAGCTACCTTCCAGGTTATCTTACTAAGCAAATCATACTGAGATCCAGTCCGATTCAGGACTTCAGCCATTAGGCACCTTTCTGCTAGCCAACGATTATTCATCCAATGTCGACGTAAGGACCAGGGATGGAGATATGGTTGATCAATCCTTGCTGTACAGCGGTACATCGATTGCCAGTTCTTATGTTGGCGGCTGCGGGAATCCACTAGATGGGCTAAAAATCCACGGTCTCCATTTACTCGGAATCTCGTCTTCCAGAATGATTGCAACAAAAATACAAATGCCATCGCTCGGGATACAGATCGAAGACCGAGGAAATCGACAGTGGAAAGGTAGGACGCGATTTCCAGTCGTATCTCTATCGCGAGTAAGCTAAAGCAGTCACTTCTAGGAGTAGCTTTATTGCTATAGCCTATCTCTAAGCGTTGGATTTTCGACAGCTGTTTCGTTGCATCTCCAATTCCCCGGATGAAAGGTCGTTGGAGTGGATACCATGGCTCCTCCACGATTCCGTCGGCCCTTTCGCATGCTTCATATATATATATATATCAGATTAGTGAGGACTAATCTAATGATATTGGCAATGATAGACTCACCCCAGTGTCTTGCTTTTCTCGTAGAGGATCTATTCCTGCAGACCTTGAAGATTCTGTCTAGATTTACCTCCTCGTTGGCAAAATGCTTGATCAAGAGAGACCAACAACAAGAATGAACTAAGAAAGCCTGAGCGGGCTTATTGTTAGCCATAGCCCACCAAAGACCAAGCTTCCTGGCATGAGGGGTATCCTCTGCTTGGCGCCAGTCTATTCGGCTATATAAACATCCGACAACTGGGTTCCGTCCGGGGTTAAATATACTATGAGCGGTAAGCCAGCGGAATAGTTTCATGTCTCATCGGTCGTAAACTTACACGCTTGATAGCTCGCCATCCAAGGATATTTAGCACTAATACGCCATTCACACGATATGCAGTATGAAGACGAATCAGGTTGGTCGGACCGCAAATTGGGCGGGGACTGCGAGCGACCTGACGGCATGGCAGCCGAAATGATCAACAGAATCAACAGGATAGCGATCTGCAATATCTGGAATTGGGAGATGGGAAGTTGAAATTATTAGGCTTAGGCAGTGATTATTTTTCAAAAAAAAGTGAAGAGGTCATCGTGATATCAAGCCTAAAATGTCAAGGATCATTGAACCAAGGTAAGTGGTAGTCCCATCGTCATTTGACCCATGTAACAAAATCTTGAAGCTCTACAGGAACCAGAGGCCAAGGGAGAGAGGAGTTAGAGATTTGTATTGAAAAAAAACAGAGCTTCCAACTATCCACGGCCACTACCGGCCTCAGGGCATAACAACCCAAAAGACCGGAACATATTTCATACAATATCCGATCAGGCCTAAGTCCAGGTGATGATCGAAAGGCCACGTGGCTTTAATGTAAGACTCCGTGGTGTTTCCGTAAATATACATATGGAGACATCTGGATCAAGTGAGTCACGCCTGGCTCACGGTGGGGCTACCGCATGAGAACGCCCTGGACTGCATTGGCAAATAGCAATTTCGCATAGGCAGAATGAAACCATATCATGAATCCTGTCACTGTTCGTTCGTTTTTTTGAGGATTGCAATTAAAGTGCTGTAGCTCGAATTGCACCAGAGGCTCGGCGCCTATACGCGGCGATCGAGTTATTTGGAAACGGTGGCAGCCTGCAAACGTGAACTCATCCGAACCAAACCCATAATCCACGTAACTGGCCCGTTGGTCGGATGATGCCGGTCCTATCTGCTTATCCATAACTTTAAATGATCCGAAAAGAGAGCTGCCGACAGGGAGAAGGTGACGTTGAGGAAGCTCAGAAAGATTCCAGATCTTGGATGCGTGTGGATCTCCTTGGAAACCTATAATGACGATTTCAGCAGATGAAACCTCCAAGGCTTATGTCCGTAGCAATCTTGTCCCCAGATCGGGACCGTCTCCTAGAAAATTGCTCACCCGTATACCGCGCTGGCAACAAATTCCAGCCGCCAATTCGTAGGATAAACCTCTCGAACCCAAAGACAAAGCCGCCAAAGAAACCACGGGTGAATAACGACAGTGCTTCCTCGTCGCTTAGCCCTGCAACAACAGACTCTGGGAATACCTGAGTGACAACATCCGTAGTCGTTACATGATGGCGCGGATTGATAATTTGAAAGGCAGATGAAGTCAGAAACTCTGGGCGCACAGGCAGAGCATAGTGAGACTGGCGGAGTGATTGAAAGAAGGAAAGACGCGGAAGCCACCACTGGGAAGACATGGTCAGAGCTCAAAAGGGTTACAAAAACAATTTGGGTCCTTGTCAGCTCTAGGAAAAAAGACGGTTTTATCAATGCCGTAATGTATCATGACTCATTCAGGATACGAGCCCTGAAATCCTAGATGTCCGGAGGTCAGCATAGGGAATACCAAATTTAGAATAGCTGGTGGGCTCCTGCAAGACTAGTGGTTCGATCGCTCGCCTGTACCTGGAAGTCGTGGAATAAGCCGAAGGGGCCCGGCACGGGCCGGGAAAGACCGGCTCAGATATCACGAAAGCGGTGTAAACACCATAAGATTAGCGAACTCTTACAACTGTACTCCGTGAATGAAGTGATATATATATTTCGTTATTCCACTTGCAGGAGTCCGAAGCTCCTATAAATTTCAATGGCTCAACCACGGATCTACCATCATGGCTGAGGATATCTTGAGAGAAGAAGGTCTTCCTGCTACAACTCCAAGATACCAATATCAAGATGTAGAGCAATGTCTTAGATGCTTTGAACTTGAGTTGGAGCGTTACGACAAGGACGGCAAACCCGGTGCGTACTCATATATAATATTTGATCACGTGGATAATAGCTCCTTCCATGAGTGTTTCGAGGGCGAATCCACAGAAAGCCTACTTACGCATTCATTGGTGACCTATAACTTTATTTCTCATATTGTTGTCCTCAAAATATTGACTCCAATCCATGAGGCCGCTCATAGGGCTTTCAGTGATATTTTTGCCACTTGGCACCGTGGTCAGGAACGCCGTCTTTTGCCCAGAGGAGGGACAGCAGTTGAGGGGTTCACAAGGAAGAAATACCCAGACTCATCTTGGACTACCTCTGTCCATGTACCTGGTAGAGACGTGAAGTGGCCAACCATTCTCGTGGAAGCAGGATGGTCCGAGTCAAGGGCTAAACTGGAACAAGATGTTTTGTTCTGGCTTCGCGAATCGCAGCAACAGGTTAAGGTCACGCTTACAATAAAAGTTACTCCGCGGGGGCAAATCATAATAGAAAGATGGGCCTCGAAGAAAGCGGGTCCTGTGACTTCTGTGGTGCCTATTGAAACTATGCGTATCACTCGAAGCCGACGTTCAAATACAAATCAGCACCCGATATCGGGCTCGATGCATATCCGATTCGAAGACTGTTTCCTTTGCCCAAGGGAACTCAATGAAACAGATTTTGTTCTTTCAAACGACGACATGACTGAAATTGCGGAAGCTGTCTGGAGTTGCCTTCCCGAGTGGCCTGTTTTGACCACCCCTCAGCCTTTATTATTGTGTTGCCAATGCCCAAATTTTCGAATTGAACACCTCCATTTTCCGAGTTGTCTTCGTTGCCAGAAAACTTTTCCGCACCAGCGTCTAGTGATGAGGCATTGCTATTCTTTTCTTCATCATCGCTAGCAATGAAGCTCCCCCTTCCCCTCAATATCAAGCGCTTCTAGAGCCAGGCTCTCATGATCCAAATCATTATACTGCTCTTTATTTTTTATCTCATCACCCATGAGTCATGACATCAATAGAGCCATTACTGTAGGAAGTAGGTACGATCAATTTCAACCATATATATATTTCGTAGTAGGTATGGTACCTAGGTAGTGAGGGTGTGCGAATCGTGCGTTCTGATTGGCTCTCAGGTGTGTGAGTTTGCTGACGGCTTAGGGGTAGCACTTTTCCTGCTCCTTTTTCCCTCACCAAAAAAAGGTATTTTCATATGGGGATTTGTTTATTAGCACTGAACAAAATTAATTCCATGACATTGATAGCAGCCAAAAAGGACAATTCTTGGCAGAAGATCTAAACATAAGCACTGGGGACGAGAAAGAATCTAATAGTGCGAACGTAGTGGAAGTTTATGGGTAGCTCGCGAGCGTAACCAACTCTTCACCCTTGCCTCATTATAGGGTAACCAAAAATCCGCAATAGAGGCACATTGAGGATACTATCCTAAATAGGTGTACATCATCTGATGTGATTACAAAAAGATACATATTTCCAGAGTAATTGGTCGTCTTGAACCAAGCTGCCGCGATCGTACCCCTATGTTCGCCACATATGATGCGCTCATCTTATTCATCTGATCGATAATTTGATGGCCACAATGGCGACCATAGCTACCTGATTTTATTCATACCAAAAAAAGAGTGGTCATGAGATCTTTGTACAAATTAGGCTGTATGATCTCATTCGCTGTGCTGTAGCTCAACTATATAGAGGGCTTTGGTGAGCAAAAAGTCCTTGGTATCGCTATTCGCCTGTGGAAATCACCAAATATCTTCAAAATATTTGAACAAATTTATGGGACACATTTATATTCAACATGTCGGACTTCCTCCGTAGAGCATCTGACGCGTTCCACCATCGCCAGCGTCAAGACTCAACCGCCTCAATGGATACACCCAAATCTCCTGGCGCCCCTGGCGCAGCCAACCCCCTGAGCAAGAATCACTCAATCAAATGACCAATTCCGCTCAGCCTGAATCTCACGTTAATGAGGCTTTTGCTGGCACAGCAAATGGTGCAATCTAACCTTCTCGTCTTCAGCGTCTAGTATATAATAACAACTTCATACAGATAATGTTGCCCAGCCCAAGCAACACCGCCATTGGGGGTGGGGACACGACAAGGGAAGCAAACTAGCCACAAGTCAGCAACCTAGTCAGGGACAAGAAGATATGGACTGGGTTATTGGCACGTAGAAGAATAGTAGTCGACGCAGTGGGTGGAGAAGCTGGCGTCGAGTTTGTGAAGAGACCAACTAGTACCAACACTCTCTTTAGGCCAACAAACTCGGGCTAGACTACTAATTATTGTAATCTAGCCGTACCGTTTATCTACCTATCGTGAATTAATTTGGTATCCCTGTTACGATCTACATTCTGCTGTTTTTCACTGGATTTAAGTCGATACAGATTTGAATTTCAATGAGTTTCTTACTTTATCACGGACCCGGTGAAGAGCATCTTTCACCACCGACTCGGGATCAACGTCCTCAGTATGTACGTGGTCTAACAATTCTTTCGCGCATGCGGCTGCCGCTCCGGCAGCAAATGGTTGCCAACGGTCGCTCTCATGATACTCAGTGTAATATGAGATTCCGCGGATTATAACACAGGGAAATGTGTGCATCAAATCCTGCGGCTTCTATTTCAAGGCAGATCGTCCCACGGACAAGTCCGTCTTTGATCACCACACTGCGAGAGGCTATAGCTCCATAATAGATGATAGGAGCCTTATCCATCCTTGGCTTCTGGTCAACCTGCTCTGACCCCAATCACATTTTGAGCAGGGCTTGCCAGTAGTACGGAGATACTTGGGCTGAAAGAGTTAATCAAATATCTGGGCCGGAGGAGAATACCTTTTTTTTTTGTTCCTCGTATGACTGGATATATTTCCAATATTTGCTCAACATGATCACTCATCTTATGATGATGACATGTTCGAATCTGAGCTTCCGGAGTGTGGATCCCAACCACCGAGGGGCTCTTCGACATACAACGTAGAAATACTCTGGAAATATCAGTCTGCAATTTTCTTTCCGAGCTCATAGAACGAGCTCCCCATTTGAGAGGCGACCGCTACGCCTAGCCAGCGTCAGTGGGCGGATACTAGCACAAATCGAGAAGAGCTAATTTTCAATGCTTTTAATCCGTAGCCTATGGATGCTGGTTAAAAAAGGCCGATTTCTGCTTCCTTGGCTCTTACACTTGGGCTTAGGATTTATATTAAAAACAAATATAGCTAGGAATGCTAAATTGACGAACCGTGTACTAGAAGAAGGTAGACTGCGAACTAGAAACGAAATTTGAAAGGCAATAAGAAAGGATAATTCCAAAATCAATCAACAACACAAAGCAACGTGGCTCAGGAGGGAAGGCATGACTCAAAGATGTTCCATACTTCAGGAAATACACGAGCGCTGTTATAGGATTAATCAGACCAAGGATCATATCCTTCAGGCCATCCCAACTCCTCCGCGAGCTCCGACCATTGGAAACTTTCGTAGTCATCATAATGTTCAGTATTATGTTGCGAGCTTCGAGTATACTGTGTGGCAGGAAGCTTCCCCTTGCGTTTGCCGTATTTTTTTCGGTTCGGTGCGAGTCTCTGCTCTTCCTGGAGTCGAGCCTTTTCCGCCCACAATTTAAGTTCCTCCGGGTTTCTGATGCACCAGATGGTGACATCTCGTGCTGCATGTGCATCCTCTAAAGCACTATGCCCGCAACTGCCTGTCTGTATATCCAAGCCCAAGAGGTCTTTCGCAAGTCTTTTCAACCCCCACATGCGGGTCAATGGCTTCGTTGATGGGATGGATGGGAAGACAGTCTCAGCAGTCAAGATCGCGGAGTCGACGACTTTTGCATGAGATATGCCTAGTACTTCGAGATCATAGTGGAGAGAATGACCAACCAACACAGTCGAATCGTCCATAAAATCCCATAATTTGTCGCGCGCCTCTCGCCAGTTTCTAAATGCTGCACCAGAGGCAACAGCGCTGGTCATGATGGCCTGTGTCACGCCACTGAACTCAGACCTCCAGTCAAGTACCTCCTCGGTCGGAGTAACATAGCGACTTATAAGAACTTCGCCAGTCAAAAAGTTGATGGCACTGAGAAAAGCGAGTGCTTGGCGACCATTTTTGACTCCGACCATCTCACAGTCAATGGCGATGGCAGAAATATTGCCTGGATCTTGTAGCTCTCTGCGAGGTGTATCTCGAAAGTGATAGGTCTGAATGGACCCTTTGCATGGGCGTTTCTTGTTTCTTAGGCATGCTGGACCTAGGATATATCCTTCCGTCTGAAGACGATCCCATGAATGACACCTCGAGCGTAGATATCGCAAGATGAGGTTCTGTTCCAGAGGATGTATATATGCTGGATAAAGAGCGATGCCAGATGTACTATTTGGTAAACCTTCTGTTGCAATGAATGTAAGCCTTGGATTAATCGGTAGGTAGATTTGAGGCTCTTTACCTGTGATGAGGCCCCCTTCCAAGTTCAATACTGGCATATAAGCCAATAGGTTATGTGACAAATGGCCGTGTTGAATCTCCGGTCCCTGTTTAGAGAGTTTGGAGGCTCTCTCGGGGGTATCTGTTTGGACAGCTTTCGACTGTACAACTGGTGTTGCCACTGCATTTTTTGATGGCACACTTGGGGATAGTATCCGGCGACTATCACTTGGTATACTGGACGAAACAGACTTATCATACTTTTGATAATGTTGTATAATCGCCAACTCATCCTTGAAGTTTATTTTGCAAACAGGACACTGAAAAGCATGGCCCTCCTCTATGAAATGAGTTTTGACAGCAATCAGACTCCGAAAATCTTTCCTCTCACACCTAGGACAGGAAAATCGATTTGAAGACTTTTTACTCATGTTCATAAAATCGAAGCCGATGGGAATAACAACCGTACGCAGGCTCCGCTTAAATAATAGATTTAGAGACGACTTGCGCTCTTTATTTGTCTGCCCAAAAATGAGACTAGTTCTCAAGGCATACACGTAGTCAAATTCATGCATACTGTGGCAGGAAACTATTGGCAGTTGCAGGGGTTTTCGAACTGCGCGCTGCGGTACGCTGCTTCGCCACAACTCCCGCGCAGTCATGCGATTTCATTATCTTGGTCTGGTCTACAGATTGCAAAGCCAGTAGTCAAAAGTCATTCCACAAAGGGTGCATCTTTAGATGCTGACAGACTTTCTCAAGTGCAAAATTTCGCCCAATAATTTTCCGCTCTCACATTGTTAGGGTCAGTGCGTCGCTCCGGGCCGAAGGATTGATTCTCTCTCACTAGGCTCTCACCCCATTTTTTGCCTACTTAAATAACGAAAGCCCAACTGGGCAGTTTTCGAGGCATGCGAGAGAAATATATATTATCTAGGTACTACTTTGGAATTGGCTTTCTTTCATAGGTATTTTCTCCGTAATAGAGTAGGATTGAATTCAGGGCATACAGGTCCAAGTTTATGATATGATAATATTTTGTTGTGGATGCCTTGGTGCCTTAGGCATTCACCCTCGATAGTAGATAGTTCGGGAGTTTGCTCCCTTTAGGAATCTAACTCTCTCCCTCCTCTCGCTCTGGATACTACTACGTAGTCTCCATCATATTTACATACCGTAACTACAGGTTGGGTGCTAGTATTAGTTAATTCGGATCAACAGGAGATCCTGAAAATATTAGTGATCCTAATGATGTCCCTAAATTTTGGGTTCTCTATTATACATTGTATAAACGATAATCTTTTTGAATATTTGGATACTCGATAATGGAGGATATTAGTATAAGTACCATTTTTTGTTCCAACTTATACCTAAGATCTTTTAGAAGCTTTGAAATGGATAAGACGAGAATGTGTAAAGGTCAACGTGAAACTCTCATGTTGGGATTCTAACCAAATGGTCGTCTTAAATCTCCGGTCCCTGTTCAGACGGTTTCAAGGGAGAGTGTTATACGTAGTCCGTAGTTAACTAACTAGTTAGTTCGCTCATATTAGGCAAACCAACGGTAGCAAACAATCTGCAAACATGTAAACTCCATACAAACACTACAAAATACTGCAAACAATCAAACATGTACTTTTGATCGCCAGCAGCAACTATGATTGGCAGATAAACCTGATCGCTCAGTTTGCAAATCGGAGATAATGGACTTTGTGAACCATGCAAACATGAAGGAGTGTCGTAAGTCTTTCTGAGCGGACTATAAGATGAATATGATATCCATTGGAATGTAGTAAACAGATCAAGACCGTTATCACTGCTGAGACTAAAACTATAACTATGACTTACAATCGTATCGCTGTCTATGGACACCGGGGCTGGGTTAGCTCTACTATCTTCGCCGCCCTCGTACAGTCTGGAGCCCCTATCAAGGTTCTCTATCGACCCAGCTCCGACGTGAGTGATCTTCCTGAAGGTATCACCTCGGTCAAGGTAGATGTGGAAGACCAACAGGCGCTTGAAGCCGCGTTACAGGATGTTGACATTGTAATGTAAGTTGATCATGCTCAATTTAGGAGTGACTTCATAAACTGATCGCTAATTTGGATTCCAAAGCTCGCTGGTTGGTCAAGAAGGCGTTGCGCGTCAACATGGATTTGTGAAAGCTATACCTCACACCAATGTCAAGCTTTTCGTGCCCTCAGATCTGGCGTTCCGCTGCGATGAACAGGGACTACGAGTTCCAGTGAACAAAGTGAAATTCGAAGTCGAGATTGCCGCCAAGAATGCTGGCATCCCGACCACTATTATTTTGCCAGGCTATTTCGCGGAGTCTTCTCTGAGTTCGTTGTAGGTCTTGTATCTTGGATCGCATTCATGAATTTGACGCTAATATGCTGGAACTTTAGCCTGATTGGAGTTGATCTTCCCGGGAATCGCATTGTCTTCACTGGGGACAGCGAACACCAGATTGTGAACATTTGGTTAGTATACATCAACGTATCCAGTATTATTCTGCGACCGGGAAATATTAATAAGGTCTGCGTTTTAATAGCACAAGAGAATACGTTGCAGCCGCATACGCGGCGATCTTCGCCCAAACGCCCATCTCCCAACTCCAGGACACTGTCATCGGCCTATCAGAGCTGCGCGTCACAGGACAGGATGTTGCGAAAGCACTGGAAAGGAAGCATAATGCTCCCCCTACGGTATTCCGACACAGTCTAAAGGAAGCGGATCGTCAAATGCAAATCCGTTTGGACCAAGGTCGACCTCTCGCGCTGGCATGGTATTGTCGGAGAGTCTGGGGTTCGGGTGAGGTGCAGAACGTGATCGGATCTAATATCTGGGAAATACCAGGGTACCAGAAAAAGACCTTGAAGGACTTGATTGAGGACGGGGAATTAGTTGCCTATCGTAAAGCAACGCCGGAGTTGAAGGCCGCTCTGGAGCAGACATTTTATTGAACCTTTGATGATGCGTGTTAATCTAATTTGATGTTCCTGGCTATAGGTTGTAACAAACTGGGCTCTGATTAGAACCTTGGAATAAAGGATTTAATGCCTAAGCTATCTTCGCATGCGTCCGGCACCTACTTTGGCGCTTAGTATCTTAAGCGGAGTTCAATTATAAACCAAATTTCTGGCTTCCAGGCAGTTCAATATATTGTAAGTAGAGCTAAGAATTACACTCAGAATAGGTACGGCACAATATCACAGTCTTCTTCGTGGTCAAAAGACTCAAATTTCCCTTTCAGCCTCCCACTCGCAGGGTTGGTATATTGCGTCTCATCGGTACTCGGCTTACACGTCCAGACTAGGTCGTCTTCTTCGCGCAGCAAAACGGCAATTGGAAGATGACAGATGTGTCTGGGCACTATCACACCCTGGCTCGGAAGACAGCAGTGTGATCCAAGTATCAACATAGCGGACTTGTTTGCAGTTTTCTTGCTCGACGTCGTTTGTGGGCTTTTCTGGGCTGGGAAGAAGTACATGTCCCGTGATTCCACCGACCGTGGCAGGAATATTGGATTCTTCAGGTAGCATACATCAAGGCTCGCTGTGCTAGGCGAGCTAGTGTTTGCTGTCGGGCGGAAAAGAGGGATTCGGATGAGATCGAGTCTGTCATTACTGGTCGTGAAGAAAAGGTGCTTGTCAGTCCAAGTGAGGAAGTAGGGTAGCTTTGAAACAGATAATTTAGAGGTGCTGCCGAGCTCAAGGGTTGTTCGGAAGATTAGTAGAGGTGGACTGTTGGTTGTCTTTCGCACTGACAGTCTGTGAGTCGATACCTGGAGGCTGAGCAGCATAGACGGCGACTCATCATTCTTATTCTTTTTGACATTCTCGCGAGCCTCCAATGCTGCAAAGTGGACGTGATGACCGTCACGCGAGAAATATGCCTTGACAAAGATGTGACAGCTGCGATATCCAGTTCGACATAGGTCGCGTGTGAAGTAGGTGTTGTACTGATAGTTGGCAAACAGAACCTCCCCATCACCAAGGGGCCAAACCAAAAGGGGTTTGGATGGATGGAAGACCGGAGGCGAGTCAAACAGACTACTCTTGATAAAGCAGGTGAAATGGAAGACGGGGATCTGTTCCTTTCTGGTAGCGTCATACACCCGAATGCTTGTGCGGCGAGTCCCCTCAGCCTTGATAGTTTTGTTGCCGATCATCAAATTTTCGAATTGAACGCCGTCTTCATTTTCCGAGTCGTCTTCGTTGTCAGACAAACTATATGTCGTCGCAGAATCCATACTTTCGACGTCAGCATTATCCGCATCGCTAACTGCTGGCATCAGATCATCTCTATCATTCAATCCGTCGCTTTCATCATCTGAGTCTGAAAGAACACTTTCCACACCAGCATCGAGCAGTGATGCGTTGCCGTCGCTCCCGATAAAGCTTCCTCTGTCCTCAATGTCGAGCTCTTCCAGAGCCAACTTCTCATGATCCCAATCATTCCATTGCTCTTCATCTTCCGTCTCATCGGACATGATATCAGTGGATCCTTCAGTCCAGGAAGTATAGGCCGAGTTGTGGGCATATTCGGAAGATTCTTCTAACAGGTCATCTGTACAACCTGACTGCGCTGTTGCGAGCTCCAAGGCTTTTTCTCTCTGTGTTGTTTGGTTCAAATTTTCAGGCTCTTCCAGCGTCGATACTAATGCAGACAGGACACTGGTATCACTAGTGCCCATGCCGCTATCGCTGTCATTTTCATGATCTTTCGTAAATATACTCGTTGGCTGCGTAGTATTCGGGGTCGAATTTGAACCTGTTTTTGTGCGTTGGTCCAATTCTTCCACGGTTTCTTCCAATTCCTGAATCACGATTTCGGCATAATCAATTATCCCCTCTTCGCCAACCATTTGCTCTGGGACTTTGACGTCACCCATGGAGAGAGGTCGTCTTGTTCCCACGGCAATAAAATTACCATCGCTGGCCATCTCATCAAAGTAATCTTCTTCCGGATTAAGGATAGAAAGTTGCGTATATTTATGATCACCTCCTTTGATGAACACCTGGGATCCAATGCGCATGAATTGCAAGTCCTTGGTAAATGAAACCAGGCGAGGTCGACCAGGAACCTCCTTAGCCAAGGGGTATTCATAGAGAGGCCACATTGAGGAGGACGCGTACAGGGTTTCAACTGTTTGAAGCTTAGACTGACGACCATTCAGACACCAATGCTCGCAGCAAAACTCCAGTCTTTCACGTTCTCTATAGGTATTTTATTAGTGAGCGTTCGCCATTGCGTAACAGAAACGAATCTAGGAAGTTTTCATAACTCACAATTTCACCAGTTTCAGCACTGTCAGCAATTTTCCTGTCTCATCAACACCTTCGAAGCACCGAATGGGTGTTTCAATATGGCTATCATCATCTGCGGAGAACATCAAACTCTTGTATCGGCTAGGACCCTTGTTGAGGTAGTTGTGGGATCCCAATGCGCCAAAGAAACATCTGTCAATTTCACCTTGGTAGGCGCCCATGAAGCTAGTCTCGCCGTCCAGCAAAGGTCCCCATTCTCCGACAAAAGCCCCGTAGTCTCTTGCGAATGCCTCGTCGCAATTACTTTCCAGCCAGTAAGGGAAAACACGTTTAATATGTCTCCCAGCCCAGGGGCGTGAGCCATCATACCAAAAGCGAAACTGGCCTAAAAGATCCATGAGTCAATTTGTCTTCGAGGAGAAAGGAAGAGGATGGCTACATACCGTCAATGAATAGACTTTGTATTTGCAATAAAGTAAAAAACTGGGGGCTAGTAATGAGCCTGGAGGCCTTTTCGCCAAATTCCGATGAGTAACCGACGTCGTCCAAATGCTTATCCCAATATTTGGCAGCGTAAGAAAGAAGATGGTGGTTCATAATGTCATCTTCAACACAGTCGACAAATGTCTCGCCCTTCCTGGCAAGCAAGCGCTGATAACGTGGCTGCAAGAGATACTTTTGGCAAATATTTGCCATTACATCGTTCGTGAGAGAATATGCTGGCGGGTTGGAGTTGCCTATCAGAATTTCAGAGTTTTTGAGGAGAAAGCTTTTGACAGAACCATGCGTGAGAGTGCAAATCGCAATTTTTCCTTCTGGGCCCTCAGTCTCATGGACTTGAACAAGAGGTTGACAAAGCTCCAGAATTTTGCTTTTCTTGACAATCTTCTGGCTCCTATCAATATCATGTCCTTCATAACCTTTCACCATGGCTGTACATTCACAAAGCTCGTCCAACCGTAGAGGCCGTTTCGCGTGTACGATACAGGCAAGAAGGATTCTGGAATCTGAAGTTAGCAAGGTTCCTAATCAGGCCCACAAGAGTTCGGAATGGTACATACGAAACAAATTCCCTCAGAGCAGGCTGGATGCTTTCCATCTTTCGCTGGTAGTACCTCTCATAACTTTCAGGGAGCCCATCCTTAATGACCTGTTGAATCATCCCTAGCGTTACAGCATCTGACATTGACTCTAACATCAATGAAGCCCACAGAAAGCATCCATCAGCTTTCTCGCGTAGATCTCTAAGAACCAAGTTTGTATACCCTGCATCAAGTTCGAAGCTGTCCAAATCTGTGATCCTCTGTGACAGATACCTCTCGATGTCACAGCTGTTAAGGTCCTTAGTGATATGAATTGATGGAAGGCCTTTGAGATGAGGGTCAAGGCAGGTGCGATGTTGCGAGCTGTACCAACAGCGCAGGCGGTTTGGTGTTGTACGGCTCAATTCCCCCAAGAATTCCAGAACTTTGAAAATCTCCTTCTTCCTACCATCCTTTTCACACTCCTCGTCAAGGCCGTCCAAAAAGACATAGGTTACGGTCATTTCGTCTACAAGCAATTTGATAAATTGCTTGATGTCTTCCACGTTCGCAGTTGTCGCGCCTTCCTGTGTGAATTTGTGGATGTCCTTGGGGATGTCACCGGTCTGTTTTCCCAGCTGATTTACAAGTTGCTCAGCAAGACACCGATATACCAATAAAGATGGAAACTCTTCATCAAAAGTGAAGTATTGGTAGATGACGGCCGATCCGTTAGAGCTGATCTCATTCATCTTTTCAACGGCGTATGCAGTCAATACGGACTTTCCAGCACCTGGAGCAGCCTTCACCCATAGCTGGGAAGTTGGGCTACTGCTATCCATCCATTCCTTCATGATGGGATGCTCAAATAACCAATCACAAGTATCTGGGCTTCGTCGCTCGAGTTTATTGTCGCGATGGCGGAAATTGCTCCCGTTGAGCGGCAAGGTCCCATCCCGCAGCCACTTTCGCACCTCTTCCTGCCTCTGCATTTTTCTTTCTTCTTTACGCTTTTCCATCTCTTCCGCATACATCTGGAGGAGTAATTTCTGTTCCTCTCGGGCGATACCGGCAAGTCGGCGCTCTTCGGCTGCATTCTCACGCTCCCCTCTGTCCACGCGCTCCTGAACGACAGGTACAAGTCGGCCCATGCTGTCCGCAGTATTTGCAATGCTTGTGACAATCCCATCAATTTTCTCGATGCTAAACTTAGCCATCGCTCGAAGGGCACGATTAGCCACGCAGCGATTACACTCCTTGTCGACCCGTCGCCAAAAGCGAATGATATCGATGTACGATGTTTGCAACAACTCCCGCATCGTGGATGAGTGGTCGAATAGTTCTTCATATTCGGAAAGCACGACGAGGTGAGTGTTCAATTTTTTGATTTGATCGGATATCTTATCGTAAAGCTCGAGGAACCGCTTAGAGCCCTCAATCGCAGACCTCAAGCAGCCCCATATAATAGCCGTGGGCATTGGGTCTGCCGAGACGAGTACATCGACGATCCCTGAATAAGCACTCAGAACTTGCACTACAGGTCCCAAGATTTTGCGAGCTGCACGAGCTGCCGTGCGGTCGTCCGCTTGGCGCTCCAACTGGATGATATCGTTCTTGATCGCACCAGCTATTGGTACCCCAGAGCGTTGTTGCTCCTGCAATTTTTGGAAGAATTGTCGTGTTTTGCTCTTCGTTGATCGGGGTTTGTTGATATATTCATCCAGCGCACGCGCAAATGCTGCAGAGCCTCCTGTCGCTCCAACGTCCTCAGTAGCATTCTCGGGCATTTTGGGCCGGTCAGTGGACTAGAGCTCGTATCTCAAAGATGGAATGATATGTAGTCAATAAAAAGCCCAATCTATCATCAACTGTTAGTACCTCACTGCTGACAAAAGGTCAAGAATCAGTCCACGGGTTCCCGCTCCACGCAATATGTTAGAAAGCTATCCATCCAATCAATTATGGAACCGAACAGGCTAAGATGCATGACTCGTCACAAGTGCTGACGCTTTTAACAGGAATAATAGGCGCTAAGGAGCTATACGAGATATCGGCCCCCGCCCCTTTCACCGCCGATCATTACACACTACTAGTAAGCACTAGTTATGGCTCGTCTTGTTGTTCCGGTACTTAGCTTTTACTAAAATTACTCTCGCCTTCTATTTACCTTAATGGTTAGTATTATTGCAGACTAGACAAAGCCCATCATTAAGCTAGTTAAAGACTAGAGCTTCTGCCTTGAGAGTTGAATTGGTTAATAGGAAGGCCTAGTAGCCCTGGAGGTACATAACTCTGGGGCTTTTCGCTGTTTATTAGAGCCTCATTAGGTACGTATTTGTGAGCCAACGCTATAATCGATCGCCACTCCACGTAGCCTCTTGGCAAAATATATGAGAGCTATCCAATCAGCTGTTACATTTACATCACCCAATAGGCTAGGATGCATGTCGCGTTACAAGCGCTGACGGTTTTGACAGGGGATAGGTGTCAAGGAGCTATACTAGATAATGCCCGTCCCCGTCGATCGTCCCGCCTCGACACTTCTTGTAAACACCGAGGGGCTCGGCTCTTCTCACCCACACTTTGCCCCAAAAGATTGATTGTCTCTTCTATTTGCCTTAAAAGTTAGCAATATGGCGGACCAGACAGCGTCTGGCATACCAGCGAAAACCGCCTCTGAAGAACCTCCAAAGACTTCAATTCAGCGTGTTATGACCGACCATGGCAACAAATCGCAGCGCTTATTGCGCGTTGATCAGATGTGAGAAACTTGAAGCTGTAGCCTTTAGAACAAAGTTGACCGCTCATGCTAACTTGAATATTGTGCCAACTAGATATAGCAGGTAAGGACTGAATCCTGCAGCAACCCTAGTGAAATCGTGCCCATTAAACTCCAATCAAGGAAGGACCGACAGGTTCATTTTGTGAAGACCGCGAAAGCAAAGGCCAAGCCCGATCGTTTTAGCAAGACTGCAATGGTCGTTCGCCGAGTTATCACGAAACAAGGCATGGTCTCCCACACAGAGATCGATATCCGGTCACCTTTGCTGCAAAACTTATTTCGCGATCTTTTTAAAGGGATCGAGGGTCTGGAGCTGAACAAGTCTCCTCCAATTGTTAGTCTGAAGCCTTAAAGCAGAATTTGGATATATTAGAATATGGGAAGACTAACCAAACTTTTTCAGGCCACCCCAGAGCTCTTATTTTGGGCCGCGCCGGATCTGATTCGAATCAAAGAGGAGGAAAAGCAAAAGACGTCTCCTAATCAACATCTGATCAACGATATCGGAACAGCTCTGCGTTTTGTTGAAGAGGACTATGCAAGCACGATTGTCAGCCTAAAGTCCCTTCTAGAGGAAAAGCAAATTACCTGGGATCTTCTTTGGGCTATCTTCCCACCAAGGGAAGTAATTATTGCGCCCCGATTTGGTACTCTTTTCGAGGAGCAGGCCTTGAATTTGAAGAATTCGGAGTACAAGACACGTCCAAATGGTACCTTCTACTTCTCGGCGAATGGCCAGGTCATTAAGCATGATGGCGAAGACTTCGGTACAGCAACCGTAACATTGGAAATAGACAAGTATGAGGGTTCTCGGACGATAGGTAGCCTAACCTTCTTTCCGATAAAGCACCATGACCAAGAGTTTGCAGTCCGAGAAAGACTCATTGCACGAGGAAGGAAGTTTCTCGCGTTATTAGAACAACCTGCTTGCAGAGACTATACCATTACAAATGCTGTCAAGGAGGTTACTTTGCCAGATGGAAAGTCAATTCCAGAAAATTTCAGTGTTGGTTTTAGCGCATGGTTTTTCGTTACTTGATTTCTGATGCTGACCAACATCTATAGGCTCTTGGAAGAACCATGGTCGACCCTCCTGGGTATTATTTTCACAACACTTCGTCGGATTTGAATGAGCCTTGGGTCTACTCAACAGATAAGCTAGATTCTGCTAGTTTGTCCGAGGATCAATTATTGATTTGTGACTCATGTATCAACGGCTTCAGCTTTGCACAGAAAGTTTGGTGCAAACTTGCGGTGAGGGCGCTTTCTGAAGTTGAGTGGAATCACAATGCCTTCAAAAGACTAGTTATGGAAGAGAATCGCCGACAGCTTATCCATGGGCTTGTTCAAGGCCACCGGCAGGATGATGCAGTCTTTGATGACATTGTGGCTAACAAGGGCCAAGGTCTTATTGCCCTTCTGACAGGAAGTCCTGGTGTGGGGAAAACACTGACTGCAGAGGCTGTTGCCGAAGTCACTCAGCGCCCACTGTATGTGGTCGCAACTGGTGAACTAGGAATCGACCCTGATGAAGTCGATAATCGCCTAAATGTTATTTTAGACATCACACGGCGATGGGGCTGCGTTCTTCTAATTGATGAAGCAGATGTCTTCCTTTCGACGCGTGGTAAGGATCTAGCCCGGGATGCGTTGGTGAGCGTTTTCCTCAGACGACTCGAATAGTAAGTCTAGCCTTTTGTTTTTATCACATATTGGGTCTGTACTCACAAATCAACTATAGTTTCCGTGGCGTAGCAATCCTCACCACAAACAGGAAACACGACATCGACCCAGCTTTCATGAGTAAGTTCATAGTTCCCATAGGTGTGTCCTCCTCCTTTGGATCAGCTAACGGATTTCCTGATTCCTTACAGGCCGAATCCATTTCACCCTTCACTACCCAGATCTTGATGCGAACAAGCGACAGGAAGTGTGGAAGAGTTTCTTGTCAAGTGTTGCGAAAACATCAGAGCTGTCCGAATTTACAGCCGATGACTTTTCCGCCTTGTCGAGGCATCCTCTGAATGGCCGACAAGTTCGTTCAAACACATACCTCAAAAGGAAACTAAGCTGACTGGTTGTTTTAGATCAAGAATGTTGTCTCCTGTACAGTGTCCCTTGCAAGGGTGAGGAAGAAGAAGATCACGGTAGAGGATATCGAGAACCTACTGAGTGTTATGATTGATTGAAGCCATTCAGGATATATATTTTGCGAGAAACTTCGAATTTATGACCCCTTTAATAATCACTTCTGTGGAAAAATATGGAGGCTTCAAAACATAAACCACTATAAAATCCGAAGCTTCATTTTACTGCTTGTGGTTCACAGGATGTAAATTCTAACCTTACAAGGTCAAATAAGGTGTGCTACTTCATGCGATATAGTTCATAAGCGAATGCATAAAATGCGCTATTTTCCAACAAAAGCTACAAATATGTACCACAACGCCGCAGTCATAACTATTCTTTGAGATAAACCAGATATCATCTAAAAAGTATTGGTCTATTAGACAAACTCTATATAGACTACTGTTGTTAAGATATGTATCAAGTTCTCATGTATTGCATTCACTAGACTCCCGCAGAGCCCACAAAGCCCAAAGCCCAACCCGGACCCAATTCGCGGATGGGCCCCAAGCAGTACAAATATGCCGAGAATTCAGAAGTTGAACCCCCTAAAAGGGTTTTCAAAATTACCCTTCGTTTTACCCCCGTTTCTAAGCCTTATCCTGAAGGTAATATTTTATTAATTTAAATGATTTAGAATCAATCGCTAGTTGTCTCTCTATATCACGTTTAAAACTATCAAAAAGCGCGTTATTTAGATAGTTCATAAATTACAGAAGTTCACTAAGAAAGATGTAATAGTACTCATATACCAACCCAGAATATATATCCTGCCAAAACATTAATGGCATCTCGACTTCTATCCGTTAGATTTGATTCAAAATTAAAGCATATACTTATATAGCTAATATAATTCTAGATTTCTAAATTTGAACTTTATATACCTAGTGGAAGGTCGTAATACAGCGATTACAGAGGCCGCCTAGGATTGGCTTTAATGGGGGGCTTATGGGCACCCACTGATGGGCTGTGGGTTGGGTCGGGTTTCGAGAGTAGAGCCCATTTATGGGCTTTGCGGAAGTCTAGCATTTACTATGGTGGTTGGGGTCGCTTGCGAACTACGTGAACAACCATAAAATCAGGCTTATTCAGGCATCAACTCCGAAAACATTTAATTTGGGATGAAAGTAAAACACAGTCAATTCCCTGAACAATCCTTCATTTAAATGAAACTTTGAATAATTATCAAACAAAACTCCCGATACCAAACATTCCTCCAGCGGTGGTTTCCTCAACTAAATACATGCAAGTCAGAGCCCATGTGTAAGCCGGGGGAAAACAACGGGATCGCTATTCTCAAGATTTGCAAAAAATGCTCCGACCACAGCTGGAAGACCCAGTTTTTCTGCTTTCTTGGCCCATTCGGCAGGGGAGAGAACCTGGGCCACAACACCAGTCTCCTTCTCAATATATTCCTTTAAATCCGAGAAAGGAATGTCAGAATCCCCAATCAGATTGGTATATTTGAGTTGCGATTTCGAAGCCAATAGGGTCAGATGAAGTCCACCCATGATCCCCTCCACGACTGTTTCCAGTGAAACGACATTCAAAGTACCACGGAGTTGAGGTGAGACTGGCACTGCCTGCAACATTCGGGAGAGGCGGAGAAGGTTCGGCATCAGCTCGAGAGTTTCCGTAGCATTCTCATGAGAGATGCTGCTTGGCCGATAAATGGTAATGGGGAGCCCGGACCTATCATGAATCTTTTCAAGATATCGTTCACTGGCCCATTTGGAAGATGTGTACCCATCAAGCCCATCCGTAGGCGGCAGGTAAGAAGATACGGACTCCTCCCCAAAGACGGCCCGCTGGGAAAAGAAAGTTACCCCGGCAGTGGAGACAAAATGGAATGGTATGTGACGGCCCAAGGCCAATTCGACGAGCTTGGAAGTGGCCTCGAAATTTGCAGCTTTGAGACTGCGGTAGGACTTGAGGTGAGAAACATCGGCCCCATTGTGTATGATCGCGTCCGCTGTGCTGAAAATTGTTTCAGCCTCCGCGTCAGAGAGCCCCAACTTCGGGTGGGTGAGATCTCCTTCGAAAACGATAACTTTGCTATAAATCTTCGCCAAATTCCGGTCTTTACCGCCTCTAACAGCGATGCAATAGATCGTGGTAATGTTAGTGTCATCTTGCAAAGCCTGCAGCAAACCGGTTCCAACGTAACCAGTGGCCCCAGTTAGTACCACTGCTTTAGCTGGGTATGTCACTGAGGAATTCGCAGAAGAGAACTGGGTCAGGATGTCTGGATTTGGGTCAGATTCACGCTCCCAGTCGATGTTCTCAAGTACTTTTAGTGAGTGATTGAAATCAATTTTTGCAGCCATAAGGCGCAACGTGCTGGCTTGGAACAATTGAATCAAAGGCAAAATAGTCCCAAAATCATCCCCAATTCTTGCCTGTAGGTGCAGGAGCAATAGAGAAGAGCCTCCCACAAGGAAGAAATCTGTGTCACTCGAGATAGTCTGTCGAGTAATATCTTTCGGTATCACTTTTTTCCAGGTCTCATGCAACTTCCGTTCTGTTGCCGTAAGTTTCCCCTGGTCTACTGCTTGATGAGGCCAGTTGTTTGCTGACAAAGGGATAGTGTTGAGAGATCTCCGGTCCATCTTCATCGACGAATTCATAGGTAGCTTTTCCATGGCGATCACCGCTGCGGGCCACATATATTGGGGCAATGGAAGCATTAACGGAAGCTTACTCAAGAATTCGTCTCGTTTCTCATCTGGGAAAGCATTTGAGAACACGACGTAGGCAACAAGAAAGTCTACCTCAGAGTCATCGGCTTTACGCAAAGAAACGGCCGCATTTGTCAAAACACCCGTCGAAACATCCAGGATTGCTTGTTCAATATCTTGGAGATCAATCCGCAGACCGCGCAATTTGATTTGAGTGTCGCCAGAAATTCGGCCTTCAACAAGTAGAGTTCCGTCTTGTCGCCATCTTCCAACATCACCAGTGAGATACATGCGACTTAAGGGGTTGCCGTCTGAATTGATTGTATTGAGTACAAACTTCTCGCGTGTCAATTTATCATCGTTGAGGTACCCAGCTGAGACACCGGCTCCGCTGACTGCAATTTGTCCCGACATCCCCACGGGAAGTGGCTGAAGATCGTCATCGAGAATATAAACTGTGGAGTTTGGCTTAGGTGGACCAGCCGCAATTCGACTTCCACTCAGCCCCGCGATATCGCTTGGTGAGTAGAGCACCCGCATCTTGTTAGAGGAACAAGTCACTTCACTTGGCCCGTAGGCATTGAAAAATCGTAGATCTGGTCGATTCAGGGCACCAAATTGCTTCAACAGAGATTCCGTAACTTGTTCGCCACCCGCGAGAGCGATGTTCCACTTGGAAGTTCGCAGGCGAGAGATGTTTCCGTGGCTGAGCCAGCTCAGATATTCTGACGGTGTGGCACCCGTGAAAGAGATATTCTCGTCAATGAGCAGCTGAGTTAAAGCGAGTGCGTCGCCTCGGTACTCGCGTGGTGCTATGACTAGTGTACCCCCATAGGCAACGGCGGTGAAAACCTGTGTCAACGACATGTCAAAGCCTAGTGAGCTGTGCAGTAAAACAGTTTCTCGTTCAAATCCATACACCTGTGAGGAGCACTCGACCTCATTCAAAAGATTGCGATGCGTAAGCATGATTCCCTTGGGGACTCCCGTTGAACCACTTGTGTGAAGAATTGCTGCGACGGAATCAGGCGATGCTGCAATTGGAAACCAGGTACTCTTGGCTGAAGTGACTTGCGAGGTGTTGACAACAAGCACGTCGTGTGTATTGAAACTAGAGACATCCTCAAAGGATTTGCTGTCGACCATAATGGCTTTCAGATCGAGATTGGAGACGATGGCAGCTAGTCGAGAGGTCGGAATACTGCGATCAAGGGGAACATAAATCGCTCCAATGTGGATTACAGCGAGTAAGCAGCACACCGTGTCAACAGTGGGCTCGTGATATACAGCAACCTGCTGTCCACTATCAATTCCCGCAGCCAGGAGCGCAGCAACAATCGAAATCACTCGTTTTCCCATATCATCATAAGTTAGCACTTTGTCTTGCCCATCCTTCATGGAAATCTCCCCCGGAGAATTTTCAATGATCTCCCATACACGATGCGGCAGGGTTGAGCTCCAATTGGAAGGGATAGTCGGGCCTAGAATCAAGATATTTAGAATACACGGACGACAAAATCACTTAGGGGATATTTGAATATACCCACCAGTTCCAATTTCAATGGCCCTTGCAATGTTCACTTCATTAAAGAGCTTGGGCTGGTTTAAACTGGCATCTGGTTGGTTGGCGAAGGCCTTCAGAAGTTCGACATAGCTGTTGGTCAAGACCTCAGCCGCGTGGTGGCTATACAAATCCTCTCGGATGTAGAGCGTTAGGAGGCAGTCACCACCAGGATTGTCAATTATATCCAAGCTTATGTCATATGCAGCTTTCCCGGGTTCAAAGCGCAACAACTCCATCTGACAATTGCCAAACGTCTGTTTTTCACGAGCCCCCTGGCGATAGTCAACGAAGGCTTGGAATAGTGGGCTGTAAGTTGCATCTCTTAGAACACTAAGTTCTCGAAGCACAATCTCGAATGGCACAGCCCCGTTTGCTAATGCCGAATATGCTTTACTGCGTGTGTCTTTCAGTAGTTGATAAAACTTTTGCTGAGGCTTGAGGTGGAAAATCAATGGAAGCAAATTGAGGAATGGACCGATGCTCTCCATTGCGCCAGGGTCATTTCTGTTTGCGTCCGCAATTCCAAGGCAGATGCTGTCTGACCCTGCGTAGCGATGAAGGAGGACTGTGAATGCAGACATGTAGAAATGGAATGGCGTCGAACTGTATTTGCGGCAAACAGATTGAATCGTTTTACAAAAAGATAAGTCGAGACGTACTGAGACTGCATGAACGTTGTAATTGTCCATCGGCGGTCTCGTTGTGATCTCGGTCAGGGGAAGTAATGGGAGGACTGGAGGACTCTCTGGGAATGCTTGCTTCCAAAACGCAATCTGATCTGACCATTTGTTGGAATCTTGGTCTTGCAGTTGACTCTTTGCATAATTAGGGAATTGAAGAGGCTCTGGTCCCAATCTTTGGCCATTGTATGCTTTCTCTAAATCCAACATCAAGACTTGCTGGCTGACACCGTCGAAACTGATGTGATGACATCCAATTATTAAATAGTTATCCTTGGTCGCGGGATTGAAAAGCAACAACAGACGCATGGTTTCGCCGTCCTCAATTTGATAAACGTGGGCCTTCAGGCGTTCAAACTCCTCCCACATGTCAGATACCTGATTAATGCGTTTCTTTTCAAGCCCAATAATTGAGGTTTCCATAACTCCTTGGACAATGTCTTGGCTCGAATTTGTGTAAAAGCAGGCCCTCAAAGATTCGTGGCGTTGTGTGACAATCGCAACTGCTCGTTCTACATCATGAACTCGTAAGTCGCCGCTCAGATGAAAGACTCCAGTGTGGTTCAAAGTGGTCGGATCATGGATATAATTTTTGACAAACCAAAACATAGATTGGGAAAAGGAAAGAGGTTCTTCCCTTACAATTTGTGGCTTGTTGACGATTATTGCTGCCAATTCGGGCTCGGGGGATGTTATAGCGGAGGAAACGGAGGAGGATTCGGCACGTACAGAGGGAGTCTCGGCTGCAGGATTGGATTCTGGCGTGGAATAGCCTTGTGTATCAGAAGCTTCACCGGGCGTACTTTCTGCTGGGGAAGAGTTCATCACGCCCGGGACCAGCTCCGCCGGGAGCTCTTGAAGCGTATGGCTCACGATATCGCCAATCGCGATCCCACTGAGGATCTTCAAGACTGGAACGTTGACTTGAAGATTTTTTAGCAGCCATGAGCGAATTTCGACTGCAACGAGAGAATCGACGCCGATTTCATTGGTGCGCAGAGACGCAACTGCTTCGACCCCCTCAGACTCGGTTACCTCCAGCTGGAGCAAAGTCTCAAGTTTCTGTACCAAGCTCTCTGCATGTCGTCAGTGACAATATTTCCAAGTGGTAATTTCTCAGTACATACCCAGAATAATGGAGCGGGCCTCTTCAATTCCGACAGCTTTTGCCAGGCGTCCCTTGACAGACAATTCGGACTTGGTACCATCCGTGGTTACGGTTGATGAGGATTCTTGGGTCACCAGGTGACCGAATTTGGGATTGTCAAACCAAATAGGCTTATGTGTTGCTTCCCCATTCACCGGCCGAAGACCCGTGGTAACCTCGACACATTCTCCCGAGCCGGCGCGGCCAGACAGCACAGCCTCTGCAAATTGTTGATGGACGTCTCTCTCCGATACAAACATAAAGCCACTGCGGCGAAGATCATCCTGTACGGCCTGGCTTGCCTCTCGGGCGACGTAGCCCACGCCTAGGACTGGACCAATATTAATAACGGAGGCGGCCAAGCCGGCTTCGTGGCGCTGAGCAGCCAGACTAGCCAAGAATTCGTTGGCTGCAGTATAGTTGGATTGGCCGAAGTTCCCTATGACTCCAGTCGTTGAGGAGAAGCAGACGAAGAAATCAAGGTCCACATTTGAGAGCACAGCCTGCAAGTTAATCGCGCCCTCTACCTTTGGCCGAACGACCTTCATGAATGTTTCAAAGGACATCTCCCTAGTGGTGGTATCTTCCAAAACCATGGCCCCCTGGGTAACGCCAGCAATTGGAGGGAGACTGTCTTTTATAGTATTGTAAACTCCTTCAACGTCCATCCGGCTCGTGACATCACTACCCAATCGTTAGTTGCGGCATTGGACACAATGGAGCTTATTTTTAGGGAAGGGGGAGGCTAAAATTAAAACATACCAGTGAATCACTTTGACTGTTGCTCCCAGTTCCTTTGTACTTTGAAGCCACTCATCGCTAATCTGGGGTCGTCTGCTGGACAAGACGATGTACTTTGCGCCTCGTCGAATCATCCAATCACACAAAGAGACACCGAGAGATCCAGAAAGACCACAAAGCCAATAAGTCTTGTCAGCGTCAAATTGTATGAGGGTGTCTATAGGATCAACAGTAACCGCCACTGTATTTGTGCAAGTCCAATCAATGACTGCTGAAAGTTGGTTAGGGTTGCGCAATCGCACATCTGCCGGGGAAATGACTTCCAGTCCCTCTGTAGTGTATGCGCCGTCTTTGGATTCCGTGATGGCAGCAGACAGTATATCACGTATGCTGACCACCTGGCTTAGTAGTAGGTTTGGCAAAAAGATGCCCTTCTGGATAATTGAGGGTAGGTCTTCGTATCGGTAATTCTGTGGCATGGAGGGGAATAATGGGGACCCTTCTGTCAAGTTTATCAAAAGCGAAGGACCCTTCGGAAGCCGCTCCGTGATTTCACGGGTAGACAAGAGATTATGGATAAATCGGATGTCTGGGTGTTCCTGACGACTCCGTGATGTGTATACCACCGACTTTCCGCCAGCAGTTGCATAGCGAGAGAGCACTTCTGCCAACATGGGGGTCGCCTCATGCACCACTAGATTTTCCCCTGGAATTTGGCTTGACAAGACACTTAAAGCGATGAGATGGCTTTCTAAAATCGAGAGCAGGGTGCTTTCGCTTCCTGCAGGGATATCACAAGGAAGATAAAGCCCTTCCTCAAGTCTTGAAGTGGAGCCGTTGATGGTCGCCAACCCAACAACCGAGCGAGAAGTGTCAGAAGTGCTGCCCAGTACAAGATGGTAAGTCGTGTAATTAATCTTGAAGGGACGTAATGTTGAATGAGTAACTTCAACCGTGATTTCCTCTGTTGCTTCCCGGGAAGTGGGCAGATGTGCTTCTCGAAGAACGTTCGAGGAGTCAATTCCTGATTTCCCTATGATGACAGGCTGCTTGCGCACGTCAACAATATTATGAATCTCCCGTCTGGATGCATTATACCGGTCATTCCGGCTCTGATCTAAAACAGCACGTGGTACTAGTTTCGTTCCATTTTCAAAGACCACTTCAGGTTCCAAAGGCCAGAAGACATCAGTATTGCTTTCCATCTCAGACCATAGACTGATGACAGCAAAGCGAAGGAGATTCTCGACAAGGAATTGACTAGTGCACTCCTTTAGAGTGGGGACATCAATCAACTGCAGCGTCAGCCGCGGATTCTCCCAGAGCTGGGTCCGTCCAAACCCAACAAGCATATTGGTCCATGGCTCAAATCGGGAATTGTTGGTAATCCAAAGGACCCTGCCGGCCTCGCCAAACAGCGCCTTGAGACCTTCAAAGGTCTCTGGTGTGAGTGATTTAAACACAGGACCGTCAAAGTCGGTCACAGATAGGACGACGCTCGACGGTGAGATAGAATTACTGTTGATGTTTGAGACATCCTTGAACCATGTCACTTTGTCACAGTAGTGACGCAGTAGCATCCGAAGCTCGCCCACAAGACGAGATGCCTTGGTTGACTGGCCACCGACAACAATAAGCTCTGGGATTGGGAGACCGGCTGGGAGCAGAGCGGCTGGCGTGGCCAGTGGTTGACGAAGGAAGCTCACCCGATCATCCACAGCCTGGGCGACAATCAGCGAACAAGGGAATGGGAGAGGATCAAGATCAGGAGTTAAGGTGTCAATTCCAGCAAATCCTGTTTGCCACAGCAGCGAATCCCATTCCGCGGCTGTGATGCAAGGGGACAGAATACGACCGTCACCCATCCCAAGCCACCAACCAGGAAGGGTGCCAAAAATGGCACCCGTACGGATGGGGTCGTTGCTGGTCATTTCCAGAAGTAGCAGGTATCCACCTGGTTTCAGAAGACGACGAGCATTATTCATTGTCTTTTCGAGGTTGACTGTCGCATGAAGAACAAAGGACGCAACAACCAAGTCATAAGTCTGTGCCTTGTATCCTTGCTGAATTGGGTCGGTTTCGATATCCAGGACCTTGAACACCATCTTCTCTGCATGACCAGTGAATCGTTCTTTGGCTGTATCAAAGAATCCGGACGAAATGTCGGTGAATGTATATGAATCGAATTTACCAGCGATCTGCTTCAGGATGCCCTTGGTTGCACCGCCAGTACCAGCACCTGGGAGATTAAGTCAGTTGTTGCCATCAATGAGATGATTAGACTGGGAGATTCGACTCACCAATTTCAAGAATATTCAAGTGCGGATACGCATGAGCTACTTGAGCCACGACTCGAGCGAGGTACTTAGTGTAAGTCGGAAAGGCAAGTCCCTCCTCGTAGTATCGATCCAATAAATTGTCTTTCTTCAGGTGGTTTAGGATCGTGGTTTCACCCCGAATCGCTGCGGCAAAATTTTGCCCGGTAGCATGAATCATCTGTAGATCCAGGCTGTCGGAATATTTTGCACTGAGTGTTGAGACGACCTCCAGTGTATCATTCAACCACTCCTTTTTGGCGTATGGATGCTCTCCTGCACGGACACGAGACAGAACGGTGGTTCCAAAATTGAACATGCCCTTGTATGGGCCCTCCGTTCGAGCGGGGTGGGTGACGGGGATTTCTTCATTCCAGAGACGGATATAGTACAGCGACAGCCGCTCCGCAATTTTCGCAATTTCTAGTTCCCCCTCTGTTGGCTGGCCATCAAATGTGACAATTTCTGCATTAGGATTTGCCCCCACCCACTCGATAGTAGTGAACATCGGAGTATCGTCTGCTGGAGTGACTGGAGAAAATGGCACACACCGTAGTCCTTCAACCTGGAGGGCAACGTTTTCAGTCCCAGCAAACGAGAGATCAACATCGCCGATGATTGTAGAATCCTCATTATCAGTGATGGCAGATGCGAATTCGATTTGTGGGTTATTCGGTGATTGGATAGCAAACAGAAGCGGATCAATTCTCAATCTGTCCATGCGGAGAGGCACGTGGAGGGACCAAAGGCGACCATCATCGGGGAGACAGAAGGACAGAATGATAGATTGGAATGCAGCATCAAGGGATGCGGGATGCACCAGATACGGGCCTTTGTGCTCCCCAGTCTGGGCGTTCGCCACATTTCCACGGGCAGCTCCCAAACTGCGTCGCAGTGAGGAGAGAGCTCGGAAAGGTCCGGAGTATCCATATCCAATATCGGCCATAGTGGAATAGAAACGGTCTGAATCGACAACGTTGAGGTTGGGAACATCACCTGGCTTTGGTGGAAGGATTGCACCATGACTCTCTCCTAATGTCACAGTGATTCGGCCTTGGGCCATTAGCACCATGTCCTCGCGGTCATTACCCCAGGCGGCATGATATTCCCATGAAGCGTCGATTTGATGTTCATTTTGTTGGACATCGATCAAGGAGAACAAAGCCTCGACTTCGGCATTATCAGTAGCAAAGGTCAGAGCCTGCCGGATTATGAAATCCTGCACTTCAATCAACTGAATGGGTTTCCCCTCGGTGATGGCTCGAGCTGCCTCAATTGCAAGGACAATGAATCCGGCTGCAGGGAACACAGACTGACCCTGAAGCTGATGCTCACTTATCCATGGAACGTCCACGGCTCGAAGTATATTGCGCCATTGGATTTGACGTGTGGTTCCATGAACACTCTGACGGCCGAGCAGCTCGTGTTCGACCCGCTTCCGTGTTCGGAGCACTCTAGAGATCCGTGACTCTTTCCAGTAGGAACGATCATGTGCCCAAGGGTAACTTGGCAATCCTTTCACGAGCTGAGGAGCAAGTTCGCCTCGTAGGCGCACTTCGTAAGATTTTAGATCTATAACATCAGGGACAGAGATCCACAATTGACCAAGAGCATCCGCCATGGCCTCGATGTCGTTTTGTCCGCGCCGCAGTGTCCCAGTATAGGGGATCTGTAGTCCAGATTCTACAATAGTCTGAGATGCAGGTCCCTTCAGAGCAGCATGAGGTCCTACTTCCACTGCGATGTCGAATTTTTCAGTCACTGAGATTGCCGATTCGATGGCTTGCGAAAATAGAACGGGTCGCACCATATTATCAACCCAGTAACTGGTCCCCAGCTCAGTGCTAGGCTGCATTTTTTGTCCAGGATACACACTGGAATACCATGAGCAAGAATTCTCCACTTGATCGTGAATAGTAATCTTGCAGCGTTCCATAGATTCAAGGTACGCTGCCGAACAAGGCTCCATATGGTGTGAGTGATAGGCCTTGTCTACCACCAATCGCCGGACAAATTTCTGCTCATCTTCTAATACTGCTTGCACCTGAGCCACCGTCTCTTCGTTACCGGAGAGTGTGACGCTAGAGGAAGAGTTACAAGCAGCGACCTTGATCTGGCCTTGGAAGTCTGGCAGGTCACACAGCTCTTGAGCATCCTCCATCGAGGTACCGACGGCAAGCATGGCACCTTTTTCCCCATTTGCGCCTTGTGCTTTGGAAGCATGAAGTCCACGGAAATAGGCAATGCGAATGGCATCTGTCGCTGAGATGAATCCTGCAGCATAGGCTGCAGTGATCTCACCGGATGAGTGTCCGACAACGGCTGTAAACCAAACACCCGCGCTGCGAAGGAGTTGCACTAAAAGTAATTGCACTGCTGTGCACAAGGGCTGCGAGATAAATGCTTCGCGGACTCGGCTACTTTCGTCAGGGGCCAACATTTCGCCAACCAGCGACCAATTAGGCCGTTCAAATTCAGGAAGGTCGTTCAGACTATTCTCAAGGGTCGAAATAAAGTCTCTGCAGAAGCTTGACAGTTCAATAAGATGCTTTCCCATCCCGGGCCATTGAGCGCCCTGGCCTGTGAATACTCCCAAAATACGCCGCCCATCAGAGGATGGTCCAGCAGTGCGAACACCGACTGTTGCTTCTGTACTTGCACGACCCCTTTTTATCGTTTCCTGTAACTTCTTTTTCAGACTATCGGTATCTCTGGCTGAAATCGCAGTCTTAAAGGGAAGCTCAGTTCTTCGTGCATGGAGAGACCAGGATAAGTCCTGCAGGTTGACGGTTGGAGTATCTTGAAGAAACGATGTGTAGAAATCCAAAATATTCAAGAGAGAGGCTTCGGAACTTCCAGAGAAAACAAACGGAATAACAGCCGAGCTGGAATCAGCCTTCTTGGATGAATGGGGAGGTACATAATTTTCGATGATTGCATGGGCGTTGGTACCGCCGAAACCAAAGCTGTTGACACTAGCTCGACGAGGTACATCCTTTGCGAGGGTAGGCCAAGGAGTTGCCTGGGTTGCAATGCGCAGATTACCATAAAACGGCGCCACGGTGGCGCTGAGTTCGTCAAAGAGCAAGTTTGCAGGAATAATACCGTGCTGGACTGCCAAAGACGCTTTTAACAATCCAGCAAGTCCTGCAGTGCCTTCCGTGTGACCGATTACTGTTTTGATGGATCCAACAAAAAGTTCTTGCTCATGCTCTCCGGGTTGGGCGTGTGGGAAGAAGGCGGTACTGACCGCCCGAGCCTCCAGGGGATCACCGGCCGGAGTTCCGGTGCCGTGGGCTTCAAAGAATTGACAGCGGCCTCCAGGGTCCAATGGATCTATCCCAGCCCTCTTATAGGTGTCACGGATCAGGTCAATCTGCGCCGTGGCACTGGGTAGGGTAATACCATTAGTCTGGCCATCCTGGTTGACGCCAGTCTCGCGAATAATACATTCGATCTCGTCGCCATCCTCCAACGCGGCGCTGAGCGTCTTCAATACAACAGATGCAATGCCTTCTCCACGCGCGTAACCATTGGCTTTCGCATCCCACATCCGGGATCTTCCATCAGGCGACAGCATGTTCAGTTTGCTCTCGCTGATATAATTCTCTGGGCCCAAGATCAAGTTTGAACCGGCCGCAACAGCCACGCGAGAGGAACCACTTCGCAATACCTGCACTGCCTGATGGACAGCCACAAGGCTCGACGAGCAGGCCGTGTCGATGGTCATAGATGGGCCGTGCCAGTCGAAAAAGTATGAGATTCGGTTAGAGATCAGGCTGCGGGCAATACCTGTCGCATGATATTGTGGAATTTGATCCAGGTCGCGTAGAAGTAGTGTTTCGTAGTCACCACACATCAATCCGACATAGACAGCAGTGTTGGAACCGCGCAGCTGCCCGATGGAGATGCCTGCATGCTCTAGGGACTCGTACACCGTCTCGAGGAGGAGTCGGTGTTGCGGATCCATGGCGTCTGCCTCGATTGCCTTGATACCAAAGAACCGAGCATCGAACTTGGTAATATCATCTGATAAGAAATACGAACTTTGAGTACTGCTGCTCCCATGATGTGATCCGTCGGGGTGGTAGAAGTTCTCGCTATCAAAGCGCTCTTTGGGAATTTCCTGTAGCAGATCTCTTGGTTCGACAAGTAACTCCCAGAGCTTTGAAGCTCCGTTCACTCCCCCTGGAAAGCGACATCCACTACCGACAACTGCGATGGGCTCCGATGGCGTGAAATTGGACATCTTGAGAGCCCTAATGAAGCAATAATGGATAATTTGGAAAAATAAAATTCAAGATTTGATCATAGTTATTCACGTACGCAGTTGCGTCTACTCTTTATATCTACAGGACAGTATGATTATATTTTGCAACAGACCCTGACATAGTACCGACAAATTGAGTCCAATTACCCCTTCGAATTGTCCCGTAGAGGGGGAAAAGGCCGAATGCTTTCCAATTTTCTCATCCCAGCGGTTTCAAACAATTGAATAGTAAAAGGACTCCCCCGATCTCGGGGATGTTAAGGCCGATGCGATCCACGGGTGTAACCCAACTCCACAGTGGCGATTTGTATACATTTTAGCCCCAACCTGCGACTCCTCGTAGAATTTCTAGCCTATCAGGCTGATGTTCTTGTATGCAGTGTCGGAATATTTTCATAATCTTATCTGCATGTTCTCATCTGCACATTCTTCTGCGCGTTTTCATTTGCACGCATGTACAAATGAGAAATCTGGAGCTACAATTCCTAGTCCCATCGCAGTATAAGCGGAATCTTTTACTAGCCTCCCGCCATTGGCTTATCATCGGCAATTCCGACTCGATCTCACTTACATTAAGAGAGATAGAGAACTCGGAATTTTCCGATAAATTGATGGGAGGGGGCGAGGAGGGGTAAGGAGGGAGGAAGAGGGAGGAGGAGGGGGGGCGTTTTTAGGAATCTGGTTGGTACTATTGTCGTAGGTGGTGGGATGAGATACGAACTGACTTCGCTGGCCAAGATAGGAAGAATTACGAACCGGAGAACGTGAAAGGATGTGACAACGAGCGTGGGAAAGCATAGCTTCATGAATCCTCCGAGTCCGAGAATCACCGATCCATAAATTATTATTTACTAGCGGATAATCAATTGTAGACTGCAACATATCTTGGTTCTGCTAGTGAAGAATTTTAGTTTGACATTCATCGAACCCAAATCTCAATCCCGCCATCTTGGTCTACGAGATGACCGTCGCTCAAGTTCCCTCACAGACAGGGATAGTTGAAGGAGCAGGAGGAGAGCCTATCCTCTCTCACGATGTTGCTATTCCGACGCTCAGCCCAAACGAGATCTTGATTGAAACGAAGGCCGTTGCAATTAATCCATCAGACTATAAGATGTCACAAAAGTTTCCCTCAGTCGGGGCTATCATTGGCTCAGACTTCGCCGGAACAGTTGTAGAGACCGGTTCGGGGGTAGCACAGCTCTCGCGCCCGCTAGCAATTGGTGACCGCGTCTGCGGTGCCGTCCATGGCTGCAATCTATCCGACCCTCATAGCGGTGCCTTTGCTCAGTATGTCAAAGCTGACGCCAGCCTTGTTATGAAAGTCCCTGCCGCGATGCCTTGGGAAGATGCGGCAACGTTGGGTGTTGCTCTGGGTACCGCTTGCATCTCATTCTGGAAAGCGCTTGGATTGACCGCATCACCAAATGAGCCTGCCACAACCCCTTTCCCTGTCTTGGTGTACGGAGGTTCAACTGCAATGGGTACTATGGCGGTGCAGGTCTTGAAGTTGTAAGCTTATAGTTGGGCCTATTGTTTGCAATTGAAACCTAACGATGTTTTATAGGAGCGGCCTCACTCCAATTGCGACCAGCTCACCCAAAAACTTCGACCTGGTGAAGTCCTTTGGGGCGAAGCAAGTATTCGACTATGCCTCACCAACCTGCGCAGCCGATATCAAGTCATTTACAAATAATTCATTGAAGTATGTACTCGACTGTATTACAGATGCTGAGTCGACAAAAATCTGCCACGCTGCGATTGGTCGGGCAGGAGGGAGGTATGCTTGTCTGGAGCTTCCACAGCAAGAGCTTCTCACGCGCAAGGCAGTGAATACAGAATTTGTTATGGCTCATGAACTTCACGGGAAGGAAATTGCCCTGGGTCCTGAATATGGGAGGCCTGCTTCTCAGGCTGCTAAGGATCTTGGAATTCAATTCTTTCGGGTTGCTGAGAAGCTACTGGAAGAAAACAAGATTAAAGTCCACCCTGTGCAGGTTCTTCCCAATGGATGGACGGGGGTTCTGGATGGGTTTGCTCTCATAAAGAGTGGACAAGTGAATGCTCGGAAGTTAGTAGCGCCGCTCCATGAGTAGAATAGGTAGGCTTGGATGGACCTGATCTCATGATCCGAGGCCCTAAGATTGCATTTGAATAGTCATCCAGCAGTTAGTTAGTACTATAATTTAGGACTTTACTTTTGCTCTTCGTTACCATGTCCTCGAAATCAAATCCTCACGCCAATTGACACCAGAATCCAAACCACTACATCAAAGGTCGACGGACAATCGAACTAGTTATATTGGGCTGAATACATTCTTAAGTCTCATACATGTATTATTGTACGATATATGAGGTCTGATTTGCGAGGCAGGACTGCCCATCCAGCAGATAAAGCTTCTACTAAGGCTGTAAAAGATATGATCATGTACGATCTTGTCCATTTTTTTTCGGCTGAATCATTACTGACGGTCAGTTAGGGTCTTTCGGCGGAGATTGCCATTTCCGGATAGCCATGCGGCGTGCATGATATGGTAGTGTTCGACCCCGGCGCCGTCCATACTGCGCACAGGCCTATAATCCACTAACCAGCCCCCGGAATCATTCTTCCGGCAAAGGATTCAGAAGCTCATCATCCAAAAATATACCATAGTGGGTCAGCGCTTGGTGATAGATACATCCGACCCCTGTTCGGTATAGCTCTCATTATAAGCATTCGGAGTCAACACAGGCTACTTCCAATCTTTCGGAGAATTACTTAAATGCTGCAAGAAATTCGCCTATTCGTCTATCAAGTGGCTGCATATGTGTTAGATTTGAATTGATATGCGGAATCTCGCGGGGTTAGGTAGGTAGATACATAGTAGCAGGTAGATCCCATGAATACCATTCCTGTTATATGCTTCATGTCTGGCATTTGAAACAGCTGCATGCTTTGCTGAAAGTGCCTTTTTTGATACGTGGCCTCTAAAAGTGTGGAGTTGAAGAAATTCGAATCATGGATAAACTCGCGAAGTACGGATTCCAATCGATCACCACAGACCGGATCGTGTCCGGTCTTGAAGCTAGCTTGCTACTCAGATATTTCTTGACATTTGTTGGTGTCCATTTTGAAATCAAATATTGTTGAATTGTCTCACATAAACATACCCAGTGCTAATGTTTGACCATCCCAGTTATTTATCTATGCCATCGGACGAGGCAGTTATCTGTCATTCCTCCACCCTTTGGCAAAATTCCCTGGGCCAAAGCTTGCTGCAATTTCAAATTTGTGGTACGCTTACCATTGGTATGTATACAGCTATTACTTATTATCGGGGCTCATCATCAGGTCAAAATGGCTCTAGTGGGCTCAGAATACGTGCCTAGAGGAATCGAAATACAAGAACTGCCATACTGACAGTATATGCCAGGTTCACTGGCAGGTACCCGTGGGCCCTCGAGGCTGCATTTGAGAAATACGGTGACTATAAATCTACCACTAAATTGATCAAGAAACAAACAGATCATCTGATTTCAATTAGGAGATGTTGTTCGAGTAGCCCCAAACGAGCTGGCCTTCATGACCCCAAATGCAGCAAAGGGTAAATATATCTAAATTACTACATGCATCAGGTCCAGCTAACACAACGGTGGTCTGTTCCTTTGCATATAGGCATATATGGAAGCGTTATCAAGAATCGGGAGATATTTCGAAAGAGCGATTTCCAGGAGATTGGTGAAAATGAACCGGGTATTACTGCTGAGAAAGACCCAGAGGTTCACCGACAAATCGCCAAGCAGCTTGTTCCTGCATTCAGCACTAAAGCTCTGAGAAAGCAAGAAGATGTGATTCATCAACATGTGGATGGCTTTGTCGCTCAGCTTCGCAAATACGGAATGGGAAGTGATAACCTTGAGATGAAGCAGGTATTACTCCTAGGTTCCCGCGACACTGTGTAAAGACTGACATTCCCACTTAGTGGCTCGACTGGCTCCTCTTTGATATCGCAGGGGATATGGCCTATGGTAGACAGTTTGAGCAGGTGAAAAACCGTATGGCGCCGAAAGAGAACCTTGAACATTACGAGAGGATCTAGTCTCTTATTAACACATTCGTTTAGGTAAATCATCGACTTTCCTATCCACGTTTGGAAAGGTTGGACTTTGGGGCACCACGAACCAAGTCACTCGACGGTTTCGCATGCTCCGACCCCTTGTTTGGATGCTGATCCCGCCGTCTGTGGTGCTCACTGTACCAACACTACTCCGTCTGAACAGGCAAGAGATTCGTCGTCGGATGTCGCAGCGAGACGAAATAAAACATCCCGATTACGTTGAGCAACTGCTCCCCAAGGATGGCAAGCCAGACCCCACCGAGGACTGGGTCCTCGCCCAGGCTAATGTATTCATCGTGGCCGGATTTGACCCCATGACGAATTTGATCTCATCTGCACTGTACTATCTCTTGACAAATACAGATCAATACGGGCATGCTCTCAAAGAGATCAGGGAGGAATTTGCCGAGTACAATGATATCACTGGGGAGCGCCTCCAGACAATGAAGTACCTCCAAGCAGTGATCGACGAGTCTTTGCGCCTTCACACCAATGCAGCATTTGGACTCCCCCGTGTAAGTCCTGGGTATGAAGTGGATGGCAATTTTGTCCCTCCTGGGGTATGTATTTTCAATTATTGCTGCTCATTTAGCTTTAATACTGCATCTAACAAGAAAATAACAGGTGACCGTTCAAACCTGTTTCTTCGCGACCACGCATTCCGAGCGTTACTTCAATGATGCCCGATCCTTCCACCCTGAGCGATGGCTGCCATCCTCTCATCCGCTCTACAATCCAAAATACGAGTCTGATGACCGACGAGCATTCACCCCCTTCTCACAGGGACCTCGGGGATGCCCCGGCTTAAACGCCGGGTATCTCCAAGCCCGAATTATCTTGGCTAAGCTACTGTGGTCCTTCGACATGGAATTGACGAACAAAGATGCAATTGATTGGGAGAAGGATATTAAGATGTTTGCGATCTGGATTCGGCCAGAGCTGTTTGTCCAGATCCGTCCCGCGAATGGGAACAAGAGTTAGATCATTGCCAAAGACACGAGGCCCGAGGCGGATACTAGGTATTTTCATTTGATGTAACGCAAGACCTCAAGAAACCAATCATGGTGCTATATATCTTCGCGTATTTTGTACACGCTGCAGGTTCGGCGCGTGTCAGATGGTTTTGTTAAACAGACTGCGACTCGGACCAATTATTGTCATTTGTGTTCTCGGGAGCAAAATACAAAGTCGGAGCCGAACAAATGACTTAGCCAATTTTGAAGTTTTCCAGTGATAATCGGCCCTGTACACTGTATCGAGTAGAGCACCACGTAACTAATCCAACAACGCCCCAGTTTCCAACACGTCATTCCCAGGCTTAGAATGGACCACAAGGCTCGTATTACAAAAGCATTTACCCATCGGAAGATCCGTCATCTCGCTAGTGTAGCTACCTGTGTGACTAGCCATTCGGAGCTTTTTTTGTCAAATCGGAGTTGGCACCCAAAAACTTGATTTTTCACTTTAAACTTGATACTGCTCTAAAGATCACAAAATTCAAACACCGCTCATTCAAGATATAAGTCATAAAGCCCGTTCGCAACTCGTGGCCCAGTCAAAACTAACTCGGCGACACATAATCAAGGAGACAATTCAACAGCCGTGGAGATCTACAGAAAGGGGTTCTGTTCCAACGTCTGCTGGATCTTTTTCATATTCTCTCTCAGCGAGGAAATATACCCAACACCCATATCCTCACTCCCCTTGCCATCCTTCTGACTCATAACCATCCGCAACAGTGCGGTAAGCTCCGAACTACTGAGAAGACCATCCTTGGAGCCCCTTGCAGGGTCAAGGCGGAAGTCCGCGGGTGTCCCCAGCAGGCTTTCTATGTGAGCCAGAAGATGCATGATCACCTGGACGAGAATCTTCACCTGCAGATTCCCGTACTGCACGGGAAATCCTCCAAGCTGGAGGCCTGGTACTGATTGCAGTGATGAGATCGACTGGTGCGACATTTCAGACAAAGACTCATAAACGCGCGAGAAGAGGATGTTATAGATCTGGATAATCTGAATGTAGCAGGTAAGGATCACTAGAGCGGCCGAGATATCCGGTTTGAAATAGTCGGAGGGCGGTGGGGTCATTAATTCAGAGGCTTGCATCTGCCCAAAAGATGAAGAGCTGATATGAAACGGATGCGCGTTGGTCAGATTCGACGTGAAGGGAGAGCAGAACATATCAGCCGCCGACGATGACAGCGTGGTAGGGTCCGAGTGTTGTGACTGAAACCCAGACCCCGGCTGGTCTGTAGAGGAGGTCGTCACAGCAATGGTTTGGATGATATGCACAAACTCGGAAGTGGTTTGAAGGACCTCTCCAAGTGGATCCAAACTGGCTGTTCCCTGGCCCCGGTTGGCGCACACGATGCTGACCAGGGTAACACTCCACGGCGTGGTATTGAGTCGGTCCAGTTGTTTGCTCAGCGACGCAATCATCGCAGATAGCCTCTGGACAGCATCAGCCCGGCTCATCATCTTCCGTGGCTGCTTAGAGGGATCCCCAGCGCCCAGGGAGTTGGAATCTCGTCCCTGGCTGGATTCGTCCGTGAAATATCGACTTTGATTACTGGATATATGGCTGCCACCGGTATACGCGCTCTCTGTGTCGCCTGGATTTGGGAAATGCGTGCCATTTAGCGAGGGAATCCCGAAGGGACTCTGACCATTCGACAGCCCGACCCCCACAAAATTATCGCCCACCCCCGAAAGACCCAACAGAATTGCCGGATCGAGGCCAAAAAGGCTGGAACCATTCGCGTCGAAGGCTCCTGGCGCCTCTGAAGGGACATCAGGTGTCCTGATCGCGGGAGGTTTCTCGGTGACGTCGACTGGGTTGATGGGGTTTTGGGCAGGATCGATATCATATAACATGTCGATCTCATCGTCAGCGGTACCGCTTTGACCTCTCAGGGCCTTTCGTGTGCGTTCCCGTCCATGACTGTTTCCTGGTATAATCTTCCGTGCAGGCCGTCCGAGGGGCCGCAGGTTGCTTGTGATACATGGGACACCGGCACGCAGGCAGCGCGCGCAGTTCTGGCCTGTCTGGTCCTCGCGAGGACATCGCAGCTTGTGTTCTCTGCATCGATCACAGGCGAATCTTTTGGGGGTTTGCGCGTAAGTTTCTGGTGACAACATTGACATCGTGCGGGGTGGTTAGGGTGACATGGAGTGTCAAAAGGGGTACAGAGACAGATATGGAACCAGAATATTAGCGGCATTGAGTAAGTACCTGATGTGCACCACAATTACTAGGGCACATCAAGCACCCAAAGGATGCCAGCTGGAGCTGAATTGGGGTTCGTGGGCCAACCCCCGATCGCATAATGGTTCTGGGAGGCAAAAGAAAACAGGGGTCTGCTGCACGTAATCTCGAACACCACTGCTCTAATTTCTCCCAACGTGGTCATCACTAAATTCAACGTTTTAGGGAATATGAAGCTGTCAACAAGGTGGGAAAGGGCGTATTGGAGGTGTGGCTAGCAATCGACACAATTATATAAGCCTTTCTCTACTATTTTAATGTTGAACCGTCGCATTTATGGAAGAATGGAAGGCGAACCTGGAATATGTATTATGCCAGACAATTTGGAACTTGTCTTGCGCTACTAAGTAAAATACCGCGGGCACACCGATTTCACTATTGGCACGACAGTCTAAGCCCCTTTTGGGTAGCCCATCTTACCACTCGATTATCAATCCATGCGCCAAGAGGTACTCTAACTAAAAGTGATTAGATGACTGTGCCAATAGTGAAATCGCTGTGCGAACTCTATGTTACTCTAACAATACGACAAAACGGTTGACCGTGCATTGATTTCACGCCATCAAATATGCGAATAAGACGAAAACTAAGCAATATTGGGACGGTGCAAGGAATGGAAAGAATCATAGGCTACTCAGAACCAGGCTATGGTGGATGATACGCCTTGTCAAATCAGATTTCCTCCATGGCATGCCAACGTAACTAGTACTTGGGGGCCGTTATTAATAATTAGAGACTTCGGGTGATTAACGGATGCCGGTCCAATAGTCCTCCGTGATCGGAGTACTCCGTAGTATCTTTGACTTTCGGAACTTTCCGAACCTTATACTAGATCGATTCGGCCAATTTACGATGCGGGGATATCTTATCCAAGCCTTGCGACTCCGCAGCCCACAGAGGGCATATAATGCAAATTAACATACAAATAAATATATCAATATTATCGAAATGTCATTGTCGACCCCGTGTAGGCGTCACGAATCGCATCTGTGGATGTCGCAAGGTCCGAATCGGTGCCGAACAAAGACGAACCATAAAGCTCCGAAAAGGTCGGCCAGATTGTCTATCCGTCACCGAAGGGGTAGGACCATTTTCTTCGAAACAAATGTTTCTGTCTTCGGCCTCCAGTGTTATCCAGCATTCTACATACGAAAGTCCCATGAGCCGACAGACCTAAAGGTACCGAAATCATCAGACCTACCTGACAAGCAGTCGGATAACGTGGTGAGTGACTTTAGCTTCATACAGGGAGACCAGTGCTGATATTATTAGGTTCTTTTCGTTTTTTCAGAGATAGCATCACCGTGCTTCGACAATCCCTTCTCAGCCATGGCAGTGGAAATAGAGCCCGAACCGCGGGAAGAGAATGGACCGCCACGGGAAGATGGCAGCGAGCAAGCAATCGTCAACCCTCCAATGAAAAGAGGATTCCAGTTCTGGGCCATTATCTCCGCACTCTGTGTGACCGGTCTCCTGGGAGCACTCGAGAATACGGTGGTTTCGACTTCAATGCCAACAATTGTGGAGGAACTGAACATTGGCGAGAACTATATCTGGATCACGAATGCCTTCTTCCTTACCAGGTACTTTTACCCCCTGCTGCCGATCGTAGTAACCAGAGCCTGAAACTGACCCTTTCTGGGAACTATTCAGTGCAGCGGTTCAGCCCCTATTTGGCCAGCTAGCCAATGTTTTTGGTCGTCGATGGTTGACGATTTTCATCGTTGCGGTATTCATCCTGGGAAGTGGCATCTGTGGTGGCGCGAATGGCGCGAACATGCTCATCGTCGGACGCGCTGTTCAAGGTATTGGAAGTGGTGGCGTCAACATGATCGTCGATGTGATCGTATCGGATCTCGTTCCATTGCGTGAGCGTGGAAATTTCATCGCCATCGTGCTCACCGTGTACTCCATTGGCAGCTCGATGGGTCCCTTTGTAGGTGGAATTATTGTCCAACGAACGACTTGGAGATGGGTCTTCTACATCAACCTGCCTGTTGGCGGGTTTGCGCTGGTGCTTCTGTTCCTGTTTTTACACACTAACTATGAGCGTGAGACCACATTTTCCGAGAAAATCAAGCGGATCGACTATATCGGCAATGTCCTCATTATGGGAGCTACGTCAGCGGTGCTCTGCGCATTGACCTATGGAGGCTCACGGTATGCATGGAGCTCGTGGCAGATCATCGTGCCGTTGGTACTAGGACTTGCTGGAATGGTTATATTCATGGTCTTCGAACAATCCAAGTTCTGTCGTGAGCCTGTGGTGCCGCCACGCCTGTTCAAAAATCGAACCTCCCTCGTGGTCTTCATCAACACATATTTATTCACGCTTCTTCTCTACTGGGTGCTGTTCTTCATTCCAGTCTACTTCCAGGCCATTTTGGGGTCTTCGGCAGCCCGAGCAGGCGTTCAAATGCTCCCTATCACGCTCGTCGCGATTCCCGGCGCCGTCATTGCAGTCATAATCCTCTCGAAGTTTGGAAAGTATAAGGCCCTTCATCTAGCAGGTTTTATTATCCTCACTTTGGGCATTGGCCTGTTTGCCAACCTTGATCGCTACTCCTCCGATGCGGAGTGGATTATTTATCAGATCATTGGCGCGCTCGGGTCTGGAATGATCCTGAATACCTTGCTCCCTGCCTTCCAGGCCCCACTTGCTGAGTCGGACCAGGCGGCCGCCACCGCGACCTGGGCGTTTATGCGGAGCTTTGGAAATGTGTGGGGTGTGGCTATTCCCGCTAGCATCTTCAACAATCAGTTTAACACATATGCCTATCGTATTTCAGATGCTAGTGTGCGGGAAATACTCTCCAACGGTCACGCCTACCAGCACGCATCCAATACGTTCATTAACAGCCTAAGTGAACCGGTGAAGAGCGAAGTTATCGGCGTGTTTTCTGACTCCCTTAAGCTTGTCTGGGAGGTATCGATTGCTTTCTGCGGTCTTGCTTGTATACTAGTATTTTTTGAAAAGGATGTGCCTTTGCGAAAGGAGCTTGAGACAGATTATGGCATGGCGGAAAAGGACGACATTCAAGCAAAGAAGGATAGTATTCCCGACGCTGAAAAAGCAGGTTCAGACACTTCGAAGACTTAAGTTTGACCTTTGGCAGCCTGAAAACGACTTGAAAATGAGCATCGGGTGTCCCCACTCAAGCCCGAAGGGGCATTGATATCCTTTATCGAATCACACAGGCACATCTGGGCATAGATAATCCTTCTTATGATTGATTTACTCGTTGGCAGGTCGGTGGCTAAACTTTGATTGTACTTCAGAGCTGTTTTAATATTGTATTAATCCTTATTCTCTAGATATTATCTGCTTTTGTGTTGTGGAAGAACGAAAGACCTGCCCAAGGGGACCCCACAGGACTTCAAAACAAGATATATCTTTTGGTAAACAAAATCATCTTTACTACCCATCAAACTACCTCGCGTAGTGAAGAGGCTCATTCTTCACTGTCTATTGACCTTGCCTGTCCATTCTTTATCGTATAATTTTATCATATAATTGTTGAAGCACGGGGGATATAGGTAGAAAATAGATAGAGATTGACAAGATACACTTTTACACCTCTCTGAACAGTGCGCGTTAACTCTGTGTGCGAGAGATACATTCATCCACGTCCATTTTCAGACGGCCAAGCATAATGGCGATCGGGCTGCTCATCCAGGTCAGTTAGAAATAATAAGCCATAGAAAGCAAAAGCTCTACACATCTGCCTGTGCTTGCTCCACCGATCAGGTCAAAGGTCTCACATGGCTTCACCAGTTCTAGGTTCGACCGTCACCGGTCATGAGTTGCTTCAGGATATAGAGACTTGATAGGCCCCGCACACCACCACCATCTAGTGACAAGAGACACAGGCCCTCGGTGTCGATCTTGCTCGGATTTTCTCCTCCACCAGTCGCTGTCGCTTGAAATTACATTATTATTCAAATGGTTCCAGAGAGCAACTTTACAGTAGCACTTAAGAGATTCTAACCCTATAACATCGTCACAAATAAAATTCGAGATTATTATGTCATTTGCTCTCCTCAAAACTATCACGGACTTAAATGGCGGCCAAGATAATCTAGCTAAGATCAGATCCCGGTCCTCCTCGATTCCAAAACAACCCGAGCGCCATTGGCCAAGCTCGGTATGACCCTCACCCGGCGTTTATACCGCTAAGATTTTTAGCCCCGCTACATAGAGGCGATTTTCTAGAAATAGTGTGGAGTGATGATATATCTAGACCTGTATGTTCACGATTAACCGACTAATTGATATTTCCATCCCTGGGCCAGTCCCATCACCAGCTGGAAAGCAACACTAATCACTCGGCAAAATTTATATCAGTCAACGGGGCTCTTTTCTTGTCCTTGTTTTGGTGTCTCCCTAAATCGCCGCCATAACCAAAACCCAAACATCGTCAACATGGTCAGCGGCACAGCAAATGCGAGATAAAGCCACCACAGACTCGAGACAACAAAAGAAGGTTCGCCTCCCTCAGACGATGTATCAAATGCGACCAGATTGGTTCCAAATAAGCTGCATACAAATGTTGCTGGTAGGTATATCAAGGTCACAGCTGCAATGATCTTCATCGACATGCTGTCCTTGCGTGCGTCGCGCGCAATCCTCGCACTCTGTGTAGCAATTTGAAGATTCACCGTACTATCATGCCCTGTAATCAGATTATACAGAAGAGTTATGAAATTATTGGTCCGTTGGTGCAGATTAAGGATGCGACGATGTCGGTCATCACAAAAGTCGCGCAGAGCAAGCAAGTCATCTCGAACACGGTCGTGACACACAGGGTCTATCTTGGCCTCACTGCGATGGCGTCTGGCTAGTCGGCCTAAGCGTGAATGATCATGAAGCAAGTGGTCGATGTTGGATGTATCTCGCTGGTTGTTGTGTTCCAATGTAATAAGGCTGCGAGACATTTTATGCAACATCTGGACATACTTAGAGAATCTATCGGAGTCCGTTATCTCAAAGATAGACCCCTGGTGGAGCTGGGTTTCTATCCAGAGCAACAGTTTCACAAGATTGTCGAGCTCTGTCGACCGTGTTGAGAGGACATGGAACATGATTGCTGAGTGCATTGCAAATGGATTTAGGCGTGTGCTTTTGCATGTGCATCGGCTTCTTTTCTTACATTCACACTGTGCGAATGATCCTTGGAGACCCTTGCCAATACCGTGGACCAAGGTACGAAGATCACCCTTTGCATTGAGCATGATATAAAGAGTATGTCCTGTTGATATGTCGTGGCGGAAATATATAGGCTCATATTGATGGTGCAGAACCATGTCGGTCGGGCCACGCGAACTAAAACTCGCGCTGCTGTCGAGGGGATCGTTGTTACTAGCCACATAAGATAATGATTCGGTGACATTATAACATATTTCTGCGTTTATGAGCATAAATCTTTTTGATTACATAAAGAGGTGGGGGTGGGGTAACTAACCAAGGCACGGGTGGCCTTTAATGTCGACACATCGGCTATGGTAGCTCGAAACTAGTGGCGAAGCCAAGAGAGCCACAGAGTCAAGGCTGACATTCCAATAATCCAGCAATAATGAGTTGATCTCATGTTGATTTCCAGGAAATGACCCGGCTTCCGGACTCATCAGTCTGCCGAGGTCAGTCACAAAGTACAGTAAGCACTGGCGGCAATTATACCTAGTACATACACAATGTGTAAATAGGTGTGCGCTTTGCTCTCAGTTGGTGCTTCTGACTGTATCTGCTGCTCAAAGTCCGGGGATTCTAGAAGCTGTCAGAGCGCAAGTCCTTCATAGGTTCAAAGCGAGTGACTTTACCAGCCTGGTCAAGAATCATTATTGAGTAGTGGAAAGCGTCTGAGTCGCTTGGTGAAGCCACCGACCTACCGCTACAAAGAAATAAAGCATATTCTAGAGTCGAAGGTTCAATGGTGGAAGTAGGAGTCATCATCAGATAGTTTGTTGAGTTTGAAGTTTATTCCTCTATGAGTTCTAATAACTCTTCGGCCCCCAGCCCCCAGCCCCCAAAGCGTGATATGTGATAGCCCTGCAGATTTGATGGTATTTTTCTGTCATCCTGATACACATTACTTACGAAATGGGGTTAGACTTGTATCTATATTAGATGTCTTGAAAGTACACATTGTGCATGAATTAAAGGGATAAAGAACTAATATACTCATTCTTAATACCTAACTACAAGATTATACTAGACATTGCGTCTGGCTCCTAGCCATCAGTAAGGATGATTCTGGCAATAATGGGACTCTCCGCAACAATCACCATGTGGTGGTTGGCAGAATTAGTTCTTTTTCTTGCCCATATTATCGATCCTATTTGCAAAGACATTGCTTTCCCTAAACGCCAGCTCGGCTCGAGAGGCAAAGGCTCTCTTGTCTTATCTACATTTGGGGTCATATATGGGCTGGGTCATAGGTCGAAGGTTTCAACCGATTTGTGAGCTATGTCAAAGACTAAGAACAACATTGAATTTCTAAGTAAGATTAAATGATGGTGAGCAGATCCAGGGCCGACAACCCAACCTTTCGGTTATAGATTAGGTTACAAGTTCTCTCATTAACTATTCATTCATACACGCTTCTATCCGGCGCAAACTCCACCTGTTCACTGGAGAATGTACAATGCGCTATTCCATCACATCTAGGCTTTTCAACGCCCCATTTCAACTGAAGTGTACCACCAATTCCAGCCGTCTCCTCCATCATATCCTCTCCCTCATCCGATAAAGAAGGATGGCAAGCAGCAGCAATAGTCTAACTACAGCTCCCAGCCACCGGCATACCCGACTTCAATCGTTTAAACGCCAGCAAGACAAAACAAGCCATCATTACAGCTCCAATAGCAAGCGTACTCACAATTGCAGCCGGCGAAAATCCACACGTGTTAGTATCGTCTGCCGGCTCAGCCGACTATCAAGGTTTATCTCCTACGATCACCCCTAGGATGAGAAATTAAATGCAGACAGCAGTGAAAATGGAATACCTAAAGTGATGAGTTAGGTCGAAGAACTAAGAGGGTCATAGCGGTGTTACATACAACAAGAGACAAACGATCCATCGGCGGCCAGACACGGGCGATCCCCATCGTCTTGGCTTTGTATCAAATCTCAGCTTCTCCCTAACCGGCTTAACCGCCATGTCACGCGAGAGTAGACATTTTCCTCTCTTTGTATCATCAGGTATCTTCATAAAGGAGGAAATCGCATCCCCCATGGTCAAAATAGGAGTATCGGCAGTGGTGATAGTAACCCCAAATAGGATGACGATTTTGATGACATGAATTTGTGTTTAATTGATTTATGTATTGATGGCGTAGAATCTTACTATTGCGCTTTGATTTATTCATACAGAAAGGACTACATATGCTACCCAAGAGGCTAATGCACGAAGTGTTGTGGATTTAGCAAGGCTATCATAGGATAACGTAGTATGTGACGAATAGACTGCACACTCCTGTAAAGACTGTTGTGGTTCGAGGCCGTCTCTTTTCATTCCTCCTTGTAAAGTTCGAAGTATTGTTTGTTGATGGTAATTTCAATAGTCGATCAAAGTGGAGACTCGAAGCGGTTGCTTGACCATAGGGAGATTGCCACCACAGAAGGCTGTCTTAAGAGTCTCCATCAATTGGGTACACGCTGTAAGCTGTTCCAGATAGGAAGCCTCCTTCAGAGACCTGTAGTGACTCTCATTTGAGACATCGAGGCCAGCTCTTTCGATTCCTCATCCTTAAAGTTCAGAGCATTGGGGGTTGTGGAATGTGGGTGGCTTGATTATTGGAAGTAGTTGATTGTTTGAAGTGGATCATTGATTGAAGCAGATCGTTGTTTGAAAAGACTGATTGTTTGGAATAGTTCGTTAAATCGGTTAAGTAATCAGCGTGCCGATTGCCCTGAAGCCGAAGCCCGCCACGGTCAGACTAGAAGTGTGTGGTTGAGGCGGATCGAATTGTGTGCTCGACGCGGAAGATCGAAGTGGGTGATTGAAGGGGATGGTCGAAGTGGATAATCAAAGTGAGTGAGTAACTAGTCTGCCGATTGTCCTGAAGCCGAAGCCCGCCACGGTCAGACTAGTAGTGGATAATCGAATTGGGTGATTGGAGCGGACGATCGAAGTGTATGCTGGAAGCGGAGGATCGAATTGGGTGATTAACTAGTCTGCTGATTGTCCTGAAGCCGAAGCCCGCCATAGTCAGACTAGGATTGGATGATCGAAGTTGGTGATCGAAGCGAAGGATCGAAGTGCGTCGTTCCCTAGTCTGCCGATTGTCCTGAGGCCGCAGCCCGCCACGGTCAGACTGGATATGGGTCGTATGAAATGGTTGATTGTTTGACCTCGTCGTTCCATTGAAGTGGATGGTTGAACCTAATAGTTAGTTGAATCTGATAGTCAAATCCGGCTTGTTGGAACTGGTTGATTGGAATCCTTTCTTCATTCCTTCCTTCATTTTTTTTTCTTTTTCCTCTTTTCTTGTTCTTGTCCTTGTTTTTTTGTTTTTTTGTTATTTTCCTTTTTTTTTCTGTTTCTCCGCGTCTCTCTTTCTCTGTTTTTCTTTTCTTTTTTTGCTCTTTTGTTCTTTTGCTCTTTTGCTCTTTTGTTTTTTTTGTTTTTTTGCTTTCCTCTGTTCTCTTGTTCTCTCTTCTTTTGTTCTTTGTTTCTTGTTTTTTCTTTTGTTGTTTCTCTGTTTCTCTGTTTCTCTGTTTCTCTGTTTCTCTGTTTCTCTGTTCTTTTGTTTTTTGTTTTTTGTTTTTTGTTCTTTGTTCTTTGTTCTTTCTTTTTTCTTTTTTCTTTTTTCTTTTTGCTTGCTGTGGTTGCCGGCCTGCCGATTGTCCTGAAGCTGGAATCTCTCATGGCAGGACTTGATGTTGTTGAGTGGATGTGGCTGAGCACACATGTCTGGTACAGTCAGCCCTATGTCATGTTGAACAACTCATAGGATATGGTAAAACAAGCTGAAAGTAGACGTACAATGAATAGAAAGTTGGGGTTGAGCCAAAGATCAAACGATGAAATGATGAAATGCAAGATGCAAGACAGAAGCAGCATCTAGTTGAGTTGTCTGAAGAATAAACGTAAGTAGATGGAAGGAACAAAAAGGAAAAGACAATAGACAGGCATCACGTACAACCTTGGACATCGTGTGATGGATGATGATACCAGATACCAGGTCTGTTGAAGGGAGACATTGGTATAAGGTGGAGTTGTCTGAAGGATAGATGTAAGTAGATGGAAGGAACAAAAAGGAAAAGATAAGAGACAGGTATCACGTACAACCTTGGACATCATGTGATGGACAATGATAACAGGTGCCAGGCACATTGAAGGGAGACATTCGTGTAAGGTGGAGTTGTCTGAAGAATGAATGTAAGTAAACAAGGAAGTCGGCACTGGATGGCACAACTGACCAGACATGTGATTAATATGGATGCGACAAAGGCCAACGCGTCAAGGGCATGGCAATATCATGTTTCATCTTATCCAATACGGATATGGAAGGATGGAAGAAGCAATGAAGCTCAAGGTTATGATAGAAAACCTGATGGAAGAATACAGGATGGATAAAATATTTGATGAAATGTTGTTTTTTTTTTGGGGGTGGATAGTATGAGAATTCAGAGAGGCGAAGAAGGAAAAAAAAAAAAGAGAGAAGGGAGGGGAGGAGGGGTATTTATATCCTGAGGGTCCAGAGGCACCTGCCTTCCTAGGTAAGAAGCACCTTCCTGGGTAAGAAGGAACTTCCTTCCCAGGTAAGAAGCACCTTTCTGGGTAGGTACTGGGGGTATCCTTCAGCTGACCCCCATTTCTCCTCCAAGTTCTCATTTTCCCCTCTTCAAATATTTGCTCTCTAAGTCCCATCTGTCTCTTGTGATTATTGAGTTAATAGTGTAGTCCTAGATACATGTCTTTAAATTTGTATAAAAAAAAAGGTGCGACAGTGTATGCACTCTACAGGCTTGCCCCACCAAGTAATATCATTGCTGGTCTCACGCATCGGCCTAAATGCTTTAATTGCGTTCTAGGTCTAGTCTTGTCTAGCTATACCTTATGGAAATGCTCTATGTTGTCGACTGAAGATATACGTCGTTGAGATTCAATAACATTTATAGATCATTAAGGTTACACGCTAAACTCTGTTTGGTATGGCGTTCGTGCACGGTCCTTTGCTCCGTGTCCCAACCGTGCATAACATCCATACTTTCAATAGATCTCCACCTGGGCAGGGCCCACGGGCCCGCGGGCTAGATTCAGGCGTATGTAACATACATAAGTAACCAGTTAGTAAACTAACTAGGTAACTAAATAACTAACTAGTCCACGGTCTAATTCTCAACTCTCATCCGAAGGTATGGTGTAATCCAGGGGCACAGCGAAAAGGAAAAGACCCGGCCGTTGTCTTGGCATAGTTAGTTCCGAGGTTAGGGCGGTACTAGGTATGTAAACTTTGGAACCCATCCATAGAGAATAAGGAAGCCACGAAATTTTCAAAAATGAAAGAGCCATTTACATATAGTAGTAACTAGGTAATAATTACGACAGGCTGATTCCAAGGCGGAGAAAGAACTACAGCCGTAGACGTGTTTCCGTAGCCATCCACTTCCACCTCACTCTACAGCAAAAATCATGGCCACTCTACCAGAAAAACAACCTCTCGCTAAGAGCGGGTATGCCCGAATGCCAGACAGGCTCCCCTCTACGTTTGTTTCGTCGACGGTACCCTGTATATTTGACAATACCGTCATTCTTGCGGCAACCCACCCCACAGTCTCGACTGCAGATCCATCAGACGATGGGTGGTTCATTTCGGATTTTTATGCCTTTAACTATCTGTTAAAAGGCTTGGGCATGCATCAGACATGGATAACCGCAGCTGATCCAAGAAAATTAGTGGAGAAGTATGGTGCATACCTTCATAGCAACCCGTATGAGGATCGAAAGGTCTGCCTCGATAAAGACATGCTAGATCAACAGCAAATCACCCCAGTCACCATTGTTCGCTCGGGTGAAATGATAGATCGTGTTCTTTCAGAGGCAAACGGGCGTCAGAATTAGCGAAACCGCATGAGGCGCCACTTCTACTACTCTTCTTTTGCCATGGGCTACCGAATCATCACTTATTTTTGAATGATGGAAACAGCCATAAGAGTCTCAGCATAGCCAATCTCAAGGGCGTGCTTGAGCCAGGTGTGCGTGTGACTCTCCTTAGCACCGCTTGTTATTCTGGTGGATGGATCACCACCCCCGAGCTCAACACACCGCCATGACAGCTGCTGGTGGGGAAGACGATCTAGCCACCGGAACTTCGAATGCCTGGGGTATATTCCAGAGCATTGGGCGAAGTTGCGGGTCTGTGTTTGTAAGCACCCTGTTGGAGACTTTGTCTAGTGCGACAAGTCCTTTTCTCGAAGAACCTGGTCTGGATACAAGCCTATCAGACCCACAGCAATGTCTTCAACCGGATAATCCCAATAGCTTGCAGACTTCCAGCTATAATTCATTTTGCGATTCTGTTTGGAGTGTATGCGAAGATCGCATAACATGACACTGGAGTTTCCAAAACTTCAAGTTTTGTGCCCAAGATGATACCTAGGAATACTCGTGGACAGGGAGAACAGGAATCCCATTGTCCTGGAACCGGTGGGATGGACTTAGCTCCTACCCAGACCATCTCCAATTAAAATGTACTATATCTGTGGAGCGAAAATGAGGAACAATGATAAGAATTCTAAAATGCATGCAATGTATGTATGTTGATTGAAACGATTGACGCTGGTAGATCAATGAAACAAGCTATTTTACCACTTGCTCCACAAAAGATACCATCTAGCACCTCTGTCACATGGTCTCAAATCGATTGTAAAGTTATGAGGAGGGTGTGGGCGGTTAGCGATAGCCTGGATCTAAGAGGCCCCGTTTCTACCTCCCGCCTCGTTTCATGTTAAAAATAGAAAATTTTCATTAATTCAGACATGAGCACCTAAATGGGACCTATTAGACAAGATTAAAAGGACACAGATACATGAATGAAGCGCTCACTGATCAACGGAGTGTTTCCAAATTCCTAGGGTGTTCCAGGGGCCCACTCATAAAGCTCCCTAATCGAGCAAGTAAGTATTCCAACTTCTTTTGCGAAGCGTCTTACATCTCGACCGTCTCCGCTTTCCATGCCACGTTCTATCTCGCGACAATCTCTTCTACAGCCATGGAGTCTGGCCTTCTCAAACCTCTGGCAGTATTTTGCAGTCAATCGCAGTCTCAACGATACATAAAAACTGTCAGGAACCTTGGCGATGCATGGCATAGCCTTGCTGAAAGGCCACTTTCTAAGTCTGAAGAAAACTCTGTTCTGGTGGAAACCAACTTTGACTTTGTTTTGAAAATCACGAATATACTGGAAGAGCAACGCCAGTCAGAATCAACCATTGTCGAAATTTCAGCCCATAAGCCATCTACACCTCTGTTGAACGTTTCATCTGAATCATCTCTATCGATCGAGTCATCTACAACCTCTCTGTCTACTGGGCCATCTATATCAACAGAACCTCCGCGACACTATCGTATCTTCGCTGATTATGGTACGGATTTTATCTGGCAGGATCCCGATGACCTTAGGCCTGAGGAAGGGGACTGTATATTAGAGGCTGAAGAGGTACTCTCTTCATTCCCTTCATCGGTCTTAGAATCATACAATGCGTGGGTAGACACGTACACCGATAACTTCAGCGAACGGCGTGATAAAACTCAAAATTATTATGCGGATGTTTTTCTAACCGCCTCCGAGGAGGTGGCTTGGAACGTGGCGGGGTTTCTATTGGCTTGACGTATCACATTAGCGCCTCAGTTTGGGAGAATTGAATTTAGCGCCGGTTGTTCAAAGTACCTCCTGGAGAAAGGGAAAGAAACCAGTGTGACTTTGCAATTTCTACTGGACCAGGTGAACATTTTAGCCAAAGGAAAGCCTATAGCATAGAGGCTTCACTACCTACTCGACTCCTTTACTCCAATACATTGCTCACATTGGGAAACTTTCGTCGCCATCATCGTCATGACTTTGCTCTTTGAGTGTAGGGGTGATCACGATTAAACCCTAGCAGGGCGAGGTTAGCATTGTCGTAGAAGGTCATGGTAGGCCTAGAACCGGCCTTGCAAAAAAATATAAAGCAGCCTGAGGAGCCTCTTGCGATATCGCAAATCCATTTATATTGATAATGACGGCGCTTTAAAGCAAAATAAACAGCAATTTCCAGTAGTCTTATGATCACTGCTAGTGAGACCCAATTTCTCCTTCCTATTAAATCCGAGCTGAACATTTCCAAAATTTCTTCCAAAAGCTCTGAGGCGGCTTTGAGGGAGCACTATCACTCGCTTGCCGAACACTAGCCGCCTTATTATAGGATGGAGGGCTTGGATCAAGTTTTTCATTCATGTTATCCACCTTTAAGGAATCAAGTAACCGCTTACAAGAGCAAAAGTAGTTATCGCAATCCTGAGAGTTCTGGGCCAGCTCTTTTCGTATTTGGCGGTTGGGATTCTGCTTTAAAGAAGCATATGCTCGGTTGAGCTCACTGTCGGAGAGTCTTCCCATAGCGATATAGATTTCGGGGTTTTCAACACGTTCTTTTAGTGCCTTTATCGACTTTCCAATTCACTGCATCTGTTTTTTTAGAAGCAAAGACAAATTTTCAAGGTAGTCGATTCTTAGCACAATATCTTTGTCGTCGTCGTGCATAGGGTGATTCTCTGTTAAGTCATCAAGCTCTGTCTCTAGCTTCTCACACTGCTGCAGTACTAAACGGCGAGTACGCTCGTTCTCGATGACAGAGATGAGCATATCTGGGTTCGGCTCGCATAAGTGGTATTTGGGAGAAAGGTGGCAGTCAGAGACTAGCTTCAATTCTTGACTTCCAAGTAGTTCGGACATTCCTTTGAGATAATGAAACCATTCTCGTATAGTGAACTCTAGTATAAGATAGGAAACAGGAATATTGAATATAATTTAGGATCGAGGTTTGAAATAGTAGAAAGATATATCTTCCTGGGCATCATTGATACGTATATCCCTCGCCGCGGCCTAATAAGGAATGGATCTCTACCTAGGTAGCTTCCCTCCCAAACCTTGGGAATATTCCGAGCCCCTTTCATCTGGAAGGGGACTTTATAGAGCTACGCACGGAAATGCACACGGATAAAGAGCATTAGACCACAAATGTGAAAGTTAAACAAAAGTCTTCATCCAATATCCGATATGGTGTAATCCGGGGGTACAGCGGAAAGACCACGGTTGTATATGGTAGGAGATAATCGTGGTGATTCCGTATAGGCCATTTTGTAGATCTAATTAGGACTACTAGTGCTATATTACCAACCAGGTTTAGCGCATGATTGTTACTAGGTATATCCATATCTATTACTAGTAGATCCACTGTGGAGGTGGGTGAATCTTTGCAGGGTAGACTGTTGTATGAGTGGCACTTTTTACACCGCCTAGCGAACGCCAAATCAAGTCTGCGACTTCACTCTCGAAGCGCCCCGGTTGTAGTCAGGACCTGCTCCAGAGACTTTGCAACATACGTCAAGCCTAGAGCAGGCAAATCTTCTTTCATCATCCCAGTGCATCTCTCACAGCGACAACATCTAATCACGATGACCCACGAATTCGAGTAGGTACCCGCCTGCAGATCTAGAATATAGAATATACTCATACTAATAACTTCAGATGTCCATATGCTGTTGGTAATGTGATCAATATTCACTTGAAGACACCAGATGGATTGGAGGCAACAGCAGATGCCAATATCATTAAAGTCTTCGAGCCGTTCACTCTTTCCTCTGTGATGCTTATTCGGATGGCCTGCTCCTCTTTAGGATTGGAAGGCGATATGATTTTGAAGCTCTTTGATCGGCGATTTGCAACACAGCTTCGGGAAGACGAAAAAATTCGACCCTGGACCCCAGATACAGAGACTGAGTACCGTCAATTTGTCCTTGATGGTGGTGTATCAGAGTTTGTTACTCAGCTCAACGACGGTGAAACACCTGAAGGCAGTATATGGAGTGCGGCCATGGACGAAACTTATCTTCATGATCACATGTTGGATCTGTATAAGACAGAGGCCCAGGTATATAGCAACCTGAAGGAGATTCAAGGCACCGACATACCAAAACTCCTTGCATCCGCTATTATGCCTATTCCCTACCCATGTCAAACGAGCAGCGAATATACCGATATTCCTGGGATCCTTTTGCAATATATCGAAGGCTTCCCATTGACCGATATTGAGGAATATACACTAAGAGAAAGCTGGCAGGCCATCTGTGAAGACGCCATTCGAGTTATTAATCGTATCGGTGATCTGGGAATACTTACTGAGGATGTCAAAACAAGGAGCTTCATTGTGCGTGAGGACGCGGGGAATGGATTTAAGGTGACCATGATCGATTTTGCGCTATGCAAATTCCGTCAAGACTATAAAGATGTCTATGCCTGGGATAAATGGAAATCGATACAGGACGAAGAGGGAGCAGTGGGGTATGTTATGCAGAGGCGTCTAAAAGGTGGATTTTCTTACCGTCGATCTGCTCGATACGAAAAGCTAGATGAGGAATTCAGAAAGGGTGAATGACTGTAGGGAAAATAGAAATCAATATCAGGCCGAGGAATATAGCGCCTGTATGTAACGTCCAACCTGACCTGGAGTCGAAACCTCGACCTTCGCTAGGGCTAGATGATGATTAATTATATATATATATAGAGAGAGCGGAGAGTTTACCCCTAAGTTTGTACCCATCTTATCTTCAAGCTATGCACAAAGCCAAGAGCGCTAGACGAGAAATGCAAAAGTGGAGCAAAAATCTTCATCCAATATCCGATATGGTGTAGTGGCTAACATCGCCGTCTCTCACACGGCAGCCGGGGGTTCGATTCCCCCTATCGGAGTTTCTTTTTGTTTTTATATTCATCTCGTGATGATTCTCCAAAGAAATACTTATGTAGTGGAAAAACCGCATGTTCCAGTTACTACGCTGCAGCCTCTCAAGGTACATTGTTTCAGCTCTGGTGGTAGACCTATCCTTGTTTCACCGCTTTCAATATAGCGATAGGAGAGCTGCAATCTGAACCCTTGGACAATCCAAAAGATTTATGGATGTGACACGATGCCTATTTGCATCGAGTGCTCCTATCCGGTCTCTCATCTTTACAGCGCCTACAGTCGTGCTGATGACCGGTCCCAAGGCAAGGGTGTGCGACTGACGCAATGCCCGCGATGCCAACGGTTTGCCGACAAATACGTTGAATATGATTTCGTTGTGCTCTTCATTGATCTGGTGCTCATTAAGCCCCAGGTAAGCATTACACACGTCCTCGAGACGCGACGTGGCTAACATATTTGAAACCAGGTATACCGGCATCTCCTCTTCAATCGGCTCGGGCGAGACGACAACCAGTTCGATGTGGGTACTATGTTAAACAATATTGATCCCCTTGCTGATGAAGTGCCCTTTTAGAGGTCCATAATTCGCCTAGGAATTCTTCTGCTTCTCTTCGATGTCTACCTGACTTGGGCGCGCATTGAAAAGGACCCATCCCTCGCAACGACCTTCCTGTCACGCGCCCCTATCATTGTCCAATACCTCTTCTTCCTAAGCCTTAATGCAGCCGCAACTCTTGCGCACCATCTCACCGTGCGCCTGTTGGCCTCAATCTTGGTTCCAAAGTCGCGTCGATACAGCGGACCCGACAGCAGTAGCAGCAATGTCAACACCAATCCTAGCAAAAAGTCCACAGGATATGCCACCCCGTTCCCCTCCGGACCCCCCCACACCGACACATTCCTCGCCATCTGGAGTGCCAATAAACCCGCACACCCAGAATCCCGCAAATCCTCCCGCAAACATACTAAACCCAACCCAAACCCCAAGCTCATATAATGAGGTCACCTCTCCAACCGACTTATCCCCACCACCGCAAGGCACGTCAACGGGACCACAACCCCGACCTGCGCCGCCCCTGCGCCGGGCATCAACAGCGCCGCTGCAGAACATCCGGCCCCTCCCCCTCCAACAGCTGCGAGCCCATCAGCAATCAGCACGGCTCTGCTAGTCAGCAGTTGCGCAAAGCTCTTCCCCATCCTGCTAGTTATCTGGGGCGCTGACGGCAGCGGCAACCTCTCGGATATCCCAGCGCACAGCCACACAGCAGCGCAGATCCGGTCCTCGACACAGCCGGCCACGATGCGGAGCGCGGTGCATCAGAGCCTATTGGCCACAGCCACAAAGACCGCTTCGGTTCTCTCTGCGAAAGCAGCTATATCATCTCCACCGCCGGCTTCGGCGGTCTCTTCTTCGTTCCTAGAATCGTGGCTGGCTGCCACGTCTTCTTTGCTTCGGACTTCTACGCCGACTAGTTATCTAACGGGGCTTTTTAACATACTTTCTTCGTTGCTTTCTCTTGGTGTTGTTGATACACACTTAGTGCTTCTAAGCAATATCGAGGCCTTATATATCTTACTTGGCTGTGGGTATCTGCGTGCTGTTGCAGTCGCGGTTGCGGGCCAATTCGCCCGGTGGGCGGTCCAGAGGGTGATTCTGGGTGCTGTGGGTGTTGGTTAATGAAGTGCTTGAAAGTAATACTTACGTTCCCAAAGCCTAAAAAAATCCAATCTAGTTTTATCAGCGTCGAAGTTCCTCTCGTATATATACCCATCACTGCCTCGGTCCACGGGGCAGAAATTCATCGTTCGACATCCCAGATTAATGCATAGACATACATAGTCGTGGAACGTAGGTAATAGGTACATTGGACTAGTAAAGAGACCAAAACGGATATGCGATTTCCATACAAAAGGAAACCCAGCAACTACTAGAACTAGATCAAAACAAGAACAAACATATAAAACGCTGCGAAGAAAAGGCCATCTAGGGGAAAAGCTATACAAAAACATGAAGCAGCTGCGAACCCACACAGTCATAATGCGGGCCAATTCCACAAGCAGCCCGCTGCAAAGCTGAAGCACATGGAAAAGCAGTCTTCATTCCCGTCCAACCCACGCACATCGCGGCATGGGATGGGATAAACTCGACTTCATCTTAAACTGTCCCATGACAAGCTAAGACGAGACAATGTCTCACAACCCACAATCCCCCGATATGTCTGTTGACAAAAATGGTGGAAAAACACAAGAAACCAGAAATGGAAATGCCTCTATTGCGGTACATGACCAGGTCTGATGTCTGACCGCCTTGGTGAGATGAGGGGGTGCCACTGTGAGAGGAAGACGATTGCTGCATCGAATGTGTTAGCATCCTTTATGTAGTATACTATCACGGAGATAGGTGGGTAGAGAGTGGGTAAATAGAAACGTACCCCACATCAAGTAACAGGAAACGAAAGTAAGGATGAGTGTGCTGCGGAAGAGGCTGAGCATAGCAGAGTCAGTATTTTCAAGTGCTTGAAACTTCAAAAGAAATACCCGCTGGGCTGGACGCCTAGCATGCAAAGAGTGAAGCATGAACTCACGTTTGGTTATCGCCCTTCGGGCTTAGGAACCATGCTGCTGTCGAGAGGGCAACGATGATAACCAGGCCAATGAGCAAGCTCCAACTATTCAAGTTCACGTTAGCGATTGTGGTTTTGTATCCTTATTAAGCGCAGTATCGGGGGGTCGAGGCGTGGCAGGATACATTGAACATTGCAAACACCAGTAATGTTTATTGCACGATGCTGAGGGAGAGGGAAACATACCCGTTTGCCATTTTGACGGTATGCTGTTATTATCTTCGTTTGTCGGAGTAAAGCACAACCCAGAGTGGAGATCACTCGGTGTGGAATACGAATGTATGGGCGAAGCGCGGGCGAGGTAGGGAGGGGATCACAGAGGGGGATTATCCTCTAGTTGATAATATGAATGTTCCGCGCGAGTGTTCTTGGATGTCCGGATCCTTTGATGGAGCAGGTGAACGGACAAGTAATCGATTGTTCAGTGTAGCGTGGCACGATTGGGATCGGATCGATGATGTTTTGGGTGTTTACTGGAGTGACCAAATATCGGAAGTCCTCTTCCGAAAATATGCAGCTGGCAGGTATATTGCGAGCTGAAAAAGGCGACCTGGCGAGTTGGAGTATCTCCGTTGATGTCGGAGCTCCTGGAGCTAGCGGGATGCTAAGGCCTGAGGCAGAATTGGCGGGCGGTGGATCGAGGCTGGTGCATATGACATCTATACATCAATGAAGATGGCATTTGCTTTAAATTTCCACTATAAGAAGCCTTTTACAAGAATAAGAAGAGAATGGAATTCTAAGTCCAAAAATCCAGACTGAATGATCTGGTGAGTTGGCTTAGCAGAGGCAAAGCGGCTTAGATACAAAACACAAAGCCATGGCTCGGAGTAACAGACAAAATCGAAGCCAGGCAGAAGGATAACAAATGAAACATAGCATTTAGAACAAGGCTTAAGCGCCCTCGCGAATCTTACGGTAGCTGGCCTAAGAAAAATGTGGTTAGACGTGGTGGACATATGGAACGAGCATCACCGAAAACTTACTTCCTGCTCGACCTGCAGCGCATCTACAGTCGGAGCAAGCTCGCTGAGAATCTCATATGACTTCTTGTGGAATTCGAGTTGGGCGGCGATCAGATCGGCCAGATTACGCAGGGGCTCGGGGGTATCAAGGACCTGTTGCGAGTGATGTTAGTACCAGATCACTGAGTTCAAATACTGACAAGAGCGCAAAAAGGAAAGTCAACCACAACGTACGTTTTTCATCACGCTCACAGCCTCCTCAGTCTGGCCAACAAACTCATCCTCGGCCTGCTCAATCTCCGCGCGGGCGTTCTCGCTCAGGTTATCCAGGTCGCCGTGGGCACCGGCCTTTTTGCTAGCCTTGATGGAGTCAAGCATCAAGCGGGCGTTCTCAACATTCTTGCGTGCCTTAGCAGCGAACATCAAGTTGGTGTTGAGGGTGGTGTTCCAGCCGGCCAGGAAGCGGGACTGGATCTGAGCATCCTGGGCAAGACGAGCCTCACCAACCTGCTCCTCGGCCAAAGCATACTTCTCCAATGCACTGGCGAGAGGGTCCTCACCCTCGGTGCTCTGTGCGAGTGTCTGAGAGCCGGCGAGGGAGGCACGGGCGATCGCGTGGTTGAAGGTCTTAGGTTGGGGCTTTGCGGAAGGCGGGGCAGTCAGGGCAGCTTGTGCCTCTGCGGGCGAGCCAGCTTGGGACAGGAGATGAACCTTCTCATTGATAGTGCGGCCCAGGTCGTTAAAGGACTCGCGGATGTTGGGAGGGTAGTCGTAGGCCTCGTTGGAGTATTGGGAGCTATTCGCGAGAGATGGCACCGGTTAGCGCCTGTGCGGAGAACCATTCGTAGTGCATAAAGTCACAGGAAATACTCACGTCACCTGCAACAGCTTCTGGTGGACAAGCTTGAGCGCATCGACGCGCTTCTCAAGCTCGATGTATTCATCGGGGAGCTGGGTCTTGTCGTCGGCCTGGCCCAGCTGCTCCTTGATCATTTGCTGGGTACGCTGCGCAAAAGGCGTGAAGCTCGCACTGCCAGCCAGAAAACCACAAGGCAATAAGATGTTAGTAAGGCGGCCGATCACAAGTCGAGAAGGGTGGAATGGTGATCCGCGGGATAGGGGGACTATGATGGTGTACTCACCTGAAGTTCTTTCCGAATGCCTGCACTCGATCCATGATTGGTTTAATTTGAACTTTTTAGCTAGAAAAGAAAATGAAGAGGGAATAGCGGGAAAATGAAAGAGAGTGATGATGGGATATCACTGCATGTGCTACGCGGCGGGACGAAGCCTCGACCCTGCACCGCCTCAATTACGCCACATACCAATGTATCAGGCACCCATAATACAATGGATCCTCCTTTTCTTCCCTTAGACTGGAGGACCTCCAAATGTCAAACTCATACTCCATCCTAGAAACAGTCTCATATGATTGTAGACTGTCAAAACCTCAATATCGTAGCTAGGAATAATCTGCAAATTGACTAAGAAAATACATGGAAAAAAATCCGGAAATCCCCATCCAGAACCTACAACCTTGGAATCAAATTAAAATCATAGCGTCGTAAGTCTCTTCTTCGGAACAAAAGAAAATAGAAAGAAGTGTGGAAACCATTTTAGGTCAGAGTTGCCATCATAGCACGCATGATGCGAGAGTTGGGTTCTAGAGAAGGTCAGAATCACCGAAACGATATATATAGTAATCTGCGGCATCATACCTGAACGCTCCTGCCTCCGGGTCTCAGTAATCTCCTCATGATTGCCTCTATCATCAATGATATCTGTCTCGCGTCTCTGGGTGATCTCAATTCCACCCTGCCTCTCCAGACGAAGAAGTCTTGTCTCCTCTTCTAGCTCGCGAATATAATCACTCACGTCGTGATCGCTCTCCCGTGGACGAATGACAACCATCTGACCCGCCCGAACCGCGTCAGATTCTCGCTCCTGGATGTACTGTACAGGAGCGAGATGAGGTCCACTATCATGGACTGATACAGCTCGTCGTCGAGAGACTCCCCGCGCTCGCGGCCTCTCTACAATCTCCTCGTACTGGTCTACATGGTGGCGCGACTGCGATCTGTGTCGGGAGGGTGCTGCATCCACGACGAATGCCTGGCTGGTACGAGGAGAAGCCTCAACACGCAGGTACTCTGTCACCTGTTCGCGTGCCCGTTCCCTTGGTGGAGGAGACGGGGACAAGCGGAGATATTCAGCTGTTCAAAAAATCTAGTTAGTATTACTATTCCTCAAAAGGGCTTGGGAGTGCGGATGCGAATGCCACTCACTTTCCATTTCTACGGGTGAAGGCCGCCTGAACTCGCGGCTCAAACTGAGCACTTCGTCGATCTGTTCCTTCGACAATGCCTTTTGAATGACGATCACATCCGCCTATTTAGGTCAGCAGCCGACAGCAGTATTGTTGGAAAATAAAACACCGACCTCTTCCTTGAATGGATACCCTAGATCCATGATGGCGTGAATATGAGCAAGGTGACGAGGAACACGAGTCTTTCCTTTACGTGGGTAAGGCTTCTCCTCATGAGGTCTGCGTATAGTACTGCTAGAGCGGCGGCGGCGATCAACCATGTCTCGGTCACGAATATCTCTGAACTCTTCATCACCATAGTAGTCGGGCTCGGCGATCCTAATATCCTCATACACCTCTCGCTCGCGAAAACGGCCCGGAGGGAATTGATGACGAGGCGGAGCAACGACAGGCACACGGGGAGCGCGGGGGCCACGATCTCTGTCATCAAGGTGCTCCATCTTGCGCCGGGGTATACGGTCGAAAGTGTCCAAGGAAGATTGCCGCCTAAGTAGTTGGGGACGTCGAAATGAGGGACTGTCGTCACGGCGCCGACTCCTGTCACGCGCCACAAGAGACATGACAGGGGGTGGGTGGTCTAGATGGTCATCCTCATAGAGCCTCCCGAGTGCGCGGGCAGGGGGTCCATATCGATCTTCGTCACGGAGGCGTGCTTCAAACCGCTCTTCGGCCTGGCGGGGTCGTTCGAGCACGGGGGTCCCCGTGAGTATCGATCGTATCGATCGCGAGAGTCCAGGGTCCCTGTTGACGAGCGGTAATCATCATACCGAGACATTTGGGAATATCACCGGGTTCTTGGAATCAACAAAACGAAGGGTGAACCGTGGATGACGCGAGCGGCTGACTTCCGAACCGAGAGTGGGGTTTTCGAGGAACCACGGGTGAGAGAAACCGATAGAGACCTCGGAAGAGAGAGGATGAAACAGTTGGAGGCAGAAATGAACAGAAAGTAGAAATCAAGAATCAGCCTTGGGAAAAAAAAAGAGAAAGCCACGAAAATAACAGAAGAGAAAACGTCAGGCAGAAGTCGATCAGTGATGACAAGTGATGACATTGGGTCAGGCCTAGATTGAATGTGGGGGATACCTGGATACCTATCTCTGCGCCACAGCTTTCTACGACTACTTGTGTACTGTATGCTGCTACTGTATGTTGTGCCTAATGTATGTACCATGTACATATATGTAGGTACTGGTGCATTGTATACTTTATCCAATCCTAAACCTCTAAATTCGCAATGTCCTCTTCCAAGATTCCCATGGCCCAATGCGCTCGATCCGACTTGACTGTCACAAACCGACGATCTTCAACCTCCTTCAGCACAGCCTCAGACTGTGGCGCATACATTAGCTTGGATTTTTTAGGCCAAGGATATCCAATAGACATGCTTACCTCACGCTCTTGTTCTTGTTCTTCTCGTTCCCGTTCTCGGTCAGTCTCAAATGACCGTTGATAGGGTGGCCCACGGCCCTGCTTTGCAGCGACTATCCATGCTTTCTCACAGCCACCGGCAATAGCATCCGCACTCTTCCACCCAGTCAGACGAGAGATGTCGCGAAGTTTTGAAATCGTCCAAGCTCGCTGTGTGGGATCAATATATTGCACAGCTGCAAAGAATAGCGGTACTGTCATGTCGGTCAATCCAGAACCCAAATTCGGACTCAAGCTTCCAGCTTCGAGATTGAAGCGTTGTGGGTAGTAGATACCCGCCAGGATCTTCCCAATAATCTGCGCAAATCCAGCGGTTGTTGGGGCAGATACCCCAGCTGCCATCATGATGGCCGGTGGCATGGAGGGATGAATCCGATTCAGCAGAAGACGAATGGCATAGTAGAACCCCCAGATCACAGCAATGGTGTGGGTACGATACTGGAGGGCTGGACCGAACGGTGTAGAGATCGGGGGCGCGACATCTGGTGGCAAAGGTTGGAAATCGCGGCCCAAAGCTTGACAGAATATATCCATAGCAACCAGGATCTCTTCCCATTCTTGTTCAGCTTCCTTGTAACTCATGTCGTGAGCCGGGTCATCCTCGTCTGGTGACGAACGAGGATCAGGTGGTCTATCTTGGAATCCCGAGGGAAGGCGTGCGGGCGGCTGAGGCGGCATCATTCCATACATTGGAGGACTGTCAGCCGAGGGCGGTCCAGGGCTTGAAGCAGGAGATGACCCAGCAGGCTCTGCCATAAAGGGGGCCCTGGGATACCCTTCAGGCTGCATACGAGGCATGCCAGGTGGAGGACCAGGGGCGCCTGGACCAAAGCCGCCAGGTGGTCCAGGTCTTTGACCAGGAGGGCCACTAGCGAACCGACCCATGAATTGGAACATCTCAGGGCCTGGCCTCCAGTCCACCCCACCTGCCTTCAAGGTTCTCAATTTTCGCTTGCGATCACGGAAGGCAAAATCTGTGACTCGAGCAAGCAGCAGCCATAGATGATCTGCAGAGCCGTAGATGGCATCTAAACGGCCAATGCCTGCTCGAGGCGGACATTGACCCCATTGAGAGTATGGCATTCTGGTTAACAGATAAGCAAATTGTCTGTCTACTAGTAGTTATACGTGTAGACTTACAATAGTTTGTTTCCGCCGATAAAACTCTGGAATGCATCTTGTTTTGCATACCACCAGTACAGATCGCATTGAATCCGGAAAACCTCGATATCTTTACGGGTAAAATGCTTCTTAGAAGGCGGCAGACTCCCTTCATTGATGCATCCAAAATGGTCATAATTGACTCCTCGTCCCATAATGGTACCTATAAGATCTTCGTCGACGCTGTCCTCCTTCTCAGAGAAGGGGTCATCCTCAGAGATATCGCCAGGCATTCCCCACCACGAGCTCGACCAGCCCGACTGGCGTCGCTGCTCGTGAGCTCTACCTCGATGGGCCCGTAGGTCTCTGGTTGTTTTGGCAAAGTCGATATCTCGGATCAGATGGGTGGACCCACCCAGATGGTTATTCCATTTCGAGTGGTCGGCAGATATCACCTCATAGTACCCCAGTAAAAGCGTGGCAGCCAGGGTCCCGACTTGCTTGCGTCGGAGGGGAAGACCGACTGCAGAACCAACTCGTTTCAGGGCATAGTGATAGTGCTTCAAAGATACTGTCGTGGGGACTTGCTGTAAATATGCAATGTGTAAGCTGCTGATCGCCAATATTGCCTGGAGGAGGGCCGGATGCTCTAAAGCTTTGAGGGCAAGTGTATAGACCCATAGACCCTGCTGTGCGGATGGGACGGCTGCCCCCAAAACAATCGATGAGTCAGTAGGATGTCGTTCAAATATAGACAAGGATGGACCAGTCGAGTGAATGAAGTGAGCAAAGATACGGGCGGTCTTTGGGTTGTTCAGGGGAGAAGAGCCAAGTGTAGGGCGATATGACGCCAGCACATTGGGTTCATTCAGGTAAGTCGTGAAGGAGCGGAGTTGTCGCTCATCGCGGTTAGCAGAGGCCATGATGAGACTCAACTGGTTGAAGCCTTCAGCATGCGATTGATCCACCATCTCATCATCCGAGTCCACGTCGTAATAATCCTCGCTTTCATTCTCCATGTATATCACTTGTGGCTGATGGGGTATAAACTGGTCATGAGATCGTAACTGCCCTGGCAGTGGCTGATAATGATATATCGTAGGGAGCGGCTGGGTGATCTAAGAAATCGTATTCAGCATACCGGTTGCCAAAAACAGTAAGATCACGGCAATACATACCTGAGGAACAGTATTGATCTCCCTCTCCCTGCCTCCGGGCATTGGATTGAGAGCTGGAGAGAGATTGGAGGCGTATTCTTCGGCTGTCTGACCGATCGGACTGGCGATATGTGGTATATTTTGCACGCTTCCATGGGGCCTATGTGGAGCGCTCGTCTTACCCGACTGAACTGACTGCTGTGCTTGAGAGATATCAGTCACAGTTGGCGGGGCCAACTTGCTCTCCGCTTGAGCCATCGGCTGAGTGTGCCATATATGGATTGGCGGCTGTACTTGAGCCGCTGGATAATAGAAGGGAGGTGCGTGAATCGGCTGGACTTGAGTCGATGAAGAAATTTGGGATGGGAATGAGTGATATCCCATTGTTATCGGATCAATAGGTCGCGGAGCCAGCATTGGATGCTGAGCAGCGGCTGCCGCTTGTTGGGGAGGGAGTTGAGCGCCATAGTCGTTGTATATCGGCACCCTCATATGCTGCTGCTCTATCTGCGGATCCGGGCCGTGGCCAGTACTGAAAGACCCGAAGATGCCTATGGGGTTCTTGAACACGACTCGCTGGGCATATCCCTCGCAGGTTCGCTTGGATTTCACGCAGTTGGTGCATATTGGCTTCTCTTCGCCGCACTTGATCCGGCGCTTTCGACAAGCTATGAGGCTCGGTCAACGGGGAAACCCTCTCTCTCCAGCGTTCTGCAACGTACTCAAACAGCCGGTCTTAGTTCGTTTCTTGGGGAGTCTGCGGGGACCTGATCGTGCGGTTGATGCTTCCACAGAAGCCTCAACAGTAAGATCTGCTGGAATGTCCAGCAGATCCTGGAGGTCGTCAGCCATAACTCAAGACTGTAGAGCGGACATGTGCGAGGACATTGTGGGGCTAAAAGGCACAATGATCAGATAAGTTATAAACAGACTAAGAGGGAAAAGCTGCCGAGAATCGCAGATCACCCGCCATACATATGAATTTCCACATATGATCACCTACATGGTTGCAAGGTTCTTAAGTGCACAGTCAGACTACTACTATGTAAGGCTCCAAGGGTTTGGTATTCATAAGTACAAGGGCTTACGAGTCGATTAGGGGTGTACGGTGTACCCTGTACAACGTTCTCTTTGTCCCCCTCAAACAAGGTCACGCTATAGGCTTTTAGGCGAAATTTACCCCGGTTGAGCGCCTGAGGCAGAAATGTGTATGTAATCTGATAGTAAAATTACCGATAACGAAATTTTGAGAGGGTTTTTTTTCTTAGGTACTGTTCTGTCTACTTCAAAGGCATTGGGCACTTACAACCAATCCTTCAGAATTAATCATGTTCGCTGTTCCAGGATGGTCCGTTGAGAGCTCTGCTCTCCAGTCACAGACTCAGCCTGCGCCGCCCAAGAACGAATCTCAGCCTGAAAAGGATGCCTCCAACGCCAATGCAAGCAACAAGCGTAAGCGTGCCAACGACCGCGTCACCGCTGGCAATGTGGATGAGATGTACCGCAGGCACATCGAGGGTGTCACCCGTGGTGGAAAGCACGGCGCAGAGGCTTCTGTGAAGCCAGAGAAGAAGCAGAAGAAGGAAAAGAAGGAGAAGGAGACACCTGAGACAGCTACTACCCAGGAGTCTACAAACGAAGCTGCCGCCACCGCCGATGCAGATGCGGACCAAGTCGAGGATAAAGCACCCAAGAAGAGACAAAGGAAGAACAAGAAGAACAAGGATAACGCCTCAGGGGACAAGACCGAGACCGAGGCGGATGCTGTTACCACCACCCCGGCTAAAGAAGCTCCAGCTCCTACTCCCGCTCCTGCCGCGCCTGCACTCCCACCGACAGCGAACCTGACTCCTCTTCAGCAAGCGATGCGACAGAAGCTGATCTCCTCTCGTTTCCGCCACCTGAACGAAACCCTCTACACCACCCCCTCCGAGAAAGCACTTGAGATGTTCAGTACCAACCCGGAGTTGTTCGACGAGTACCATGCCGGATTTGCGCGGCAGGTGAAGGAGTCATGGCCCTCCAACCCGGTTGACGACTACATCAAGACCATCCGCACCCGTGGTGCAATTCCGCTCCCAAGGCGAGGAAATCCCATTAACCCTGCTAAGGGTTACCCGCTCCCCCGTCGTCCCACTGGACTATGCACAATCGCCGATCTGGGTTGTGGTGATGCACAGCTCGCGCGCGCCTTGACACCCTCCGCCAAGAAGCTCAAGATCAAGCTCAACAGCTACGATCTGGCAGCGCCCGATCCGTTGATTACCAAAGCCGATATCTCGAATCTCCCCTTGGAGGATGGGGCGGCGGATGTGGCTATTTTCTGTCTGAGTCTGATGGGAACCAACTGGGTTTCGTTCGTCGAGGAGGCATGGCGTATTTTGCGCAATGACGGCAAGGGCGAGTGCTGGGTCAGTGAGGTCAAAAGTCGATTTGGCAAGGTCCAACGCAAGAAGTCTCAGATCGGTGCGCAGAAGCCTGGCAGCAAGGCAGACAAGAAGAAGCCCAAGAAGAAGAGCGGTGATGATTCCGATGATGAGGGTGATATCTTTGCTGAGGATGCGCGGCCGTCTGACAATAAGGACGAAACTGATATCTCGGCGTTCGTGGATGTGTTCCGGTCTCGTGGATTCATGCTTCGCCAGGAATCCGTGGATAAGTCCAATAAGATGTTCGTGAGAATGGTATTTGTTAAGCAGGGTGGTCCGCCTACCAAGGGGAAACACGCTTCGGCTATCAGTGCGCCTGCCCCAGGTGGTAACAAGAAACGCTTTGTTGACCGCAAGCCTGATTCAGAGTCTAGCATGTCAGCTGAGCAGGAGGCTCAGGTGCTGAAGCCGTGTGTTTATAAGATCCGCTAGGCGTCGCAACGGATGTGCTTATATGTCATTGTACATAACCAAAATTTACCACGCATGACCACTATATCCATGGACCATATCTATATAGGTTGCTAATTGCGCGAAATACGACCTAGTTAGGCCAGCATGTAATCGTTGGACGGCATCGTCATTATTTTTCTATTGCTCCCGACATAGATACTAGCCTCCAAATCAAGTCCAAGGAGCCCCTTCAAGAGATATCTTCGACACTAATCGCCTTCATTGGTTACCACCCAGCTGTGTCACAGCGTGGCCCATCTCCTCATCGTTGTAGATACGGAAACCCTTCTCCTTGGTGACACTAGCCAGCTGAACATTCTTGGAATCAAGCTTCTCCTCCATAACCTGCTTCAGCGTCTTGAGGACCAACGTCTCGGCCTCCGCTAGAGTCAAAGACCGATGGTATTCATTCTGCAACTCCGCCTGCGCGCCTTCGCTTCCAGAGCCGATGGCCTTGGCGTCATACCGGTAGAATGTGCCGGACGGTTCAGCGTGGTATCTAGCAAAGAAAAGAAATCAGTAAATATATCAGACAAATTGAAAACTGCAGATCTTACAGTTGGGGCCCATCCTCATCATAACCAGCGATTAACAGCGCAACACCGAACGGTCTGCTCATGACACTCTCCTCATCATCACCGCTCTCACCGAATCGCAGAGCCAAATCACAAATTGCCTGCGTGGTGCTCTCGACCCGCAGAGGCTCAGCATAGTGGAAGGCGTGGTTTTGGCACTCGACGCGGGCGTGTTCGACCAGGTTGCGGGCATCGGCCTGGAGACCGGACATGGCACAGCCGATGTGCTGGTCAATTTCGACAATCTTCTCAACGGACGACGCTTCAAGCAATGTAGATGTGACGCGCTTCTCGACACCGAGGATCACGCCCTCGGAGGTTGCTACCTAGAGACTGTTAGAAAAGACGGTCCCATCATCGCATTATCCTTGGCTTTGCGCTCTGATAACAGTACGAAGATGGCTCGCTGCAGTGTTTCCGAGGCCTTCCGTAGAACCGTAGAGCAAAGAGGAATTGTGTGGTATGACATACTCCGATCGCGGTGGAGCCTAGTTTGATAGCTTCAAGAGAGTATTCGACCTGGAACAAACGACCTTCGGGGGAGAAGGTGCTGCAGAGGGAACATTGTCAGGCTGCAGGTCTATGCGAGAGCGTAGGTTAAGCTCGGGAGAACGTACTTGATTCCACGGTCTGTTGAGAGCTGTTAGTTGATTCCGCGGTGAGGGGACCCTGACGAAGCTTACCATATTCTGATCGTGCAATGAACATATTGGATTATCTGATAGGACGGAAGAGACTTGTCGAAAAAGGAAGTAATGAAAGAATATAGAATCACGATGGAGGAGAGAATCAGTTGGAACGGAAGAGGAGCAGAGATGCGTTGTCTGAGTGAAGCTCGGGAAGGGAAGCTCTCGACGTACGCAAGAGGTGAGGTGCCTGGTTGATGCCTTTGTGCCTGAGGCCTCTTCTGCCCAAGCCAAAGTGGAGTTGTTTGGATACTTGCATCTTCTCCCCATAGACATTGATTCTGCTATTTTTGTTGCTGATTCTTCAATTTCGCGTCTTTTAATCTCCTATGCTGCATGATTTACTCGTCGCCCTCGCGGGATTATGTCTGTCAATGACCGCGCCGCGTATATGAGCGCTCAACGACCCCGCGCCGTCTCTAATCGCGTCGATTCCGTAACTCGCGGACCGTCGCCGCTACAAGTCGAGAACAAGGATCCTTTGCGCCACAGCACCTCGAGTCAAAAACACAGAGTCTCCCGGGATCAGAAGAGCATGCCGGAGAAGCGCCCAGAACGGATGGTGATCACATCACGAGAAAAGGCAGTGCGACGGAACCCTGTGAACCCTGTCAAGGAATCTATCAATGCGGCCAACAGAGGCGATTGGGATAAAACTCGGCCTAGGAAGTCTGTTCAACTTGATGACGCGAATTCCAGTGCCCAAACTGGGGAGAAGGACCCACCTGATTGTGAGTGATCCCAGCGTCGCAGTTTGTCGTGGAGCGCAACGGATAATGGATTTGCTGACCATGGTTTTTTTTCTTGACAGCATCATGGAATCCCCAAGCGTCATTAGTTCCTCGCTCGACAGCTCCTCTCGCATGTCGTGTATCAGTTCCCCCTCTAGCTTCGACAGCACCGCAGGCCCTTCATCCTCAGCCACTTCGAGAGCTCTCACCCGATGCCCAGGAAGCAGCAGTCTTGGAGGACTTATTGTTCGTGTTCATGGGATTTGAAGGTCAATATATCCACTACGCTAGCTCATATGATCCGTCGATCGAGAAAGACCGCCTCACGGGCCCAGTCTTCCAGATAGCCCCGGGCCTGGATCCGACCCTCCGTGATCTCATCCAGTCCATGTTGAAAATGGCGACGCATTACAGTGCCATGGAGGCATTTGTGGAGATTCAAAGCCGCGCCGAGTGTGGCGCTGTTAGCCACTCGCTGTGCGCATCTATTCGAAAGCTCCTGAAAGATTACCTGATCCTTATCGCCCAGCTGGAAGGCCAGCTGCTGAACAATCCTACATTTACCTTGCACCTTCTTCATCTCCACACAATGCCTACCAGTCAATGTCTAGCCCAATTATATTCAATGGGCCAGGAACTGTTGCTCAAAAATGGCTTGCTAGATGAAGAACTCGAGGAGTCAATTGACGATTTTGATGAGGATGTTGACAATATACTTGAACAACTCAAAGAAGGGGGAGACTTAGTACCAGGGTCTCTGGCCCGCAAGAAAATGTGCAAAGGAGGCAATATTCTCGGACTTCTAACAGGACGTCTAGCTTCATTCTCAGGTGATCCAATCACCAAGACCCTGCTTCAGACCTTATTACGTGACGCCAGTAGGCCTTACATGGCCATGTTGAATGAATGGTTACACCACGGTGGTATCAAAGATCCCCACGCCGAGTTCCTAGTCAAGGAACAAAAATGGATCAAACGCGAGAAACTCGAGGAAGACTACACGGACGAGTATTGGGAGAAACGCTACACGATTCGAGAGCACGAAGTTCCACCCCAGCTGAAGAGTGTGCAGGATAAAGTGCTCCTGGCTGGAAAGTATCTTAACGTGGTACGTGAATGTGGTGGTGTCGACGTCAGCAAAGAGGTCAAAGATGTCCCCAAGACGCTCGATGATCCACGTTTCCTGGACAATGTAAATTCAGCCTACACCTATGCCAATGCTTCCTTGTTGAACCTTCTTGTCACAAAAAACTCCCTCACGACCCGATTCCGCTCCCTAAAACATTATTTCTTCCTGGATCGCTCTGATTTCTTTTCTTACTTCCTCGAACTTGGTGCCTCTGAGCTACGAAAACCAGCGCGTGCCGTCAACGAGGGCAAGCTTCAATCACTATTGGATATTGTCCTTCGACAGCCTGGCAGTGTTGCAGCACTAGACCCGTTCAAGGAAGATGTTAAGGTGCGAATGAATAAGATCGGCCTCACGAAGTGGTTGATGCAAGTTGTGAATGTTTCAGGGGTCAACCAAGAGAGCGCAGACGCGGAGAAGCAACAAGTCTCCGCTGCCCAATCTGCCGACGAGGACAAAGATATTCTTGGATTTGATGCGCTTGAGCTGGACTATTCAGTTCCGTTCCCTCTGTCACTGGTCATTAGCCGCAAAACCGTTCTGCGGTACCAACTCATTTTCCGCCATCTTCTATCGTTGCGCCATCTTGAGACATTGCTGGTTACGTCCTGGGCAGATCAGAACAAGACCATCAGCTGGCGGCATAAATCCTCCGATCGACGACTCGAAATATGGAAACGGCGGGCGTGGAACCTGCGCGCGAAGATGCTGGTGTTTGTCCAGCAGCTTTTGTATTTTTGTACGGCTGAGGTCATTGAGCCTAATTGGGTGGGTCTGATGGATCGTGTTAACAGCGTTCATGCCGAGGCGTCGGAGGTGGAGGAAAATGATATGAAGCAGGCCAACCGGACGGTTGATGAGTTGATGCAAGATCACGTAGATTTCTTGGACACATGTTTGAAGGAGTGCATGCTCACACAGGCTAAACTGTTGAAGGTGCGTTTCTCTACACTCACGGTGGAATTCATACTAATAACTATATAGATCCATTCGAAGCTGATGACTTGCTGCACTATGTTTGCTTCCTGGACTGCGGCATCACTTTCACGTGCCTTGGCTTCAGCTGATCCCGACCTGGCTGGAGGCAAAGTCCCTGGCGCCGATGCCAGAGGATATGATCCAACGCGGATTGGAAAACTTGAAGATACGCTGAAACGATATGAGGACCATTTCTCGCGCCATCTTCGGATTTTGATGGACAGGTGAGTAGCATTATCGGACATTCATATTACTTGGGTACGTGTTCTAACATGACCATATAGCTTGAACTACTTCGCGGCCACGGAGAGTGTTGTACTCCTAAAGCTTGCGCACTCCCTGACATCTATCAGTCGGGAGGAGAGCAAAGAGGACTGAAAGCTTGCGATCGCTTACTCTTTGCGTTTTACACCTTGATATCGTTATCGACATAATCAACCCCACGATGGAGATGCGGTTGGATGCGCTCGCCATGAACACAAGAAGCAAAGCTTCAGACCCATGATATTTGCTAGCTGCCACGTGAAACTCGGTGATGCCGAGACATACGCCACGGACTTTAGATTGTGGATTGCCAAACACCGCAGCACTGAGTCATTCACCGGACCATCTGTCCAAACTGGACTCCAACCAGGGTATATCACACTGATCAAGCCTCGTATGTGGGGCCGTGGAAATCCGCCAGATCACTGTACTTAGATCCATGAACCGAGTCATGTCAGACATCGGACTTAATGATAATACGAGTAGCATAGCGAAACGAAACGCAGATTCACAATATGAAGTTTACATACGTAGCCCTAACTCATGAAAAGAATCGGAGAGCACGCGAATTCCTCGGGATCGCGTCACCAGGCCATTTCTCACGGTTCAACTTAGTATATTTGTATTGCTTGGGGCCTATTGGGTCCCTATTAAAGCCCTGTGGGCTTTCACCCCGGGCCTATAGCCCATCGATAGGCCTAAGGACCGGGCCCAAAACCCGGCCTATTTACGGGTTGGGTCGGGTTGGGCTTTGGGCTTTGTGGGCAGGTGCGGAAGTCTAGATAAATGTGCATCCTCGAGGAAAGCCACGACGTCTTTGCCTTGCAAAAGACCCCTGAAGCCCCCTCAAAATTGAGACCTGCAACGGCAGGTCTTCGTGCACTGTGCTTCGCGAAAGAGAGCGCAGTTGGCTTTGTAGTTTCTGTGTCTTGATCCAGCGGGCTAGATAGGGGTGTTGGGCGGCCAGGTCCGAAGTATCACAGAACTTTTATCCTCGTATTGAGGGTGACTTTTCACATCATTCAAGTCAAAATCCCACCCCTTCGCCATCCTACTATCTGGCCGATATGGGTAAAAACATTCTCATTTCAAGATAATCTGGTCGGCCTTGTTCTGGAGACAGAAGGTAAACTGGCGATGGCTCTCCACCTCAATTTTCACGTTCTTTAAACGGGGCATGCGCTGGGCCGCATAGCCGAGCGATATGAGAAGTCGATGGAAATGTTCTTCAGTCGGTAATTCCGGCCAGCCCCATCCCGCTTCGACATCGCATATCACGTCTTCCCAATTTTCAATCTCGTCGATTTCGCTTTGGTCTTCCGGTGTGTTATGATAAGTTGGTTCTCCTGTTTGATTTGTTTGTTATTAGACGTCTTGGATATACTTCAACTTTTTCTTTTGGTGCTTTCTTGTTCCAGGAGGGACCGATTTCTTACCTAAAGGAAGCCAAGGTGGTATACCCTCAAGTTCTAATACCTCTAGGTAGGGCCAGTTCAACTGCAAAGAACCCGGTTTAGGCTGACCTTTTTCATCCAAAGGACACAAAAAGTCATATGCGATAGTGGTGTTCACCAACTTCAGTTGCTGAAGGTAAATACTGAGATCTCGTAAATTGGAGCTCACACTATCAACACCAGAAGGGATGACATTGAGTGGGGACATGGCCGGTTTCCACGGGGCATCATCATGTCCTTGATAGAGTAGCACTCTTAGGCTCTTCGGAATAGAATCGACTAAAGAAGACAACGCTATATAGCTATTAGTAAAATTCCTAGGGTTCATGGAAGTCCACAGCAAAAAGGATATAGCTCACCTTCGCGACGTGCCTGTATATACTCCAGGTGGTCTGGACGGACGAATTCCTCAAGATCTAGCTCCAATTCAACGATTTGGGTACAACGTTGAGTTATAGTCCGCATTGCGCCAGTCCAGATTTGATTACCGTTTAGAAAAGAGAGCTTCTCAATGCACGGAAGAGATGGTAGATCCGACATATCCTTGGAAACCGCGCTCTGTATGGGGGAATCGATAATATACGCCCATCTCGATAATCCCAACGATAGTCAGCGGTGATTTCTGAGTGCTGAGTATGTGGTTCCGGTGCAAGACCTTGCCGACGACCTCGAATAGCCAGATTTAATCTCAGACGGGAATTTTGATCCCATGATTGAAGCTCTTGGAAAAGGCTCACCATAGCTGTCTGAAAAGCTAGATCGTTGTCCTTTCGGATAGGGTTATCTGTACTATAATTTTCAGGACTCTCCCGGTGTTTGCGTGCGATCCAGTCTAAGACTTCGTAGGGGAGGAGGATATTGTATTCAAGCTTTTGGATGTAGGTTTTCCGTATACCTAGCATGATCGCCGGATATAAGCTTTTGGAAATTTTGGAGAGAAATTCCACGTTGCCCCTCTTCTTTGTGTTTATCGTCACTATAGACAGCTAGGTTGGAGTAGATGAGGGGTTCAAAAGCCGCCTGCCATGAGCGACAAACACAAGTGTATGGAACTAGAGAATTTCCATCAGTTTGCAGAAGAGTTGCGATCTGGAATAACAGTTCCAGGGGTAGTGTTGCCGTCATTATGCTGGTGAGGTGTCTGGTAAACACTATTGGCACAGTCGAAAACACTACTAGCACTAGACTTCCGCAAAGCCCACAAATAGGCCCCCACCCTAGGCCCAAAGCCCAACCCGCAGTGGGCTATAGGCCTAACCTTCGAAACCCGACCTAACCCGTAGCCCACTAATATATAAGGCCCCTATTTAATGTCAACTACTCCGTATGGTGGAAATGTATGGGTCCAATCAATGGTATTCAACTCTCCGTATTGCTGTATTGACTTCCTGGCAATTTATACTGTCCTGATTACATAAGAAATATTACTGCATACTTAGGATTAATAAATCCTCCGGTATCCTGGTGTATCTGCGCCGACACACCCCCTCAGCGGTCCCAGTATGCTTGCTGAGATCGCTGTATCATCTTGTAATTCCTAGTCTATAAGATGGCCTATATCAACCATGTTGAGCAGTCGCACGAAGCTCTCATGCTTTTGCCGAGTGAGCAATTTGGTGAGGCCATCAGCAACCATGCTTGCTGTAGGCACCCAGCGCACCCGTATTCGACCCTGTTGGACTTCCTGGCGGAGCCAATGGTGGTGAATATCGACATGTCGAAGCTTCGTTTCAAAAGCTGTGTCCTCGCTTGTCAATAAGCTGATAGTCCTCTCGTTATCACAGTCGATTGTCAGGTGGTGTGACGGAGTAAAGGCGAGGTTTTGAAGCAATCGGCGCCACCATTGGAGCTGCTTTCCTGCCTCCGATAGGCCGAGTAGCTCTGCTTCTGTGGTTGACGTTGTCACTGTGGGTTGCTTGCTTGCTTTCCAGTCAATTGGACCGCCGTATGCTTGACAGATATACCCAGCTGAGCTTTTTCTATCCGGGTGGTCTCCATACGAAGCGTCACTTGCAAACTGCACCGAGTCGGTCCCAGTATTGGCTGTTCCGTACTCAATCGCTAGGTTCCGGGTGGAGTAGAGGTAGGTGATGACTCGATCAGCTGCTTGCTGGTGCTGTGGACCGGGGTTCGTGAGAAATTGCGCGAGCTTCGCGGTCGCCTTTGCAGCGTCGGGCCTAGTGATAATAGTGGTATACCCTGCTGAGCCCACCTTTTGCTGGTATAGCAGGATTTCCTTTGGCGTTGCCACCCCCTGAAAAGGGGTCAATTCCTCAACCGGCAGTGGAGTATAGACTGGTGCCCTTTCTGTCAAGTGATATCGGGTAGCAATGCTTGTCATATAGCTATCTTGACATAACCAGAGCTTCTTTTGTTGCCGGTCTCGAATGATTCGTATGTTTAGGAACCATGCTGCTTCTCCATGATCGGTCAGTTCCCAGTGTGCTTCGAGATCTCGCTCTAATTGCTGTGCCTGCGCCTTTGCATTGGTATGACTGGCGATTAGGATATCATCTACATAGAAGAAAACCAGTAGTCCTTTTCCCATAAAAACGCATGGGTCTTCTGGCACTTGCTGTAGACCTAGCTTGCGGAGCACGCTTGCTGCTTCTTGCTGCCAAAGTCGTGGTGAAATCCGTAGACCGTATAGCGCGCGACGTAACTTCCAGCATTTACCTAGGTTTTGAAATCCCTCAGGTATATACGTATACGTCTCTTGGTCTAACTTGCTGTTTAGGAACGCGGTGACAGCATCTCTCTGTCTTAGGTCAAGATCAAAGGCAGCAACCAAGGCAAAAATCATCCTCGCTGTCCTTGCTGCTAGCGTAGCAGCTCTCTTTTCCTCGTGAGAGATGGTTTCAAGGTCTCCGCGCACACAGATACGGGCCTTAAGCTTCAAAAGGTACCCGTCCTGGTCAAATTTGTATGAGAACACCCATAAAAGAGGGAGAATCTGCTTCCCTCGGTCTCTTGGTTTCTTAATGACCTCAAAAGTCCCCTTTTCAGAGAGGGAGTTGATCTCCTTCCTCATCGCTGCGAGAAAACCTTCCTGAAATGGGTGGTTCATCACATCCTTCCAGTATTTTGGCGGTGGTGGGAGGTCGTCTCGGTGGCGGCGAGTGTCTGGTTTCTCAGCGTATAAGCCAGCGGCAAAAGCATGGAGTAGCGCCGGCGGTTCCACTTCTTGGGTGGTGCTTGTCGCGTAGGCGAAGTCTTTTTCCTGCCTTACTTGGCGTCTACGCCTACCACTGAGTATATTGCTGGTATCCACATCTCCGATTATCTCTCTTCTCGGAGCCAGTAGCTCTGCCTGAAGTTGCTTCTCTAGTTCGTCTTCAGTGGTTTCAAGATCCGCTTCTTCTTGCTGGATCTGGTCCCTTTGATCTCCCTCGGTATCCACCCCCTGACCAGAGCCAGTATGCCTCTCTTGCTCCTGCGGTGGGGTGATTGGTAGTGGTGGTAGGGGCTGTTCAATCGGAAAGGAACCTGGTAGTGCTTGTGGTGGAGGGTCTGGGGTCGGCCAATATAACCTATCACCCACCCCCTGGACTGGGGTAGTCCCTCGTTGGTTGACTGTCATCTTTTGGACCTCTGCTTGCTGCGGAACCTCCTCTTACTGCTGTACTTACTGAGGCTCCTGTGCTTCCTGTAGATCCTGAGTCCTCTCTTCCATCGTACTAGTCTCCTCTTAACTAGTAATTTGGTGGTTTATCACCTGTGCGACCTCCTTAACGGTGAGTTCCTGTGGTCCCGTTATAGCTGGTAGTGGGATAGGCTGATATTTCTCATAATCAGGGGTATATTTTCGTGTCTCGTCAATGACTGCATCCCTGATATACCTCACTTTCCCACTATGTGGGAACCAGATCTTCCAGATATTCGAGGCAAGGTATCCCACCACGAAGCCAATCTCTGCACGTGGGTTCATCTTATCGGACTGTACTTACTTCTCAATCCTACAGTACGCCAAGCTTCTATATAACCTAATATTTGATAGGTTTATCCTCGGCGCCTGTGGTGCGACTTCCTTCCTCACTTCCTCCTATGGTACCACCCACCGATTCTCGGCGGCGATATACGTTGGTGTACGATTTAATAACCATACGGCGGCGCTTGCGAACTCCGGCCATAGCTCCTTTGGGAGGTTCCCTTCGAGGGCGAGCATACGCATCCGGGTGATAATCATTCCACCTGATCTCTCAGCATACCCATTCATCTCTGAGTGCCCTGGGGGGGAGTGATATATCAGGATACCATCGCTTGTGAGACTATACTCCGCTGCTCTGCCAGCTGCTGCTTCATTGTCGTAGTGGAAGGCCTTGATTGGCAGCTTCCACTGATTTCTTGCAAGTTATACAAACTGGTTGATGGCCAATTGACATTCAGGTTTCACTTCGTGAGTCATGATCCAGTGGAATCTCGGTCCTTCTAGGTAGAAGTGGGATATCCAGCGGTGCTTATTGTAGGCTGGCTGCAGCTGAATTAGGTCGAAATACACCCTTCCAAAACGTCCAAAGGTACGTCCAACTTGTCGTCTTGAAATCTGCCTCGGAGCACTTCCTGTCTTACAGGTCTGACATAGAGATTCTTGCTCTGTGCTTACTCCTCCTTTATCGTCAAGAACAACGCCGTCTACCATAGTAGCAAGCTTTGCTACGGTCCGCGGTTAAATATGTGCTAGGCGTCGGTGCCAAATTTCAGAGGAAGCCCTTGATTCCTGTGGCTTCACTGATTTCCGTTGTGCTTGCTGCACAGCATATGCTTGTTGTGGCGGAGCCTCGCCTGGCTTGTCAAAGATCCAGAGATTGAATTGATCCCATAGGTTCACACAGACGACAGGTCTATCATTTGGGTCCCGTATACAGTTTGTACGTTGGCACCAGAGGCCGCCTTTCTTCTTTAGCATCGCGTACGACACGAGACTCGTATGGAAACTTGGTGAGTATAGAGCGTCGCTTAAGGTGATCTCCATCCTTCCCTTTACCGGGTGTCTCCCTAAAAGTCTGACTTTGCCTCTCCCTAGCACCTGCGTGGTACTATCTCCGGTTGTTAGGTCAATTATATCAGGTGTGAAGTCGACGAATAGGGCTCGGTTATTGCAGACATGCGCACTTGATCCGGTATCAAGAATCCACCGGTCACGGAGGGAGGGCTCGCCTGCCTTTGCCACAGAGAGCACGTGCTTGCTAATCTGTATAGCTTCACTTGGCTTGCTTCGAAAAGTGGTTGCAAAGCTGACTTGGTTGGCGGATTCGGCTGGTTTTTCCTGTGCTTGCTGAGCTTGCTGAGCTTCAGCTATCACTTTATCCACCCATTGCTTCCAAGCGTGGTCCTTTCCTAACTTCTTCTTTGCTTTCTCTAGTTTCCCTTCGTTTAGGGTATACCCTTCTGGCCGAATCGCTTCGTTTAGGAGCCAGCAAGTAGCAACTTTATGCTTCGGGTGTGAGCTACCACAAGGGCAGTGTCTCTTCTCAAACGGAAGCTTCTCTTGCTTTGTTTCCGGTTTCGCCTCTTGGTGACCTTGCCAGGTCGAGAAAGCGCCTTTTGGAGGAGTGGTTGATGACACCACCTGTGCTCCTATCTCGCGATTCATCGCGCGGAATGATTCAAGGAGATCTCGGGTATCGTACACCTTCTTTTCCATCACTATTTCCTGGTATTTGCCTTGCCACTATATAGGTAGAACTTCTTTCACGGCGTGCAGGAAGTCCCTATTGGCATCTCCGTCCTTGATACCAAGACTAACCGCTTACTCCCTTAGCGAGTTCCACTTTTGGAGCCACTTGTCGATGTCTCCAGTCGGCTTCTGCATTGCAAACACTTTCCAACTCATTCGGATTTCCTCCTCATACGCGGTCGATCGAGCGAACCGAGACTTCAGATACACAAGTCTATCATACGGTGTACGATATGTGATCAGTGCGAGGTGGTGTACTGGGTCAAGATAGGTGAGGATATATTCATTTACATCACTCAGTCCCTTTGCTTGCTTCTCCCATCGAGCATAGCTCATTTTATACACGTCTGCTTGGTCTCTCCATTTCCTTCGATCTGTTTCGGTGCCCTCTTCAGGATATTCTGGTTGTACCGGTTCCTTTAGAGTATCAGGTCGTTCAGTTGACGGGGTATCCGGGTTGCAGTGATCCCAGACATTTTTTTGCATTGCGTATAGCTGCACCTTCGCAAACCAGGTGAGCCATTGCGGTGCATCCTTCAGTTTATCGCCCTTCATGGCGGAGAGAATCGATGCTGTTTCCATTGCTGGATGCTGTGTTGTTTTGATGTGAAACAAGGGATGACTTTCTGCGGAGTGGCTTCGTGGAGGTTTATAAGACAGTTTCTAGCAAGTTGCTAGGTACTATATGCCGATATAGTAGTCTTATTCAGTGCGAACCGGGCTCATAACTGTCAACTACTCCGTATGGTGGAAATGTATGGGTCCAATCAATGGTATTCAACTCTCCGTATTGCTGTATTGACTTCCTGGCAATTTATACTGTCCTGATTACATAAGAAATATTACTGCATACTTAGGATTAATAAATCCTCCGGTATCCTGGTGTATCTGCGCCGACATTTAAGCCTATCTTATCGGCCTCTGTAATCGCTGTATTATAACCTTCCACTGGTGGCAAATCAACCTATGGGGCCATGGGGGCCATGGGGGCCGAAACCATCCAGATTGTATTCTCGAAAGTCCAGACCCTGATTGTAGTGTTGTGAAGCTTCCAGGGCTCGATTTTCGTTCCGCCCGATCCCGCTGAGATCCACTTTTCAGCGACATCTCCCTGCATAACACTTGCATACAATCTACATATGTATTAATAAAAGCCCAACAAACCCCAAAAGCCGTGTACAAATCTCCCAAGCCCTGTATACAGTCAACACAAACACCGCAAACATGCCAATAACAACCCTCACCTCCGTCCTCCGCATCCCATTCAACCCCACAGCCCAAGACCGCCTAACCCTGGCCCTCAGCGCCGCAGCGCTAGCCGTCTCGACCGTCGTCCTCCCCGCCGCCTACCGCGATTACAAACTCTTCAAATCCTACGGCCCGGGCGGGGTACCGAATAACGCGCTGGGATGGGTTATCGTGCGCGCGCTGTTCCAGCCCTTCGGGCGCGAGATGCTCAGCACGCATGAGTACGTGAAACGCATTGCGGCAGCTGAGGGACATGGGAAGGGCAATGATGGGTTTTTGTTCTTGTCTGAGGAGGAGCTCGGGAGTCGACGCGGGGAAGAGAGGCCTGTTGTTGGACCGCATGTTGTACCACAGAGGCAGTTGACGCAGGTACCGGATGAGGCTGTTATGGAGGTATGTTGTGTGTCACTTTTGGAAAGAGGGTTGGGAAGAGAAAAGCGAGGAGTGAAGGGCTACTGATGGTGTTTTTGTGTTAGAAATTCCGTGCTGCGTTCAGTGCCTTCGGACATCGGAATCACCATCTCGTGAAATTCCAGAAATCGAATCTGGAACGACATGCTGATGGGCTCTTTGTCGCGGATCACATTCCTGTCTTTGGGATTGCGAAAACTATGAAGCGGGAGATTGCGCATATTCATTCGGGAAATGATCACTCGGTCCATGTGGTTCTTGCACCGGCTGATTGTATCAAGGTTATTGAGGCTGGTTGGGGCCAGCGTCATGCTTTCTCGGGTACATCTGCGATGACGTTCCTTTCGCTTGGTACGAGGCCTGATATCCCGGCGGAATATGTTTTGATCTATGCGCCGCGGACGGAGGCGGAGATTGAGACGATTATGCGGATTGTTTCGGCGGGTGTTGAGTTTATGACCGGGAAGGAGGATGTTCGGTAGGTCAACGGGTTCTTTCTGTACTGACCTTATGCCTGAAGGGTGTACTGGTTGTTGTCTGAGGATGCATTCTTCTTCTAGCGTATGCGTTGTGCTTGGTTTCTTCCTGTTTCTGTGTACAACATAGTTTTATATACCCTACTCTTCGACTTATGGAATTTTCTACTATTTATATGAGCATATAGTAGCAACAGTGCTTTTATGACCAATTACGCAAGGCAGACCATACGTATACTTGCGTTATTGAAGCTGCATACACTCATTATACATAGACAATATCATGTTGAGATTGCAAGTATGAAGTATTGCCTCCCTTCTCTCTAAATATGCCCATGCTCTGCAATAATCTCCAATCGAGTAGCATTTTTTGCTTTGCACCTAAGCACCCCTGATAAATCAGTGCTAACTAGAGCAAAATAAATATATTCATACCTCATACATGGATTTTCTGGTGGATATATATTTGTCATATGCTGGGCGTAATATATAATTTGAGTAGTAAGCTTGTGTAGTTCCACCAAGCAAGTACAAATAGGAATCATGACATTTTGTCATAATATGGAGCACATATATGATTGCAAATGATATGACTTGGCAGGGGTACTCATACCCGATTTGGAGGTTGAACCGGTGTATTGGGTAGGCTATGATATGGAGGGGTAGTGAATGGTTGAACACGCTAAAAAAAAAGGGGGGGCCTGACAATAAAACATTACCCGTTATATTCCGATTTATATTCCCTTGTGAATAAGAGAGAACCCCTTTGAAGTCACATAGATCTATACTCCCCAGGTTTCCAAAGGACAAAAAGAGATGGAAAGGCGGCCCCCTTACCCGAGGGATGAACCATGGCGCTGGGTTTTGAGCCGGCGGGGACGGGTAAGCCCTGTCGAATAATCCCGACACTATGGATCTTCGTATATCGTACTCCGTACGGAGTACGATTATATGGTGCTTTGTTTTGTTTCTTCAGACTTAAGTGTATGAAATGTGAACTGAGAGTGCCCAGTCCACACATTCTTCGAAAATGGATAGGGTTAGAAGCCGTAACTAGCAAGTAACTTGTCTGCTTTGACGTAACCCATATAACCATCGTATATCAACTGTTATGTGAGAAGTAACCCTACACACCAGTCTTGGGCATCTGTACCCTGCGATTGCAAGTACCAGGTCCTTGCATTTGAGATGGATTATTGATATCACGGAGTGGGACCCGATCTTCTCGGAGAACTGACCCAGGAGGAAAAATCAGGAGCTACTCCGTACGTGCTCTGTAGGTATCAGGTGGTTTGAGAATAATTCCAAAGGCGTTTTTCTTGGTGGATTCGGACATCGGAGTGGATAACGCCGACATTTTTGTATGTTGTAATCACATATGTACTCCATACCTTCTCCCAAAGGCCATGAATATCCACATTCACGCCGGATATCTTTCCCGCCTACTTTGTAGCACCTGTCTCAGTATGCAAGCGCCACGCAGCAAGGCAAACCCCCATAAATGAGGCAAACGGTACGGAGTAGAAGTAGTCAGAAAAGAAAGAGGGGCAAAACTGCAATGTCCATTGTCCTCTGGGGGGTACTTCTGTCCTATTGTGTTCGGGGGGCATCCGTAGACAGGCTAAAAACCCCTGCAGGAAATCTCCATAGTGTCCGCCACTCGGAGCAACAGCGTTGGAATCTTGGAACGCAAAACTCCCCAGAGAAGCGGTGAGAGCGAGAGCGAAATAAGAGGGGCAAGAATAAAATCCAGCATCCAAAATTAAACCCACTTGAAACCCGAGGGAATGGATGCCCCAACGAGGATACTGTTGATCCTGTCCGTCGAACCCCACTCAAGTTGAGGGGCTATTGGAGACATTTTGGTCGTGAGACCGGGCTGGACAAGCCACTTGGCACCCACTGTGCTGCATGCACCATTGGCTGAGGACGCGGCCGTACTTCCGGAGCGTGGGCGAGAGCGAGAGTATTGGAAACTTGTCACCGAGCTACTCGGTTCCAATTGTTGGTTCTTTTTTTGCTTTCATTTCTTCATTCAGGTGACAGCGGGAACCGACGGTGGTCCCTTTCCATGCCTCGGAGATCGGTAATGCAGGGCTCGTTCGGCCTGTACAACGTACATACGCAAGGGTTGGTATGAATTCCAAACCCATGGCTTTTTGTTTTCCTTCTCAATCTGTTCTATCACGACTGATTTCTCGATTCTTTTGTTCTCTGTATGGTTTCTCATCTCGCACAGCGGCTGCATGCCGTTGTCTCAACCTTATGGCGAAGTACTGCATAATAATCTGGTTGAATTGATGGGTGGTTTGTTTTCTTTCATTCTTTGCCGAGACCTTGTTACATCATTGTTTGTTGGTGGACTCCTCCAAAGTAGAAACCGATGGAATCGTGGTGAGCAGTCGGAGTAGGATGCGATTCAATTTTCTGTAGACCCGCACCTTGACTACTGATGACAGGTAGGAAATTACCTACCATGTTAGCCTCGCGATGATGCTTTGATGGGAGTATGGAGGATCCCAGCGAGATGCAGCGGCGTGGCCGGATTTGTACTCGATCCACACCATCGGGCGCTCTTGGACCCTCGAGGAAAGTAGGTACTATGCGAGATGGCAAACTGTGCATTAGTTGACGGCACCACCGCCGAGTTTCAAGGTTTGTTAGCTTGGCCTTAAGAAGCGGAACCGAGGTTCTATTCTGATACTTGACCCCATTCTGGTGTCAATCGCCCGGAATGATTCGTGAACCACTCTTTCGGCTACTCAACCGACCCGCATTTTTTTCTTTCTTCCAGCCTGGTTGACGTACCAGTGTGTCCCGGAGTAGAAACAAGGGCCTCTTGCTAAGAGCATCTTAGGCCATCTCGAGTAGTCCAACTAGCAAGGATGTGAGGGAGAGTCTCGGAGTTCGCCCCAAAGGAACCACATGAACGATTCGGAGGGAGTTGGGAGTCCGCATTGATCGCATTTGGTTGCTACCCATGCAGGCCCCATCTGTGTTAATCTTCGACCGTTAAGTACCCCGTGTCTTCACGAATCGATTGCTGCATCTGGTGTGAGTCTTTAAAAGAGGCAATTCGATTGGGTGGACCCTTGGCTTTCCCCGTTCGTACCTTTTAGTACGTTCCTTGTATAATTGGAAGCCCCTCCATACAGCCTTTGCGAGAAAACGCCCATGGGTAAATGATCCTCGCGCGAGCCGCCATCGTCTCCGAGGGTGCCGCCGACGTCTTCAAGTGGCACCCAATCTCTCCCATGAAACTCCCAGCACATCAACCTTCACACTTTTTTTTTTTTCGGATATTGTGATTCGAAGCAAGATCTTGTACTCGGAGAATTCAACCCCGCCCTGACCAGACAAATCAGTATATACCAGCTCTGGTTTTCTTCGACCACAACACCACTAGATTCAGGGTGACAATGGCGTATGCTAGTTTTCCCGTTGTTCTTCCCGGCCAGGTGCAACTGACGTCGATGGCCACCAGAGACCCAGATTCACAGACGATAGAACTAGACCGTGAATATCTCGATAAAATCACAGTTCAGGGTCGTGAATATCAGAAATATTCGATCGAACATCGTACGTACTTTGAACCGGTCGATGAGGTAGGACGTCCAAAATTTCATCGTTGGCTTCTCTTCCCACTGACAACCGAACCAGGAAGAAGCACAACGACTCGAAGATCAGCAACAAGTTTTTCAAAAAATTTTCGATAGTCGTCTGATCTTCCCACCAATACGTCGATTGAGAAGGGTTCTCGACTGCGGGCATGGATCCGCATCCTGGGCCGTCGATGTTGCTGAGCAGAACCCTGATTGCGAAGTAAGGCGTCCCTTTGATCGCGCCCGACAGAATTCTAATATTCGGTGCTTCATAGGTCATTGGCGTAGACATTGCCCCCCACATGAATCCAGATGATGTGCCTGACAACTTATGGCTTCAGGTACGTCAAAAGTCAACCTGTCTCACATCCTACCCCGGGGGACAACATCATGAGAAGGCTGTAACGACACTTCTGACCTATGTCTTGTGCTTCGGCACCTTTGTGCCATCTGTCAATCTTGAATAACAGACCTGTCCAGGTGTGTAACCTCCTGAAAAACAGTCGCTAACGTGTGCCGAGTAGGTCGATGACTTGAATCGCCGTTTCACCTTTCCTGCAAACCATTTCGATCTTGTCCACTCTAGACTCCTTGCGACCGGCATCGACCGATCCCGATGGCCATCCTATCTTCGTGACATAGTCAGGTGCGAATCTTCCAAAGCAGGTCGAACTTGCCGTCACTCCAAGAGGCAGGAGTTCTCCAACTGAAACCCCTGGACTAACATGAGCGGTCGTCAAGGGTTCTGAAGCCAGGTGGTTGGGTCCAAATGGTGGAAATATACTTCAATGTTCAGTCCGACAACGGCTCAATCACTGATGAGCATGCCCTGAGGAAATGGAGCACACAATACCTACGTGCTCTGGAGGACAGGAAGGACCTTCGGATCGGTTCGAAGCTAAGAACTCTCATGACAGAGGCAGGATTTGTAGAGGTGGATACGAAAATGATTCCTCTTCCTCTGTCTGGGTGGTCGACTGGTCGGTCTTTGGCTGCCCAATAATAACGAATGAGACTGATTGAATTAATGCAGACCAACGGATGCGAGACATTGGCCGATACGGCTGTGCAAACATGCAGCAACTTCTCCAATCACTTGCACTATATCCACTTACTCAGCGCTTGCATATGTCCCAAGATACTTTTAATTCTTTGGTGGCCCAAGCGCAGCAAGAGGCGGCAGACCCCACATTGAAGGCATATTTCCCACTGTAGGTATTGTTCCAATCTGAAACCAATAGGCGAAGTCTGACAGGGCAGATACGTGTGCATTGGCAGGAAGCCATAGAGGCATCGGTCTGGGCAAGTCGGCAGGTGTGATGGCTCGATATGGGCAATAACCTCTTACGGGGGAAATAAGAGCTCGCAAGACAACCGGACCCATTGTCGATACCCTCCCTCCCG